AGCACCCGCCGACCTAGCACCCGCCGACCTAGCACCCAGCGACCTAGCACCCACCTACCTAGCTTCCGCCGACCTAGCATTTAGCATCCCACCGACCTAGCAACCACCGACCTAGCACCCACCGACCTAGCACCCGCCGACCTGGCACCCGCCGACCTAGCACCCTTCGATCAAGCACCCGCCGACCTATAACCCGCCGACCTAGCACCTGCCGACCTAGCACCCGCCGAGCTAGCACCCGTCGACCTCGCACCCACCAACCTAGCACCCGCCGACCTAGCTCCCACCGACCTAGCACCCACCGACCTAGCACCCGCCGAGCTAGCACCCGTCGACCTCGCACCCACCAACCTAGCACCCGCCGACCTAGCACCCACCGACCTAGCACCCGCCGACCTAGCACCCGCCGACCTAGCACCCGCCGACCTAGCACCCGCCGACCTAGCACCCGCCGACCTAGCACCCACCGACCTAGCACCCGCCGACCTGGCACCCGCCGACCAAGCACCCGCCGACCTAGCACCCGCCGACCTAGCACCCTCCGACCTGGCACCCGCCGACCTAGCAACTAGCATCCCACCGACCTAGCACCCACCGACCTAGCACCCGCCGACCTGGCACACGCCGACCTAGCACCCTTCGATCTAGCACCCGCCGACCTAGCACCTGCCGACCTAGCACCCGCCGAGCTAGCACCCGTCGACCTCGCACCCACCAACCTAGCACCCGCCGACCTAGCACCCACCGACCTAGCACCCGCCGACCTAGCACCCGCCGACCTAGCACCCGCCGACCTAGCACCCGCCGACCTAGCACCCACCGACCTAGCACCCGCCGACCTAGCACCCGCCGACCTAGCACCCGCCGACCTAGCACCCACCGACCTAGCACCCGCCGACCTAGCATTTAGCATCCCACCGACCTAGCACCCGCTGACCTAGCACGCGCCGACCTAGCACCCACCGACATAGCACCCGTCGACCTAACACCCGCCAACCTAGCACCCGCCGACCTAGCACCCGCCAATCTAACACTCGCCGACCTGGCACCCGCCGACCTAGCTACCGCCGACCTAGCACCCGCCGACCTAGCCCCCGCCGACCTAGCACCCGCCGACCTGGTTCCCGCCGACCTGGCACCCGCCGACCAAGCACCCGCCGACCTAGCACCCGCCGACCTAGCACCCGCCGACCTAGCACCCGCCGACCTAGCACCCGCCGACCTAGCACCCACCGACCTAGCACCCACCGACCTAGCACCCGCCGACCTAGCATTGAGCATCCCACCGACCTAGCACCCACCGACCTAGCACCCGCCGACCTGGCACCCGCCGACCTAGCACCCTTCGATCAAGCACCCGCCGACCTATAACCCGCCGACCTAGCACCTGCCGACCTAGCACCCGCCGAGCTAGCACCCGTCGACCTCGCACCCACCAACCTAGCACCCGCCGACCTAGCACCCACCGACCTAGCACCCGCCGACCTAGCACCCGCCGACCTAGCAACTAGCATCCCACCGACCTAGCACCCACCGACCTAGCACCCGCCGACCTGGCACCCGCCGACCTAGCACCCTTCGATCTAGCACCCGCCGACCTATCACCCGCCGACCTAGCACCCGCCGACCTAGCACCCGCCGAGCTAGCACCCGTCGACCTCGCACCCACCAACCTAGCACCCGCCGACCTATAACCCGCCGACCTAGCACCTGCCGACCTAGCACCCGCCGAGCTAGCACCCGTCGACCTCGCACCCACCAACCTAGCACCCGCCGACCTAGCTCCCACCGACCTAGCACCCACCGACCTAGCACCCGCCGAGCTAGCACCCGACGACCTCGCACCCACCAACCTAGCACCCGCCGACCTAGCACCCACCGACCTAGCACCCGCCGACCTAGCACCCGCCGACCTAGCACCCGCCGACCTAGCACCCGCCGACCTAGCACCCGCCGACCTAGCACCCACCGACCTAGCACCCGCCGACCTGGCACCCACCGACCTAGCACCCGCCGACCTAGCATTTAGCATCCCACCGACCTAGCACCCGCTGACCTAGCACGCGCCGACCTAGCACCCACCGACATAGCACCCGTCGACCTAACACCCGCCGACCTAGCACCCGCCGACCTAGCACCCGCCAACCTAGCTACCGCCGACCTTGCACCCACCGACCTAGCACCCGTAGACACAGCACCCGCCGACCTAGCACCCACCGACCTAGCACCCACCGACCTAGCACCCGCCGACCTAGCAACTAGCATCCCACCGACCTAGCACCCACCGACCTAGCACCCGCCGAGCTAGCTACCGCCGACCTAGCACCCGCCGACCTAGCCCCCGCCGACCTTGCACCCGCCGACCTAGCACCTGCCGACCTGGCACCCGCCGACCAAGCACCCGCCGACCTAGCACTCGCCGACCTAGCACCCACCGACCTAGCACCCACCGACCTAGCACCCGCCGACCTAGCACCCGCCGACCTAGCACCCACCGACCTAGCACCCGCCGACCTAGCACCCGCCGACCTAGCACCCGCCGACCTAGCACCCACCGACCTAGCACCCGCCGACCTAGCATTTAGCATCCCACCGACCTAGCACCCGCTGACCTAGCACGCGCCGACCTAGCACCCACCGACATAGCACCCGTCGACCTAACAGTCTAACACCCGCCGACCTAGCACCCGCCGACCTAGCACCCGCCAATCTAACACTCGCCGACCAAGCACCCGCCGACCTAGCACTCGCCGACCTAGCACCCACCGACCTAGCACCCACCGACCTAGCACCCGCCGACCTAGCACCCGCCGACCTAGCACCCACCGACCTAGCACCCGCCGACCTAGCACCCGCCGACCTAGCACCCGCCGACCTAGCACCCACCGACCTAGCACCCGCCGACCTAGCATTTAGCATCCCACCGACCTAGCACCCGCTGACCTAGCACGCGCCGACCTAGCACCCACCGACATAGCACCCGTCGACCTAACAGTCTAACACCCGCCGACCTAGCACCCGCCGACCTAGCACCCGCCAATCTAACACTCGCCGACCTAGCACCCACCGACCTAGCACCCACCGACATAGCACCCGCAGACACAGCACCCGTCGACCTCGCACCACCCACCGACCTAGCACCCGCCGACCTAGCACCCGCCGACCTAGCACCCGCCAACCTAGCACCCGCCGACCTAGCACCCGCTGACCTAGCACGCGCCGACCTAGCACCCACCGACATAGCACCCGTCGACCTAACACCCGCCAACCTAGCACCCGCCGACCTAGCAATACCCTTGGCAACACCCTCGCCCCTGACACCTTAAGCACAGAGATATGCTGCCCTTGTTGTAACGCGGGTAGCCAGCAGGGGAGTGAATGCCCGTCGGGGTAAGGGCGCAGAGATAAGGGCTCTGTTACCGTAACCCTGGGCGGTTGATGCATGCGAGCAAATCTGGTTCATGGCGACTTTGAACAAGCAGAAATGTAAGGCATGGAGCCGAAGGGTTAGGTAAGTCCAGTGACGCGGACAATGGTAGGTGGAGGGGTGGAAGAATGCGTACCTTTGTTGGCACAATTAGAAGACACAGTTAGGTATGGTAGAAAAGTTGACACGCTTACATTCAGCAGCATGAAGTGACAGGCAATGAGACCTCCGCATACGCACCTTGCAGTTTACGGCATAGGAGCAAAGCCCAGCACCCTAGCCAGTGTGCTACACTGCTCAACTACCGTACACAGGCAGCTGTATGGCATTTCAGTTCAAGGATAGGTTGACCTCTCGCCAAGCAGACATAGACCGTCGCAAGAACATCGTAACTAACGGCACAATCATATAACGGTACCCACAACATTTCCCAATATAAGGGGACAACAGCATGCCTTGCTGTACTGTACCTGCATGGATGGCGAAACTGTCCCTGAAACCCTAAAACAACCTGATGGCGTCTTGTGTCGACTTATTGGCACGTGCAGTTCGCTGGATTCAGTATTGCGCTGAACTTTGATGCTGTACAAGGGTCAGAACGACCTTGAATCCAGCGAACTGCACGTGCCAATAACGGAGTTGACACAAGAGACAAGCCGGCATCAGGTTGTTTAGGGTTTCAGGGACAGGTTCGCCATCCATGCTTCACCATCCATTCAGGTACGGTGTACTCTCTTGCATACCTAATGCTTACCTTATACCTATGTTTCCAACAGAGGTATCTCAAGTGATGAAAAGCATGCCATGGTGAGGACCACGGGCATGCATGAGCACCGGACAGCAAACGTGTCTGCATAACTCGGAACTACTTGAGCAAATGCACGGAGGGCAAAAGGTGCCAAACAGCAGGATAACCGCAAGCACTCCTGAGTATGCAAACCCGCAGCAACGCCATTGTAGCCCGATAAGGGCGTATAGAACTACCAAGGTGGGTGGCTCATGCATGGTGCTGTCCTCTTAAGGACGAACACGCCCGCAATGAAGCTCCCTCCCAGGATAACTGCAGACAAGGGCTCCATGGACCTATGATGATTTTGGAGAAAAAAAATGATAAGCAGAGAGCGCGTGAAGCTGTAGTTATATAGCACTCTACTGCAATAAGATTGCATCTTCCCATTAGACGCAAACATTAAAACATACTAATCAGGTTTGTCACTGGTGGCAACTACCAACCGTGGGCTTATGCTATGTGGCGACGGTGGCGAAGATTGCGGAATTGAAGAGGCAGCCTCCAATCACATATACTGATGTGCACAGACTCGTGTTGAGTCGTAGCTTCTGCGCGAATGGGAGCTGTGAAAAAGTCGCAGCGGGCAGCACCAAGGCCCAATATCTAGTCCGTCTAAAATGAGGTACCTACCGGGCCAAGATTTCGGGCAGTCGCTTACCCCCCGCCCCCTCCCCCACAAAGACTCACGAATGCGCTCACTGCATGAGTCGGGATATGGGATTGGGACTCGTTGTTTCACTTATATAATTTTTCCCCCACAAAGACGCGGTCGCTAGGACGTAATCGTTAGGACGTAGTCGTTACAATCCACAATGGTGGGGTTACGGGGGCTTGCCCCCGCCTTACAGCCGCACGTTTCTCGGACGCTAGCCCCTTGACTCCTCGTGAGCTAGCCCCGTCTTCCTCGTATACAGCCCCCATGCCGTTCGTACGTGGCTACCGTGGGAGCGCACCGCTATAGACAAAGTGCCCGCGGACTCCAGCGCTCTGACCACCCCCTGCACAGCGCGTGCGTGACACAACGAGAGCGCCCGTGGGCACAGCAGCACCCCACACGGCACACCCAGCTTCCTGACGAACCAACACAGGCGTCAACAACCAACAGCCGACTAACCGCAACCTTGCGTCCCTTCCCTCGTGCCCGTTTGCCTCTGGGTGCGTCTGTGTATCTGTGAGGGGTGTCGCGCCGGCCGATGGCAGCAGCCGCCGCAACATGAACGAACACGCACAAGCACCTCAACAGCAGCAGCAGCAGCAACAGCAGGCGGCTACCTCTTTCAAGCAGCACATCCACGAGTGCTTGACTGCAGCATGGGTGGTAACACGCAGCCCGCTCCGCCATCCCGGGCCTACCGCTACTGAACGCCATCACACGCATTGCACCCTCCACCGCAAATGAGCCTACCATTCCTCTTCCTCCCGCACACCAACCCCTTACCCGCCACGCAACCCCTCCTTCCTATGCTGCTCTAAATGGAGAGTGTCTACAACAAAGCACGCCCCACCACCCTCAGCCCACCTCCGCGATGGCACCTTACCACACGATCAGTTAGTTGTTTCCTCTTTACCACCCCCAACACCTCATGCTTACGGGTTACCCCCTCCCTCCCTTGTGCTGCCGTACATCAGCGCCCGACTAATACCGCCTTCCTGATGTCGTACAGCCGCCGCTACAGCTAGCCAGCCGCCCTCCGCCCCTCACTCCACCTCCTGCAGGTAGTCGTTCACCTCGGCCTCACTCAGAACCTGGCGGGGAAGGGGGGGAGGGGGGAAAGAAGGATGTCCAGTGTGTTGAATGAGAAAGGCAGGCAAGCCGACGAGCTGGGGTGGACGCGCGGGTGGGTGGGGGAGGGACCCCGGGGGTGAGGGGGAACAGTAGGGGGATACATGCTGGGTGCTGCATGGGAGGGTCAGGGAGGGGCCGAGCATGCAAAGCAGATGGCGCTGGGCTCGAGGTGGTCCATGACAACCACCATGACAGCGACCCAACCCAACGGCAACAGATCTTTCGGTGCCTCGCTAACCCTTACATCCAATTCCAATTCCCAACTCTCTCACCCAACTCTTCCTACCCGGCCCCCCACCCGCCTCCCCCCACCTTGAAGGTCCTGTCTGGCCCGATGACGCCGACCTCGATGTTGCTGCCGCTCAGCTGCCCCTCGAAGCCCTCCTTCAGCGTCAGCAGCGCAGTGTGGACCGCGTCCTCGATGCCAACCTGGGGAGAGGAGGGGGGGGCGGGGCCCCGGGGGGTGGGGTAAGTAATATCCGGGACAGTGGGGGGGGCGGAGAGGGCAGATTCAGTGGGGGGCCGCGGGGCCAAGGCATGTACGGTAGTAACCCCAGCCCCACACTCCCCAACATGCATCGCCACCTCACAGCACGACTCGCCATCCTATACCCCCCACCCCGTCACCACGCCCTCCCACATCTCCACCTCACCTCGCCGCCACACCTCCCTTCCCTGCCACCCTCACCTCCCCGCCCCGCCCCCACACCTTCCCACCCTGCCCCTCCACACACACCCTACCCTCACCTCCTCGCTGTAGCGCTTCTCCAGGAAGGCCTTGGCGTTGGTCATGTTCTTGCCGATGGCGCTGGCCTTCCACGCAAAGTAGGAGCCGGAGGGGTCGATCTGGTAGAGCTGCGGCCCGTTGTCGTCGTAGCCGGCCATCATGAGCGATACGCCGAAGGGGCGCACGCCGCCGGTCTCTGTGGTTGTGTGGGTGGGGGTGGGAGGGGGGAGCAGAGGAGGCTCCGGATTCTGACGGGTGCGAGAGAACGGGTAAGAAGGAAACGGTAAGAAGCTTCAATGGGGGCTGCATTTGCCTCAATGAGGAGTGTGGAATAAGGTGGACGAGGAAGAAGGAATGAAGAGACGGGTGCCCAGGGGACGACGTCTCTGTCGTTAGGGGAGGTTTGGACAAGGTGGCTGCGAGGGGCGCTGTCCCCCGCCATGAGCCGCCACCAACAGACAGGTGATTAGGGGAGGTTTGGACAAGGTGGCTGCGAGGGGCGCTGTCCCCCGCCATGAGCCGCCACCAACAGACAGGTGACGACCGGGTTTCAAAAATGCAAGCGTGCGAGTGTACAAGCGCGTGCAGCGTCACCTGCTCATGTTCCAAGTGACCCATGGGACAGGACAGACCCGCCATAGAACCAGTGGACTCCTGAAGCCTGCTGCTGCTGCTGACGCCCCAAGTGCCCCCCCTCCTCCGCCCCCGCCCCCCGGCACATGGCCAGGACCACCACCCACGGAGGCCCCTGCGCGCAGCGCTCTCGTGTGACGTAGTGAGTGTCGCGCCCCGTCACATGCGGAGCAGTGCTTTGCAGCCACTCCGTACGTATCCTCCGGGGGACGGGCCGGGAGAGGGCATAACCCGGTAGCCCCCCGTGCGGCCCTTTCCTGCATTGCCGTGGCACCCTTTGTACGTGTGGGGTGAAAGAAACCATGCTCCACGCAGCTGCCTAGCAGGGGACCTAGGGACCGCCGTCTGTTGTCCTCCGTCAAGGGGACTTGCCCGGATGAGACCCCTGACACACGCACAGGCTAGCTGCCTAGCCGGGCACCCAGCTCAGCTCAGCTCTCAGCGCACTCACGAGTGAACTCCTGCATCACCGCCGCCGTCTCCCGTACAAGCTGCGCGACCGGAATGTGCTCCTTGTAGGTTTGGAAGTAGGTTTGGGCGGTCTTCCGCGCGCGCCGTACGAGCACTCGGAAGTCAGGGCCCATGCCGCTGTACACAACGCCTATGCTGGGCGTTATGGTCATGATCTTTTGTACTGTCGTCTCGTCCACGAGCGTGGATGGCAGCTTCTTTTCCGTTGCGATAACGACGCCATCTGTCGCGCTAATGCCGAGCGATGTTGCACCGGCTGCGACGGCATTCAGGGCATATTCGATCTGGACGAGTTTGCCGCTGGGGCTGAATGTTGTGAGGGAGAAGGAGTACTGCGCAAGGGGGACACGGGAGGCAGGGCGGGGCAGCGAAATGCCTTACGCGAAGCCCCAATAACGATAATCCTGAAGCACCTAGGTGATCTACAAAACGGTTTGGATTCCAAGCATATAGAATTCATGCAATTTGAGCGCCAGCCCTCCATAGCCTCTTGCAAACCGGTGCTGCTAAATGTCATGTACCAGCCCCGCTCAGCTCACAACGCATTCACACCTGAGACTCTGCCATGATAGAAGCGTGTTACTAGGTTGTGCACTAAAAATAACAACGCTAGCGTCCACTCTGCAACTCTTGGTCTACGATCTGAAGCGGCTTTGCTCGTTCACAAGTGACAGTGGAAACAACCAATGTTCTAAATAGATCCTACGTATATGTGTCCATTTATTCATCCACCAAGAGTGCGAAGCTTGTGAACGCACCAAGCTAACATGAAGTACGGCATCACACAGCGCCTAACCGGAATCCCTGCAGTCAGAGTACAGTATCTGATCAAACTTGCATAAGCTGTTGTCGTTTGTTTCAGTGCCACACGAGTATCTTCAATGCATGCTTCCGTTATGGTGCGCAACACTCCCCATGCGTGTTTTGCATAGCAATGCAGTTTCAACACAGCGAAGGCCTTTCCTTTCCGCAAGTGAGCAGGCGTGTTCTCGGAAACCGTAATTTGGTTGGAGTTATGGGTATGAGGCTGGCTTATGTCGTGATAACCCCTTAACAGGCCGATGTGGGCAGGTCCTGCTTTGCCTGTCCTGCTCTGCCTGACATTAAGGCATCACAACCTCGCCCGCTTCCGAGCCGTCTTACACCTACGCATGACAGGTTGGCTGGTGATGCCATGGTATCCCGAGTCGCGATGATGAGGGCTACGCAGGGTTCAGACTCAACCGCCACGCTCACAGCCATCCTCAGATCGTACAGACCCACTCATCCCTGTCTTTGACTGCTTGCAACAGGGCGCTGGGCCCCAAGGTGGCCTCCGCTCCTAGGCCCTATGCCACCTCAGCATGCGGCACCCAGCGGCGCAAGCGGATTGAGCGAGCGGTCGTATCCTTCCCTACCGGAAGAACAACGGCATCCAGCGCTGACCCTGGCAACCCTGGTAGCATCCCGAGCTGCATGGCGGGGTGTGCTGCAGCTGTCCGAAAGTGCCGTACAGGGTGCTGGGCACTGCAAGCAGGCAGGCGGGCGACGTGACAACCTGTCCATGAAGGGGTAGTGCAGACGTCGTCTACAGTACCCCTTGCGTAGCGCCGCGCCCCACTACCTGCTATCTCGCTGTTCGGCATGGTCCGCGGCATGCTGACGGGCGCGGGTTACAGCGAGCGTGACGTGGTTCCTTACATCAAGCTGCTAAGCTAGTGTAGAGGTGGTGCTGCAGAACTGCCGGGGGCGGGTGGACGCCTGGGTGGGGCCCTACCTGCAGCTGGCGGTGGGGAAGCTGCAGACGGCCACAAACCGCACACTCAAGGTGGGGGAGAGGGTAGGGGGTGCGAGGGTGGGCAGTTTGAGGGTTCGAGTCCCTTGAGGACAACATGAGTGTGTCCAGTCCAGTCGTGGCGGCTTGGGGATTTTGCGGGGGGGGGGCACACAAGAGGCCCGAGACGAGGGTTGCTAGGGCTTGTAGGTGTGCCTTCCTCGAGTGCCTATTTAGGTGGCGTGCCTAGTGAACATATTGAGCGCATATAATTGAACTATCTTCTCATGTGTGTTCTGCCCTTGTAAAATGGTTCCAACCCTCCTCACCCTGCGCAAGCTTGGGAGGGGAGGGCATCGCCCCTGCGCCTCTTCTGTGCCCGACACATATCACACACGTATCCAACAGCCGCGCTGTGTAGGGCAGCAATAGATACGTAGCCTAGTTTGCAGGCAGCAGCCACTGAATAGCTTAGACTCTCAGTTCAAACTTAGCAATCGTAGGCTCGTAGCGCTACAAGCTTGCATACAAGCTGCGGGGGCACATCACGCGGTGAAGCGGCAAGTCAACGCTGCAACAAGATGCTCCTATATTCAGACAAGTATAAAGGACATACTTCGCAGGCTAGGCAGGAAGCACGAAAGTACCGGTAATGAATGTATTAACCCCCCCTTTGCCGAGGGGGTATTGGTATGGTAACATCCGTGGTCTTGTGGCACTTGCATTGTGATTACATACTTTCTGAAGTATGTGGCGATGGGAGGGCGCATCAAGGAAGCCCGAACCCCTAGGCTGAGCCCGTATGTTGTACACAGTATCGATAAAGTACGGCAGCGAGAAGAGTGCCAGAAGCCAGCGAAGCGTACAGCATAAGCAAGCCTTTACCACAAACACACCTTCACAAGGCTTAGAATGTCCAACGTAAGAGTGCAGCGTACAGCGTCTTTTACCTGCTGTATTGCCCGGCATGCAGAGACCGAGACATTTTGTCCTCGATTAGGGACTCTATATATAGGTATACATGCCATATAAATTTATTCAGCCTTGCCAGCGCCTCACGTTCCCGGCTTTGGAGCTTTCCCGGATATGAACCTATTCGGTTTCCTTTCCTAAGCCGTCAGCTGAAACAGGTTCAGTTTCAGTCATGACAGCTTGTGACCTTCGTGTTACCTGGATAGTTCTGTTGGCCCTCACAGCAAGCATTAATGCACAACAGTCAACTTCTACACATGCATCGATTCCTTCATACGACGATCCTTCTGTTGCGTTGGTCACATCTGGTTTGGAGTTAGCTAGCGCGTTGGCGAATCCTTACAAGTCCTGGGCCATCCTGAACTCCAGCTTTGGGACGGACGACTCAGATTGGACTACTAACATTACACGCACAAGCAATTTCACAATCAGTGGCCAACCAGGGTTAGCAACATCGTACCCTGTGCTTGCGCTAAACTTTGTGAAAGCCAAGGTAAGTCATACGGGGGGGAGGGCTTGCTACTTACTCCTCCATACAATAAAAACACGCAAAGTCGTGCGAACGTTCCGGTTCCTACGTTTCATGCCCGGGCTGGCATATCCCCTTCCACGCCCCCTGCACCTATTACCTCCCCCCCTTTCTCGTCACTCCTCGTCCATTACCTCACCAACGCAACCCCTCCCTTGACACTCCCGCCCCCCAAAATTGCTTCACTATATCCCAATTGCGTTACCCTAACCTGTGGTTCTGGTATATCTTTGCTCCCCATCCCCTTCCCCCCTTCCTCCTCCTGCCACCTGCTCAGATCCTGCTAGATGGCCCCGTTGCGCTGGTGTTCCAGCACCTGGTGCTGCAGGGCTTCCGCTCCTTGCCGCTCACGCAGTCCCCGGGACTCGACCTCCTCATCAACCCGCCCGCGGACGCGGGGGCGCTGGTGGTGGTGGCGGAGGCGCTGCTGGTGCTGCGTAAGTGGGGCGGTGGGGTGGGGCGTGTGTTCAGGAAACTTCCGCGAGTCGGAGCGTACTGTGATTGCCGGGGGATGATTGTCTGCGTGTGTGTATGCGCGGTGCCGCGTGTGGGGTGAGCTGGAGAGGGGACTGGGGGACTAAGGGATTGGGGTGGAGGAGAGTTGCGGCAGCAGCAGACAAGGGTGTTAATGCAAGCAGCTGGAGGGCAAGGGTACCGCGGGGATAGCCCGCCACAGGGAGCGGAACGGGGTCCCAGCTGCGAGAGTGGAATGCCGGGTAGCCCGAGACGTGAGCGAGGAGAGCGGTGGAAACGCGCCTCCATCACTGTCCCACCTTACCCCTCCCTCTCCCGCCCCTCCCTCCCCCACCCACCCCTCTTTAACTCCCCCCCCAAACCCCCAGGCATCTGCGTGCCGCACACCATCAACCAGGATCAGCTCCTGGTCAACATCACCCGCCCCGCCGCCCTGCCCGGCAAGCAAACAGCGTCCAGCAACGTGTCCCAGGTGCGAGCTGCTGCCCCCCCCCACCCACTCCCCTACAGCGCACCACCACTCCTCCTCTTCCTACCCCTCCCCCCTTGCCTACCGGTACCCGCTCCCCCTCCTCCTTGCAGGCCGGCTGCACCAACACCTCCCTGCTGCCCGCCGCCCAAGCCGCCCTGGTGCCGTACGTATCCCGCTGCTGGCCGGACGCGGGCATGTACGGCGACATCGCGGTGGCCTGTTCCGACGTGGACAGCTTCGGACGCGCCACCGCCACGCACTACTCGCTGCAGCTGCTGCGCACGGAGTTTGTGTGCACGGAGGTGATGACGGCGGAGTGCGTGGGGCGGTTGGGGCCGCTGGGGTGCTTCCTGTTCATGTGAGGCGGGCGGGGAGGGAGGGAGGGAGGGGGGGAGGGAGGGGTATTCCGTGCTGGACTGAAATGGGTTAGGATTCAGGAGAGCGGGCGCGTGGGCGGGGTGGAGGGGCGGGGCGGGTGCACGCTGATAGGGAGAGGGTGTGAAGGGGGGGCGGGGGGAAGGGGAGGCGGAGGGCCTGTTTGTGCATGAGGGAGTGAGCGGGGCGGGGGGTGCCGGTATGAGCCTGTATGAGCCAGACGTACGTAGCAGCGTTGTTGACGTGTTGTGCCCTGCTGCGGCTGCCGCTCGTCGCCCCCTGCTGCAGGTTCCCTCGCACGCCCCCCAGCCCCATGCCATCACCCTCGCCGCCGACGCCTCCTGCACTGCCTAACTCCCCCCCGGTGGCAGCAGCAGCAGCCGGCGGCAGCAGCAGCGGGGGCAGCGTTGGGGCCATTGTGGGCGGTGTGGTGGGAGGTAGGGCTGCGTCTGCTGCTCTTTCGAGTGTGTTAAGAAAACTGGCCGCGAGTAGGAACGTACTGTGATTGTCGGAAGATGAAGTCCCCACAGAACCGCCGCAGGAGCCGCGGGAAATTTGTAGCGAGTGTGTGTGTGTGTTATGAAAACTGGCCGCGAGTAGTGTGAGTGTTTCGTTCCCGTGGAACCCCTGCTGACCCCTGAGAGCATCCCTCTGTTCGCCGCTTTACAATGCTGCGTCCTCTGGGTTTTACCCTGGTTGTCCTAGCGTGTCTCGTGCCGGCATGTTGCTTTGACAGCAGTTGGGGCCGTTCTGCTGCTGGTGTGGTGCGCCAATGCTACACACGTAGCACCGCCATAGGGCTTCCATGGGCCCACTTATTGCATGGAGGCATGAAGCCCGCTTGCCTCTCCGGTTGCGGCTGCAGGGGTGTGTGGCGTGACGGCGCTGCTGCTGCTGGTGCTGCTGCTGGTGCTCTGGCGGCGGAAGCGGCGGGCAGGGGGCCAGCAGGAGAAGCAGCAGCAGGAGACGTGTGAGGGGGACGCAACGTAGGTATCGGGTCCTGCCACGTGCTATGGGTTTGGTTGACGGGTACGGCATAATGGTCTGGGCCTTACTCGCTCCTCGGGCGTGGCGTCCCCCTCCCTTCTCATGCCGCCTCGAGGCCTTCGTCCTCAGCCCACTGCCCCAACCACCCGCCCTCTCCGCGCTTCCGCCTCCAATGGTTAACTCCTCATATGTTTCCCGCCTGTTTATTCAGGCCTGGCGGCGTCCCCGAAGCGGCAGCCTCCGGCGCCCAGCCCGCAGGCAAGCAACAGCCGCCACCGCTAGCCGGGGCGGGGGCAGGCGGAGCAGGGGCCGCCGCAGCAGCAGCAGGGGTGCAGGGGGTCGTCAGCGTCCGGGTCAAGGGAGCGGCAGCTGCAGCGGCCGGGAGCAGCTGCGAGCACTCCTGCTCCTCCACCTCCGCCTGTCCACATGGCGATACCGGGGGCGCCGCGGGGTCGCAGGGCGCCGCGTCCAGCTGTCTGGTGCTGGCTGAGGTGGCGGATGAGCCGGAGGCGGGCGGGAACCAGCTGCAGGTACAGGGGGTCCAGCAACAGCAGAGCCATCAACAACAACAAACACAGCAGCCGGGCTCGTCTGGCACGGAGCAGCAACAGCAGCAGCGGCAGGGCGGCAACTCGGGCGGTCAAGTCCCCGCGGCGGCTCCAGCGAGGCTGCCCAGTGGTGTGGGCGCATGCGTGCTTAGCGGCCCAGGTAGGCTGTGACGGAGGTATGACAGCGGCGGCGGTGACTGTTGGCGTGTACGGCTTGTTGGTTGGTGTGACGGCAGCCTGACTCCATTCTCGTCGGCACATGCCTCATTCCCATACACCGTAACGCTGAAACCCTAACTCCTCCCCCCGCCGCACCCCTGCGCATGCACGCAAGATTTCGCGTCGCAGGCTCGGCCCTCTTCCTACGCCGCCGCAGCGTAACTAACTCCCCGGCACTCCCCCCATGCGGCAACCCTATGGTGGAGCCGACATGTCACTCGTCGGCTGGTTTCTTCCTCACCACCCCCTCACCCCTGCCCGCCTGCATGCAGACCCGGACACCGCCAGTCCGCTGGTGGTGGTGACGCCCCTCACACCCCACCGCGCCGACCTGCGGCTGGACGTGCAGTGCGACCGGGAGGTGCAGCTGCTGCCGGTCGTACGAGGCAGCGGGTCGTACGGCAGGGTGGTTGAGGGACTGTACGACGGTCAACGCGTGGCGGTTAAGTTGGTTATGGATGTGGAAGAGTGGAGCGGGCCTACGGAGGCTCTCGTGAGCTCGTTTGCGCAGGAGGTGGAGGTAGGGAGGGGTGCGGCTGGAGGTGGTTGCGCTGAATGGGAGGAGTAGCAGCGGCAGCTACTGCTGTGTTGGGGTTCAAGGACGGCACGACCAGAGGCTAGCAGGAAAGCACACGTGCATCGCAACCGCCCTTGACACTTCCAGGCGGCGCCCCCCGCCCCTCTCTGCCTACCACGTTTTCTACGTGTTCCCAACTCACCATCCACCCTCCCGCCTCCCCTCCCCTCCCGCCTCCCCCCAGGTGCTGGGTCGCTGCTGCCACCCCAACGTGGTGCGGCTGCTGGCCGCCTGCCTGACCCCCCCGCGGCTGTGCCTGGTGATGGAGCTCATGGACAGCAGCCTGGAGGCGCTGGTGCACGGCAGGGGGCGGGGGGCGGGGCTGCTGCCGCTGACAACGGTAGGGAGAGGGGGAGGAGGTGGGGGAGCGGGTTGGGGGTGGGAGGTGAAGTGAAGCCGCGCCTGTCCCGCGAGTACCGTAGCTGGTGCTGCTGCTGCAGTGCGCTGCGCCCTAGGTTCCGGTACCAGTGGCAGTCTGAATTGGAACGATGAACCCCACACCCCGCACCCTTCTCCTCCCTCCCCCACTCAGGTCCTTCACATCGCCTCCGACATTGCCCGCGGTCTAGCCTACCTGCACCCCACCATCGTGCACCGCGACCTCAAGTCCGCCAACGTGCTGCTTTCCCACACCGACCGGGTGCGCCCGCTCGCCAAGCTAACGGACTTCGGGCTCAGCCGCCTGCGCAGCACGGTGCTGGTGACCAAGAACCCGGAGGCTGGCACGGTGGGGAAATGGGGGGGGCGTGAGAGGAGCATGGAAGGGCTGCATGTTGAGAGATGAGGATATAGACGTAGGGAGGTTGGAGGGAGCTAGGAAGGAGTGGGGTTTGGGGTGTAACAGGGGAGCTGCCGTTGCTGTGCGACAGCATCTGGGCTTGTACGGCATCCCTGAGCTGAAGTTCTCCTTTGTTAGCGCTTGTTCCCTTTTCTTTGTGGCTGTTCCGCTTAATACCCGCCGCGTGTTGCTTCCTGCCTCCTATGCCCGTTCCCAAACCCAACCAATAACAACGTCAATGCAACCGTCCGTCATCGCCTCTTGGGGTCTGCTGCGCTCAGCCTGCCTACATGGCTCCTGGTAAGCGTAGGGATGTGAAATCAACCGCTTCTGCGTGCGCGGCACCTGTCCCCTTACCTTGCATAGCCTTGCTTGGCCCTGCCTTCCACCTCGCTTCAGCCGAAGCGGGGCGTGCTTAAAGTGTTCTCAGTGGGGTGTTTGCGTTGCCGCCCCCTCTCGTGTCAAAGCGCGGCTGACGAGGGGCACCTGCTACCCCCAGCTGGTGCCAATGCCAGCATGCCAAGCACCCCTCCCTCCCCTCCTTTTGTCATGACCGCAGAGGCCTTCGACGCCAACAACTACATCATCACACACAAGGCCGACATCTACGCGCTCGGTGAGCTGCTGAACTGAAGCACGCTGCATTGCCCGAACTGCCCCCGCCTGTGTTTGCGCACTCATTGGCCGCAGTGGCACTCGTTGGGTAGGGCAGGAGTTGTTGCGATGCCGTACCATGCAAGCCTGTGCTTGCGGCGCTCAGGTTCTCTTGCACACATGGATTGATTACTTGGCTGCACAGGCGCATGTAACCTCTGCTGTTACAGCCCCCGCCTCCTCTGACCACACCGCATCCTACCAACCCTACTCCCGAGGCCAACCTTACCCCTCTCCACCCACTCTTTCCTCTTACCACTCCGCAACCCTGCCTAACCCTACACCCCATTCCCCATGCACAACCCCCTGCCCCCACCCCCCAGGGGTCATCTTGTGGGAGATGCTGACGGGCTCGATCCCCTGGGAGGGATGCAGCATGGTTGCCATCGCCTACTCCATCACCGTACGGCACCATCGGCTGCCGCTCAGCAAGCTCGACTCGCAGCGCTGCCCGCCCAAGCTGCGCAAGCTCATCCACGCGTGCTGGGACCCCGACCCGCAGCGGCGACCCGCGGCAGCCGAGCTCGTGAAGCAGCTTACACTGGTGCTGCAGGTGCGTGCGTGGGTGGGTGGGTGGGTAGACGGGTGCCGTCGTCACTCCCGCTTTCTTAACTGAGAAGGCCCATCGCGTTCAAGAGCTATTCCTCTTACAATTCCTGCCTCCCGCAATCCCGCTACTCTCTGCCGCGCTGCGCTGGTGGCGCTCAGATGGTGCAAGGCGAATCCGCGAATGGCAGTAACTCCGGGGCGATGACGCCTGGGAGCAGCAGCGGCGGCCAGGCTGTGCAGGCCCCGGCACCCGCAGCAGCAGCAGCCGTTGTTGCCCCCAACACTGCCGCCCCGCACGCTGCCGCCCCCGCTGTCATCGACGCATTAGCTGCGCAGCAGCAGCAGCACTGTGTTGCTGTAGCACCGTCACCGCCGCCGCCGCAGCAGCAGCCGCCGACGCTGGCCGGTAATTAACGAATTAGCGGAGCTTGCAAGGGAAGGGGCACCGGAGTAAAGCGGATATGGGACCGGATGGATAAGACGGGAGTCTGTTTGCCATGTCCGAGAGGCCTGCTGCTCTTGCAGTCGGATAGCAGCTGAAGGACTGCGATGCCAGCAGCAGCAGTTACATGATAAGATGTGTGACTAAAGGGACATGAAAGGGATCATGAGCGCTGAGAGTTAGGGTTCTGAGACTTGCCACGTGGACGATGTGAGCGCAATCGGTTAGATGCCGGTAACGGCGCATGTGACGCCCTGGTTGCGGAGAGCGCTGGCTGTGATGCACGCCGGCGGTCGGAGAGGAGAGAGATGGCGGTCTAGGGTCTATGCGCTAGATACCAAAGGACTAGTAGTGCGAAGCCACGAGAATGTGCTATGACGTGCATGAGGGCAATGCGACTTCTGATTCGAATGCATATCGTGATGGTTGGAATATGGAAAGGGAGTTTGGGTTTCCAGAGTACCGTAGCAGCAGGCAAAGGGGGTTACTCCCCGCTTGAGTGAGCCTTGAGGGCCGTGTGACTGAACCTTCCTTACGTAACCGTCAGTGATAACCTTGGTATGAGTAACGCAATCGAGCAGGAAGGAGTGATGCGTGTCTGTAGTGCCGCTCCTGATATGCTGATTAACGTGTCCAGCTGCGTGTGATAAGCTTCATTCCCAGCTTAATACTTCGTCTTCCGCTTGCTCTTGGCAAGTCCGTTGGGATCGTTGGGCTTGGGTGGTTGCTGGCGTGTCGGTGCCTTGTGTCGTTGGGCTTGATAGACCTCGCAAGATTGATTCACTTGACACATGAACTCTTAGCACCTCCCTTGGTACCCCTAGCGGGGTTTGTAGGAGTGTTTGTTACCTGGTCCTGACTATTTTTGTTGTTATGGGTACACTTACTGTGTCTTATGTTTTTGGTGGACGGTATGGTTGCTTTAGCGGTGAAGCTGATCCCAGTGACCAAGAACCCCAACACGTGAGCGTGAATGCATGATAACATGAAGCTTGAAATGGTAGCATCGCAATGGGTCGAGTTTATGTTGAAGCCATGTTCGAGCCCCTTCTCGCTTCATGGCTCAGGCCGCCTTCACAATGCTTGTGCCTCAAGCCAATCGGCCACACCTTCACGCTTCACGCCCTAAAGCATGCATGGTCATCGGATCACCCAGCTATACCTAATTACATATATGTACATACACCCGCACGTGGCAGCAAGCAGCACGGACACGACGCCATCACCCCAACCACCCTACAGCTCCTGCAGCAACGACGCCAGCTGCCTCATCTTATGCGCGCTGCTCACTTTCTGCCGCTCCACCGCCTCCAGCAGCTGCCTCATCTCACCCTCCACCTCCGCCACACGAGCCGTCAGTCGCTGCACCTCGACGCCGCGTGCCGCCGCCTGCTCCTCCGCCTGCACCGCCGCCCGCTGCTGCTCCTCCAGCTGCGCTGCGGCGTCCTCCAGCTGTCCTCGAGCGTGCTCCAGCTCTCGCGCCAACCGCTCCAGCCGAGCCCCCGACTCCGCTAGCCGGGCCTCGGCTGTGTCGCGAGCCGCTGCGGCCATCTCGGCGTCTGCTCGTGCGGCGTCGCGCTCATCGCGAAGGCGCTGCTCGCGCTTTTCGAAGAGGCCTTTTGGGGTAGGGGGAGGCACGGGGTTGGAGCAGCGGGTGTAATGGAGGTGCTGCAACCGACCATGCATGTAGGTCGGCTGCACAAGCATGCAGGTGACAGGTTCGTGAGCCAGCTACACAAGGGTCCAGCAATGGGGACAGCTGAAGACAAGGAAAGCCCAGTACCAAACAAGTCGCGGTGCGCCATGCACAAATAGTACGCAGGCCTGCACTGTAAGATCGTCGTGTAAGGGTGCGCCGTGTTGCTGCCCTGGCACCTTCCACTCCCCGCAAGGCCCTGCACCCATGTACATATCCATGTACCATACCTTTGACTCGGTCAACCTCCTCCTCAACGTACTTGATCACGCGATCCTTCTCCACCACCTCCTCCGTGGCAGTCCGCAGCCGCCCCTCGACCTCTTTCAGCCGGGCCTGCGCCTCCGCCAGAGCTGTGCGAGCAGCGGCGGCAGCGGCCTCGCTGGCCTGCGCCTCCTGCCTGGGATCCCGCAGCGGTCAGGGGTTTCAATAACCGGGGTTCGGGGCTCTGAAACCCTCCATTCCGGCTCGTTGGGACGTGAATAGCATGCAACATGGAAGTCTCAATCGCCTAGAGGAGTTCTTCTTGCTCTCTCCTTCCCATTCCCCCCTCCTCCCTCTGCATGCTTCTATCCAGATAGCCCTCGTCGTGCCGTACCTGAGCTGCACCTTCTCGCCGTCCTCCTCCTCGCGCTGCTCCTGCTCCCGGGAGAGCGCCATCTCCGCCTCCTCAGCAGCCCGCCGGGCCTCCTCCGCCTCCACCTGCGGGTGGATGCAGATCAGGCTCACGACGTGCAATGGCGGAAACGCCCGAATGCCGCCTCTATCCGCTCCGGCGGCCCTCGACCGTAAAGACTAGCACGATAACCAAGAACTGCCAGACTGAATGAATGAATGTTGCAATGGCAGACTATTACTCGGCAACTTGCCCACAGCTATCGGCCCGCCCGCCCCCCTCTCTCACACCTGCAGGTCATCTCTTTCCGCCTTGAGTGATGCGATGGTTTCGTTTGCGCTGTCCAACATTTTCACTTTGACCTGCGGTGGGTAGTAGGGAAGGTGGGAAGGCACGGGGCATGGAAAGACTGGACACCGGTACTGGCAGGTGGGAGTGTTGGCAGATGGAGAGCTGGAAGCCGCGGGACTGCAAACCCGAAAGTATTGGCCAGCATCAGGAGGGAGACCATTGCCCAGAACCGCTGCACCCTAACACCACAGGTTCCGGGTCACGTAACCCCGCTGTGGCACCCCGTGCAAGTAACCGAACGGTAGTTTCTTGCCATGTCCCCCTCTCTCCTTGATAGTCTGTAACCAAACCCACCTTTACAATGTCTTGTTGCGTCGAGACTTCCTGCCGCAGGCTCTCCGCCACCGCCGCCGCCCGACTCGCCTCCTCCCGTGCAGCTGCCAGCGCCGCCTCCGCCGCCCGCACCTTGGATGCCAGTTCCTCCGCCGTCCGAGCCGAGCTTGCCTGCAAAGGCAGGGCGTTCAAAGGCGCAATACTGCAGATTGGACTCCGAAGCACCTACCATGCAGCACACATTGCCGGTATTTTGCCTAACCGTCGGCTTATCACGCCTCTATGCAAAATCTTCTCCTCTCCTACCACCTGCTTGTGTCTTTTCCTCCCAGCCATACGCCTTTTTTGCTTCTCCGATCCCGCACCTGCAGCTCGTTGATCCGCCGTTCCGCCTCCTTCCAGCGCCGCCTCGCATCATCCGCCTGCTCCCGGCACAAGTCCCGCTCCGCTGCCGCCCGCTTAAGCCCCAGGTTTTCCGCAGCCAGAGCATCAAAAGCCTCGGGACCGCACGCCTGCATGGGAGTACCGGGGAGGTACGGAGGTGGGCGAAGCACCCGTGGTACCCGACCCGTGGGTCCGGGCGGTAGGGCGTATGGGGGCGAAGTGGGGCCTCCACCACGTCCAGGGTCCAACGGAAGAGATGGTGGGTGAGGTATACACGGGAGCAGGAACAGATGCATGCTGCATGTCACGTCAGGTGGCTACCCCGATTACCGTAAACGCTGTCCTTGCCTTGTCGCAGGCATATGGCTGAGTGGACAGTACCCTTTTCCCGGCATCCCTCTATCCTACTTCCCACATGCCGGCATTGAACCCTGGACAAGCCTGATCGACAGCCCTTAAGGGTTTTAGGTTTGAGCGACAGCCCAGTTGTTCCACCCAGGGCACGTACCTTCAGCCTCGCCGCCAGCGCCTCCTTCTCCCTCTGCAATGCCTGGATGGCCGCCTTCTGCTGCTGCACCACCGAGGTGAAGTCCGACACCAGCGCCTCGCCCTCGCGCTGCTTGGCGACTGCGGCCTGGAGCCAAAATGGAGGGTCGTGACCCGTGGGTCAAAGCCTTAGGAGGGATCCAGAAAAGCCCCCGCCCTTCAGACGAGGCACGCGGAAATCACGGGAAGAAGCATGAGGCGGGAAAAGCTACCCCAGCAGCAGCGCTGTTACAGAGGGCCGCCCTGAGCGCCCCTCCCACGTCCCAACGCCCCACCTGGAGCGCCGATCGCAGCTCCGACGCTTCTGCTTGAGCCGTCTGCAGCACCTGGTGTGCCGTTTGCTGCTCCCGGTCGCTCTCCTGTGGGCCCCAATAGTCATAAAGATTCAACCGGTTAGTTCACAGCAAGCAGGGCGACGGCACAAAGAAGTGAGACACATGCCTAGGGGCCAAGGAAGGCGAGGGCGGCCAGGCTAGCGCAAACGGCCAATGGGAAGCCATCTCCAGGCGCTGCACCAGGAGCATCATTGCTGCAGCAATCGCACCTTGAGGGCGAACTGCAGCTGCACCTTGAGGAAGGCGATCTGCTCCTGGAGTCCGGAGCGCTCCTGCTGCGCCTGGCGGGGCACATGGCGACACAAAGGCGCATGGTAGGAAGGGTCACAAAGGCGGATTGGACGGGGGCGGGGGGACATGTTCACAATGAGGTGGGTGAGTCTAGGTGCGGACAAGGAAGGCGCCGTCGGGCGCCCGGATCCCGGGGGTGGGGCGAAGCAGCCAATGGTGCGTATCCTTTCTTGTGTGTTGGGATGGACGGGCCACCGAGGGGGTACCCGGCACACGTACCTGCAGTGCTGCCATGGCCTTGCCGCGCTCCTCAGCGGCCGCCCGCTCCTTCTCAACCGCCGTCTTGACAGCCTCCTGCGGTTACGAGGTTGGCAGTGGGCGCGGATGCTGCTCGGAGTGTGGTACCGATGCGGTTGAGGCTGCACATATGCGGCACCTCCATAAGAGGACCATTACGATCTTCCATGGTGGAGCAGCGCATGAGGCGTGCGCATGAACCCGCGGTTCCGTTCCCAGGCAGGCCTGCTAGCGGGCTTTAGCTTTGCCCTTTTCCCTCCCCCGCACACGGTTTTACCTCCTGCTGCCGCGCCGCCGCCTCCAGCTCCCTGTCATGCTGGGTGCGAGCGGCCTGCAGGGCGGTCGTGAGGGTGTTGATCTCGGCTCGGGAGTCCACCTCACGGCGCTGGTGGTCCGCCAGCTGCTGCTCCGCGGAAGCCAGCCGGGACTTCAGCAGGTCGATCTGAGGGGTTGGGGGGGGGGGGGTGATATGAGAGGGGAAAGGAAAGTAGGATAGCACCATGGCGTTAAGGACAACGACAACCCGTAGGTAAGGCCTCAGGCGATTTTGACTAGGATACGGTAAGGAGCAGGGCATGTGAATACAGCTGGCTGGAAATGTGCATCAGCGGGTGCGCGGTGGAAGGAGTCGTACCCCGGACTCTCTACCACTGACATTACTACCCTACTCAAATGTCTATCCACTGTAGCTTTCCGTCTGCATCCTAGCTCCTCCCCTCCCGCCTCGAGGGATTCCATTGGGACTCGGTTGCTTCGCTTTTCCCAGCCTCGACCCGCCCTGCGCTCACACCTGCGCATTCGCGTCCGACATGGTCTGCGCGATCTTGGCCGTCATGGACACCGTGACACTGCTGCTCTGCTGCAGAGCGGACTCAAGGCTGGACACCTTCTGCTCCGCCGCCTGCACCGCCGCCCGCAGCACCGGCAGCTCCGCCGCTGCCGCCTGCGCCGCCGCCAGCTGCTCTCGTACGGCAGCTTCCGTGGCGGCGGCGCGGCGGCGCTCGTCTTCCAGGCCGGCAGCCGCGGATTGTTGCTGGTCTAGCAGCTGCTGGTTGAGCCGCTGCAGCTCCTCTCGAAGCCTGTTGGCGTCGGGTTTGGGAGCGGGTGGTATCCATGCAATGAGGGTAGTAGTTGGCTACGGGAGGTTACCGTATCGTATGGGGAGGCCGGAAGCATGCGGTGAAGGGAGAAGGTGCAGCCTGACCGTTACACCGTGAAGTGGCCTAGGATGCAGCCCGTTCCGCACCCGCACGCACAGGCTTACCTTGCCACGTCTTTTTCGAGTCCAGCGCAACGCGAGCGCTGCTCCTCCTCCGAGCGCACATGTGCTGCTACCCGCTGCTGCGCCTCGCTGGCAGCATGCCGTGCAGACTCCAGTTCCTGCCTGCGACGTACACATAGGGGAAAAGGGGCAGCACATGAGGGCATTGTCCTCCAAAGCCTTGCGTGAACCCGATGCCCTCCAAAGCGCAACACAGCAGCCCACCACAGCAGCGCAACAACCCGTATACACCACCAGGACCCATGGGCCCAAGAGCCTAGACACCAACACACCACCCACCCAGAACCCACACCACCAACTTCCAAGTATCGCACACAGCTCAGCCTCCCCCTGCCCCCACACACTCAGCGCCCGCAGCAGCACCCACAGCGCTTTGGAGACGGCGAAGGACGCCTCCCTGAAGCCCTCCTCCACCTTGCGGTGCGCCTCCTCCTGCGCGCGCACCACCGCCTCCTGCATGGCCACCCGCAGGCCCTCCTCCGCGGCGTTGCGCTTGGCGAGCTCGTCTGCTCCACGGCACAGAGGAGATAGGGCACGGAGGTGATTGCGCGGAAGAGGACCGGTAAGTACCGAGGCCGATTGGAGCGAGGGGTATGGTGGGGAATAGCTATGGTTGTGAACCGCGAGGAGTGTGCCAACACATGCGTACAGCTTGGGAGACGCTAGGGGTTTGACTTGCCCGCGGAGGTTACTGGGTTACTGCTGCAGCCCCCACAACTTCCTCCCCCCCTCTCTGAACCCTTTTTGAAGCTCCCCGCGAGCGTACCCTCCGCGTTTCCGCACCTGTGAGCGTGCTCAGCTGCTGCCTCAGCTCCACCGCCTCTACCTGCAGCCGCCGAACCAGGGGCGTGTACTCCGACGTCTGCGCTGCCGCATCCGCCAGCAGCACCTTCACCACACGGGCAGGAGGCTGCAGCTGGTGTTGCACGTGTTGCTGCTGCTGCTGGGATGACGCTGGCGGTTGGCGCTGGTCGGTAGCAGGTAATACATCCGTTTCGCCGCCGTGCTGGTGGTGGTGGTGCTGTTGTGGTGGATCGCAGGCGTCACTGAGGTGCTCAGAACCCACATCTCCGTCGCTGCTGTCGCCGCTGCCACCACCGCCAGCCTTCGCTCGGCGTGTTGCTTGCCAGTTAGCGGGCGCCCGCGTCTGGCCCTGCTGGGACGGCTGCTGGGAATGATGTGGCGGCGGCGGGGCTGCCGCTGCGGGTGGTCCTGCTGCTGAGTAGCCGGCTTGCAAGTCACCCGGTCCGTCTGGCCCCGCGGACACATGGTGGTAATCATGATAGTTCTGTTGTTGTGGATGATGCAATGTCCGTGGCGTTTGCAGGCCATGCGAGCGCCAAGGCCCCTGCGGCGGCGTTTGCTGCTGCTGCTGCGGGTGTTGCTGTGGAGGCGGTGGTGGGAAGGAGGGTGGCGGTACGGCCCTGCGCAGAGGTGGGCTACCCCGCTGGTGCGAAGCTAGAACACTGTCGTGGGATTGCGCCTGGTAGGCTGGCGGAGGGGCGAGCCCAGCAGCCTTCCCGGCACCGGCCACAGCAGGACGCGCTGCAGCTGCCGGTGGCACATGGCGTGGTGTGCCCTGTGCGGCTGGTTGCTGCGCTAACTGGGGAAGAGGAGCTGGATCGAAGCTTTGCAAGCGCATAGCTGCGTACTGCTGTGCTGCCTGCATGTCGTACGGCGCTGCCAGGGCTTCTGCACTGCTCAGAGCGTCCAGCTGTGTGACGTGCGTTAGCACCGTTGCCAGGGCTTGCAGGTAGTTGGGAAGCTGGCAGACGGGGTTGCCTGCAACTTGGAGCCAGCGCAGGCTGATGCATCCTACCAGGACGGAGAAGGACTGCAGGTTGTGGAGTTGGTTGTGTTTGAGGTTCAGCTGTCGCAGCTTGCAGAGGGGGCCTTGCAGAGCGGATAGGCCAGTGATGCTGGTAATGTAGTTGTATGACAAGTTCAAGTGTTCCAGGCTAGAAAGACCATCAAGTCCCTGAACCGTCGGAAGCCGGTTGCTGGCAAGGTTGAGTGATGTTAAGCGGCTTAGGCCACGAAGCGACCCAGGGTCGATGCTGGCGATGGCATTGGAGGACAAGTTCAGCTCTACAAGCTCCGCGAGGTCCTGCAGACCTTCGATGCGCGTGAGGTTGTTGCCATGGAGACATAAGCTACGTATCCCACGCAGTCGATGAAGATCCGGCACCTGGCTAATACTCAGGAGACCCTGGCCTATGCACGAGACGGTCGCCCCCGGCTCTGAGTTGCTGGAATTTGTGGCGGAGCTCATATCACTGATACAGAGTTAGCGGTGTTTCTGTGTCAACGGCGATAGTCAACAACGGGCGAGACGGAGCTTGCGACCGGCCATTTATATCTGCGTCGACATGCCCGTTATTTTCTTGTTGCAGATAAAGGTAACATCGAAGTCCAATTACAGACGCTGACAATTTGGTTAGGTAAAGTTGCGACAGACAGGAAATCAAAGCGTACGGCATGCGTAAATTCATCTCGCAAAGAGGCTACTACGGTAACGCCCTCCCCGGGTTGGTTTATGCTTGTCCTGCTGCTAAACAAGGCCGATCCGGTTTTAAAAGCACTGCTTTAACTAAGATGCAGACTGCTCTATCAAGCCGGCCAGCGGCCTTCTCAGGCTCCAGGCTTCGGACGGATGTCGGCCAGCAACGAGTTGCTCCGATCTCACGGGTAGCGGTACCGATGGTGCATGCCGTCGCAGCTGGTGGGTTGAGCGGGACTTGCGTGACTGTTTTTGCCTTGATACGCGTCTCCAGCTCAATTGGGTCTAATAACGATATAAACGCTGTTCGTTGTCTACTATGGAAATGCCTTAACTTTATATACGTTGTGCGAACCGCGCGTCACAATTCGAGCATGCACCTTCTCGCAGGCGCCACGGACACCGAGCGCGTCGACGGGCGTGCCCTTCGCCGGTCTCTGAACCAGACGGGGCGCTACGTGCGTCAGCCTACGAACAACCCTGTTAGCCAGCAGCTCATGGACGAGCATGGCGTTGGCTACTCCACCAGCGGCCTAGTTGCTCAGATGCGCTCCCAGGGCAACCGCTGGAAGCAGGGCGAGGTGTCCGTCAAGCTGGCGAACGCGTATGGCTACTGCTGGGGCGTGGAGCGGGCTGTGCGCATGGCGTATGAGGCGCGCCAGGCGCACCCGGATAAGAAGGTGTATGTCACCAATGAGATTATCCACAACCCTGAGGTCAACAAGGTGAGGGGAGGCCTCCTCCTAGGGGTTATGACAATCTGGCCTCCTTCGGCCGGGCTTCCTCCGGATGTTGGCTGCATACCTTGTAGACTCGTCCAGGACGCCGCGGTTCGTCCTTTATCATGGGCTTCCCAGACCCGTCCTGTGTCGTGTGTAGGGCCACAGCACCATAGCCGCCAGCTCAGCAGCTCTGACCCAAATCGCCTGGGCATGCACCTGCACGCACGCATGCGCCCAAAGCACACAGCTTCAAGCACACGACTGCCGTCCTAACATCGTAACTACGTGTGTACCGGTGGCCGCATGTTGCACTGCCTCCTTCGCGGCTGTTCGAATGCCGCTTACAGCACACCGCACCGTACAATTCATCGGATGTCAGCCGTATCCTCGTCATGAGCAGGGAACCAGTCCTGCCCCGCCTTCCCTGTGAACCATCATTAGTTCCCAAGTGCGTGCTGCCCTTGCCCTTCACCGGACCCCAGCACCTTGCAAGCACCTTCCCACTGCCTCCCTTCCCCTTACCTCCCTCCCTTTCCTTCCCACAGCGCCTGCGGGAGATGAACATCGAGATCATCGAGGACCACGGCAAGGGCAAGGACTACAGCCAGATCGCGGGCGGCGACGTGGTCATCTTCCCCGCCTTTGGTGCCACCGTGCAGGAGCTCAACGACTTCAAGGCGCGCGGCGTGCAGATGGTGGATACCACCTGCCCCTGGGTGGCCAAGGTCTGGAACTCGGTCGACACGCACTCGCGCAAGCAGTACACCTCCGTCATCCACGGCAAGTACTCGCATGAGGAAACCGTGGCCACTGCGTCGTTCGCGGGTAACTACGTCATCATCAAGGACCCCAAGGAGGCGCAGTACGTGTGCGACTACATCCTAAACGGCGGCAACCGTGAGGAGTTTCTGGCCAAGTTTGCCAAGGCGGTGTCCCAGGGCTTTGACCCGGACACCATGCTACAGCGTGTGGGCCTGGCCAACCAGACGACCATGCTCAAGGGCGAGACCATGCAGATCGGCAAGATGCTGGAAGCCACCATGATGCAAAAGTACGGCGCGGAGAAGCTGAACGAGCACTTCCTGCTCATGGAGACCATCTGCGACGCGACGCAGGAGCGCCAGGACGCCTTGTACGCCATGGTTGCGGATCCCGAGATTGACTTCATGGTCGTGGTGGGCGGCTTCAACTCCTCCAACACGAGCCACCTGCAGGAGATTGCGGAGCACAAGGGCCTGCCGTCGTTCTGGGTGGACAGCGCCGAGCGCATTGACGTCGGCAGCAACACCATCCTTCACAAGCTGGCTCATGGGGAGCTGCGGGAAACCGCCAACTGGCTGACGCCGGGCAAGCCCATCACCATCGGCATTACCTCGGGCGCTTCCACGCCGGATCGCACGGTGGAGGAGGTGCTGCACAAGGTGTTCCAGATCTACGATCCCGCGTTCGGGGGCGTGGCGCCCAAGGAGTGTGGCCGCCTTGCAGTGCCGGAGGAGCATTAGAGGGAGCGCTGTGTGTGTGGGGGGGAAAAAATAAAGAAACACTGACACTGTGTGTGTGGGGGGGTGCTTGGTGGGTGGTGGCGTTGGGGTATACAGTAGCGGCTAGGTCGGCAGAGGGATGTGGTTGCTTGACGAACGGGGGGGTGTACAGGGGTAGACAAGGATGAGGACGTGTGGGCATTGGGGATGAAGGGGTGTGTAGTAGGGTCAGGTGCTGAGGATGCACGTTGATGTGGCAACCCGTGGAAGTGCTGTGTTGCCAGGAGGTTCTTGGGTGTAGGGTCAGTTGGACGGCGCGAGACCGCCTGGTGTATCGTGCAGCCGCTCTTCCTCGTGTTGCTTTTCGTCAGTAGGGGCAGGAGTTGTTGGCACTGCTGCGGGTTACATCGGCTTGTGAGCAGCTAAAATGTTTCCTGTGTCACGTTTACCTAAGAAACGTAGGTTGCATGTCCTGATGTGCGGGACGTTTTGCACGACACTGTGGTTGATCTATGTTGGACCTGTCTGGCTTGGAAGGCAGGAAGGCTAGCTTACAAGGCAAGCGGCTCTCCTTTCTGGTCGGTGAACAAACCCCGTCTATCTATTCCGGCTTTCCGCGACTGTGGTTGTGGCTTTGCTGATGTGGGAAACGTTTGTTCCGTCCTGTTTGTTGTTATCGTGGAGGCTTTTGGCCATGCTCGGATGCAGGAGGGCATGTACTGCCAGACTTCAACTGTAAAGGCGTTACACTGCTTAGACGTGTCGAATGCACCGGCACGACACCTGCAACACCCATCGTACCTACACTCCCCCACACATCTCGCAGCGCAAGAGCAATGCAGCCAGGACACCTTGGTAACACCCACCACCTGCAAGACAGCCTGCATTCCTTCTGATGACTCCCACCCTCACGAGCGCCGCACATAGATCTTCACCGCGCGCTCCACCATCGCACGCCACTTGGTTGCACTGTCCTTGCCCCGGCCATTCGGCCCACGCAGCGACGGGAACTCCGTCGCCTTGCCCTGCGCGTCCAGGAACACGATGTTGAGTGTGTCTCCGCGGCCGCAACTCAGGATCTCCCCCGCGTAGGCGTCATTGAGTGCTGTTGCCAGGTCGCTGCGTGTCTGCAGCGCCTGACGTGACAGCTTGATGCCCCAGCGGACGCCGGCATGGAAGCACTTGACCATGCGAGGATCTGTTTTGAGGGCATGTGGCAGAGAGGATTCAGTAGGGTGAAAAAAGGGTTAGAAGAAGCACCAAACAAGGAAAAGCACACTGCTGAAGGGTAAAGAAGGCGACTAGGCTTATACACATGGGGAAGCATCTCTTAGCAGCCAGCTCTGTACATGAGATGGGGCTGACTGTTAGAGCCCAAAGCCGTGTTCCTCGTAGCCGTGCATGCGGCCTCTCATGAACTACACCACATCTCGTTTTCGCGAACCAAGCAGCACGGTTGGAGTCGCTATAGTCCCCATCTGCCCCACAGTCCTTTCCTGTGCAGTCACAAATACCCAGCCGGCCAGCCCCTGGACTTACCAAGCACCTGTCCCGAGGCCTTCGCCTGCTCCTTGACCGCATTGCTCGCTGCTGCAGCAGCCGCCTCCAGCGGGTTCAGCGGCGGCTCCACCTGCTGCTGCTGCTGCTGCTGCTGCGGTAACACCTGCTGCGGCTGTTGGCGGTTGGGGTCTGGTTCCACTGCTGCCACGGGTCCTGCAGGTCCTGCGCCTGCCGCTCCCGTCGCTGCCCCTCCGCCTGCCTGTACCGTGGCAGCAGCAGCAGCAGCGGCCGGTTGGGTGCGTGGCCGCTCCTGCTCCTTGGACTCCTGCAAGGCAGAAACCGTTAAGTGACATACGCAGGCACCAGGATTCTGGGATGCTAAGATGATGTGGAGATCCGCATCGTTCTTGCGCATGTGCAAGCGGCTCGTTGCCGGTACAACTGCCGGCTAAGGACGTCCTGAAGCATGGATCCTGCGTACTTGGAGGCTTGATGATTACACGGTATGCCTACTGCGTGTCTCCCCCTTGGCCATGTGAGATAAAACAGCACCGGCCGTCACCCCGAACACGGAAGCAGCCGGGTACCCGCACGCAAAGCCCGCCCCCACCTGGTGTTGCTGCGGCTGCACCTCCGCCTTACGTCCCGTTGCCTGATCAGGCCGCCCCGCCGCTCCTGCTCCCCGCGAGGCCGCCGCGTTACCGGACGTACCCGCATGCAGGGTGGTACCCCCGCGCTGCTCGCGATCCCTCTCCCTCTCCCGCTCCTTATCCCTCTCCTTGTCCCTCTCCTTGTCCCTCTCCTTATCCCTCTCCCTCTCCTTGTCCCTCACCCTCTCCTTATCCCTCTCCTTGTCCCTTTCCCTATCCCGTTCGCGCTCCCCGTCACGATCCCGCTCCTTTCCTCGGTGCCGCTCTCGCTCTCGCTCCCGTTCTCGGTCACGCTCCCGCTCCCGCTGGCGCTCCCGTTCCCTGTCGCGCTGCTGCTTGGCGAGCACCTCGCGGTCCGCCTTGCTGCCCTCCCGCTCGCCTTTGCTGCCGTCGCGGTCATCCCGGCCGCCTGCAGGGGTGGTGGTGGCAGCGGGAAGCGGGTCGTGTCCTTTTAACGGCAGCTACGCGGGGCTACCATAGGGCCTCCCTGGAGGCTTTATGGGACAGCCTGGAGCTAGACGGATGTAGCGTAAGCCATGGAGCCGTATGGATGGATGAGGGGATGTTTCACCGTTAAAAGCTTGGGCAGATGCACGAGGCTACTCGGCGGGACATCCTATACATGAGAGGCATTTATACGTTGTAACGGTGTAAAACCCCAACCTGAACACCGCACACGTGTGGGTTGTCGAGCACCTTTCAGCCCCAGCGCAGACCATTCTGGACTCCGCAGCACGTACCACGGCATCCCCAACTCACACAGCTGTAGCTTGTAAACGTACCTCCCTTATGCCTCTTGGATGCCTGGACTCCTAGCTCCGACTGCGATTCGGAAGCTGAGGTCGTGCTCCCGGATTCGTACTCCTCCTCCTCCTCCTCGTCCTCCTCAGAAGCGCTGTCTTCCACGTCCCGCGCCTGCCGTTGCCGTTGCCGCGAGTTATCTCGCTTGCCGCGGTGACTGTTGCCGCCGCTGGTGCCCGCTGTGCTTCGGCCACGTTCCCGCTCGCGGTCGCGGTCGCGCTCCCGCTCTTTATCCGAGCGCGATCGCTTTCCCAGCCCCCCGGCCCCACCAGCCCCCTCCGAACGTGTGTCCCTGTCACGCTGTTGCTGCTGTTGCTGCCGTGCCGCAGTGAGCGCGTCGAAGGAGACCCCGTAGGATGGATTGGCGCGCCGCGAGGTGCGCGTGAGGCCGTTCAGCTCTCTGTGCAGTTGGCGTATAAGAGCTTCACTTTCAGGGTCTATATCGGCAGCCATGCCCGTTAGAAGTCGCAAAGTTGGTTAGCGCTTGTTCCTCGCAGGGGGCCTATCGTATGTTGCTAGAAGACAAACAATTGCGGCAATAAGCAGTTTATGAAATCATCGTTTGAGCACTGACTGGATGGTATGATTGGAAGCTTTGCATTTCATCGCCAAACGACAATTGCAGTAGATACATAATTTGTCAGAACGCGGCATGGCTCTTGTTGCCTTATCGATTGTTTACGTAGGGCCGTCTGCTGGCCCATAGAAGTTTAGTTGCTTTGCAAAGGCTTCTATTTTCTAGGGGGCTAACATCCTATTTGTCTGCCAGGGCTGAGGCCCTTTGGCAGCCATGTTTCTTTACTCCCTTACTCTAAGTCGGGCCTCTGGCATTCAGGTAGGGAGGCTTGCGGAACTCTCTTGCCGCCATACTTGACATCTTTCGTTAGGAACCGTTTCTGGGCAGTCACTATGGTTTGATCAGCCTCCTATAACAACACAGCATCATATCATGTCCAACGAATGCGTGGCTGGGACCTAACTGCCTTCTTGCGCTGCAGAGCGCCGTGTATGGCAACTTCTCAGCGCCCAAGGCGCAGGAGGTGGTGGTGTCGCGCGGGAAAATACTGGAGTTGCTAAGGCCTAATGAAAATGGAAAGATGCAGACCGTGGTGGCGACAGAGGTGTTTGGCTGCATCCGCTCGATGGCGGCAGTGCGCTTGACAGGCTCCAACATGGACCACTTGGTCGTGGGTTCTGACTCCGGCAGGATCATCCTGTTGAAATTCAACAAGGATAAGAATGTCTGGGTCAAGGTGCACCAGGAGACCTTCGGGCGATCGGGGTGCCGACGCATCGTGCCTGGCCAGTATGTGGCAGTGGACCCCAAGGGCCGTGCCTGCATGGTGGGAGCCGTGGAGAAGCAGAAGTTCGTGTACGTCCTGAACCGCGATGCAGCAGCCAACCTTACTATCTCCTCTCCGCTGGAGGCACACAAATCCCACCACATTACCTTCAGCATATGCGGCATGGACTGCGGCTTCGACAACCCCATCTTCGCAGCCATAGAGCTGGATTACGCTGAAGCTGACCAGGTGAGGACAAAAGGGATGTACTAGTGGGCCCGGGCAGGGGTTTGGAAGGAAAGGACCCATGGGCCGCACATGCCCAAGCAATGCATGTGTCCATGTCCGCGGCAGCTCTTCATGTCGCCAAGCCAGACTCGCATTTCCGCCGACGTTCACCAGTGCAACCGCTTTCCTACTCCAATACAGCGCAATGAGGCTTCCGTGTGTGACACGAAGCCCATACCGGCCACCTACCCTACCAGCCACGTGGCACCCAACAACCGCCCTTACAGCACCCCCCCCCCTTCCACCCACCCCCACACACCCTATCATGCACATGCCTCATGCCCTACGCCGCATGTCCCACCCACCCACTTACATCCCACGCACCGCACCCCCAGGACCCCACGGGCGAGGCGGCCTCCATGGCCCAAAAGCACCTCACCTTTTACGAGATGGACCTGGGTCTGAACAACGTGGTGCGCAAGTGGACGGAGCCGGTGGACAACGGAGCCAACCTGCTGGTGGCGGTGCCGGGCGGCGCGGACGGCCCGGGCGGCGTGCTGGTGTGTGCGGAGAACTTCATCATCTACAAGAACCAGGTGGGGTGGCGGGTGGCGGGTGAGGAGGGCGGAGGGGGTGAGGAGGACTCGGGTTTGACGTGGGTGCTGGGATGGAGCTGCGCTGTTAAACATGCCTTCTAATTGGTACTGCAAAGTGACGGCTTGAGGAGGTGGAGCGCTGGCCTGGGAGGGGGCTTGTGGCTGCGGGCATGTCGGCCCCATAGTGGTGCTGACCCTGCCAAGTCGGCGCGGGTGCTTCAATGGCGCATGTGCAAGAAGCGAGCGTGCTCACTGCCTGCAAGGACCTAAAAAGCAACTACAAGCCACGCATTCCTCTGTAGCTACATGCTACCCAGATCACCCACACAGCTGTTGTGTGGACATGAGGATACGGTCGGAAAGGGCCTTATGGTGGAGGGCGGGGCTCCCTCCCTATGGTGGAGGGAGGGAGGGGGGGGACCCAAGCAGCTTTCGGTTGGGTGCTCCCGCGCGACCCGCACCGGAGACCTGCAGACGCCGCCGCTGTTGCGCTGCGGCCCCTGGAGAACGCAACCCCGGTCCTGACGCTCTGCTTCTGTATGGGTCCTTCAAAGGTTGTCTTAGTCCAGCCCATGTGGTGGTCACATCCCGCATCGCCCACTCCGCATCACCCGCCTGGTATCCCGCCCTCCAGTCAGCCTTTCCTCGCGGCTCAGTGTGTTACAAACCCCACATCTTCTTCTCCTCCTCCTCCTCCTCTGTCCACCCCCCGCCCCTCCAGGATCACGAGGAGGTGCGTGCCGTCATCCCCCGCCGCAGCGACCTGCCGGGCGACCGCGGTGTGCTCATCGTGAGCTATGCCACCCACAAGAAGAAGGCGTACTCGTTCTTCCTGGTGCAGGTGCGCGGGCAGGGGCGCGCGGGGAACGGTGGGGGGGGGCAGGAGGACAGATGAGACCAGATGAGGAATAGGGGACATGGATGGTACCGTAGGGAGACGGCGAAGGGGAAGTGAGGGGTCGGCCGTAACCGGGGATAGTTTCCCAGTCCCCTTCCTGCCTAGTCTTGCGCAGTACACATGTACAGTCTTTAGCAAGTCGGCTAATCCAGAACTCTCCCGTCGTACCCCCCCACACCCTGCCGTACACAACCAGAGCGAGTACGGCGACATCTACAAGGTGACGCTGTCGTACGAGGGCGAGGCGGTGACGGAGCTGAAGATCAAGTACTTTGACACCATCCCGCCCTGCAGCTCCATCGCGGTGCTCAAGACGGGCTTCCTGTTCGCGGCCAGCGAGTACGGCAACCACGCGCTGTACCAGTTCGTGGTGAGTGTGCTCAGCCGGCTCTTGGGCGGTTTGCTTTCTTCGACCTTCCATCCTAGGGTCCGTCGTAGGGTGGCTCCCTGCCCTCTCTCCGCTCCGCTACATCGCATACATGTGCATATGACGTGCTAGCTATACCGTCAACAGCTGCCCCATACACAACGCACCTGTCCATTCGCCGCGCAACCTACCCCCTCCTGGCCGCCGCCCACACATACCGCATAGCGTTTCCTGTGGGACTTGGTCTTCCAGCAATCACATTACGCTTCAACTCACGGCCAGTTTCCTTATACCCACCTGCCCTGCCCCCACCCTTCTCCACCACGGTCAGTCAGTTGTTTCCTCTTTACCCCCCCCCCCCCGCTTCCCCGCCAGGGCACCGGCGAGGACGATGACGACGTGGAGAGCAGCAGTGCCACACTGGTGCAGTCGGAGGAGGGCTTCCAGCCGGTGTTCTTCGAGCCGCGGCCGCTGAAGAACCTGCTGCTCATTGACGAGATGGCCTCGCTCATGCCCATCACAGACATGAAGGTGCGGGAGGGGGGGAAGAGGAAGAGGGGGGCGTTGCGGGAATAGTCGCATGCCTGACACGGGCGCTGAAGGGCATGAGCCAGAATACTCGCCCGTGGTTAATGCTGCTATTGCGTCTGCATGTTGCAGCAAAGTACCCCACCCCACAAACACCACCCCGCTCCTCCTCCTCCTCCCCCTCCTGACTCCCCCCCAGGTTGCCAACCTGCTGAACGAGGAGATCCCGCAGATCTACGCGCTGTGCGGCCGCGGCCCGCGCGCCTCGCTGTCCGTGCTGCGCCCTGGTCTGGCGGTGACGGAGCTGGCGGTGAGCCCGCTGCCCGGCGCCCCCACCGCCGTGTGGACGGTGCGGCGCAGCGTGACGGACGAGTTCGACGCGTTCATCGTGGTGTCGTTCGCGAATGCCACTCTGGTGAGAGCGGCGTGTGGCGCGGGTTGGCGGGATGGTGGTGGTGGTGGTGGTGCGAGGGACATGGGAGGGGAGAGGTGATGCGGTGTGTTCTTTTGCAGGCGCTGTCCTGGTTGCATGCGACGTGGGGCAATGGGAGTGTGAGATGCTGGTAAATCGATATCAGTGGTACGGCAGCGAGCGCAAAACACGGCTGTATCGGAGCATAGTGCATGGGGTGGCGAATGGCTGCGGAAGCGCACGTGACCCTCCCTGCATGCGACCACGCCCGTGCTCCCGCTCCATCCGATTTAAGTCTTAAATATGACCGTCCTTACAGTAAAAGATGCCGCGCCTGACCTTTCGCTTTGGCCCTCCCCTCCCCTTCCCCTTCCCCCCTCGCCTCTCCTCGCCGCCCCCAGGTGTTCAGCATCGGCGAGGAGGTGAAGGAGACCAACGAGAGCGGCTTCCTGGGCACCGTGCCCACCCTGCACACGCAGCTGCTGGCGGACAGCTCCATGCTGCAGGTGGGGGGGAGGGGGGCGGGGCCAGGGGAGATATGGGGGGGGTGAAGAGGTGATAGCGAGTGGGGTGTTTGACAGGGAGTGTGCTTTTCTGCATGGCATGCATGTGCAACCCCCTGGGCCTCTCGTGTAGGCCTCTGGTCCCTGCCCCTTGTGACGGGCCCCTGGGTTGGTTTACAGAACACAGCGCGGGCCGGCCCCCACCCGTCCACGCGGCCTGCGTCCTCCAACCACTTCCTCCCTTCTCCTCCCTCCTCCTCCCCCTCCTCCTCCCTCCTCTTCTCCCCCGCAGGTGTACCCGGGTGGTCTGCGCCACATCCGCCCCGACCGCCGCATCAACGAGTGGAAGGTGCCCGGGCGCCGCAACATCAAGGCGGCCGCATCCAACGAGAAACAGGTACGAGACATAGCTGCACCTAGCTCCCCACCTCCCTCCCCCCTTCGCCGCCATGCCTCCCACCTTGCATGCAGTCCGCGGGTCCTTACCGCAGCCTCACCCTCACCCTCACCTCAACCTATGGTTCAGTCTCTCATCTCTCTCACCCTCACCCCCTCACCCCCATGCTACATGACCCTCCACCTCAACCCTCATGCTGTACAACCCCTCACCCCCCTCATCCCTACCCCTCGTCAGTTTTCCTTATTTTAACCCCCACCCCACCCCTACCCCCCCCGCGCAGGTTGCCATCGCGCTGCAGGGCGGCGAGGTGACCGTGTTCGAGCTGGACCCCGCCACTGGGCTGCTGGTGGAGGCTGAGAAGCGCGACCTGGCTGAGGACGTGTGCTGCCTGGAGCTGCCGCCGGTGCCGGAGGGGCTGGTGCGCGCCTCCTTCCTGGCGGTGGGCACATACGACCAGACGGTGCGGGTGCTGTCACTGGACCCGGGGCAGGGGCTGAAGAACCTGGCGGTGCAGGTGAGCGACAGGAGGGGTGGGCTGGGGGGATGGGGTGGGGTAGGTTGCGGTGTATGGGGTGTGTAGTGGCGAGTATGGTGACGAGGAAGATTGGTGGGGTGGTAGAAGCTGGAGGGGGGGAGATGGGACAGATGATAAGCAGCTGCAGTGGATGCTTGCGAGCGGGCGAGGGTACAGGGAAAGCATCATAGAAAGCGCAGATTGGGCCAAGGCAGGGCCAGTGCAGGCTGCGGGCTTGCAGGAAACGGTCCAGGTGGATACGGCGTGCGCACCGTACATTGTAAGTTACATAGCTACTATAGCCTTCTTATCGCCACCCCCTTCCCTCCTTCCCGCTCCCTCCCCCCCCCCGCAGGCACTGAACTCCGTCCCCGAGAGCATCCTCATGCTCTACAACTCCGGCCCCGGCGCCGACCGCTCCTTGGAGGGCGGCCTCTTCCTGCACGTGGGCCTGCAGAACGGCATCCTCATCCGCTCCGAGGTGGACCGCATCACGGGGCAGCTCACCGACTCGCGCACCCGCTTCCTGGGCACCAAGGCCCCCAAGCTGTTCGCGGCCAGTGTGCGCGGCAGCCGCTGCATGCTGGCGCTGTCCAGCCGGCCGTGGCTGGGGTACAATGATCAGGGGCGGTTCAACCTGTCGCCGCTGTCGTACGATGCGCTGGATTATGCCTCGGGTGGGAGGGGAGAAGGGGGAGGGGGGTGTTGGAGGGCGGGAGGTGGATGGGTTGGGAGGGATGGGCGGCGAGGGGTGGCGGTGAGGGGTTTCCCTTTGAGTACAGGGGGGCAGGGAAGAAACAGCGGATGGGGAGGGTGAAGGGGCTATAGAAGCCTTTGAAACGTAGCTGTACACGTTGACTGTTGTATATGAACCCCACCTCCTCGCCCCACTCACTCATCACCCGCAATCCCCCCCCCCGCAAAAACACACACACGCACGCACAGGCTTTGCCTCCGACCAGTGCCCCGAGGGCTTCGTGGCGGTGGTGAAGAGCACCCTTCGCATCCTGGCGGTGGAGAACGTGGGCGACGCCTTCAACACGCAGGCCTGCCGGCTGCGCTACACGCCGCGCCGGCTGCTGATCCACCCCGAGACGCGGCTGCTGCTGATCGCGGAGGCGGACCATGCGGCCATCCCGCTGGCGGAGCGGGAGGACCTGCAGGCCAAGATGGCGGCCATGATGAGCGAGGAGGGGGCGCCGGTGCAGGTGGGGGGGTGGGGGTGGGGTGCGGGATAGCAGGTGGCGGATTGACGCAGGGTTGGATGTACGTTAACACGCAGACGGGTGATAAGAGATAGCTCCTGTGCATCTCCTCGCCCCTTACCATACTTACTCCTCCTCCCTTTCCCAACCCCCCTTCTCACCCCCTTTACACCCCCCCACCCCAGGGTGTGGAGTTCAACGACGAGCTGGCCGCGCTGGAGGAGCAGTTCGGCGCTCCCAAGGGCCAGCCGGGCCAGTGGGCGGGCTGCCTGCGGGTGGTGGACCCCGCCACGCTGTCCACCGTGTTCGTGACGGAGGTGGACAACAACGAGGCCATCGTGTCCATGGCGCTGGCGGACCTGGCGCTGCCCGCGGGGGGAGCCGGCGTGGGAGGGCCGCAGGGGGGCACCGAGAAGCTGCTGGTGGTGGGGTGCGCCAAGGGGCTGAGGTACATGCCCACAGACTGCGAAGGTAGGGTATGCAGGAGGGGAAGGGAGGAGGGCGGTGTGGGGTTGGTCATGTTTGGATGGAAGGAGCGTGGAATTTAAAGTGTATTCGGTTTATAAGCCTGCTTTGAGCGATGGACGGAAGCGTGGAAGGCAAAGAACGCCCGTGTTGTACTTGCGGGAGAGGATACACCTCCTGATCCAAGATACCTGATCTTACGGATCTCCCGCTGTTTCGTGTCGCAACCCCCCCCCCCCCCCATCGCAGCCGCCTACATCCGCATCTACCGCCTAGCCGACAGCGGCAAGCGACTGGAACTCGTACACAAGACGGTGGTAGACGGCGGCGTGCCGGGGGCGCTATGCGGCTTCAAGGGCCGCCTGCTCGCCGGCGTAGGGCCCACACTGCGCCTCTACGACCTGGGCAAGAAGAAGCTGCTGCGCAAGTGCGAGTACAACCGCCTGCCGCACCAGATCATGAGCATCCAGGTGCAGGGCCCGCGCATCTACGTGGGCGACGCGCAGGAGTCGGTGCACATGATGCGCTACAAGAAGACCGACAACTCCTTCTACATATTCGCGGACGACATCGCGCCCCGCTACCTGACGTCGGTGCTGCCGCTGGACTACGACACGCTGGCGGCGGGCGACAAGTTCGGCAACCTGGTGGTGCTGCGGCTGCCGCGGGAGGCCTCGCAGCAGGTGGGACACACTGTGTTGTTTGGGATCTGCTTTCTGGCGCGGACGACCTCGCAATCCGGCCCTTTCCCAGTGCCTCGTCAATACATTTGCAGATATGCTTAAATTTGCACCCGGCTGAAAATCTGCTTATCTAGCATATGTCCTTCCTGTAGAGTATACCCAACCCGTCCCCTCCCACCGCCCCTCTCACCCGCCCCCTCCTTCCCGGCCCGCAGGTTGAGGACGACCCCACGGGCGGCAAGATGGCCACTGCCAGCGGGCGGCTCAACGGCGCCCCGCACAAGCTGGAGGAGCTGGTCAAGTTCCACGTGGGCGACTCCATCACCTGCCTGCAGCGGGCGGAGATGCAGGCGGGAGGGCAGGAGGTGCGGGCGGGCTGCGGGGGCGCATGGGCCTGCATCTTGTTGGCTGTTGGGCTTGGGATAGGGACTAAATGCAGGTGAAATGTCACAAGCGGAGAGCGTCCATGATTTGTAGACTGTGTGGGATTAGTGGGAACGACCCTAGCGCAATACCGCTTTCGTACTCCAGCCTGCCCACTTAACCCTTAACCCGGCTCTCCTTCTCAAGTCTCGCAACCGTTCTTCTTCCTGTCCTCCCCTTCCCTCCAGGTGCTGCTGTACGGCACCGCCATGGGCGCCATCGGCGTGCTGTACCCCTTCTCCAACCGGGAGGACGTCGACTTCTTCGGACACCTGGAGATGCACCTGCGGCAGGAGCACCCGCCGCTGTGCGGGCGCGACCACCTGGCCTTCCGCTCCGCCTACTTCCCAGTGCGCAACTGCGTGGACGGAGACCTGTGCGGCCAGTACGCGTCGGTGAGTGTGTGGGGAGGGGAGGGGCGGCGGTTCTGGGTGGCGAGTTTGGGAATGCGAATTGGGCGGGGTACCGGTATAGGTTTCCTCGCTTGGGTCACCACGAGGATAAGGGGAGTGCGCGGTTGCGGATACCAGTGGCTTGCAACCTTTGCTGCCCCACCAGGTGTGCACGGAGACACCGGTACCTTCACGACACGCTCCTTTGCCCTCGCGGCTCGCTCTCGTAATACTGTACTGAGCCCCTGCTGTGCCCCTGCTTGTCATGTCCTGCGTGCGCAGATCCCCGCCAAGAAGCAGCAGATGATTGCGGAGGCCATGGACCGCACGCCGGGTGAGATGCTTAAGAAGCTGGAGGACATCCGCAACAAGATCTTGTAGACGGGCTGGCTGGCTGTGCAGTGGCCATGAACTATAGGATGCTGCTGCTGTCACCCCATGGTGGTTGGGGTGGTGGTGGTTCTAATTAGTAGTGCTTGCTTTTGGGCGCTTTGGGCAGCGGACGCGCACGTTGTACATGTTTCTCCTGGGTGTGGTACACGCGGGCTGGAGCCGCCTACTCACCACGTCACTCAGGGAGTTGGGAGGGAACCGAGTTGCGTGGGGCATGGGTCGGTCAGGTGCTAGCAACTGAATGGGGGGGGAGTGTTGACATGAGCCTCTAGGGGTGTGCAGCCGGACTTGAGGAGTTGCATAGGGCTGCCATTTGTTTCATTATCTATGACGCCGCTGTCTTGGGGTGCATTTGAGGCAAGGGGGCAAACCCTGAGGCATCGGCGAGAGTGCACATGCATGTATGTTTCTTTTACGCTTTACGCTAGGTAGGATAAGAACTATTGGGTTTGGGGACTTGCATTTGTTTTCCGGGACAAGAGCCTATGGGCCACTCAACTCCCGCTGATGAGCCAGCCGTGGAGCAGGCCTGGTTACCAGCCCCTCTGGTTGGGCAAGAACATACCGGTATTCAGACCCATGGGACTTCAACGACCCCTGCAAACTGATTTTCGAGGAAGGTGGGCCAGCTTGAACGCGCGGTGGGTTGCCACAGTTGATGGCGGGTACACGCCTTTGATGGATGGAGCGGAGGTGTGCGAATCTGGCGTTGGAAGGCGCTACGGCGCCTACCACCATACTTGTGCCTCGTTTGTGGTCTTCGGACAGTACTGATGTACTGTGAAGAGCGTGCAACCCCCGCATGACAGCGACGTGAGGCGTGTGCGGTTTGTGGGTGGGGTGCGTCTTTCGGCGGGCTACCGTATCGTGCCCTGCCGCACAGCAGGCCCAGTTGGGATTGGTCTTGGCCACACATGTTGTAAGCCATGACTTGCAATTACCGGTAACGCTCCACGTTGCCGGTACAGGCGTTGAGCACACAGGCCACTGATCGCCCCATGCAACCATCGAGATAAAAGCCCTAGGGGGCATGCGAGGTGCCTGGTCCACCTGCGTACGGTAATCTGTGTCCCTCTGATTCCCTGACACACGCGTTTGCGGCATGCTCAAGACAGTCCGTGAACCGTGATGGTCTTAAAAAGCCCCAAAACACGTATTAGGCACTACTTGCCTCTTAGGCAAGTACAGGTACACGGTCTCGACATCAGCACCCACCGGAATCGAATCTGTCGTTCCTAGCCGTCGTAAGGGATCACACCTGCCGCTACCTACCACAGTTTTCAAATGCACAAAACGGTATCCTTGCTGCCATGGATGCCTACCAATGCCGGTACACCCGCCTGCCCGCCCTCCGCACCCAGCGAGGTGCTCAGCGCTATCCAGCCGGCCGTGCTTACGATGCCGTCATCCTTCCGTGCGAGAATGTGGCCAAACCTCAACTTCACACTCGGATCCACGCATTCGTAATCACCTCAACGCGCTCGCGGCGCTCTGCATGAGGATCACTGGGTAGCTGCCGACCAGGAGTCCCATGGCGCCTAGGGGCAGGCAGGAGAAAAAGCCCAGGCGGGTTGGGAGGGTTACACGTAGGAGAGAGGTAAGGCTGCCCTTGCATGCTGCTAGCCCCGATCGCCCTGCTCGCATAAAAGCAACGTGCATCGGAGGCAGATGCCGACCCGTGAAGCACCAATCCCCTCATGCTGGCGGAAATGCCATTGCGTTCCCCGAGTCCCGCACGGACAGGCACACGAGGCACACCACAGCGGACGTCGCAGGTGTGGCTGCAAAGCGCACCGTGAGCTGCCGCACATCATCGTACCTTTCCTGGCCGCATCCAGGCTCTCGAACTCCTGTGGACTGGTGGTGTGCGTCAGGCAGGAGCGGGCCGCAGCCAGCACGGCCAGGTCATCCCGACACATGCGCCTGGGGGGCAGGGGGCAGGCGGAAGGAGGGCGGAAGGAGGGCGGCAGAGTACCCGGTATGCTGGGGAGTGAAACCCTGAGGTCTGCAGGGGAGCCCGTGACCTCGGACAGATTCATGCCTTCCGCATCCAAAGCGCATTCACCACATGCATGCACACCCCTGGTCAGCCCTGGCCTCTTGGCGGCCCTCCTTACAGAGTAGCCCTGCCAAACGCGCCTTTGCCACCCGCCCTCCTCATGAGCACGGTGGTCACATTCAGCTGGCAAACCCCCTCGTCAGGTCCTCACCCCACATCCTCCAGACATTCCACCAGCTGCGCAACGCTCACACCGCCCGGCTGCACCGCGGCGCACGCCTCCGCGCCCGGAGCCTCCCCCAGCAACCGCCACGCCTCAACCACCAACCGCTCCTGGGTGCCGACAACCGCCTCCGCCTCCGACCTGTCGGCATTCAGCGCGGAAGACAACACCGTTCCAAGAAGTGTTATAAGGCTGGGAGGAAGGAGGGGCGGAGGGACCCTAGTGGAAACCGCGAAATCGCCGGCACCACAACAGTAGCGCGTGCATCTTACAGGTTGGTCTGTATCCGCCCAAACACCGCTTCAAGCGCCTTAAGCTGCTTTGCCAGCACCAGTTGCTGCAACTGCTCGCTGTTGGGCAGGCCCGAGAAGTTGCGACGCTCAGACAGGATCTGGGAGGGGCGGGAAAGACGGCAAGGTAGGAAAAAGGAAAGGTCAGATGGGGAAAGGGGGGTAGGTAAGGCCGCAAGGCCGCTCGTAGGAATGGGGTTTCGCAAGCAGTACGACGGATAGCCCGGTCCCCATTAGGCTGATTAAGACAGAGCAAGGGTAACATACCAGATAGATAGCCGGAAAAGCTCACCGGAAGGCGGTTTAGGATGTTTCCAGCGTTAGAGTAAAGCCTAGCTGCTGTTTCCTGCACGCGGATACGGCGTTTCGGTGTCGAGTTAAGCTTTAGTTTTGATATAACAAAAGCCAATAGTTTATGCGCGGGCACCTGGAGTGCAAGCCACTTCTCAAGGCAGTCGTTTGAGCGCTGTAAGACAGCTTTGAATTTAGCAAAATCCATTACATCAGAGGGTCTAAACGCATACTCTTCTGCAGAAAATCCACTGTCTGTGGCGCTCGGAGGCCTGGGTGCCTGGGTCGCTGGGAGCCGTCCGGCGGTTGGCCAGTGAACGACAAAGACGGTCTGCGTAAAACAAATTCGCGTCTACACTGTGTTCAGCAGCATGGTGTAACGGATGCATAAACAGCAGGTATATGCACTAAAGCATACGTAATAGGGCGGCAATTTCCTCAGGAGTGTAGTTTTGCACGCCTAGCACAATGCTACGATAACGTTATGTCCCGATGCTCGACTAGGAACATGGTAAACAACTGTGCTATTCAGTCTGTGAAGCCACCCACTGACCATCTTGCGCGATCGTTATGCAAGCATAGTTCCGGTCCATCCTTAAAGCGACAGCGGACGGGCCCGCAAACCGCGCGAAGGCTACCTCCATTGCCCGTACCTATAAGAACGATTACTCTTCAGGTCAGCGTCTCTACCACGCTAAGGCGGTCTTCGCCATCCGACCCGTCGTCCACGCAACCCGAACCTCCTCCTTGCTCGTCTAGCAACTCTGACCCAGTCTGGGATGCCGTATACATCGGCCACATGCCCCTGGTGGGCACCGAGGCGCTGCTGCAAGCCCTGCCAGCACCTCTTACCGAGTGCCTGCTGCTGCACGCCTTCGTGGCGCTGGGCAGCAGCTCACAACCCGAGCAGGTCGGTAGTCGCGGGTCGGTGGACTCTCGCATGGTTCCAATGGGTGAGGCGCATTCAACCCCGATTAACGATTAGAGGTACATCCGGAGCTGGATGTCGAATAGAGGCGTTTCGAAGGGTTAAGGCAGTTGTGGCAAGCCCTAGGGTTTAGGGCTTGCAAGATTAGGTGGTGCACGATACCGGTATTTGGCAATCTTAAGCCACGTCGCCGTCTCGACCTACAGTGGCAACCCCTCCTTGGAAACGCCTGCTGTCTGCCTGGTCCTCCTTTGCCCTCGGCAGTGCCTAGTGGCAGACTTCCTACCGGAACGTCCCACTGACCCCGCCACTGCCATGACAGTGGCAACGGGCGGCAGCGTGCAAGGTGGGTCCGGCAATGGAAGGCAGATGACGCGCCTTCTGACCCATGGGTCCCAATGATCCAACCCCTTGCGGCTACAAAGGATTTTCCCTATTCAATAATCCCTAAAACTTCAAGACGTAAAAATTATCGTTGGTGGCGCGCTGCGTTGCAGCCCTAACATGCCGGGTCGATGAAGGGTTGTGGTGCGATGGCGGTACCGATGACGGCTTTGGGGGCACCACGCTGTTTGCGCCCTTTGCGGTTGTCAATGGGTACCGGTTTGCGACCGCAGGTGTGGTGCGGGTCCGGCGCATGCGCGGCTGGATCCGAGGCCCTGCCGTTAGAACCAGGTGAGCAGTGGTGTGGAGGGATTGCAGTGAGCCACTGGAGATGGTACCTGAGGGCAGGGCGGGTTTAGATTTTGCACATCGCATTGATGACCGCGGAGGCTGTCTCCTGTCTGGTGGTGACAACGCAATGGTCGCAAAGCAACATTTGGCGCGCCCAATGGTTCCTTTCCATGTGTCTTCCACCCTATGGAAGTATGGATGCACCTTTAACCAATAACGACAATCACACGTACGACTGTCGGTCGTAACCATCACCTAACATGCAGACTTGTAGCCCAGCTGAAGCCGCCTCTGAGCAATCAAGACGCGTTGGAGGCCCTGGCAAACTTCAACAGGTAGGTAGGCTGTTTGGTTGCTGCTTTCTGTTCGGGCCACGGCAGGGCGGCAGCAGTGATGTGAAGCAATGCAGTGTCAGCTCAGGCACCGCGAGGGGCGAATAGCATTTGTCGTTGGCGAGTTAGAGATCTACTCTCAGCTGGTGTGTGCGGGTAGTCCTACCTGCATCCCCACTGTGTTTTGAACTGTGCACAGCGAACGTGCGACTACGTAGGGCCACAGCTACCGGATCATTGGCTGTAACCGCAAAACGAACCCCTCCAGACCCCGCGTCCTGCCTCATACGCTCCTCACAGGCGCTGGGATACCAAGCTGCGGCCGGGCAGCAATGACTGCACCCACTACACTGCGGCACTGCTGGCGGAGTTGAGAGGTGCGGCTGGGGAGGTGGCCGCGTAACAGATGTGATGGTCGGGAGATGCTGTGAGCGTTACGGATTGGGGCATGAGTCCGTAAGAAATACGGGTATGTATTGAGTTAGGTGTGATGTTAGTCGAGCTAGACACAAGCTGGTTGGCAGCGACTCCGGGTGGGCACTGCGGAGGGCGGCATGCACGCAAAGTCGCGCGACCCATGCCCCTGTACCGGTATATCATCTTCTTCACATTTGTTCTCTTTGGCTTCTGCGGCCCTTATGGATCGTGGAATGTCACGGAGCTTGTTGGATTTCATAGTATGTCCGGTTACAAGGCGTGGCTTTCTGGCCCCCCCGCAGGTACTGGTGCGCCCGTGTGTGGCGCGCCAGATATGACATAGGCGGATAACCCTGTAAGCAACCCCTGGCCCAGGCAGACCCACGGGTCAGATGGCCACGCCTGTCCACTCTCGTACCACCCAGCCAGTCCTAAAAGAACGAGCCGGTGAAACCCCGCCCGTCGTCCCCATCACTGCTGTCCTCATCGTCATCCTCCTCCCCATCTCCTTTACCCCCACCAGCTTTCCCCTCTCCACCACCGCTCTGTTTCCCTCCTTCCCCTGCGCCCCCCTCATGCTGATCCGCATCCTCATCCTCATCATCGCTTCCGTACGACAACCCCAGTAACCCAGCGCTGGGCCCCCCGCCAGCTGCACCAGCAGCAGCGCCCGCAACTGCAGCCGTCGTTGCGTTGTCGTCGGCTCCTTGCGCCCCCTGCTGCTGCTGCTGCTGCTGCTGCTCCTGCTGCCCTAGGGGCTGCTGCTGCTGCTGCAGTGGCTGCAGCAGAGGAGCGCCTGGTTGCGAGGCGGCGTGTCCTGCAGACGGGTCCGAAGACACTGATTAGTTCGATCCGTAATTGATAGCGGCGGGTATCGGTAGCAACTTGAAGAACGGTGCTCCTAAGCTGGAATTGGACCTCTTCCCCTAAGCCCATTGGCTTCCTTCCTCCAAAGAACCCGTTCATGCCCAGTCATGAGACATGGACAAGGTTTGCGTGCCCTTCGCCGCCAACAGGAAGTTTGTGCAAAGGTATTCCACAAGCATCTCAGGCCACCCCCTCGTCCTTGTGACGTGTGCACTGCAAGCATTCAACAGCTACCCTGCCCCGGCGTATCGGCGCCCGACCAAGCTGCCTCCGTTGGCAAACCCTTCCCACCTGCCGGCGCCCTGGGCTGCGGCTCCTCGGGGGGGCGCAGCGAGATGGTTGGCGGGGCCCAGCCTGGCAGGTGGGGGGGAGGAAACCTAGTCATACAGGGACCGAATGGCACCGGATGAGCAAGCAGCCAAAGCGTCCTAGGAAGCCTAATCCCTAGACTCCATTGACCAATAAGAGTTTGGTTTAAAATTGAACGCAGCCCAACCCAAGTGCCCAACCCAGTTCCCAACAAGCCACCCCACGGCTCACCCCCAATGGTCAACGGCTCGTCGCTGCGAGTGGCTGCTGCCACGAGCTCCTCGTGACTCAGCACGTCGCCACGTCTACCACTCGCCCCACCGATAGCAGCAGTGGCGTCGGAGCCGCGCCTGTGGCGATGGGGCGGGAGGAGGTTTACCCATCCTTGTCAGCTACGGCACACACATCTGCACCCAGTCGCTCGTTTGGGTGCCACTCACCCGCGTCCACCGCCGCGCCCAGCATCCCTGCCGCCGCCACGCCCGCCGCCACGACCCGCCATTGCTCCCGGCGGTTGCTGCTGCTGCTGCTGCTGCTGCGCTTGATGCTGCTGCTGTGGTGTGGGTCGAGTGGTGGCGGCGGTGTTGCCGTGCCCTGCGGCCCAGGCAGCCGCTCCCAGCGCGGATTCCGTCATGTCCTGATACCTGCGGGCGGGAGGCGGGTCTGACGGATGAGACTAGCACCCGGACAGCAACCGACTCGCGGCCAGTGTCCTTATCACACGAGGCATGCCCCCGCTCTCCCACCGCTCCCCCCCCCGCCCGCCCGCTCCCGGCCACCCACACTGCCCGCCTCTGCGCCGCCAGCTGCGCCTCCCGCTGCCGCTCCACCGCGCGCCGGTGCACCGGGCCCGCCAGGTGCTGCTGGTAGGGGGCCTCACTGGGGAAGACGGCCTGGGGGGGAGGGAGGGAGGGTAGGGAGGCGGGAGCAGGGTAGGGCAGGGGGACAAGGCTGAAGCAGTGGGATGCGGTGGGGGTGGGGGTGGAGGTTGGAGAAACAGAGCGCCACACTGCGGCGAGAGGTTATAGCAGAAAGGATACATGGGAGCAAGGTGGAGAAGAGTGCTTTATATGGGGCCTGGACTTGTGATCAGTTGAGGTTAGAAGCTACATACGTAAAGTGCAGGTACCATGTCACGAGGTGGGGGTTGGACATGATGCTATGTTCCCCGGTACCTGACAGAGGTCGCAACGGAAGGTCTCAGCGGGTCGAGAGGCTAGGGCCGCGGAGATCTCGGACAGTCGGGCCACAGCGCTGCCGGCAGCGTTGCCGCTGCCCGGGTTCGGGCGCTTTGCAGGTGGGCCTGCGGGAGGAGGGGGAGTTGGTTTGGCATGTGAAACATGGTATGGGCGTAGGTAAGGGGCCTAGGATAGGGGGCTGGGCGACGGGCCGGTCAACAAGGGTGGCGTTCTCACCATCGTAAGAGCCGTACTCCCCGGAAGCCTCCGCTGCTTCCTGTAATCAACGGCCCCGCGTTAACTGTGCAGTTCTTGCAGATGCTATATTAGGGGTATTTGTATTTGCCCAGCAGGCGTATTTCTTACGTGTCGCTGGGCTTTCTCTGCAATGCGTCGCTGCTCCCGGCTCTGGATAGACCGCTGGAGTTGCGCCGCCTGTGCACTCAGCGAGTTTTGTTTTCTGTCCATAAGTAACTAGCTTTCTTAACTGAAATCGTTGGCGACAATGGCGTATGGAACACTTTAGCTACCGGTACCGCACCAACATGGACTGATGAAATTAAGGAATACGTAAACTACATAGTAAGTGGGTCGTCCATCACGAATATCCTTACTGAAAGGCCCTGAGCCCCAAGCTTCATGCCGTTCGCGGGCATCTGTTTCGGAGCGGGTCCTCGTCGGGGTCCGCGATTGACTTAATAGTGAGACTGCATAAGACCAATCAACACCGTACGCACCGTGGGGATTGCCCCGTTGGCGCTTGTGATCCAGCGGGATGCGACACCTCAGTAACTGTAAGTTTTCCTCGCCCACAGCAGCCCACAAGAGGCTTAACCGTGCTTTGTTTGCACCACCCCTCCATCACATTCATTCATAGCCTCCCATGCCATCATTCTCCAATCCAGCTAGTGAACCCACACTGCCACATACAGCACCCCATGCTCACCCAACCCGCATGTCAAGCAGTAGGTCCGTCACCAGCAACCATGCATGCATCATACATCCGCCTGGATAAGGAAGGGCCCCGGCATCCGCAACGCTGCCGTTAGCTGCTCTACCAGCCCCTCCACGCTGTCCACACGCGCCCCCCGCACCCCCATGCCGCCAGCCAGAGCCACCCAGTCCAGACGCGGGGAGGACAGGTCGGTCAGCACGCGGGAGGCGGGGCCCATGCCCGGCAGCCGCTGCCGCGCGGCCTCAACCTGCGGGCCGCGCCATGGCACGGTCATTCATTCAAGAAGGAAGCGCAGATTTAATGAGGAGGCAGTCCAAAAAGAGTCGATTATCAGCTGCGTTTGTTGGGTTCTCCGACAGAGCAGGAGAAAGTTAACATGGGATGCCGTGCGCAGCCGTACGTTTGCCGTCTTACCTTCAGGATGGCGTAGCTGCTGTTTGCGCAGATGATGGTGGTGACCGGCAGCTGCTCGCGAGCTTGGCTCCACAAGGCCTGTGGATGTACGGAACGTGACCCTTAACGTGTAATGTAGCAAAACGTCAAGACCGTGCACGAATCCAGGGCAATTGGCCCCACACGTACCGGTACCACGGCAGCAATTGGCCTTCAGCTTTATAGCATGTAGTATGCAGAATGTACGACAGCCCAAGAGCCGTACTGCATGTGCCGTACCTGAAGGCTGTACATGGCGCTTCCGTCGGCCTGCAGGTTAATGACCCGCCGCCGTTGGGGCAGCTGGGCTGCCGAGTTGCTGGCAGCAGCAGTGCTGCTGCCGATGTCGCTGCCGCTGGGGCTGCTGGTTGCATGCTGATTCTGCTGCCGCTGCTCCTCTGCTGCAAGCGCCATCGCTGCTCCCAGAGCCATGGGAGGTCCGCTGCCGATGGCACCGCCCGTGAGGGTGAGGTGGACGAAGGGCGGGCAGCCCTGCGAGCATAACCAATCATGGCAGGTGGCAAGGTGATGAACGTACCGTGTCATGAGGCTCCGCGGTGTGTATCGTGTGTTGCATCATGGCAGGTAGTGGGCGCAACACCCGGGCTGAGAAGCAGGTTGAGGCTAAGTGCAGATGCCTCAGAAGGCCTGTTGTACTTGATAGAGTACGCCATATTAACCTATCGCTCCATCGCAACTTGCTTCCGCCGGGCACACATGAATTCATGCCTCCTGAAAACGTCATGCTACCCTCGGCCAGTGTTTCCTTGCGGCAGTTTATCCAATCCCCTTGTACAAAAGGATTGAATGCTGGTCCAGCCATCGCCCCCTTGTTCAGCGTATCCCTTGTGCCTACCTTGGATGCCTCCCAATAGGCCGAGCCACTAGTCAACGACTCGTCAACCACCACCACTCCCTCCGGCTGCAACGCCGCCACCACCGCACACAGCGCCGCCGGCGTCAGGCGCCCCGGCGGGGGTAGCGACGGCCGCCGCGGCGGCACGAAGACGCCGCCGCAGTTCACCAAGGGCTTGACAGCAGCGGCTCGGGGGCCGACGGCGGCGGCGAGTCGGCGGAGTGCCGTGGCGGCGTCCCAGCCGGCTGCCGCCAGTGCTGCGGCGTCGAACTCCCAGATGCTCGTCCCAGCGTCCTCCTCGGGCCGCACGAGCCGACCCGGGGCACCCCTGTGGTTTAATAATCGAAGGAGCGCTTGGTTCCAAAATGACAAACGAATTGTGATTTGTTGGATGTAAGCCTGTGCATTTCGGCATGCGCTATGATGATTAGCGAGTCATGACATTAGAACACGAGTGCCGGTGGTCGTGGTTCTTGGAGAGGGCATTCACAATCGGAGTGACCCGTTACCGATAGTTGCCGCCTTGCCCGAAGCTACGGATGCTCCAGAGCCAGTAGCCAAGGCAGCATCTGGCTAACATTGTTGTTCACTCACTTGTAGCCAAAGTTGGCAACCGGCGGCTTTGTGTCCACCATGACCAGACAGCCGTAGCGAGCCAGCTCCGCCGCCGCCTCCTGCGGGAAGTACGGCAGGCGACGCAGCGCCGGCAAGCCCGCACCTCGGTCCACTCGCGCAAAGGCGCCTTCACATAGCAGTACGGCACCCGTGGCGGCGGCAATCTGCCCCGCCGCCAGCAACGCGCCGTCGGATGCTAGCAAGGCGTCGCCGCCGAGGTATATTGCCGCACCGGCGCCGGCAGGGGCAGCTGCCGGGGCGGCCGTGGCGCTAGCTGATGAGCCCTTGGCGGCGGCGGCGGCAGGCGCATTCAGGAGAGCCGCTGCACAGTCCTTGACGAACGCCTCGGCGGCTGCGACAGCCTCGGCATCTACTGCTGGATGCTTCGGCCACGATGGCGCTGCTGACTTCGCAGCAGAACGAGGAGTTGGTGGCGCTGCTGGTGGTTCCCAGCTTAGGTCGTGCGGCACGATAACGGTGACGACGGAACCTCCCACGGGCTGTACGGCAGAACCTGGTGTCGTCGCTGTCGTCGGCGTGGGTGTTTCGTGGCTAGGCGGGATTGCTTTTGTCGCCGCCAGAGCCGTGGACATCGCAGCCGCCAGATCAGCTGGGCCACCGCCATTGCCTCCACTGTTGCCGCTGCTGGATGGAGACCCCGTCCCTGTCGTCACCCCCGCTGTGAGGACGGCGCCGGATACCGCCGCTGCAAGCATCTCGATGGGACTGTTCAGAGGCGGGTCGTTAGCTCGGTGCCAGGTAGCCATGTCGCCCACCTGTGCAAGTGGATTGGCAGGGGTGACATTTCTCATGCAGCAGTGCATAACACAGCATACCGGCAGAAGACTTAGCAGCCGGGGTGTGCCATAACCATAGCACCCGGCCGCCATCCCCACATGCGATGTGCCTGTCGTACGCTGCACAGCACACCCATGCATGCTCACCAGGTTAATGACGGGGCTGCGAGCGCGGCGGGCGTTGTGCAGGTTGGCGAGGCCGTTCGCGAGGCCGGGACCCAGGTGCAAGAGCGTCAGGGCAGGGCGCCGGGCGATACGCGCGTAGCCTGCGGGGCATAACGATAACTTTGACGAGCGGAGTTGAGGGGGTTGTGGGAGGGGAACGTTCCCTTGCAGGCGGACTGCTGGATGTTGTGCACGGCCAAAGCGGACTGTGAATACGACTCTAACCCCCTGTCAGCTACCATTTCTGGGACGCCCCTTATACGCCAAATGTCAGCGCAGAGCCACCTTACCATCCGCTGCCCCCGTGGCCACGGTCTCATGCAGACATAACACGGGCCTTATGGCGGGCCAGACAGCATCCAGTGCCGAAACCAGCCACATCTCGGTCGTGCCAGGGTTGGCGAAGCAGACGTCAACCCCCGCCTTAACGGCAGTGCGGATGATTGCTTCTGCACCCGTGGCGGGAGCTTCGGCTCCGGTGGCGGGAGAGAAGTTAGACGCCATGGCTGTGTGCTCGTTGTATTGGGGACCGTATAATTGCCCAGGGACAGTAGACTGTGACTCGCTTGCCCGGACGAGCCTAGTTGTCGCCGCTGTTGGCGGCAGCGAGTGCAACCGTTGCTACTGCTGTGGATTAGCTGCTGTGAAATCAGCTGGACAATGGGTGTTGCAGCCTTACAGGAGCTCACAGGAGCCTCTCGCGTTACGCCTAGGCGCTGCTGCTAGCCGGGGTGTTAGGACACGTGGGAGTCCGGCTAGCTCGGGGCCCTGAACCCAAAGGAACTACAGATACTAGTCCTGCTGAAGCGAGGGCATACATCTACGCCTTGGCAATTGTGCCGCTGGCGTGTGCCGTTGAGGAGGGGTGCGGGTCTTGGACCGGCCGAGCGGTTGAGAACAAGAGAGCTGGAGTGGGCGAAGAGGGACGGCTCAACCTGCTTAGCGTGCTGCTAGCAGTTCTTCTTTGGTCACTGTTTGGGCACGCATTACGACGACGAACAAGACGAACAAACCCGGCAGCTAATGCTCTGCTCTTTGTCGTAATTGGCGTTTCGGCTCGGCCGAGACGCCGAAGCTCGGTACCTCGGCTAACCCTAGCGTAGGGAGCTATGCAGCCACGCCTCTCTCTCTTCTTTACCGGGTGTTTTTGGACATTTCTAATTGAAACGTAGCAAGATACACGAGGCTCAGTCCAAATGCCGGCAGGCACCCGGGCAGCGGCCAAACCTGCACGATAGTTCGACCTCGGTGCCAACACTCGGTGGTACTCGGTGCCAAGATGTCCGTGCAATTTCGAAGTTACTTTTTCAGTAATCACACCCAAACCAGGGCAGGTCACAGCTTGGGAAGATCAACGCTGCGCCCTCTCGCTGCTCACTCAGCATAAACCCTTCTCCCATATTACAGCAAAGCACCGTATGCCTGCCATCATGCGCGACCGGGGACGGTCATACCGGCAGGCGAACGCTGTTCCGGGCGCGCAGCAGTCATGCCGTCTTATGGCAATATCTTGATGACCCGGCATGGATCAGAATTGGACTGAGGATTGTGCACCTCCTGTGCTCTCCCCTCCACAGCACTGCATTACGTAACAATACACACACGCACAGACACACTTCATGCAGTTTTGCAGTGCAACAGCCATGCATGACCAACTAGTGTGCCGTATCGTAGCATAAGTAAAGTCTACTGGTATAGCCCCAAGCGCTTCATTCGTAACAGCATAAACATAAACAACAGCGTTTGTGTCAACCTCTTCCTCTGCATTGCATTTGGGCCACACCCCTCGCCGCCTGCCCCATGAATGAGCAGCGGTGTCCATCCAAGGAGTGCGAATACATACATAGTCATACACAGAGACTGCAAAAACTTCATGTCTTGGTGGTCTAGCTAGCAACATTGAAGGCACTTCAGTCGTACAGTTCGGGTCGTGCGCAGTAAAGCCAGGCATGCGGCTGCAGCCTCGGTCCCTAGCAGCGGCACCAGCGGCACCATGCAACCAATTGTCAACGCAACCACAGGAGGGGCAATGCTACCGCCTGGCAGATCAACACGCTGCGTATACGGTATATTGACCCTTCGCAGCTCATGAGTAAATTAACGCCTGACTGTCATGGAGCACTAGGCCGCCCGCCTAGCCTGTACCTCTGAGTGCTGTGCAGCCTTTGCAAGCCCTCAGTTCCCAGCCCCACGGGTCATAGCTAGCCCAAGACGCTTTCACCGTACTTGTGCAAGTTGTGTAAATGATGAGGACCGAACACGCGAGCTCCCTTCTGAGGCCCCAATCGTTCCGCTGCCGCCGGCAGCGCCAGCTACAGAAACACCAACCTGCGGTGTACTGCCCGCGCCAAATAAGATAGGCGAGCTGGCGGCGGCGGCGCGATTGCCGTACAACGCAACCGGCCCGGCGTTGCCGCTACCGCGTGAACCGCCGCTGCCGCCGCCGCCGCCGGCAGCAGCAGCGGCGGCAGCGGAGACCCCAGCGGCGTAGCGCGAGGCAGCAGCTAGTACGGCGGCGGCGGTTGCCGCTGACACAGAGGGCACACCGTTGACGTTGCCGCCGATGCCGCTAGCTCCGAAGGCCCCTCCAGGGGATGACGCGTGCGTCCCGGACGGGTCAGACTGCGTGGCAAATTGAAATAGGCAGGGCATTCAGGAGGCAGGCTGTAGAAGGAAGAAGTGCAGATACGGCAGTTCAGGTATTGGACCGTAGCATAGCAAAGCTAGGATGAGGTAGTGGCAAAGGAAGGCGCCACGAAGCACCAGAACGCACACAACAGCTGATGCGTATCGAGCTACAGACCAAGGAGAGGCGTCAAGGGAAGGCATTGCTAAAGAAACTTCGAAAGCGCACATCCTTGTCCGGTGGCTCCCCCCCTTCTGAGGGACCACTTCACCATTCCTTGCGCCTTCTCCGCTCCCAAGAAGCAACAACACGCCATCACGCAACCCACACATCATCCCCGCCGGGTATACCTGCTGCTGCACAGCGCTGTAGCTGCTCAGGTAGCCCGGCATGGAGACGTACGGGTAGAGGTAAGGCTGCAGCGGCAGCTGCTGCTGTTGCTGCAGCTGCGTAGGGGATGCTGAGTTTGGGTGGTAATGGTAGGGCGGTTGCTGCTGCTGCTGCTGCTGCTGCTGGGCTTGCTGCTGCTGGAGCGAGGGCGATGCACGTTGCGAGGAGTAGGCAGCCGGGCTCCAGGGCGCCGTACTGATGTTTCCGTAGCCAGCAGTGGCGGCGGCGGCAGGAGATACTCCCTGCATGGAGTAGCGCCCTGGCGGTGTTAGAGCGGTGCCTCCATTGCCGTTGGCAGCGCCGCCGTTTGCACTGCTGCCACCTCCTCCGCCCGCACCGCCACCGGCACCGCTGGCGCTGCTGTAACCGAGCGCGTTTGCCGCTTTGGCAGGGCTGAGCAGCCCCAACTGCTGCAAAGTGCTGTACGAAACAGTCCGGGTGTGATGGTACGGCGATGGCGACAGGGGGCCGCCGATCGGGGCGCCGCTAGGGTCATCCCAAGCCGTCGGCACTGCTGCCGCCGCCGCCGCCGCTGCAGCCGCCGCTGCCTGCTGCTGCGATGGCGACGGAGGCGCACCTCCTCCTCGGTGTTGCTGCTGCTGCGTCGCAATCGCCGCCGCCGCTGCAGCCGCCGGCGATGGCGCCGCGGCGGCGGCGGGCGGTCCCGGCCCGCCTGCGCCCCAGACGCCGCTTCCCGCCACCAAGCGGGCCAGTGCGTCGCTCGCGAGGTCCGGCGACTGGGCCTTCGCGGGGAGTGGAAGGCACGGGAGGGGCCGTGGGATGCATGGGTTGATTCGGGGTTATGAAGGGGTCATTAAGGACGGGCAGCCATGCATGCATGCCTCTACAGATGCGGTAGGATACCGGTAGGTGCAGTCACAGAGAAGCAGGCAGGAAACGAAGTGAGCATGCTCGTGCGCGCGCAGCGGCGAAGCCAGCATGTCATGGTATCAGGACAAGAGGCGTTTGCTTGCATGACGCGGTTAAAGCAACACTGCGGTAGCGTACGGTAGTACCGTTCCCTATATGTACATTCTATGTTCCAGGTATCATGGCAGGTATCATTAGGTTCGTGTCAGAAGCCAAACAGCAATGCGTAATGAGTATGCACACATGCAAGCTCCCGATACTCGCCCCCATGCACACCATCCAATGAAGACCATAGGCAAACTAGGAACCACTGTCAAACGAACTCCTATTGCACCCAAAAACCGAAAGGAGTCCAAACGTCATATGCCGTCTCGCTCCTGCGCTCCCTTGCCGCTCTCTCATCCTCTCACGTGCATTCCCACTCCGCCTCGCCACATCTCTCCCAGTATGCGTCAAGGAAGGCACCCAGACCCTCCTATCCACCTCTCCGTTGCAGCAAAGGACTGCGAGGACGACACGCGGAACCATCACGTAAGGCCGAGGGTTACGTACGCAATCTCGCACGTCCCTTCGCGGATCAATACAGAACAAGTTCTGGAAGTCTAGAAGCCAGCAACTAGTCCCAAACACAGAGCTCCAAGTACAGAAAGAAAGCAGTTTATTGAGGACTGGGAAGCATAGCTAGTTGAGCGGACTGGGAGACGATGAAACGGCAATGCACGCGACAGTGCACATGACTCCGATCAGGTCTCCCACAGATGCCAGCATCGCCCGATGGCCCCCAACATACACACCATCACCGCTAAACTTGCACTTGTTTCTTTCCGTTCTTTCCTCATGACTAATCAGTTACGGCGTCCACAATTATCTACTCATTATTTGCCGTCGCCATCACACCTTTCCGCCTGTCAGCATGCACACCTGCATTATAGTATCTAAGCACAGACCGCTGGAAACAGCGGATCAAACTGCATGCCTGGTTCCAGAATCCAGTGCACAACATCGGTGGCATTCCCTCCAGAGGGGTATGTCAGGAGACACGGCCCTGCGCCCGCAAAGCCCCTTAGCGCACGAGCAAAGGTCAACTCCTGGTGCTCTACACAAGGATCCCCAAGCTACGCCAACACGCAGCACATACCGGTACAAAGGCAGGCATTTGTGCCAGCCCAGCAGCCTCGCACTCCTGCTTACTCCACCCCCTCCACTCTCCTTGCCCATCCCAACGACGCGGTGCGTTTTCACGCATTGCTAAGTCTGCTAGTGCGGCTTACCAAGTGCACAATGTAAGCCTCATTGCTTACGATGCTCCAGCTCCAGCTTCAGTGCTCGCTCACTCTCACGCACACACACTCTCTCACCCTGCCCAAACTCAACCCAGTCTCCGCCTGCCTCACTCCCACCGCACCACACAACAGCAGCACCCATACATGCAAGCACGATGCCCACCACACGCCCACCCACCCCTAGCCTCTCTCGCACACGCCCACCCATGCATCACACTCATCACGTCCATCCAACCTTATGAGAACTCGAAGCCGCCGGAACTGCAAGGACGTCGCTGTTCATCCGCTGCAGTGCGGAGCCCCGAAGCGCCGCCATGCGTAACGAAGCCACGCCATTCGCGGCCGCCGCCGCAGCAGCGGCAGCAGCGGCCGCCGTGCCAGATGACGAAGCTGGCCCAATGCCGCCCGCGATACCACCGGCAGCCATCGCCGCCACCGCCGCCGCCGTCGACACCGTGGCGGCAGCCGCCGCCGCTGCTAGCGCCGCCGGCGATTGAGTTGTACGGCTGGGTGATGCCCCGCTGCCGAGGCGGCGGGAGCGCATGAAGGCAACGTTGGGGCCGATGGAGGTGGTGGTGGTGGCAGCGCCGGCGGTGGCAGCACTGGTGAAGGGCTGGTGCGAGGGGCTGGCTACAGGGTCCTGTGCGCGTCGGCCGCCTGCGAAGGGTGGGGCAGACGGAGGTAAACGGAAGGCAGCGGTTGCGAAGGGTGTTTGATGACCCGTTGAGGATGGGGGCCGGGCCGGAGTCGGGTAGGTTGCAAGCACGTAGCGAGCGCTTAAGGGCCCCCCGCTAGGTTATCCCACGCTCATGAGGGAGCTCCCCATGTACCTAGCAGCCCCTAGCACCCCACCTGACGTCGGGACGTAATCCATTTCGTACGGCATGCCGTACGGCGCTCCACCGCCGCGACCCATCGGCATCGCCCCAGCCGCCGCCGCCGCTGCCGCCGCCGCCACGGCTGCCGTACTGGCGCCAGCACGGACCCAGCCGCCGACCGGAGGCACCATGGCCGGCGGCCACCCGCCTCGGCCATTAGCCGCATTGCCGCCGCCGTTAGCAGCGGTGCCCCCACCAGCGTTGCCGTTACCGCCACCGTTGCCACTACCCCCATTGCCATTGCTGGCAACGACGCCATTGCCGTTGCTGCCGCCTCCAGCCCCGGCGGTTGCGCCGTTAGCACCGTTACCGTTGGCGATCTCCCCATTGTAGTACGGACCCGCCGGGTCGGCGACCATGAAGAGGCTGTAGCCGTCGTCGGGGCCGCCTAACCCCAGACTTAGCGTCTTACCCTGCACGGCACGATAGACCTGCGGAGGGAAGCCATGTAACGGCGGCCGGGTTACGATACGTGCCGTATAGCGTCCGGTGGTAGGAAAGCATCCGCAGGCACGGAGCAGCAACGGAAGCTCAATGTGCTCAAGGAACGGTGTGGCGGCACGATACATACCGCCATGTACACCAACAACCACGTCCACTCAAGACGGCAGCTCCAGACGTCTTCGAAACATCGCAACCCACCCGCAACCCTTCCCGTATGGAACCAGCCTCCGTCCCACCCTCGTCACGGCGTCACATGCCCTCAACCTCGACCCAACGTCCCATACATACCTTTGGCGGCGGCGGCGCCAACCTCTCCCGAGGAGTGGTGCTGTTGGCTAGTCGCGCCCAGACGGGCACGCGCGGCGGCCCCGACGAGGGCTCACCGCTGCTGGCGCCTGCGGAGCGGAACCCCGGCCCGGGTCGTAACCGCGCAGGACTGACGCCGTCCTGGGCTGCGTGGGGATCTCTGTGGCCGTCAGGATGGGCAGAAGCAGTAGCGGGGGAGGAGAAGGGGAGAAGGGGGGAAGGGGACGTGAAGGGGAGGGGAAAAACCGTATGACAGCCGGGAGCGAGCGGGATGGAATCAGGGGTATATGGTAATCAGGGCTGCGAGAGGGAAAGGGGTATATGGTAAGCGCGCATCCATGCTCTTGCGGAATTAGTGTTAGGAGTGGAAAGTTAGGTGGGTTAAGGTGGAGTCGGGTGACCCGCGGGTCCGAGCGGGAGCTCCTTACAGTTGGCGCTGCGGGCTGATGAGGGGGGAACCCAATACAGGGCCGCACATCTCTCTCGCATACGCCGCGGCGGGAGTGGCGGTGGACGCGCGACCGGCATCGGATCTGTGTCCAGTAGGTATGGAAGCAGCGGCAGCAGCAGCAGGCACACGGCGGAAAAGGCGGGGGCACATAACAGCGGCAGCGGCGGCGGCAGCGAATGGCAAGGCGTTAGCACTTAGAAGCGGTGTAGGTGGACTGCTCATCTAGATAAAGAGGAGTGGCAAGAATATGTTGAAGACGGGCGAAAAGACGCAGCAGCAGTAGCCACCATGAAGCGCTGTCGCCGCTAGGACAGGACCTAGGCTGGAGGAAGGCGGCCGCATGTACCGTCAGGCCGACACCTTTCACCCAGCAAGCGCGCGACCAGCCCACATGCCAGCTGCCGCAGCCTACTGCCCTTCAAACCCCAACACCCGGCATCAGCCCACATCCATCATCACGTCCCGGCTATGCCAGGTCACAGCACAACCCATACGACCTCTCACAGCCCATTGCCCCGTCCGGCTCCCTCCCAACAGTCGCCAGCCATGGGCCCCGAAACCACCCTGCTCACCCAGCCCTCCGAGCTGACCCGCTGATCGGTCGCCCCGAAGCAGCCGCGGACCCGGGCCGCATCCGCCCGCCACCTCCGCCGGCGCCGGCGCCGCTGGTGCGCCCCTGCGCTCCGCCGCCACCCCCTGCGCCCCCGCCCGCCCCGCCTTGCCCGTAGTACCGGCCCCCGGAACCCCCGCCGTTGTTTCTGTCCATGTCGTAATCTGCATTCGGCGGGGACAGCACAAGCGCTTCGTTAGGAGCCGCTCTCAGCTGCCTGCTCATGACCCTCCGAACTGGGCCCCTCCTGCCTGCCCTGCACGATGGCCCCGGGCCCGTCTGGCCTCATCCCCGAGGATCGCATGCTGCACAACTGCAGAGCCCGCCTAGCAAAGCCCCGGTAACGCTACCGGGGTATTTCAGCTGGCGAGAACCACCACCTCCACCACCACCTCCATGAGCCCCAGTGCACGTACCAGGCTGCATGCGGGCTGCACCGCCGGGTGAGCCCCCGTAACCTCCACCCGAGGCTCCGGAACCGGACCCCTGACCGGCCCCTGCCCCGCCGTTCATTAGCAGGTAGTCCGCGTCCTCGTCGTCATCCTGAGTGACACCGGGGTGGGGTCGGGTGAGATCGGGTGAAAAAAGAGAGCTGAAAGGTCAACAGGTCATGTGTCGATTGTCATGTTGCATTTCCTGCATGCCGCGGAAGAACCTGCCGGAAGACGTGCTGCCTGGCCCCAGGTGCCACGGCAGGTTTGGAGAACGCCATCCATACGTCTATTCCCTTTGTTTCCTAACTGAAAGCCCCCTCCCTGCCCCCATGTCTAGCCCGCACCCACCCGCCAAGCCCCCCGCTCAGCCCAGGCCAACCCCAGTCCATGCCTGTCCCAGGCTTGGCCCGCCAACATCATCCCTTCCAAGCCCCCCCTCCCCACGCACCTCAAGCACCATGATTGCTTCCACCAGCATCATCATGCCCGACTCCTCCTCGCCGCCCGCCCCGCCGCTGCCGCTGCTGCCTCCCAGCCCACCGCCACCGCTGGTCGCCCCGGGCCCCGCAGGATCGTTTGCATGTGCCAGTGCTGCGACCTTCGCGAGCTTCTTGCGAGATTTGATGGCCGTGTCGGCTGCGCGGGTGATCGCGCAGCAGGCAGCGTGTGCAGTCATAAGGAGCAGAACTGAGGGGAGCTACAACAGCTGCTGCGTAACAATGTCACGGTGACATTGCATTGTAGCTGCATACGCTTCCCGATCTTGTTGAGGAGGTACTGCCACCCACAAAATGAAAAAGAGCGGCAACTCACTTGGCGTTCGTGATGCGGACGCCTGGCCCCCAGCAGCGGTGTTGGGGCCGACCCGTGGGTCAGAGGGGTCATCCCATTCGTCCACGACGCCGCCTTTAAGACCCGGTAGGAACAGCCGGACCTGTAACGAGAGTGAGGGCATGACGGAATCGGTGAGGGCGTGTAAGCCGCAGGCCTTTAGGTAAACCTGGTGTGGACATTAGCACGGTAGTTCTGCAAGGTCTGCATGCGGGGGTGTGAAGGAAAAGGGACTTCGCTGTTGGATAATTTTGACCCAGATGAGCTTTATTTGTGCGGCGAGTGAAGGGAGAGCCGCGAGGAAGCGGTAAGGAACTACCAGCGTATAGTAGCAGTAGCCAGTAGGCAACCTTAGGCTGACACTGTCGTGCGAGTATTGATATGCGCTTTGGGATGGCGTACCCAAACCCTGCTTCCAGCACTTTGTTTCCGCAGGGTAGGAAGGGGCCAGTACCGAAGTAGGGGTCAGACTGAACGGTTGCATCGAAAGCGGGCGGGAAGGGAGTACTTTTGTTGGGTTATTGTTGGGTTTGGAGAGTTGTAGCAGATCTGTGGCGGACGTTGATGTACATAACACTAATTAAATCGTTGTATGCGGAAATCGAGGAGGGTCCATTGCCATACCCATACGTTGGGGAGAGTCGTGCCACCATGGAACTTGGAAGCAGCCGACTGTCTCAAAGTAGGAACTACGCTTGCTAAGTATTGGGCCTGGAAAGTACTACGATTCAGATACACGAGCGGAGAGGGCTGGCAGGAGTCGTTCTTGCATTTGACCTCGTTGTGCTATATTTGATGCTGGTACTATTATCCATGACAACGTCCATAACGCTTTTCACAGCTACTATATTAACCTTGTTTTCTTTCAAGCCTAGATAGGAATTTCCGCGTCGCGCAAGCCATGGCATATGGAATGACAGCAAGTAAACATACCCTTGTGGCCTCGGCAAGCTTAATACTCCGAGCATTGTAGAGGTCAAGCTCACTAGTTGCAGCTCTCCCTCCCATGGCAGTTGCCGCCTGCCCGGCGCCCGGCCCATTTCCGTCTTGCATAAGCTCCTCAACCGTGGCGCGCACAGCGCCTAACCTAACTACTATAACATATTAAGCGTGCTACGTAATGGCGATGTCACCCAATTTTTACAATGCCTTCTGGTGCGTGCAACACTCGTTACTGTTGTTCCAAACGCGGGAAGATATGTACCTATAGCATACCTTAATTGTATATTGATTAGAGTTAGAAGCTCATGGCATGTCGCTTATGGGACACAGCACGTTGCACGTTGCATCTTCGAGCGAACCAACCCATCTCCAATCAAGGGCGCATGCCCGGTTAAACTTATATTGTAGCTTGCTTATATACAATACTTCTATGGATCTATGTATTTATTTTACTCCTAGACTTGATACAGCAAGCCTTCATTTCACTTAGCTCCAAGCCCCTATCCTTTGACAGCTATACATTCCTAACTTGCATAGTAATTAGCATAGGATAGGCCTTGTGGGTTCCTCTGATTTGTCGCGCCCATATCACTGCAAGGGGCGCATTTGCACCGCACGGGCGGTCGCCCCAAAGCGCCCGCAAGCAAGCGTGCAGACGGTATGCCTTACGACGCCCAGACCCGACCAAACGCTGGCACAGGAGGCGTTAGCAGCGGCACGGCGAACAGTCGAGGTTCAACAGAGCGACCGCAAATGGACCATCCCTCCACCAAGTACCGGGAAATCGAGATGCCCAACCCGGTCATCATGCAACGTGCCTCCTCACCACCACGACCAACGCTGCCCCGGCGTTCGGAGCCACGTAGTTGGAAGGCTACGTCGCGCGAGAAGTACCCATTGACATCCAGCCTTACAGGTACGGGCCCGCAGTCCCCTATTCTTTCCATCGGGGTTACTGCGCACAGCAGGGGCAACCATCGAGAAGGCATGGGAGTGAGCATGGGTTTCTAGTCCCGGCTGCCTGATCTTTCGGCGTTCTTGAGGAAAACCATAAACCTAGCTTCGAAATTGGCGCTTAAAAGGATCCAAGTTATGTGTTGCGGCCCCCCTGTACGAGTGGAACTGGCGGCCAGCCGCAGAGAGCACCTGCACCACCTGCACCAACTGGCCGAATCCCCTTCCCTGTACCTCTACGATTTCCCTTGTCCCGTGTACGGCGTGTATATGTGTGCGGCGGCGGGGTCCTACGGGTCTTCCTTCCGATGCGGCCTGTGGCTGTGTGCCCCCCTCCGCAGGTCCCGGCCGTGCTGGCAAGCAGGGCACCCTGCTAGGGGCCAGCGGAGGCCGCTACGAGGGAGAGGTGCTGGCAGGCAGGCCGCACGGCAGGGGCCGGTACTTCATGCTGAGGGTGGGTCGTCACGGCGTTGTCCAATTGCATGGGTGGTGCGCGCCTTGGATGGAGCCGGAGCCTTTGGACTAGACGGTGGTGCATGGTCATGTAGCTGTTCATTCCGGCTCATTCCAGTATACGGACGGGTCCATACGCTATCCGCATTGCTGTTGCTAGCGTGACCCACATCCCCGCAACCCCCTCTACCCCCTACCACACTCCCAACGCAAGGCCACCCCCACCCCAACCTACCACCCCACGCAACCCTCACTGCCTCCCCAGGACGGTAGCCCCCGCGAGTGGATCCTGCAGTACGACGGCGACTGGATCCAGGGCCGCCGCGAGGGGTACGGCACCCGGCACTACAGCTCCGGCGAGATGTACAGCGGCGATTGGGTGGCCAACCTGCGGCACGGTACCGGGCGCTACGAGTACGCGAGCGGGGACCTGTACGTGGGGCAGTGGGCGGACGACAAACGGAATGGAGCGGGGACGATGTACATGGCTAGCGGTGAGGAGGGAGGGGGGTGGCGGTGTGGTAGGAGCGGGAGGGGGCTGGGGGGGGTGGGGTAGTGGTGGTGAGGGGGAAGGGGGAAGGGGGAGATACGGAGGGGAAGGAAGGGGGCGGAAAGGGACTTGGATGAGGTACGGTAGAGGGAGGGGTTAAGGCCGCTTGACGAAATTTGGGTTGAAGCGGGTAGATGCTTGTTCCTGGTTGGTGTAGATGTCCGACCCACACTCACTCTCCGCCCCTCGCGCCCCGCCTTCCATCCCTCATCCCATCCTTCTAACCCCCTCCCCCTCCCTCCAACCCCCTCCGCCACCCTCCACCCCCCCCCGCAGGCGACATCTTCATCGGCAACTTCATGTCCGACCGGCGCGAGGGCATGGGCAGTCTGTACATGCTGGCCCGCCAGAAGAAGTACGTGGCGGAGTATGTGGCGGATACCCCGCGCTGCGGCACCGTGCTGGGGATAGAGGACTCGGAGCTGGCGCCGCTGCGGGTAGGCGGCGTGGGAGGAGAGCGGGGCTGGGAATTGGGGGTGGTGGGCTGGTGGGCTGGTGGCCGTCGTGGATGATTAGTTTGGGCCTTATATGTATGGCGGTATGGGTCCCAAGTAGTTCCCGTCTTGGCCGAAGTTTCCTAGGCCTCATCTTCTAGTCCGGCAGTCCTGCCTCCGCCCACTCCTGCCGTTCCGTTCCGTCCCTCCCCCCATCCCCCCCTGTCGCCGCAGGGTCACCTCATCTCGCTGGCGGCTGCTCGCAAGCTGGACGCCGCGGCGGCGGGGGAGATCATCGCGCGCCTGCCGCCGCTGCAGCTGCTGCAGCCCTCCAAGGTGCTTGCGGAGCAGGTGAGAGCAGCTGCGGTAGCAGCAGGGAAAGGGAAGAAGCAGGGGAGGAAGCAGGGGCAGCAGCATGGTGGGCATGTGCATGCGTGTCAGCAGGGATGCCCTACCATGCATGGTCCACGGGGTTGTACTTGTCCAGAGGGGCCCTACCTCACCCATCCCCACACCTATCCTCTCCTCCTGAGCAACCGTATCTCTCCTTCCTTCCCCTCGCCGTATCCCCCTCTCACCACCCTCAACCCTACCCCGGACAACAACCGCCCCCCGCGAAACAGGTGGTGGCGGTGCGGCGCGGCCGGCAGCAGGGCGGCAGTCGCATGCTGCGGGCGGTGCAGGCGGCCAGCGGCAACCTGAGCGAGCGGGACATCGAGATGCTGCGACACAGCTTCACGCTCATGGCAGCGGGTGAGCGGGTGGTGGGGCGGGGGTTGCGCGACGTGGGTGGTTGGTGCCTTGGTGGGGTGCTGTCGTACCCGTGGTGCTCTAGGGTGGGGCGGCATGGGGCTTGCCGGAGGGTTAGCTAGGGTTTCCATTGCTATCTCCAGCTAGCTGGGGAATATATGCGTGCTTAGCATACGAGGTGTTCTACTGCCTCTTAACCCATTACTAACCTTCTCCCCCCCTGTCCCCCGCCCCCCATGCAGGCGACGGCCCCGAGGTGGGTCTGCTGCCCCACCAGCTGCGCGAGCTGGTGGTGATGGCGGGTCTGGACCCCGCGGCGCCCGCCACCCGCAGCCTGGTGGAGGAGCTCATGAAGCGGCGGGCGGCGAACACGGTGAGGGGGAGGAGGAGGGGGAGGGTGAGGGGGAATGGCATGCAGGAGTGGGAGAGAGAAGGGAGGAGGGAGGGAGATGAGGGGAGGAGGTGGGTGTGGAGTGTGCGGCACTCATGGGGGCTGGATATTGGTGATGGAAGCCCTCTTGAGTCCATGTGTGTTCAAACCTTACCCGTTCCCCTCAGGGCCGCATCACCTTCGACTCCTTCATGCTCGTGGTGGCTCACTTCCAAGACGAGGCGGTGGCGGCAGCGGCGGCGGCGGCAGTGGACGCGGCCGCGGCGCAAGCCACCGCCACCCTCTCCGCCACCGCCGGCACCCGCGGCGTGCTGGCGGGCACTGGGTTGGCGCACTTGCTTGCGGGTACGGCGGCCGTGGCGGCGGCGGAAGAGGAGGAGGAGGCGGAGGGCGATGCAACGGAGGCGGTGGCGGAGGAGGAGGAAGAGGAGGAGCAGGGTGAGGAGGAAGGCGAGGAGGGTGTTGACGGCGATGGAGCCGGAGACGGGGTTGGAGAGGAGGTTGAATACGGCACGACGGTGACAGTGACGGCGGAGGCAGAGGCGGCGGGTGCGCAGGAGGGAGAAGCAGCCGCGGCGGCCGCGGCGGAGGCTGCGGCAGCGGCGGCTGGGGTGCCGGTGGTTTTGGAGGCTGACCCAGAGGCGAGTGCGGCGGTGGCGGCGGTGGCGCAGGTGCCTGCTGCGAGCGACGTGGTAGAGGAGCACTTTGTGGCGGCAGAGGGGGAGGAAGCGGCGGAGGCGGAGGCGAGTGAGGGAGCAGGCGCGGAGGGAGGGGTGATGGCACCTGAGGGAGCGGAGGGGGGTGCGGAGGCAAGCGGGCCTGAGGCTGTTGCGGAAGCCTCTGTTGCTGACGGGGTGGCTGAGGAGGGGGCATGATGAGGTATGGGGTAGCAGTGGAAGGCGGTGGGGGCTACTACATGGTGGCGGGGTGCTGATACCGGCAGTGGTGCTGGGGGTATGGCATGTTGGATTTGTACAATCCGACACCCCTTCGTGTGCCACATTCGGTGAACCGATTTGGTAGGTTATACATTTATACTGTTACAACTACCGGTATTAGGCTTGGAAGGCAAGGATGGCCAAGTAGTAGAGACAGCAGGAAGGCATTTGTGCATATCTGTAGCCAGCAGGAACTGATGGGATCATGGGAAGATGAGGTGTAGTCGGCCGCCAACGGAATAGGATGCAGGATGTGTGCAGGCGGCTACATACATGCCACGTATTAAAGAGGTACAGGATGGGGACTGACAAGTGGGATATGTGTGCATGGTATCACGAGGTAGGCGGGGCCTGGCAGGTGCGCCGGGGCTGCTCCGAGCGGATGCCTTCATTCTTATCATGTGCCTGTGAACGCAAAGTGCATCAATGGAGCCTGACATGAGCTATGAAGTCCGTGCATGGGGCGCAGGGGCTTCTTAGACGAAGAGCAATGGCTACCGGTATTAGATAGTGTTTTTCGCGTGTTTTCTGTTGGCATAAATACCCTAAATACCATAAATGCAAGTGCCGTGCGCACAAACCGAGTTACAAAAGCGGCTCCACCTGTTCAGTGGGCAAGTTCCCTCTTGCGGCGCATCCTTTGCCCGTTTGTTAGGGCCCCTCGGTTGGGGCCCCGTAATACATATTAGCGATTAGGGACAGCAGCTGTAACCCCTTTCCTCTACACACCAGGAAACGTAAGAAGGGAGCCCCAAAACACCTATATCTGGAATTCCAAGTTGGGGAACCCCTTGGGAATACCCCTTAGCAGCTCTGTTAGTCATGCTCACCAGTAAACCATCAAGGATCAGTGCATGCTGACTTTAGCTGGCAAACTGGTAAGTGGTAACCAAGGGTATAGCCGTTGTGGCTCCTTGATGACATGCACAACGTGAAGATTTAGGTTCACGAAACACCAGTGTAACCTCGCTCGCAACTTGCAGTCTATGAAGCCTGCCCTCACTACCCGCCAGAGCCCTGCGTACTGACACCCCTTCCCACTCAATACGTCATCCCCTCCACACTCCACAAGCAACGCCCATCATCCTGCACTAACCCACTTCCCTCCCCAAGGCCTCTTCCTCCCAAGGGCTGTGCTGCCCTTACCACATGCTGTTTGCTCCCCAACCCCGCATCGCCCACCCCAAAGTGATGCTGCTAGGGCTCCACCGCCCCCATCCAAGAGTCACGCTATTCCAACGCTTGCAACGCTGACCACAGCAGCTCCTGCACCCTTGCTCATTCATCATCGTCAAAGGTGACCTTGGTCGCTTTCGCATGCACGTCCACGTCACGGAAATGCGCGCCGTACATCTTGGACTCCTTCTTCTTGACTGCCGTACCGAACTTGAGGAGGTCCGCGGGCACCTCCTGCCCAGCCTCGCGCAACACGTTGATCAGCTCTCCCGCCCGCGGCTTGTCAGGACCCGCGCAGAAGAAGGTGTGCGCGATGCCTAGGGGGAAATGCGGAGTAAAGCAGGGGGCACGTGGGGGCAAGTCAGGCACATGACTATACGTGCAACGTAAGCCATAACCAAAACATATGTGGCTATGTCTAAGTTGGATACGAGAGGGACGGGGCAGTGAGTAACCAGGGGAGAGAGACGACCCGGTAGCTTTTAAAAAGAGAGTTGAGACAAACTGAAGGAGGGCCCATGGATTGCTCCCAGTGTGGCGCCAGTAGTTCCCGAGCCCTCCTGCCTCTCCTCCCTCCCCCTTCTGTCTCTCCTCCCTCCCCCTTCTGCCTCTCCTCCCTCCCCCTCCTGCCTCTCCTCCCTCCCCCTCCATGTTGCTCACCTGTCTTGCCCGCGCGGCCGGTACGCCCGATGCGGTGCACGTAGTCCTCCGTGGTGAGCGGGAAGGAGTAGTTGATGACCACCTCCACGTCCGGGATGTCCAGACCGCGAGCCGCCACATCCGTTGCAATGAGCAGCGGCACGGTGCCCGCCTTGAACTGCTCCACCGCCGCCGTACGCTGACCCTGGCTGATGTCACCGTGGATGGCAACCGCCTGCGGTAGTTGTGTGACGCGGTAGTTGGTTGCGTTGTGTTTTGCGTTAGTTATGAGCGCACTTCACCATGTCAGCGCTTGGAGTTACTAGTGAAACGTCGGTAGTAGTAAACGTTGCATGTGGCAAGCGCGTTGTGAAGTCGCTCCTGCCGCAACAGCCTCCTGCCCCCTTCCCCATGTGGATTCTCCAATAGCTTGGTCCTGTCTTTTGGCCCATGCCCCCCTGCACTCCCCCCTTACCTTCCAGCCCTTGCGTGTGAGCAGCTGCTCCACCCGCGGCGCCTCCTTCTTGTACAGCACAAAGATGATAACCCGGTTCTTGCGCCCCTTGGCCCCGTGGTACTGCTGCAGCAGCTCCAGCAGACGCGCGTCGCGGGCGGGCGGCTCAATCACCTCCACCCGCTGCGTGATGGAGTGGCTGGCGGCCAGGTCCTGACTGCCGATGGTGACCTGGGGGGGAAGGGGAGGGTGAGGGAGGGAGAGAGGAGAGGTGAGAAGGAGGGAGGTGCCTAACACGGGCGCTCCTCCACCCATACTGACGTCCCCTGCCGACCAACCCCTTTCCTCCAGCGCGCGAATATCCTTCCTTTCCGCTTCTTCCTCTCTCCCTAACTTCCCTTAACTTCCCTTCAGATGCTCTACTCCTCCTCCAACTTTTGCTCCCCTCGCGTCTCATTCCAACCTTCTCTTCTCCCCCCCTCTCCCTGCTCTCCCCTCCCTCTCCCCACCCTCTCCCCGCTCCTACCTTGACCGGGTGCGACAGGAAGGCCACCGCCAGCTTCTGCACCGCGGTGGGCCACGTGGCGCTGAACATGAGCGTCTGCCGGTCCGCGCGCGTGAGCTTCATGATGGCGCGGATGTGCGGCTCGAAGCCCAGGTCCAACATGCGGTCCGCCTCGTCAAGCACCGCGTACGTCACCTGCGCAGGTGGGGGGCGAGTGTGTGGGGCGTGTGGTGGGGTGAAGGTAGGGAGTGCGTTAGGGGGAGCATGTAGCGAGGGAGAGGCGGAAGGAGGAGGAGGAGGCAGGAGAGGGAGAAGGGCGCGTTGGCTTCCAGGACACCCCTTATAACAACCCACCCGCCCAACCACCCACACTCACCTGGCTTAGCTTGAGCACCCCGTCGTTGAGGAGGTCCTCCATGCGCCCCGGGGTGCCCACAACCACCTCCACACCTCCCCGGATGGCGGAAATCTGGCGGCGAGGAGGGAGAGGGAGGTAAGCGGGTGACGTGGGGTTGGACATGCCGGTTGTGTGATTGCGAGCTCATAACCCCGCGCGCCGTTCTTGTCCCTGTAACCACTTCCTGAGACCACCCCCATCCCTAAGCCCCCTTAAAAGGCTCTTCCCAAGGTTAGTCGGCTCAATACGCCCCAAAAACCCAAAGGCAGCGGGACAAACGTCAGGGCGCAAACGTCAGGTGCCGTACACGCACCTGGGGCGGCTTGGGCACTCCGCCGTACACACACACCGTGTGCACCCCGCACTTGCTGCCCGCCTCCTGCGGAAGAGGACATAGGGGGACAGGAGTTGGTTTGAATTGGTTGGTTCATCAGCGACGCGAGCGGCGGCTGAGCGTTTTGGCGCTCCTCCACCTCTCCAACTCCCCATCCTTGAGGAGCGAAGTGAAGAGCAATGCCTGGAGCGTTTCCACGTTTTTGATTCCCCGGCCCCCTCCAAGCCACAACCCACCCTATCCACCCCTCGCACCACTCGGCACTCACCCCGAGCACCTTGGACATTCATACCCAGCCCCATGCAGCCCGTGTGCCCCTCCCCCTCTGCCGCCTCCTCACCTCGAGCACCTCGTTGATCTGCAGCGCCAGCTCGCGAGTGGGCGCCATCACGAGCGCAAAGGGGCCCTTGCCCGCCACCACCCCGCCCTCCCGCTGCGCAGCGATGTGTCGCAGCATGGGCAGACCGAAACCCAGCGTCTTGCCGCTGCCTGGGGGGCGGAGGCAGGAGGGGCGGAGGCAGGAGGGCGGCGGACACAGACAGGGTCGGTACCCTAGGGTTGCTGGCTGGGTTCACCAACGTCCTCCATGCCAACCCGGAACTCCACATCAGGGGCATCACTAACCGCATGCATGCATGCACCCCCCATCCAACCTCCCGCCCCCCTAACCCCCCCAGCCAGCCACCCACCCGTTGCCGCAATGCCGATGAGGTCCCGTCCCTCCAGGATGATGGGCCAGCACTGCGACTGGATGGGGCTGGGCGCCACGAAGGTGCGGGTGGCGTGCAGCATGGCAGCGGGCAGCCCAGTGTGCTCGAACTTGAGGAGCGGCTTGATGTCGGTGGGGCCGCCTGGGGGGGTGAAGGGTGGGGGGGGGAGAGGGGGGTAAGGGAGGTGAAGGGGGTGGGGTGGGGTGAGAGGAGAAGGGGTGGGAGATGGGAGAGGGAGCGGTTGAAGGTAACATGGTTTGGGGTAACATGGGTGCAGCTGCCCCTTCCAGCAGCATAAGTAGTCCAGGGTGCTTGACGAAACAATCCGCCGTCGGCTTCGGTACACAGGAGTGACAGCAGGATCTGCAACGGAATTGCTGAGGTGTCGTACCTGCAACGAAATCGTCATCGGGACCAAAGCCCTCCACGGTGGTCTCGCGCTCCGCCCGGACCTCCGCCACCTTGGCCGCGCTCAGCGCTGTCACCTCGGGGTGCTCCTTGTACAGCGCCTTGATGATGGGCTTGCCGGCTGATGCAAGCGAGGCATCGCCCACCTCCGCGTGCTTGCGGTGGTGCTTGCTGTGGTGGTGGTGGTTGCGGTGGCCGTTGGCGGCGCCATCGGCTTCAGCAGCCGCGGCTTTCTTTTGCTTCTTAGCGGCTTTGCCGTTGGCAGCGTCGGCACCGGCGCCATCCTCCTCGGCAGCAGCTGCAGCCTCAAGGTCGCGCTTCTTGTCGCCCTTTTGCTTCTTTTGCTTCTTGCCGTCGCCTGCCTGCTCCGCTGCGGCTGCAGCCTCCGCAGCCTCGGCGGCTTCCGCCACCAGCTTTTCGAACTTCTTAATCTTCTTGTTGAGGCGCGCCTCCTCGTCGCGCGCCTCCTCGGCGCTCATGCTGCCGGCTTGCAGCTGCTTAGCTACCTTGGCAAGTTTCTTTTGAAACTTCTCCAATTTGGCAGCGGCATCCTCCGCCGACATGGTAGCAGCAGGGGCGAAAGAGACTGGGCGCTGCGTGCAACGGTAACCTGTTACGGATTAGAAAGGCAAACAGCGGTTGTCAGCACTAATGGGACCTTCAACCCAAAACCGTTTTTGAAACGGTATGCTACTATAGCATGTAAGCTGCGCATGTCCTATGGTTTCCAACCTGACAACACCCTAATGTGGGTATGCGACTCTAGCAGGAAGGCGGTCTTCGGAGGCATATCCTTTGCCAGGACTATGAAGCTACGACTTTGCAAAAATCCGAATGTCGAGGTGACCCTATCGTTGCAAGCGGATAGCCGCCGCCCCTTTCTCTCCGCCGCACGCGAACTGCCAAAGCCCCCGTACCTGAGGCGACCACTCGCGTGTCTCAGCCCCCCTACAATATACTCGAAGTGAAGTAAAAACAGAGAGCTTAAATTAAAAGTGGCAGCGGAGGTTGGTGGCAACGCAAACAAGGCAACTGGCGAATAATGCAAAGGACGTCGCAAGTCTTCACCTAAACGTCACAAGTATACTGAAAACGTGAGCCGTCTTAGGTTATACGGTGAAGGTCGTACATGAGTATCCGTTGCCGGCTAACGGTCGGCATCAATTTCAGTCCATCGATAGAAGAAGAGCGTGACGGCCCACGTTAGACGACCAACCGCGTTATTGCAATCTTATCGCTGCTTACATTTTAACGCGTGCACCCGCCTCTCGCAAGGCCCTAGTCGACAATGCCCGAGGCAGCCAGTGGAATGCGCGCCTTACGAACAGGCAGGAATTGGGCGGAAAAGAGTGAGAGCACGCACCCGGAATCTCAGCTTCTGTCAATGGAGGCACTCGTCAGCACGCCAGCACGTATAGTGCGTGTGCGGGGCAATAGTTATGCCCCACTTCCATTTGCAGGCTTTTGCTCAGGAGTTGGGCCTATAATCCATGTGATGTGCAGGATTTGTGGTCAGGGGAATGCCTACTCCTCTGACCCTCCAGCCAATACCCTGCCATCCTCTCATCCATCCTGGTCTGCAATTCTGTAGTCGTGCTTGACCTTCCCCGGTCAGGCCTCCAGCAGCCAGCTGAAGTTTTTAGGGAGCCATCAACAGTTGTAATCCATGTGTGGGGCGAGGAAACGCCCACTCGTGTCTGCTCAGGTGCGGTACGCGGCGATCCCCCATTACTTAGCTAGCGGCACCGAGGAGACGATGAATACGCCGACAACTGGCCCAGCGTAAATTACAGCCCAGCTCACCACCCAGCTAGCAGTGCCAGCCTCCACTGTGCCCAGCACACGATTGACGATGTGATCGTGCTTTGGAACCAGCTTGGATCCGCAGTGGGCATCATAGTATGCTGGGTTCTGCGAAGCCGCTATTAATATGGGCATCTATAAACACCACAGGAACTACAGTCTAGTAAAGAAGATGTAGGCACGGCCTTTCTTTGCAGTGGACGAGGAAAATGCGCAAGTGAGAAGCTGCTTGGGCACGTACAATTGAGATGAGTATCTAAACATTATTTTCTTTGTTCAGGTCAAAGGCAAAGCTGGATGGCGGTGCGCGGCGGAGAGGCGGTGGGTCAGGATGTTGAGAAGGAAGATTGCGTGCCTTACTTAACGCGCTGCATTGCTCCCGTATCATAGGCCATTCATTCTCCCGTATGGATGAGGCCGTCCAATGGTTTGAGCGTGAGGATTTCGAGCCCGCTGAGTACATCGGTTTACTACAATCTGAAAAAGAGCTGGGCCAGGCGCGGAATGAACTCGCCCACCTCAACGAGCATTGCAAGCAGGAGGTATTGAGTGCGCTATTATTGCCACGGACCGCTGGACCTCGCCCGAACTGTCCCCAACTGTCACAACACTCCGTAGGTCCAAAAAGTCGTCCACAACCACCACAAAGACTTCTTGGAAGCAAGTCGTGACATACAGGATGTGGAGGCCCTCGTGGATGAGCTCCGGAACTACGTTTCAGGCAGCGCTGCCGTGGTGGCGAGTCTTGTAGACCTGCCACCCCTTCCGAAGCAGGTCAGAAGCCTCGCTGAGCCCGAAGGGAGGAAAGGCGCAACAGCGCACCCGGGGACTGCTTAGGGTTCTCCATACGCCATTTGTGTGGCAGTAGATGCACGGCCCTCAGCCCTCCACCCAAGCTCTTAGTGGGCCAGGCTAGAAAAGTCCAGCCCGTGTCTTCCAAACCCCATTTCACTTAATGCCATGGCTCCTTGACACTCCGTCAATCCTTTTAGTACAAGTCGCCTCCTGCCCGCGACACAGATCTCCATCAACCCTCAGCTCCTGCAGCCCACTGCCGCCCTCGGGGAGCGACCCGGCGTTCGGGAGCAGCAGCAGCCGGCCTCAGCCTGGGAGGGCATCCTGGCAGTGCAGGCCGAGCTCATGCAAGACCTGCAGGTGGGGCAAGTGGGGCGGGCAATGGAGACCTCCCGGTACCGCGTGCTGTACCGCGTCGGCAGTTTGGGTCCTTGCCCACCCAGTTGGCCAAATACATTGTATCTTGAACTCCGTACCCCCGACTGTACCCTAGTAGTAGCAGTGCACTCCGTGCCCTACTACTGCCGCATGCGCATATCCCGATGATGCGGTGCTGCTGGTTACGAGTGCCCTGGAACGTGGCTGCCATGCGGGTGTGAGCAGGTGGCGGTGGCGGAGCAGGACTTTGTGACAGCGCGGGCGCTGCTGAACGCGGGTCGCGACATGGTCGCTGTGGTGGACCGGGATGCAGCGCAGCTGGCAGCGCAGGTGAGCGCGCAGGCGCGCGGGGGCGATGGTGGTGATGTCTCGCACTATCCCCCCTATGCCTTGGCCATTGTTCCGCCAGTCTTCCGCTCCGCTGTTGCCCCCACCGCTGCTCTCCTGCTCCCTGGCTCCACCGCCCTGTCCTTGCCCCCCGCCGTGCCCCCCCAAGGCCGGCGGCGACGCGCTGCCCGCCTGGCGCCACGCGCTCGAGGGCGCGCTGGCGGCTCAGAAGGCGCAGCTGATAGAGGAGCTGCAGCGGCAGCTGTCGCGAACCAACAGCAGCACCTCTGAGCGGCGGCAGGCGGCGCAGGTGCGGTGCGGGGCACAGCCGAGCTGGTCGCAGAGCAGCTGCTGTTACGCCACCACCTTACCACACTGTCCCCGTTTCACTTACCGGCACCCTGCCATACACCTCCTGCGCCCCTACGTACGACCCCCTGGCATGCAAGCTCCTTGATAAGGCACACCGCTGGCAGCATCTTCCTCCTCCTCCTGGTGAAAGAGGCTGCAGTTTGGGCGGGCAGCCTCTGCACCCCTGCAACACCGCACCCCTCCCTGCTCCCCCCTTCTCCTCACCCCCGCCCTGCCCTGCCCCCCGCGCAGACGCTGGGCCTGCTGGTGGGTCCCGCGCAGGCTGCTCGGGCGCTGCTGGGCTGCCACTCGCTGCGGGTGCGGGCGGCGCAGCAGCACCTGCTGAAGCAGCACTCCACGGGTGCGTGGGATGCTGTAGGTACTTGAGGCAAACGGGGAGCTCCCAGGCTGGTCCAACTGCGTTTCTCGTTCCCTCGTGACAACAAGGACAATATCCCCCATGTCCCGCAACCTGTGTTTTCCCCCACGTGCGCTGCTGCACGCTGTCCTCCCCCCCTGCAGCCGGCGGCGACCCCGATGGCGTGGAGTACTCGGGTGGGCTGGCGCAGCGGACCTTCCTAGCCATCGGCGCCGCCGTTGAGGACGTCCGAGCTGTGTTCCCAAGCAACCTCCCTCCCCCCTCAGCCGCCGCCTCCTCCTCCTCTTTCTCCTCTTCCACCACCTCGGGAGGTACTAAAGGAAGAGGCGGCAGCAGCAGCAAGAGCACTGGCGAGATGACCCATGGGTCGGAGGACATAGCGGCAGCCATGCTGCCCGCTGTTTCAGCGCTGTTGGTGGAGTGGGCGGCGGAGGAGGCGCGGCAGTGCGGCGCGCTGTTGCGGCGGCATGCGTTGACGCCGTTTGCCACGACGGGTGCTGCGGTGGGTGCGTTGCTGTGCTGCGGTTTGGCGCTGGTGTTTTGTGCGACGCTGGAGTTGAGCCACGGGTTGGCGCTGAGGGCGGTGTTTCAGGAGGAGCTTTGGCCGCAGATTGAAGGTATGCGCGGGGGATTGACGAAGGGCTGCGCAGCGGGTGGTTCCTGGTTGGGGCGGGATTGATGAATACGATAGTAACCAAACCGTGTTGTGTATGGAACACGAAGGAAGGAGCGTAGGGAGGATGCCGCAGCATGCCATCCGTAAGCTCCCCTTTCCCCGGCTGCCTTTGTGCTACACACCAGCTTAATTTTTAGTTTTTAACCCATTGCATGCAGCCATCGTCCGTCGCCATCTACAACGCCTACGGGACGAAGCGGCTGCGGCGGCCTCCCTAGACGCCACCAATGCCGCGCTGCAGGCCCTTGCAAGCGCCACCACCCCACCCGCAGCCGCTGCAGGCCCCAGCGGATCCTCCTCCGGCGCCCCGCTGCTCCCGGACCTTGCAACGGGTCAGCAGCAGTCGCCAAGCCCCGCAATGCAGATACACCTGCCCGTACTCTTCCCACTTCCAGGCGCCATCGCCACTCCTCCAGCTGCTGCCGCCGGCCTTACCTCCCTCCCCATGCTGCTTCCCGAGCTAAGAGCCCTGGCGGAGGGACTTGCGCCGCTGGCTTCCGTACATGCGGTTGCCGTACTTCGTAGCGGTGTCATGGCGGCGTTTGGGGCGGTGTGCGAGCAGGTTCATGGCTCGCTGGCGCGGCTGAAAAGCAGCAATGCGGGTGCCGGCGGCAGGGACGTGGCGACCCATGGGTCGCTGCTGGCTACGTACGTGAGCAAGGCGGAGAGGCATCTCAGGGCGTTTGCTGAGGCGGATGTGCAGGTACGGCGGGCGAATCGGAGCTAAATGGAGGCTGCTACTTTTATCCGTGCTCCTCCACGGCGTGTTATAGGAGGTCACGGAGCGCCGGTTGGGATACCCTAATGTCCAGATGTCTTGGCCAGCGGGGTCTTTAGGATGCCTCATACATGCAACTCCTTAGCTTATCTATACACATCGGCAAAACCCGTGTTGCCCCTCAGGTCGCGCTAGAGCCCCTCGGCGGCCTCATCGGCCCCGTTGCGCCTCCAGAGCTGCTGCTGCCCTCCCTGGAGCCCATCACCGAACTCCTCGCATCGTTGCCGCAGCCGGCACCTGAACCCCAGCCCTCAGCACCCCAGCAGCAGCAGCCAGCAGCGGTGCTACTACAGCCGCAGTCCTCTTCCGGCCTGATGGACCGCATTTGTGCAGAGCTGGAGGCCGACAGGAGGGAACGCGAGCGGGACGGCAGGCGGTCTAAGGTCCGGCCGCTAAGTAGCAGCCAAGACGGCGGTGTGGGTGCCCCGGGTGTTGCTGTTGTTGCAAGGGCTGGTGAGATGGGTGCTGGAGAACCGCAGGATGAGGAGGAAGAGGAGGAGGAGGTGACGGCGGCGGGTCGTGGGTTGGGTGGTGCGGCCAATAAGCCTGAATCCGCAGAGGTGGTTGCAAAGCAGCGGCAGCAGTCAGTTGGTCGCGAGGGCAGGCTGCGAAAGGCAGCTGAAGGCACACGTACACAGCCTGGGAGGCTCGTGCGGTTTGAGGAGGAGGAAGAGGAGGAGGACGACGACGGCAGCGAAGGGGAGTTGGCAGTAGGACTCGCTCGGCGGCGGAAAGAGGAGGGTGCTGGTCGGGTGGTCAGTACGGCTGACACCAGCACCTCAACAGCCCTACGGCGTCCACCCAGGACGTCCACGGAGGAAGGCGCAGCAGCAGCAGCAGCAGCGGTGTCATCATCATCAGCAGCAGCGGTCACGTCAGGCCGGGGCAGTGGGGAGACTACTACTAGAGCTGCTGCCGCGCCAGCAGCAGCAGCGGCGGTGACGGCGGCAGAGGATGCTGCTGCTGTTGTACCGCGGCGCCGCCCTCAGCTACGGCAATGGGGTGCAGATGGCGATGATGACGCCACCATTGCCACCGCAGTAGCAGCACAGGCAACAGCAGCGCCTGCAGCGGCGTCCGCGGAGGCACCCCGCTCTCGGTCCCGCGGCCGGAACAGACCCAGACCTGCTGCTGAGGGAGAGGACTGGCAGGAGACGCCACCGGCATGGGGTGAACTGGAGCCGCAGCGGCAACAGCAGCCGGAACAACATCCGAAGGTGGCGGTGGCAGCAACTGCAGCCACACCTACCCGCGCTGAGCCAGTTGTCAGGCCCAAGGCACACGATGAAGGCTACATGTCACGGGCTGCATTGCAGGCAGCCACAGCGGGAACCAACCGCACAACGCGGGCGTCGGAGGCTGCATCTGCGACGGTGTCATTTGGTAGCAGCCAGGGCAGCATGGTGTCACGGCAGCGAGGTCAGCGGCAACAGGAGCAGCCGCAAGACAGAACAGCGGACACAATGGCGCCGTTGCGAGGGAGAGGACGATTAGCTGAGGGCCGTGAGAAGGAGCAAGAAAAGGAAGTTGAAGAGGAGGAGGCGCGAGTGCAGCAGCTGCAGCCAAGAATGCAACGCGGGCGGTTCGCCCGACCCATGGGTCGTGGTGGCCTATCCGACAGCGACGGCGAGGGCGCGACTGCTGAGGACGATGTGCTAGAGCGATGGCGCAGGCGACGGGGGCGTGCCAATGCAGGTAGTGCAGACACAGATAAGCCAGATGCAGCTGACCAGGCCCCTGAGGCCCTCCGAGGTCCTCCTAGGCGACCACTGCCGCCGCCGCTTCCAGCACAGCCGCTGTCCCAGGCTGAGGTACGTAGTGGTGCTGCTGCTGCTGCTGCTGGACAGGAGGTCAGCTCTGTCGGGGCTGGCGGCAGCAGTGGCGAGAAACCCGGCGGGCGCCGTGCAAGGCAGCCCGCTGCGGATGCTCCGGTCGCCAGCGACGAAGAAGAGACCGCTGGTGGTTCGGTTCCAGCAGCAAGGAGAACGGTAGAATTGCCAGGTGGTGTTGAGGGGCGTCAAACAGCCGCGCTGACCGCTAGGCGTACTCGGAATACTGACGAGGCTGCTGCTGCACAGGCGGCCCAGGTGGAGGAGGAAGAGCAGGCAGCAGCTCCCAGCTCAAGTCGGCCAGTGGGTGCGGGCGCTGCTGGCGGCGCGGTGGTAGCCCGGCCTCGTACGGCCGCCGTACTGGAGGGTACGTACGGCGCAGGAGGCAGCGGCGCTAGGACAGGGCCAAGTCAGACGAAGAAGCCTGCCAATCGCTTTGGCGTCGTGCTCAGCGACGATGATGAAGAGGAGCAGGGCGTGCTGCGGGCCGCGAGGGGGTTCCGCGGGGCCCGACATGCTGGTGGTGGCGGCAGCAGGGCTGCGGCTGCTGCGGGTGCGGGTGGAGCTGCAGCAGCAGCAGCTGCGGAGGTGGTAAAGGTGGTGGTGGTAGGGTCAGCTGGGGTTGATGCTCGGAGGGTGGAGCCAGCGGAGAGCAGGCCTGCAGCGGTGGAGCGAGGGCCGGCGGCTGAAACCAGCAGCAGCAGCGCCACTACGCGGACCCATAACCACGACGGCGGCAGCATCAGCGTGGCCGCGCAATCTCCCAGCGCCGATGTCGCGACAAGGATGACAGGGCGGCGGCGAGCAGTACCCGCTGCCGCCACCAGCAGCGGCGATGAGGAGGCTGCCGTCCCTACACGGCCGCTGACGTCAGCAGCAGCACCGCTTGCTGGGGCCCATGGAAGGGATGGGGCTGGTAGAGACTCGGTGGACCCAGACGCCAGCGATGGCAACACGGTGAGTGCGGGGACGGCAGGAGCAGCTGCAGCAGCGGAGGCGTCAGGGGGCGCCCCCAGGGCTACGACAGCAAGGGAGAGACTGGCGGCCCGTATGGCTGCGAAGGCTGCAGCGGCGGAGGGCCGAAACTGAGCTGCGGAAGGTGGCTTTCTCTAGCGGCAGAAGGAGGGTGTAGCAAGGACAAATAGGTGTGCAGGTCTGAAGCGGGAGGCCAGCGGCTGGGCTCCTAGCTTACGGCAGCCAGGAGTGCAATGCCTCAGGATAGGAATCGTACGGGTTTTACGCTTTTGTGGGGCAACACAGCAACTAGTTGACTTGCAAACCCAGAAGTGGTCCGCTAAGATGCAAAGGCCGGACGGGACGGAGCGTTGGGCACTGTTGCTAAGGGTGCCCTAACCCACGAGGGCGAAGCGTTGTAATGATTAATGTCAAAAACATCTATACCAAGGGTCAGATCTCTTTTACCTGTTTTTTCTCGGCTATGAGCGGCTTGTCCATTGACATGCGCAAGACCTAAACAAAGCGGCGCGCTTTACAAAAGACAGAGAAGCGGGATATACGTATTGAGCGTTTAATAAAAGCATTACGCTTGACAGGCCTGACCAGATCCTGCAGGTCCCTGCCCGTCGCTGGTTACAAAGTCGCTTATTGCTCATCAGTCATCACTGCCAGTTCATGTTACAGCAGGAGGGTCGATCTATGGCCAGCACTCAGATCCCAGCCACCCATCCTGTAAGGAAGCGCCTTATAAAACCCTCGGCGAAACCCGCCCCCCGTCGAAGCCCCAATGTTTAAATTGCACTAGTGGCCGGAAGTGCAGACAGTCCTGCGTTGTTGCACCACGAGAAACCAATACTTCCAAGTAAAACTAGGCAAGAGAAAAAAGGCCCGGCTGGGCACCATCCCAACACAACCCAACCACGGCCCGCCATGTAGGGTGGGTGGGCGGGTAGTAGGGCCACGTCCCGGCAGAGGGACACGCCTCATCAACAGGAATATCTACACAACGGCAGTTAGGGAAACAAGCGAGGGCAGCCGGTAAACAGACTGGGACCACCGATTGCCGTACCACGCGAGCACCGATGCCATGCGTCCTGCTGTAAGCATGGCATTCCTGGCAGTTTCTTCGCAATAAGTGGACGTTTCGTCAAGACTTTATCTCCGTCTCGTCAAGACTTCCTCCACTACGAAAGAAAAGTCAGCACTTTACGGGCAAGTGTGATCAAGGCCGCAAAGTTGCATCTTTTCATCTCAGCTATACCTTGTTAATACGCGGATTCATGTTGACTGGCTAAGCACGATAACAGTGGAAACTGGTAAAGCTTATCACGTATCTGGGAAGCTCGAAGTCATTTATTTCAAAACTTGTCACCGCAGAGCTACGACTATGCAAATGCATGTATGAAAACTGCAGTCGATCCCAGTTTCAGCCCCAGTGGTCTTGGTCTGTCTCCAGTGACGTACACGGGCAGCGGCGAATGGCAGTGATAGACTCAGCAGAATAAACCCACTTCCAGCATTGGTTCATAATAGTCTCTTCCATTTTCAATCCTTCTTGCTCAGCGACCGGGCGTGTTTGCGTACTCCCCTTTCGCCAACAATTATAGCGATACCTCCACCTTACGGTTATTACACTGGACACATACCCATACTATGTGGCTGTGCGGACTACGGCTCCGTAGGGGTAGCGGCAGACAGCACACAGGTAAGGTCGATGCAGGAACTGCCCGTGGAAAGAGTGAACTGACCTGCAAAAGCGCGTTCATGTTTCAGATGCAAGTCACACAGAAAATGGGGCGAAAGCGCTGGCTTCAGAGGGTTATTTATCCACTGACGGCGCTGCTAAAGGGGCTGATGCCACGAATGCAGATGATGCTAAAGCGCTACTTGCTGTGCTGGAGCACATGCCTTATCCGGTGTCAGTAATCTTTCAAGACACGGATGATATACTACTGCAAAACAAACCGAGCATTGAGGTTTGGGGCGACCTCCGAGGCCGTGAGTCTTTGCTTGCATCTTTGTTTCAGCTTGCAGACGACGACGTCATCGCGGACGCTTACGCCGAACTATCAAGGTCTGGAAAATGGCGTGGTAGGTTTCGCTTACGTAATTAATGCAGTTCCGCAACCCGACGATGGAAGCCAACAACCCAAGCCGCTCATCGCTCTAGCCCTGATCTCCGAAGCGTCTGACAGCTCTACAGAAGCCGTTACCCTATATAATCTACCTGACAAAAGCTATTGGCTACTTGTTATCTTCGCAGGCCTACTGCGCATACGGACCGCATCCACGCCAGCCATGCCATCCCTCTTACCTAAGGGACCCGAGGCCTACAGCAACTTCTCCGGACCGGCTGTGCTTGGCTCCCCCATGGCGCTATCCCCGCAGCTGCCGCTGCCATTGCAACTGTCTGCTGCAGTCCCGACCAACCAATTGGGGTCGGGGCAACCGCCCTCAACGGTGCCTGTTGACCAACTTGAAGGCGTCTGCAGCGAGTCCTCTATCCCTAATCCAGTCGACGCAACTCTGTACGAATCCTCTTCGACCGTCTTGGCGACCTTTGCCTCCGTGGCTGCAGCCAAAGCCGGCGCTATCGAGTACAGCACGCAGTCCACATCGGACTCCCAAGCGTGCTCGCTTGCTACACAAGACCTCGCTAAGGATTTGGCGTCGCCAACACCGCTGCACCAGCAACAACAAGTCAACACCGCCGACGGCTGCTCCCCACCTGACATGCGCCGTACGACAGGCAAAGGGGTCGCCGCCCAAACCCAAGCAACCTCAGCTGCTAACGACGACAGGGTCACGTCCCTCAGCTCACCCCTAATTAGCCGAGGGGAGCTTCGCAAGCCACAGCTGTCGGTACAAGGCTTCCAACAGGCGATGGAGCGTGGGGCTCGCCTGCTACTCCCCAAAAACGCGGTGTTGCCGTACGAAAGGTCCGCTAGCAACGCCGAGCTTCCCGCTGTTGATGCCGCCGGCAGCGGAAAACATGCTCAGCACGCGGAGACGTCACCATGGCTTGTAGACCGTGTGGCGAGCAGCAACGCTAGCATGACCCGTGGGTCAATGCCTCCTGGCGGCGGCGACTCATCTTGCGTTCGCCCTTTCAATATGCCTCCCGGTTGCAGCAATGTAGCCGGTGCTGCCGAACCAGCTACAGAAGGAGGAGCCGCTTCCGCGCACTGCGACCCTGCACACTCCATGCAAACCGTACCGCTCTCTAGACGTAGGTGGCTTGGCTCCATGCCCGGTACGGCCCTGCACTCCCCTCTTTCCACGGAACGCCCGCACTTGCCGAGAAATTCGCCCGCGGCTGTATCGGCAGCCTTACCTTTATCAATAGGCCGATCGCAGCGCTGCGAGGAGCATCAACAGGCGTTGCTTAAGGCCCTCACGACGAGTGCGTGGGGCACCCTGATTCGGGGCTCACAGGACCGACGGCCGCCGCGGCGCACGAGCACGACTCAAGGGCTGCGGCTGGCAGGGGCCTCCACCTCATACGCTGATGTGAACGGCGCGTCTAATGGCGCTAATGCCGTGTCATGCCATGGCGGCGGCGGCGGTGGCCGGGGCGAGGACGTAGCTGACGGTGTTTCGTCGTCATGGCAGCCCCAGGGGTTTCCGTCGCAGCCTGGGAGGAGTCGAGCGCTGGCGTGGCAACCGGAGGCTGAGTACCGGCGGGATGACGTGACGCCGGAGGCAGGTGGCCCTGCTGCTGCTGCTGCTGCGGACAATGCTACTGCCACGGACGCCGTGTCTGCGTTAGCTTCAGCCAATGCTTCAGCCGGAGGTCAAGGAAGAGACGACGGCGCCCGCCGGACGCTGCTGGGGTTCAGCTACCGTAACCGCAACCATCAGAGCCTGAGCAACCTCACAAGTATGGCGGCTACCGCAACAGCAGCTGCGACTGCGGCCGCGTCAGCAGCAACCGCCAACAGCAACCACCTTGACGGTTGCGGGGGGCTATTGCATCCCGGCAGGAGCAGCAACCAACGATCACTGCTCCACCAGTCATCTGCGCCGCCGGTTCGGGGGACCTTCCACGGTAACTTGCTGCTGCTGCCATCGCGGGCTGCGGGTCAAGGCGCCCACAACGACTCCCTTGGCCGCCACCTTAGCGACGTTGCGAACGGCTGCTGCGCTCCCCACAGCAACAGCCCTCAAGACCCCTGCCTGCACGCGGATTGCTCGCCTGACTCCCGCACGGGATCCTGTTCGGCCTGCTATCCCGCCTGCCCGCTTGACACCACCGCCACAACAAGCACGGGCATGGCAGACGCTGGCAACACAGGTCACATGCAGCTCTACACGCGTCAAGCTAGTACCGTCAGCGGCGCTGACGGCGGCATTCTGCTGGACAGCGCTGCGGCGACGGTGCAGGGCTCGGCATTGCAGCAACAGGCACCTGCACGGCTGCAGCAGGGCCAAGGGGCTGGCGGGCCGTACCAGCGGCAGCTGACTGTTGGTTCGCCCATCTACAGCAGCCGAGCGGCGTCACGCCGGTCTACACAATCGGTGAGCTCAACGGGCACAAACGCCATGGGACGCATCCTCAGTATTGCCTTGGTAAGTAGATCTCAGGTAGCAGGGTTTGTCGGGGGCGGTAAACGAGGTAGAGATGCGTGTACCGTTACGAGAGTTGTTTGGCTGGAAAGCAGTTTATGCCCTTGCGCGCCAAGCAGGACCCAGACCCTGCACGTTACGGTCCACATGTCGATCCGTGTGCATGGGCTTGCTGCCAGGGCTTGTTGCCTAACAAATATCGGTAAAAGAGACCTACGCAAATGTTCCGCGGGCGCCAACTATGTTGCCTGCGAGCCTGTCCTCAAGACGATTACACACCGTCGCCCAACTGGTTCCTGCCCACCGCCACTGTTGCTGCACCTGATACAGGCGAGCGTCGGCAGCAAGGGAGCAGCTGCAACAGCAGCCCCACAGCAGTCCTCCCGGCCCAGCTCATGCAGAGCCTGTTCGACCGGCCCTGCTGACTTGCCTCCTTTCCCCGCCGCCGTTGATCCCGGCCACTGCACCACCACCATTACCTCCCAATCCATTCCCGCCCAGCCAGCTGACCAAAGCAGCTTCCGTCTAGCCCTCGAGCCACTGCCTGAGCCCGCGGTACTTCCCAGTCTCAGCGCCAGCTGCCCATTGTCCGCAGCGAAGGAAAACGACTCGACCCTCGTCCCCGTGGGCAACGAGTGTAAGGTTAGAAAGTTTGCTGAACAGCTGATCTCTGAGCCCGCTAACCGGCCACGGCTTGCAACCAAGAACCAGCCCTGGAGCCTGGGTGTGCTTGCAGCCGGCGCCCGGGACAGCTGTGGTGGCTGTGGTGCTGAGCAGGGCTTGGATGACCCGCCAGACGGGGCTAGACAAAGCCTAAAGCACCGGAACGAGTTGGATGCGCGTCCATGCGGACCCATGGGTCTGCAGCCGGAGGAAGTTCAACAGCACCAACAAGAGCAGCAGCTGGCGCGTGGCCCGCAGGCGGATGGTCAGGAGAGAAATGAGCTGGACAATGTTCACCTTGCGCTTAGGGGCTTGTCGACCATGGGGCTGGGCGAGGGCGATGTTGCATCATCTAACTTTGGCGGCAGTGGCGCAGGTGTAGTTGCTGAAAGCGGTCTGGGACTGATGTTTAACAGCACAGCAAGTCGGCAGCGCAGCAGCACAGCAGGCATCGACACAGTGCCTGAGAACCGCGCGCCCAGCACCGTTGGTTCGGACTACCTGCTCTTACAGACGATAACCAAGTGGGCGGCGGGAACGACCCACGGGTCATCTTCTGCTGCACGACAACAGGCCCCCAACGTTGCAGCCCGCAATGCCCCGAGCCGTCTACCGCCGCTGCAGCCCCGACCTCCCATGCCCGCTCCAAGCTGCAGTGGGCTTGCCAACGGTGCTGCCAGCAGCTCTGCCGCTGTCCCTGAGGCGAAGGAAAGCCCCTCCCCTGAAGCTGGTGCTCCAGCATCCTTTCCTCTTCAGAAGTCCTTGTCGCGGAAATTGGTAAGGCTTGTCAGGTCGCTAAGCCGTCCAACCACGACGGTCAGCACCGCTGCGGGTACGGGCGGTGATGGCAGCGGCGGTGACGCCGACCCATCTGCCTCCACTATGCCCAACGGTGGTCCTGCTTCTCCTGGTGAAGCACCCACTGGGTGCATAAACAGCACCGGTAGCCCAACAACGTTGGACGGAAACAAGTCTACGTCGGTTGTAACAGGGGACGCTGGATGCCGTCTGGGCCGGGTTACCTCCGACGGCGGTGGCAGGCAGGATTCGCAAACGTCGCTGGTATCCCGCCAGCAACCCTTTTCAAGCCAGCTGCCATCTGGTGTCATGTACGGCGGTGGCCAGCAGTGTAGTAGCAACCGCATGCCAGCAAGCGGCAAGCGTTTGTCAGCTGCAGGGCTTGCAAGTGGCCTCTCCCTTGCTGCCATGCTGGCTGCAACGGGGACTCGGCTGGGCACCTCGAGCGCGATGGCAACCGCAACGGTGACAGCGGTGGAGCCAGTGGTAGCGGAGGCCGTGTCTTCGAAGCTCCTGGGCGGCATCACGGGCGCTTCTGCCGGCGTGCCTGCGTCAGGCGGGGCCAGCCAGGAGGTCGCAAAGCGCAGTCTTGCGTACCCTTACCCTCACCGGGGCAACCAGTGGTGCCAGTGGCATGAGGTCAGCCTGACCAGCTTCATGCACCCACAGCTGAACCGGAAAGTGATTCTGGTGGTGCAGGTGCGTAGGCGGTGTCACGGACTGATCCCCAAATTCGCCTTAGGTTGTGTGGGTGGCGTCGACGGGCTTCTAAACCTCCCGATGACCCATCACTTCTGCATCCGTCCCAGCTGCATGCATTCCGTGCCATGGTTTCATTGTTGCTCGCTACCTTTGCAAACCTTTGTCACTAGATCCTCCCGCCAGTTCCTGGCTGCTTCCCGTCACAACGCCCCTTTGTCACTAGATCCTCCCGCCAGTTCCTGGCTGCTTCCCGTCACAACGCCCCTTGGGCCACGTCCACCTTTGTTCACCACCCATGCCTCCGTCCCTTTCCATCGCACAGAACGACGTCTCGGCTCGTATCTGGGCGGAACGCCAGCTTGCACGTGTGGTGGAGGCCGAGCACACACTCCTGGAAAACATCTTCCCACAACACGTCATACAGCACATCGCCACCACCGCCGCCGCCGCCGCAACCGCCGCTGGGCCCCTCACGCCAAGCAACAGCGTTGAGCGGACCACGACAGGGCTGCTAGAGCCCTTTGCGCGCCTGAGCCAGCAACCCGCTACGGCTGCCAGCTCCGCTTCCCCTCCGCCTTCGCTTCCCCTGCCTAGCTGGTCCTGCCCTCGAGGAGAGGTGGCAATGATGGATCCGACGGCGATGGCAGTGGATGCCTCAACCCGTGGCGCTGGCGTGGGTAGCGGCGGTGTGGGCGGTCCCCTGCCTGCAATTCGTGGAGATGCTTTCCTGCACCTGGCGACGTCCCACAGAGCAATTACAGTGCTGTTCTGCGACATTCAGGTGGGGTAAGGTCTCATGTAGAGGGAGAAGGACGCTAGGGCCACATGGGCAAACATGTGCAAGAAACTATGCGAAGCCAGAATGTGTCCGTCGACCCTTGCTCCTACTCTCCCTCCCACCCTGCCCCTGAGCCCTCACCCTCTATTCTTCCGCCTTGCTTGCGTGAGGAAGACGAGAGGGTGCATGCAGCCCACAGAGCCTGCATCCCCTCTGCTCCCTTACTACTCAGCGACTTTACCTTTCCTTACCGCCACCGTCTTGTTCTTCCTCCCACGTACCGTACCTTCTGCCGTACGTTTACCGTTGCGACCCGCTGCCGTACAGGGCTTCACGCCCATGTGCAACGAGGTGCCTCCCTCCACGGTGATGGCCTTCCTCAACGACCTCTTCACCCGTGTGGATCGATTGCTGGACCCGTTCGGGGTGTACAAGGTAGGAAGGCTGGCGACGGCAGCGAAGGGACAGAACGCATGCGAGTGCGCCTGCTGCCGTGGGTTTTGCCGTGCATGAGCCACACATAAGATGCCATACAGCACTAAGCAACTGGCATGGACCGCCGGTCTTGACCACCAATACTTTAGGAGTTGCTTTCGTGTGGAGCGGCAGCTGCCGAAGTGCCGATGAATCGCACACCACGTTCATGCTACCACGCGGACATGCCTTCACGGCTCTTCATGGCCGCTTTTAACCCTTCAGGTGGAGACTATCGGCGACTGCTACGTTGCTGCCGGGGGCCTTATGAAGGTGGACGAGGAGACGGGCGCAGTCACAGTGCGCTCAGATGACGTGGATCCTCAGCATGCATACCGTACGGTGCAGTTCGCAAAGGTCGGTGAACGGCTGCTTTCAGGTGCAGGAGTGGGAGGTTACGGTACACATGAGCCATTGACACCATGCAGCCATCATAATAACACTTATGTCTAGGACGTTAAGGAGGGTTAAAGGACTGCTGTGGAACAAGAGTTCGCCATTCCTTCATCCTAGCGCCTCTCATGGTTCCTTAGACCTTGCAATTTCTACACCGCTCTCCGTATCGCTTCTTCCGTGCAGGCGCTGCTGTCTGCAGCAACGGCAGTGCGGCTGCCCACCACGGGCCAGCCGGTGCGGCTGCGTGTGGGCATCCACAGCGGCCCCGCCATGAGCGGCGTGGTGGGCACCCGCATGCCCCGCTTCTGCCTGTTCGGTGACACCATCAACACGGCCAGCCGCATGGAGAGCACGGGGGTACCGGGCGCCATCCACGTCAGCCAGGCCACTCGGGACCTGGTTCCGGGTGAGGCTTGGGAGGCGACGGGCGGAGTGGAGGTGAAGGGGAAAGGGAACATGAGCACATTTGTGTTGCGTCCGCCGGTGTCCGAGGGGTGGTGAAGAACTGACGAGCTGAGGATTATCCTGTTGAAGATTTAAAAGCGACATGAGGATCTGATTTGCAGGGTGTTAAGCTGAGTGTGTGGAGTTGAGTTGACTTTGATGAGCGGCGTCGACTATTCGTGTAAAGCGAGTTTTGAGGATGCGACGAGTGGCAGCTGGCAGATGGCTGTACGGAAAGGATGAGGTGGTATGAGGAAACCATAATCGTGCTGAAAGAAGGCAAGGAGCTATTTACTAGCGCCATGTAGCACGTTTTCGTACGTTAGCCAACTTTATCGTTTTGGCTGCATTGCCTTGTGCTGGGGTTTCTCTTAGCCTTGTTACGGTGTAGTACTTCTGTGTCGGTCTAAGTGACATATCGACTTATCGCTTGTTTCTTTTATCCCGATAGGTTGTTCAGAGCAGGGGGACGCAGCGGACCCGTGCATTTTCTGCGGGATTGCACCCGTTGATGCTGTACTTGAGGATTAAGAGCATTAGTCAATGCTATGCTTTCCTAGGTTGCTGCCTTTGATGTGTTTCTTGGAGCATCATGTCATGGTGCTCACAAGTCGTATACATCTTGCCGGGCATCGTTGTTGCTTGACATTTCGCAGGGCAACCGTTTCGATGATGGGGTTTCGATGTCGCCAGGGTTATAATTGACCTAGGGTTTTTTGTCTAGTGAACCTCCTCCCAATCGCACACGCTGTTATCCTAGCTGCAGTAATTTTGCAGCCTCGTGCGGAGGTATGGTAGTAGGCTTTATGGAATTCAAATATACCTTTGTGCGCACTGCCTTCTTTTTGCTGTGCGCTATTTATGCGCTTGTTGTGACAGAGTAGGTGTTCCTCTTCGTTTGTAGCATGTTCTTTCCAAATCCGCAGTCGCTCGAAGATGGCGACTGCCGCACCTTAGACGGTGCCGGCCTGTGCCCTACGCATTCATCACGAGGTACTTAGGACAATTAACGATCCGATTGTAACATAACGCATCCGAAGCGCTCTCACTAGCTGTTGTCAACCTCTTCACCAAGCATGCACGGGATTCCATTCACGCGTCGCATCGTGGCCTGCTCGGGTTATGCACGTGAAAACAAGACACGTAGCACTTGCTTACAACAATAACAAGCCTCAGACCGCGTGAAGGTGTGTAGTGCTACCTTGTCGTTGCGTGCTCTGTCTTTTGTGAAGTTACTCGGGAGCGCAAGAACAATATTGGTGCGAAATCTGCAGATTTCGAAGGCACGCCTTTAACGTTTCGCCCGCAGGGGACTGGTGTACGACAACAAAACCTGGGGCTCCAGAACCGCTCTGGAAGGGTTGCAGCGAAGGACGCAGGAACAACCGCGATGTACGCTCTGACATTAGCTGTAAAAGCGTATGAAAAAAGCTATGTAAATAAAGGCTCCTTCGCGTCGGGCGACGTTCAGACTTCTGGGCCGACCTTCGGACGTGAAAGCGTCAAAGCTAAGGCTGCAATGTACTAGCTTATAGTTACTGGTTATGGACAAAAGCGGTGTAGGTGAAAAGCGTCTGCCGCAAGCGCAAAGGGGCGACGAATTCTAATTGCCCTGTCAGAGACGTTCTGTAAGCGCGTGAAGCGCTCGGATGCATTAAACTAAAATTTAACATTTTGAGCATGTTTCCTTGAAGAGGACGGCGATGGCCTGTCACTTGAGTAGTGCATGTGTTCTGCATTTCCTTGCCAAACTCATACTCGCCGCCTGCAAGCTTGCTAACGCGTTACCAGGATGATATAGAAGCAGAGCGGTGAGCCCAGGTGTGCACGTGCGGGCTGCACATGCGCAAAGCAGCTTCACGAACATGAAGGTCAGCACGTGCCCCGGCAAAACCCGCGAGCGGCAGTGCAAGTCGTGTCACGCCCGATCCCAGCGTCCCCACCTTGCCCAGCAAACATCCATGTCTTCCCTGGCCTGCCAAGTACTGACGCTCATGTGGGCATGCGCCAGCCTGCCCAACCAATACACACAGCACTCCCGCCCTGCCCAAAGCCCATAATAACAGACATGCCCCCCTTTGACCTGCTGCATCCCGCCATCACTGTTTTACAAGCCAACCGCATGTGGTGGCTTGAGTGACGTACGCAGACGTACGCGAGCAAGGAGCACAGATGCCGCATGCCACAGGCAGCTCCATGAACGGGCAGGTCAGCAGGTGGCCTAGCAAGCGGGGGCCCTGACTCTCTCTCCCAGTACGGCTTCCAAACGCGCAGGCATCCTGCCCACACCACAGCGCCCATGAGTGCTGCCTCCCCCTCTCTACCCAACCACTGGCGTGCATGCATCTCCACCCTGCTGGAGTACATACACCCATGCATGCAGCGTTCCCCGCTGTGCCTGACAGCTGGCGCCCATACATACCCCCATGCACGCAGGCAATCAGTGCACCTACCCTGCCGGGGTCGGGAAGGGGTGCAGTGCATCTCGGGATGGTGCATGCTACGGCAGCGCACACATCACCACCCTGTTCACTGGCCCCCGTGCATGCAACGCATTCACCCTGCATCCAGGCATCCCTGCTGAGTGCATCCCCGCCTGTGCCCAAACTGTGAAAGCGCTCATGGATGCAGGCATCACAGTGGTTTCCGAAGACTCGAGCCCATGCGTGCCAGAAGGTGCATGCTGACATCCCCCCTGCCCAAATGCTGTGCGCCTGCATCCTCGTGCGTGCTCAAGCTGCCAAGGGGCTAGCTTCCATTCGTGGAGGAACCTCTATACTTTATAAATACGGGTGTCCATGTGTGGCATCTACGCCTTGCCCGAGCTCAGCACCCTAGCGTGCAAGCGTCCCTTCTCCCCAACTCACAGCGCTCATGCCTGCAGGGCAATCTCCACTTTGCACGCCACCAAGCACGTGTGCAGGCAGGCATCCCCGTCGTGCCCTGCTGTTCGTGCAGGCTACCCAACCCTTCCTTAACGGCCGAAACCCATACATACGTGTAGGCAACTACCGGTACAAAGTACCCATGCGTGCCAGCATGCTCGCACAGTTCAAGGCTTGCCAATACGACGATTGCCGCAATCACAAGTTGGGTGCAGCAAGAACAAGCAAAAAGACAGCATCGAGTGACCGCATACGTATGCGCGTAAGCAACACAGATGTGGCATGCCGAAGGCATCCCATGAATGGGCATATCAACAGGTACCCTAGCAAGACGAACCCCTGACGCTCTCCCACTACGGCTCCCATACGCACAGGTATCCTGCCCATGCCACAGCGCCCACGCGTGCTGGCTCCCTGCTCTTCCCAACCACTGGCTTGCATGCATCTCCACCTTGTATGGGCTGCAGTATGTACACCCGTGCGTGCAGCCTTCCCCGCTTTGTCTGACAGCTGGGCCCATGTACCGGTATGCAGACATCCCTGCCCCCCCATGCACGCAGGCAAGCAAGTATGCGTTGTGCCCCGTCCTGCCATAGTTATCCTGGCACCCATGCAAGCATGCATCCCTGCCCCTAAAACCCTAAAATGGTGTTCATGCGGCCCCAACCCACGGTATCAGCGCCCGTGTGCGCACACATCACCGCCCTGCTCACTGGCCCCTGAATACACAGCATGCGCACCCTTCCTAGACGCCACCGGGACGGTGTCCCCACACTGGCCAACTGCGAATGCGCTTGCATGCAGGCAATCCCACCCTGCCCGAGCTCAGGCGTCACGAGAGTAAGCGGCAGGCCTGCATCAACAGCCCGTTGTTCCTGCACTCCCCTTGCACATGCTGCCACCATTCACGTCAACTGCAATCTCTTCCACCCATACATGCACACATCACCGCTGTGCCTCACTGCTGGCTCCCACACATGCAGGCATTCCCACACCCATGCACCCCAGCCGGGGTCGGGGGGGGGCAGTATACCTCGCCCAGGCGGGGCGGTGTGTGATACAGCTGAAGCGGGATGCAATGTATCTCGCCCAGCCGGGGCGTTTCGCAGCCATGCAACAAGGCATTTTTAGGCGGAGCCCCCGTCGTGGTGCCCCCTTCGCGGTGCCCCCGTCGCGAACAGGCTTCGGGGGGGCGATGCCCACGTCCGTGTGTCCGTCCGTCCGTCCGAGTGTCAGGAACGGCAAAATACACAAACAGAACAAACCTAATTCACCTTCCTTGCCTGCACATTATCGGGCATCGGGCCTTTGTTTGACTCATCCATTTATCTTTCACTGTCCTGCTTTCGAAAACACACAAATTTATGCCATGCGTGCCCAGCAGACGCCCATGTGGGCATGCGCCAGCCTGCCCAACCAATACACACAGCATCCCCGCCCAGCCCAAAGCCCATAACAGGCATGCAGGCATCCATGCTGTGCGCGTGCGTCCCCATGCGTGCTTGAGCTGCCAAGTGCAGGCATCATCGCCTCCCTTTGACCTGCTGCATCCCGCCATCACTGTTTTACAAGCCAACCGCATGTGGTGGCTTGAGTGACGTACGCAGACGTACGCGAGCAAGGAGCACAGGTGCCGCATGCCACAGGCAGCTCCATGAACGGGCAGGTCAGCAGGTGGCCTAGCAAGCGGGTGCCCTGACCCTGACTCTCTCTCCCATTACGGCTTTCAAACGCGCAGGCATTCTGCCCACACCACAGCGTCCATGCGTGCTGCCTCCCCCTCTCTACCCAACCACTGGCGTGCATGCATCTCCACCCTGCTGGAGTACGTACACCCATGCATGCAGCGTTCCCCGCTTAGCCTGACAGCTGGTGCCCATACATACCCCCATGCACGCAGGCAATCAGTGCACCTACCCTGCCGGGGTCGGGAAGGGGTGCAGTGCATCTCGGGATGGTGCTTGCTACGGCAGCGCACACATCACCACCCTGTTCACTGGCCCCCGTGGATGCAACGCATTCACCCTGCATCCAGGCATCCCTGCTGAGTGCATCCCCGCCTGCGCCCAAACTGTGAAAGCGCTCATGCATGCAGGCATCACAGTGGTTTCCGAAGACTCGAGCCCATGCGTGCCAGAAGGTGCATGCTGACATCCCCCCTGCCCAAATGCTGTGCGCCTGCATCCTCGTGCGTGCTCAAGCTGCCAAGGGGCTAGCTTTCATTCGTGGAGGAACCCTTCTCCCCAAATCACAGAGCTCATGCCTGCAGGGCAATCTCCACTTTGCACACCACTAAGCACGTGTGCAGGCAGGCATCCCCGCCGTGCCCTGCTGTGCAGGCTACCTAACCCTTCCTTAACGGCCGAAATCCATACATACGTGTAGGCAACTACCGGTACCAAGCACCCATGCGTGCCGGCATGCTCGCACAGTTCAAGGCTTGCCATAAAGACGATTGCCGCAAACACAAGTTGAGTGCAGCAAGAACAAGCAAAAAGACAGCATCGAGTGAACGCATACATATGCGCGTAAGCAGCACAGATGTGGCATGCCGAAGGCATCCCATGAATGGGCATATCAACAGGTGCTCTAGCAAGACGGACCCCTGACGCTCTCCCACTACGACTCCCAAACGCACAGGTATCCTGCCCATACCACAGTGCCCCTGCTCTTCCCAACCACTTGCTTGCATGCATCACCACCTTGTATGGGCTGCAGTATGTACACCCGTGCGTGCAGCCTTCCCCGCTTTGCCTGACATACAGCTGGGCCCATGTATCGGTATGTAGACATCCCTGCTGTGCTGGTGTTCTTGCGCCCGTGTGCGCACGCATCACCGCCCTGCTCACTGGATCCTGTACACACCGCATGCGCACCCTTCCTAGACGCCAGCGGGGACGGTGTCCCCCCACTGGCCAACTGCGAATGCGCTTGCATGCAGGCAGTCCCACCCTGCCCGAGCTCAGGCGTCACGAGGGTAAGCGGCACGTCTGCAACAATACCGGTAGCCCATTGTTCCTGCACTCCCCTTGCAAATGATGCCACCATTCACATCAAATGCAATCTGTGCCACCCATACAGGCAGACAGGCCCCCCCTTTGACCTGCTGCATCCCGCCATCATTGCTTTGCAAGCCAACCGCATGTGGTGGCTTGAGGTGACATACGTGAGCACAGGTGCCACATGCCACAGGCAGCTCCATGAACGGGCAGGTCAGCAGGTGGCCTGGGGGCCCTGACTCTCTCTCCCAGTACAGTTTCCAAACGCGCAAGCATTCCGCCCACACCAAGCGCCCATGCGTGCTGCCTCCCCCTCTCTACCCAACCACTGGCGTGCATGCATCTCCACCCTGCTGGAGTACGTACGCCCATGCATGCAGCGTTCCCCGCTTAGCCTGACAGCTGGCGCCCATACATACCCCCTATGCACGCAGGCAATCAGTGCACCTACCCTGCCGGTGTCGGGAAGGGTTGCAGTGCATCTCGGGATGGTGCGTGCTACGGCAGCGCCTGTTTGGGCACACAACACCACCCTGTTCACTGGCCCCCGTGCATGCAACGCATTCACCCTGCATCCAGGCATCCCTGCTGAGTGCATCCCCGCCTGTGCCCAAACTGTGAAAGCACTCATGCATGCAGGCATCACAGTGGTTTCCGAAGACTCGAGCCCATGCGTGCCAGAAGGTGCATGCTGACATCCCCCCTGCCCAAATGCTGTGCGCATGCATCCTCGTGCGTGCTCAAGCTGCCAAGGGGCTAGCTTTCATTCGTGGAAGAACCTCTATACTTTATAAAGACGGGTGTCCATGTGTGGCATCTACGCCTTGCCCAAGCACAGCGTCCAAGCGTGCAAGCGTCCCTCCTCCCGAAATCACAGCGCTCAAGCTTGCAGGGCAATCTCCACTTTGCCCAAGTACCAAGCACGTGTGCAGGCAGGCATCCCCGCCGTGCCCTGCTGTTCGTGCAGGCTACCCAACCCTTAACGGCCGAAACCCATACATTCGTGTAGGCAACTACCGGTACAAAGCACCCGTGCGTGCCGGCATGCTCGCACAGTTTAAGGTTTGCCAATACGACGATTGCCGCAAACACAGGTTGAGTGCAGCAAGAACATGCAAAACGACAGCATCGAGTGAACGCAGCGCGCAAGCAGCACAGATGTGGCATGCCGAAGGCATCCCATGAATGTCAACAGGTGCTCTAGCAAGACGGACCCCTCACGCTCTCCCACTACGGCTCTCAAACGCACAGGTATCCTGCCCATACCAAAGCGCCCACGCGTGCTGGCTCCCTGCTCTTCCCGACCACTGGCTTGCATGCATCTCCATCCTGCTGAAGTATGGGCTAAAGTATGTACACCCGTGCGTGCAGCCTTCCCCGCTTTGCCTGACAGCTGGGCCCATGTACCGGTATGTAGACATCCCTGCACCCCCATGCACGCAGGCAAACAAGTATGCGTTGTGCCCCGTCCTGCCAGCGTTGTTCTGGCACCCATGCAAGCATGCATCCCTGCCCTGCCAAGTGCTGGTGTTCATGCGGCCCCAACCCAAGGTATCAGCGCCCGTGGGCGCACGCATTACCGCCCTGCTCACTAGCCCCTGTACACGCAGCATGCGCACCCTTCCTAGACGCCAGCGGGGACGGTGTCCCCACACTGGCCAACTGCGGGATGCAGGGCGTCCATGCATCTTCACCCTGCTGAGGTAAGGGCTGAAGTACGTCCACCCGTGCATGCAGCCTTTCCCGCTTTGGCTGACAGCTGGCGCCCATACATACCCCCATGCAAACAGGCTATCAGTGCACCTACCCTGCCGGCGCCGGGATGGGGTGCAGTGTATCTCGCCCAGCCGGGACGGTATGTGCTGGAGCAGGGCACAATTCATCTCGCCCAGCTGCGGATATGCATCCTCACCCTCTCCCGGTATGACCGCCCTTATGCACACACACACCCGCCCAGCTCACGGGCCCTAGCGCGGGCATGCAGGCATCCCTGCCGCGTTCATCCCCGCCCGTGCTTATATAGCGAAAGGGCCAGTGCTCACGCGTGCAGGCATCACCCAAGACTACTTGCGCCCATGCGTGCCTTAAGGTGCAGACATCCCCCTGTCCACATCACAGCGCCACTACGTGCAGGTGTTACCGTATTGCCCATCCATACAGGCATCCGTGTCCTGCCCAACTTCCAAGCACCCGGGCGCGCAGGCATCACCGGGCGAATCACCGTCACTCATACACGCAGCATGCCCAGCCCTGTCCTGCCATAGCCCCCGTCCACGCAGCGTCCGCGCCCTTCCCAAAGGGCTTGCATATGCATGTAGGTATTCCTGCCCTGCTCAATTGAGCTCAGGCAACACAGGAACATCCCGGGGAGGGGTGCAATGTATCTAGCCCAGCTGCCCAGGCAGGACTGTGTGTCATCCAGCTAAAGCTTAACGTAACTAGCCCAGCCGGGGCGCTTTGCATTCATGCACCGTCCCACCCTGGCCCGGCCCGCGCTTGGAAGCATAGGCGTATGCGCATTTCTTTTGTAAGATTCGGCTTCCTTTCATGCACATAGACGGGCTTAGCACCATGACCTTCTCTTCGACTCACCCCTATGCCTTTCGCTGCCCTGGTTCCCAAACACTTCAATATGCTAAGCGTGCCAGCAGATTTCGCCTTCTCACCCGACCGAAGGGAGGCTTGATATGAAGCATATAGTCTTGTGACATGCACATCATCACGTCAATACTCCGCAGGACAGTTGCAGATCCTCTTTTTGCAGGATTCGGAGCACCGTTGTAGGGTACCCTATTTAGGCTGGGTAAGCAGCTTAGCAAAGGGCGGACAGGCTTGAAAGGTGATAGCAGTTAAAAGAAGCCTTGGCTCAGCATTAAGTGAATAAGGTGCGCTGAAGACCATCATCCTTTACTTGCCTTTGCTGTCGCGTTCCCGAGCCTTATCTTCAACTACATAATGGCATGACCTGAATTATTATAAACAATAAGGACTCTACTGTGGGCTACTTGGACTAGCCTGGGAACTGCAGCGTCCAGCTGCAACCTTTTCGGCATGCAACCGTCCAACTTGCGGCTATACATGATCTGGCGACACGTGAAGGGCCATACAATTGGCCTCATTGTATGAGAACGTGACCCCATTCACTTTCACGACACTGGTTTCCACAGGTGGCGGAAAGAAGATGCGTCTTATCGTCTCCCGCTCGGCTGTCACCTCTGTTCACAACCGGGCATGTAAGAACACTACATAACCATTAGCCATTAAACGTTTATCCAATGCAGTTGTCAGTCCTAACTGCGAGTGGCAGGGTTAGCCAACCGACATCCCTATCTCTGAATAATTGCAGGCCAACCCGCTCGGACAAGCCGCAGGACCCATGTAATGGTCACGAACAAGCTTATGCTGCACCCTACAGGTGGGTCACGCACGTCAACACAAGCGTGTCAGTAGGTTGGTGCTGCGCAAGGTTGTTCATTAGCCATCCAGCCCAGTTTTAATCCGATTCCCTCCCGTTTCCCGTACCCGCGCATCCCGAGCGGATGGCTTACCAAGGCCTTCAGCCCTCGGTATACGCATACTCTTTCCTGCCCGCGGGTAGTTCCTTCCGCACTTGCAGGAAAAAACCCTGCAGAGGGCCGCCGAGGAAGTGAAGTGGGCAGCAAGCTCCCACTCCCGCTTTTCTTACCCACACGCACCTCCACATCCTGATCCACGCACTACCCCTTACAGCCTCTGGCCACCATTGAAGCCTTACCTCGCCCTGTTTCCCCTAATGACCACCACCACCACCATGCGCGCAGGCAGCGGCGACTGCGGGCACCTGGGGGAGCAGGTGCCGCTGCCGGGCCCCGTGGAGCTGCGGGAGGGCACGCAGGACGTGGGGCGGGTGGAGCCCTGCGACGTGGTGCTCGCGGTCCCCACCGTGTCTTCCCGCCATGCGATCATCAACGTGGGTGAGTGCTGAGCTGCAGCAGCACCTACAGCAGCGTTAGGGTCCGGACTGCTCCGTGGCCTTCAAGTAGGCCTGCAGGGAAGCCTGATTGACTCTTACCTCTTGCACTCGCTTTGCCTTGCTTAATTGCCTCGCTTTGCTTTACCACGCCTCTTGCCCCCCATTTGCTCCCTGCCGCCCCCATACCCTTTATATTGTCCCATTTGTGATTTGGGCTTTCTTAAAATCTCCACTTGCCCTTCCCTGCCATGTCAGAGGGCGACAAGGTGCTAGTTATCGACGTGGGCAGCACCAACGGCACCCGGGTGGAGGGGCGGGACGTCAAGGCAATGGACTACGTGGAGCTGCCCATCGGCGGGGAGGTCGTGTTTGGTGGGTGGCATGAAAGGGGGCGGAAGGTGTTGACAGGATAGGTTTTCTATGTTATAGGCTAGCTTAAAGGGGAAGGGCTGCAGGGCGGTACGAGACATCGCCAATGACGGCTTCGGATGCAGGGGTTGCAGCGCCAGAGAGCGTGGGATACGCGCCTTGCTTTACTTTCGGATGGGGTTATGCTGTGCACTCTTTTAAGCAGTGCGCGTGGGTGCTGACCCATGGGTCGGCGGCTTTACCGGTGTCACGCCTGTTGGGATCCCTGCCCCTCTCTCATCTCTAATCACCGCGTGTCGCACTTACACGCAGGAGATGAGAGTCTGGCCAAGTTCACGCTGCTGAAGGTTGACGACGCCACCGCGGCGGCTTGACGACGAGACCCGAGAAGTACAGCCTTACCCGCGGAGGTTCATAAAGGTTGTGCAGACCTTCGTGCTGAAGCCAGTTTGGCGGCTTTGGGGCATCACCAAACCTGCTGCAGGTAGTTGTACAGTGCTGTTGAAAGAAACGTATACTTATTGTAAGGCCCCGGATGTAGTATCCAAACCCAGATAGTACGCCTGTTAACACAACCTCGTGCTGCTGTACACTGTGATGGGAGGAAAGGGTTGTAACCCTTGTAATTAGTTGGCGTGGGCTGCCCTGCCTTTGTATGTTATGGCTGGTACGTGGTGTAAGAGATGCGTCTTGGGACAGCGCCATATGTGTTATTGAAGACACGTTGTGGAACACACATCACCACGGTCATGTGTACGGGAAATGTTGTTTGGCATTGCAATACTCTGCACTACGGCTGCATGAGACAAGGGTGGCGCCTGCTGCTATGGATTATCCAAGGCTTCGAGCGGTATTCAGCGCATGAGTTCACCTGCCGTTGGTAGATACAGAAATGGCATTATTAGATACCAGCAGAGCAAGAAGCGTATTTCGTCCGAGAGACCAGGCCTTGTAAAGCCTGGACCTTGCCCATTGTTCTTTCCCAGTTGTTTCCCATCAGCATCAGGGCAATGGGGTGGGGGAACGCGACGACTCGGGAAGGACGGGCAAGTTACAGCCCGTGCACTCCTGTGCATAGTTGTGACAAATGACCCATGGGTCTGCATCACAGACCTTACGCCGGCACGTCACCAGCCACTCTCAACGTGTTCCGGTACTAGCAGCACTCCTTCTTGTGCACATAACGGCACATACAGTAAGAACATACTCTCTCCATCGTCCGCGCATCCTCCTACTCGTGCTCTTCTCTTTCATGGTCACTTGAAAACGTAAACAGCACTGTCGCAGGGCTCCTCACGCCGGTTCCCTCCAGAAAGTGCTCTAGGGGTGCGAAACGCAAAGGCACACACGCACTGAATGGGTTCCAACCACACGTCGCTCCTCTCCAACCCATTCCTCTTGCTCTCCTTCTTCTCCTCCTCTTCGCCGCCCTCCCCTCACATTCCCTCCATCTCTCCCTCCATGCGGTCCCCTCCTGGTACCAGTAACACCACCTCTACCCTCGAATAAGTCCTCCATAACTCTCCACACGTCGACTGTATCCCTCCAGCCATCAGCCCACAAGTAGCCCGCCTCCTGAGCAGCGCACCCACCTGCTTCATACTTTCCTCGATCTACCGTACCCTGGTTTCTCTTCCCGCTCGCTCTTTACCACCAACGTAGCCACCCAGCTGCTGATGCAGCCACTCATCACTGACAATGCCCTCCAGCAGCCATACAGTGCGCCTCCGCTATCTCCGCTCCCCCCCGGCTGCTGCTCTCACCATGCCGACAGCGCAACCCCTCCCGCCACAAGTACCGCTACCAAGCTTGCTACTCTCCGACTGTCCTGCACACACATCTGACAACCGCCAGTGCATCTTTCCTCGGCGGCGGCCATGGTCGGTACAATTTACGCGGCTCACATGCTTCATACACACACAGCTGCACCCGCAGTCCTTTCCTGTGTTACCACTCCTCCATCTCATGGCTACTACTGCGCCCTTCTCGCCACTGCCTCCGTCGCCCCCGCCATCTGCTACTCCTTACCAATGCTTACCCCCACCCCGCCCTTCACTGCTGCTGCGTGCCATGCACCACCCGCACCAGCTCCACATCAAACAGCAGCGTCTTGTCAATCATGCCGCGATTCGACAACACAAAGTCAAGCGCCCGCTCGCCCGCAAAGGTGGAGGGACGCGGCCCCAGTCGCCGCCAGTCGCCGCCTGCTGCTGCCGCCGCGCCGCCCCTGCCGCCCTCCGGCCCCCCCACCGGGTAGCCCAGCTCCACGGGCACGATGATGCGGCGGATGCCGCCGGGCTGGCGTGGGCAGGGAGCGGAGGGGGGAGGGGGCAAGGGAGGTGGGGCGAGAGGGCGAGGGTGTGAGGGCGAGGGAGGGCTAAGCGTGTAGGGAATGGGTTGTCGGCACTTAGGGACAAGGGCACCGCAACGGGAGGGGGGACAGTATCCTCTGTGCTACTTCGTGTTGGCTACTGCGTTCCTCTAGCACATGCCCCTTAGGTCAGCCTCTGCCCCCTCCCTCCTCCCGCTGTACGGCACCGCCCGCTGTACGGCACACCTTCATGCTGGCCACCGCCTCCTCGAAGGCCGGGATGACCCTGCCCTGGCCCAGCACGAAGCGGAAGAAGTCCTTGTTGTCGCCGGAGAAGGAGCTACCCTTGGGCTGCAGGGAGGGAGGCAGGGGGGGGGGAGGTGGGTAGGAGGGAGGCAGCAGGGGTGAGATGGGGGGGAGATGTTGCGGTTACCGTAAGACAGAGTGCCAATGCCTCCAATGGATTACGTGTAGTGCACATGCGGCTGCGCTTGATGGGGTGGTACCTGTAGTGGGTGAGCTAGGGGCCCCAGCTCAGACGTGGCGCTAGGCGACACGTACCTTGTTGCGTGCCTCGAAGGGCCGCCCGTAGTAGCCAATCGTGTAGCCTGCGGGACAGCAGTTGGGGGGGGGGCGGCGTTCGGGGTTGGCGAAGACACATACCCTCCCCGCAGCTTTGGAAGCATGGCTGACAGATGTTCGCGAACAGGCGGATGAGTGAATGTGCGACATGCTGCTGCGTGGGCCGCATGCGGCTGCGACAGCGCCATCATCATTGTCACCATCAGGAGCGGGTGCCCCTCTCGCCCTCCGCCCTCCCTTTTCAGCTCCCCTGCAGCAGCACAGCGCGCGCCCGCCGCCTTGCTACGGTAGCTGGCAGTTAACCAGCCGCCCAACCCCACCCCACCCTACCCCAGCCCAGCCGCACCGTCCCAGTCCACCACAACGGTGTCCCCTGCCACCGGGCTCTCCCCGGAACCGAGCTTCAGGTCCTGGGGGGCGAGATGTGTATGTGTGTGTTTTAAGAAAACTGGCCGCGAGTCGGAACGTACTGGATTGCCGGAAGATGATGGGCGGTGTGTGTATATGGTGACGGGTGTCGCGATTGCGAAGGGTTGCTACAAGACATGAATGTCTTGTACGGTAACTGTGTGCCGTACCTGGTACTGGAGGCCCGAGGGGGTCGTGGTGTAGTCCTTGTACGTCATGCGGGGCTTGCCGTAATCCTTGCCCTGCGGCACAAGCGGTATGTGTGCAGCTTTGTAACTAGCGAAATGCTGTACCGCAGGGTCTGCGATGTTGGTAGTGTCCTGCCGTTATTGCGGGTTTAAACGCGTGCTGAACATGGTGCTGTACCTTGAGCGCATCCATGGGCTCGAACTTGGCAATGTTTGCACTGCCGCCCTCAGCTGCTGTTTTTGTCGCTTCTTCCGCTGCAGTTGCCGCAAGCACTAGTGAGGGGCTGCCGTACAGTCCAGCAGCTACGATCGAAGAGGACAGCATCATTGCTGCTCCTGCTCCCGCCAAAAGCGTCCGCCTGGGGTAAAAGGAGGCATTGGGGTAGGGGTGGTTGTCTTCTGGGGTAGACCAGTTCAAGGGACAAAGTGGAAGCGGACGCGTTCATAGGTAGGACGGCAATGCAGGCAGGTATCGCGAGGAGAGAGGGAAGTGGGTTGCATACACAGCGTTTCCCCAGCGTCACGGCCCGCAACGGAGAAGCAACCCTACACAGCTCTGCCAACATGCCATGCCATGGTCACACAACGGTAACGTTACCTGTTGGTGACGCTGTGCCCACCAGGAGCTTCGGAGTCACCCTCGCTGCCGACTGAAGCGTAGCACGCTATACGGCGAGGGCGTAATAGGCAGCGAATTGCGTGTGGCTTGGTGTAGCACTGAGCTAATCGAACGGAGTTCGTTGCCGAGAGGCCTCCAGAAGGTGCCTGGCAAGGGCGCCGAGTGACGTGCATGATGAAATGGCTTGTACAGATAAAGCGGTCGTGAAATAGGGCGGTCGACCGTCGACTAATGGTCGGTCGCTTTCAGCGACGGTAAATCAACAGGAAAGCAACTGCAATTCGCCTTGGTATGAAATCTAGTTGTGAATGCAGTGATGCTGCGACGTCAAGGCATCACCGGGGGTAAGAATAATACGATGCCACGCCGGACTGTCGTGATAAGGAAGCGTAGGAAACAGCTCAGTCCTGTTCAAAGATAAGGAACGGTAATTTTCCACCCGTGAAGGTAGTTTCACATGCATACAATTAGGAACTGTACTGATCTGTCTCGTGTGCTGCAGCAAGCTCTGACTGAACGTACTTTGGTTGCGCCTTGGAATTAAGCCCGCCAAGACCAACCGTGTATGCATTGAAACTATTAATTACATTGGATCAGGTTTTTGCGCTGACTGCTTCACTCCGGTTTCAACGCGGATTGCAAAGCTCAAATAGAGGATATCAACTGGTTGGGCCACATGGGTGACTTGTCGCCTGTGTGGCCCTCGACGGACAGATAGCACTATTCACAGTGTGCTTACTGCGTTACACAATACAGCTTGGCAATGTGGCGCTCAGTATTGAGTCTCCTTGAGCCTCAGCATTCTCCACTCCCCAACCACTATAAGCCAGCTAGGCGACCGTTGCAAGATTTGGAGGCTGCAGGGAGCGAGGCACCGTTGCACGATGACAACGATGACCAGTTTAGCGCTTTCGCGGCTGTCGACCAGTTGCCCGTCCATATAGAAAGACGGCGTACAGTATCAGCTGGTGGTATTCCTGACAATTTGGCGACTCTCCGTCTGTCAACCTACTTTCAGGAGCACCAACTGCAGGATGCCCGCGCTAGCATCGTCCTCGATGTTGGCAAGGCTCCTGCAGCTGTCCCAGCCGCTAGTGAAACCCCAAACAAAGCCGGTCAGCCGCATCTCTGGGTCCGCGTGCCCGCGGCGGAATCCCCGGTGAAAGGCACTCCGCCAACTCCCACGCCTGCTGCTCATAATGCAGCTAAAGGTTTCCTTGCAGCCGGACCGCAAGCCCTGCGGCTTTCCGACTACGCCACCTCGCCTCCCGATCAAATAGCAGACGCAACAGCGGAGCTCAGAGCCATGACCACCGGAGCCGACCCTTGCAAAGGATGCGCGCATCCTTACAACCAGCAAGCCACGCCTCTGCACCCGGGGCACCCGCCTTCACCTCCGCCCCCAGCCGCAGCACCCCCAGCCCCCGCTGCCGCTGCGGGTGGTGCCCGGCGACCCATCCATCACCACCACCATCCGCACATCCCTCCTAATGGAGCGCTTGGGGGGCTGTACGGCCCGGGGCTGTTCCGCCATGAATCCTACCCGCCCCCCTTTGATACCGCTCGGCTGGAGCTGGCACGTGGGGCGGCTCATGGCCCGCCGGAGGCTCGGTTTGAGGATCTGAGATTTGTGCAGCAGATCGGAGAGGGAGGATTTGGGAGGGTGAGTGGGTGGTGATTGGCGGAGCCCGTGCCCTCGAGCTGAAGAGGGAGTGGGGCACTTCAGGAGGGAAGTGAACTCGGGCTTTGGTCGCTTGTTTAGCCTCCATTCAGGTTCCTCGTTGACCACTGCCCTCCACCCACACCTCCACCAGCTGCCTCAGAGTCCCTCTAACCAGACGCCTGTTCCTTGCCCGCGTGGCACACGGTGGCTGCTGGTGATGGTGGCTGCAATGGGCCATGAGCACCAGCCATTGAGCTTGTAGCCAGAAACCTCGCCCGCATCCCCTCCCTGCTGCCGCCTCCCTCCCCCGCAGGTCTACTACGGCTACTGGCAGGGTCACCGTGTGGCTATCAAGCTGGCACACCCGCCCCCTGCCGCCGCATCCCCGCCTGCAGTGGCGGCAGCAGCACCTGCCGCGGGGGGTGGCGCTGTGGGTCCAGGGGAAGCAGCCGCCGGCGGGGCTCAGGCGGGAGCTGGGGACGCCGGCGGACGTGGCGGAGTTGCAGCAGCAGCTGGCGGCGGTGCGGGAGGCGGGGGCACTGGTGGGGGTGGGGGTGCGGTGGGAGGAGCAGGGGGCGGGGAGCAGATGGAGCAGCTGGTGCGGGAGTTCAGTCGCGAGGTCGCCGCTATGAGTGCCCTGCCGCCGCATAAGAGTGAGTGCTCGGGGTTTGGGGGAGAGGAGGGGAAAGGAAGGGAGGTTCAGGTTATTCATTGGTCAAATTGAGGGAGGCCGTGTTAGTGGAAAGTTGAAGCCCTAGGGCATCCAAGTATGCGTGTCCTTCAAGCCGCGTGATTGCTGCTCTGGTTCAGGCAAACCGCCGCCGGACAAGGACCGTCCGTTGCCGCTGCAGTTGCCGCCTGCCAAGCTGTGCCAACTCCATGACCCAGCGGGCCTAGTTGTGCCATCCTCCTGTGTCCCATGTCCCAAGGCCGCATACCCGTGTGTTTACACACGCATCTCGTGGCCATCCCGCTCCCTTCCCCTCCATCCCCCCCTGCAGACGTGCTCACGCTGCTGGCCGCCTGCACCCAGCCGCCGCAGCTCGCCCTCATCACGGACTACTGCGCAGCGGGCTCCCTATACCAGCTGCTGCATGGGCCGCGACCCGGCGGGTCGGCGCCACCCGCGTGGCCGCAGCTGCTGGGCATCTGCCTGGGGGTGGCGCAGGGCATGGCGTGGCTGCACCGCCACGCGGTGCTGCATCGAGACCTGAAGAGCGCCAACATATTGTTGGATAACAGCGGCAATGCGAAGATTGCGGACTTTGGGCTGGCCAAGATAGCGAGCGGGCAGCACCGGCAGGTGCGGGCAGGGAAGGGCGAGTGGTGGAAGGGAAGGGAGGGAGCTGGGGCTGGGTCGATTGGATGTGTCGGCTGGATGGCGCAGGAGGCCGGCGCTCAATGCCGCTTTGCGTACCCACGTATGTACGTTGTGCCCTGGACTATCGGTATACCCTTGGCATGCTGCAATGCCTAGTCCGCTTAGCTTACATCGTCTTTCTTGGCTGTTCCTCCTGTCTCTCACCTCGTGCCGCCCCACGGCGCCCACTCCTGCCGTCCTACCAGGTGATGACGGGCGGTCTGGGCACCTACCAGTGGGCGGCCCCCGAGGTGCTGGCGCACCAGCGGTACAGCGAGAAGGCGGATGTGTACAGTTTCGGTATCGTGCTGTGGGAGTGCCTCACGCGGCGCTTACCCTACGCGGTGCGTTGGTGGGGGAAAGTAGGAAGGGCGCCTAGCCTGTGTGCAGCCGCGCATGGCTGAGAGGCGCTTGGGATCAGCTACAGACCGGCCGGGGCCAAAGGCTGGCTGCATCCTTGCCACCTACACGTTACTTCCAACCCAGACCGACCACCTGCACCTAGTTCTCCACAGCGCTGTCCATCTAGCCTCCCCTAGATTTATCCTTATTTCAAACCTTCCCCTCGCCGTCACCTCCTGCCTTCTCGCAATCTGCCCTTACACCGCCATCTTCCCCCGCTGTCCACAGGGCATGACTCCCGTCCAAGCCGCCGTGGGGGTGGTCAACAACGGCCTGCGCCCTGAGCTCCCGCGCGGCACGCCGCCCGCCGTGGCCGACCTCATCCGCTCCTGCTGGGCCGCGGTGCCCGAGCAGCGCCCCTCCTTCACGCAGATCGAGGTGCAGGTGGGGGTCATACTGCAGCAGGCGAGAGCAGCGGTAGCTGGGGGCGGTGGAGGTGGAGGGGGTGAGGGGGTGGGTGGTGCTGAAGGGGGGCTGGCGGGCAGGATGGGGAGCTTGTGGCCGGCTGGACCGGCTGGAGCGAGATGAGGGAGTAACGGCTGGAGAGAGGGAAGGAGGGAGGCAGCGGAGGAGGCGTGCATGCGCGCAGGTGCTGTGCGGAGGGACTGTGCAAGGAGTGCATGGAGGAGGGACGTAAGGAGGATGGGTAGGGGGTTGCAAGGTTTGAGGCTGGGCGGTTAGCTGGGTGGTGCCAGGACGTGGGGGACCCGGGGCAGTGCTCGTACAACCGCTTCCTTGGTTCAAAGGGGTATTGACAGGGCACGCTGCGGGCGCATGTTCCTTGCTTGGGATGGTGGAGGCCATTCGACCATGTAGCTTCACTCGCGGGGTCATGGAGTGGGCATGCTGTAGGGGTGTCGCTGAGGAAGCGGACCCGGGTTCCTTGCCTCGTGCAGTCGGTTTTGTAGTCCTCGTCCTGTTGGCTGGATGGGCAAAGAGGAGTTAAGGAAGGAGAGCTAGGGTTGTGGCTTAGCGTGCCTTGGGGTTTCGTTTTGAGTTTAACTGGAGGTTTCGATGGTTGATTTTCCTTAGCTAAACAACACATGTGGATGGGCCTTATGGTCAAAAAGTGAACAGGGAAACGTTTTTGGCCACGACCGGCCGTGGCGGCAAATTGTTAATATGAAACGTTGACAAGTCTGTACCTGCGAACTTGACATGGATTCTGTATGGCTACACAACATAGCATCGATTTTGGTCCGGTCTGGATATTGACATGTTGTACAGCACAGCTGACGGGGCCTGATCGAATAGTTACATTGCTATGCACTTTTTTTGGTTAGCTGCCCCTAGGGGACCCCTAGTCTACTTCACAATTGGGAGTTGGCGGGCGTGTGGTAACTGTGGTTGCATGTAGCATGTAGGATCCATGTTGAGTGCTAGGTGAACCAGGGTTTGCAGGGTATACTGGGCGCTGTACAAAGCTTGTAGCTGTTAATGGGGAGGATAAGGGACAAAACTCTCCCAGGATCTAGGATCTCAGCTTTTGAGATCTTACCTGTTGTCGTAGTGTTCTGTACGCCGGCTTACCGTATGCATGGGCCACTCCTTCTAGCTGACCGAGACGGCTTTGGACTTTCCAAGGGGTTTCAAAGGACTTACCCTTGCTGTCGTATTGTCGATATCCGGTGCCATGCTTGCAAGGCTACGGGCTAACATTATGGCTGGTGGTCATTAAGCTGTGCTGGCCTACATCGCATGTGGCGTATACGTCATCTGGGTGCCGTACACGACTGTCGTGCACCTGCTGGGGTGCTGGTACCGACCTCATACTCGCATATGAGAACTGCCTGACGTGCCTTGGGTTTCGAGTTGCCTAAATAGCAGCCGGTCGGCAGCTGCCCGTCAGCAGCTGAACGCGAGCCCTTTGCTCACTGCCCTTTGTTATTGACATGCCTTACAAACAATCACCCAGACTTGCACCCGGGCACAAGCGGGGTGGGGTGCAGCCGAGGATGCTGCGGCAGCGCTGCCCGGGAGCGAGCTGGGAGGAGAGGAAGCGGGGGCGCCGGGGTTTGAGGAGGTCGCGAATGCGCGGGCAGCGTCTTCGTCTGTGCTGAATTAGCAGCAGACGCGGCTGCTGCTCTTGACAGCGAAGCCCTGAATGCCGTCTTGCCGTGGTGGCGGCGTGGTAGGTTAGGGCGTCGAGGTCGCTGTTGCATGATGCAAGGAGGGTGTTGATGTCAGGTGTGTCGGTTGTGCCCAGGAAAGCGGGGTAAGGGCTAAGGTTGGTGTGTAGGTAGAAAGTGAACGACCTCATCCACTTTCTACGTACACACCATCCTTAACCCTTACCCCGCCTCGACCATACCGCACCCCGCTGCTGTCCCCAAGCCGCCGCCGGACTCCTGAGCCTGAACATGCGGCTCAGCGTGGTGGACTACGCGGATACCCGACCGGCATGCGGACCCCGCCATGCGAACGGTACCCCCAAACCCTTTACCCGTGAGCGGAGCAAATTTCCGGCAAAATACGTGCCCTTAGGTTGACTACTACAGGAGTGCGCGTAGGGGTGCAGCACATCTAGCCAGGCAGCGGCCCCTGCTTCCCTTGAAGGCTGTTGCGGGTTAGCCGTGGGGCTAACAAGGGCGCATAGGAACAGTGCAGTGAGGTATTCCTAGGATATATAGATGAGGAGCTGCACGCTACTGCTGCAGATGTCTGAAGGAAGCGTCGTTAGGAGGCAAGGCTGAGGTCTGAAACGACGAGTTGGAGCGAGCACATGTCCAACCGTTCCATCCCTGCCAAGCAGGTTACAGCCCACATCGTTGTTGTCGTGATGTTGCCTTCCGTGAGACAGTAACAACGGCCACTGTTGAAGTTCCCTTGCATGGCCGGCTATGCCAATCCACGACACGCAGCCGTCATTGCCGCCCCCCAAAAAAACTGACACAGAGGAACGGCAAAACACACAGAAACCTTAATGAGGAATCCCGGACAATACCCGGGACTACACGCCTCCACCAATCGTCATCCTTTGGCCCGGGTCCCTCACATGTGTCCTCTGTAACACCCCCCACTCCCACTTTCCCGAACCCCGTTGGCAAACCTCCTCTGCGCCCCAGGCCTCTTCAGCCCCATCCCTGCATCACAGCGATGCGCATACCCATGCTCCACCTCATAGCTGCATGCCTCTCTCCTCGTGCGCACGGGGCGACATGCCCGCCTGTTCCAAATTCCTTGTAGTTGCAGTCCCCCGGCCATCCCCTTCCTCGCCACTGTCAACACCATCATCCCCCAAACCATGGTACCAAACCCGAGGTACTACCCACATAATATAACCCAACAAGTGCACACACGCCGCCTCATCTCCAACCCAAACCCGAACGCTGCACCCCATGAACACAACAGCCTCACAAACTGTCCCCAACACTGCAAACGCTCCCCAACAAACTACGCCGCCTCCCTTACGCGGTGGGCTTGGGTGCCCCCGACTTTGCGAGGATGAGCGCCCCGGTGACCGCCACACCCAGCAGCACCCAGCCGCCCAGGTCCCAAACCCACTCGGGCACGGAGGAGGAGCCGGCGGCGGCCGCCCCCGCGGCACCGCCCCGCCGGCCGCCCGTGGCCTCCATCACTGCCGTTTGCTGCGAGATGTGCGACTGGATCTCATCATAGTAGTCGGGGGCCTGGAGAGGGGAGGAAGAGGGGAGAGCGGGGGGTGAAGGGGAAGGTATGAGGGAGTAGAGAGAAAGGAGGGTGGAGGGCAGGTTAAGGGCGAGAAAACACCATGCATGCGTGCGGTTGTGGAGCAGCACATGCGAGTAAGCCCACCCGGCTGTGCTTTTGAAAGCACAAAGAGCTGCGTTTCTTTACTTTACCCAAACAGCTCATGCATGCCCAGACATGCCCCGGTGGTGGCCCCCCACCTTCTCGCACATCTCCAGGGCCTTCTTGTACGTCTCGTTGTTGGGCTCCTGAGGGGCGGGGGAGGCAGGGGCGGTTCAGGATAGAGAGGTGGGTGTAACGGCATGAGGGGGAGGATGAACAATTTCTGGATACAGGGCGTGGCCAAGACCACGACGCCATAAACGTAACGCCGTAACGCACTGTTGCTTGCAGGGGCACTATATGGTGCCCACTACCCAGCTCTCAAGCCAGGATAAAGCTGCTGCGATGTCGCCTGCAGCACCTATGCTTTATTCGATGTACAGACCCTTCCTCAAACGTCGAGCACGCGCACTATTCTGACACCCTGCATCCCTCAGCTCCCCCACTCCAGGTACCAGCTGACATGTTGCTGACATCCAGCATGCCGGGGATGCAACCTCAGTATCTTGCACGTGAGGTATGGCTCTAACCGCAACCTGATCCCACCAAGCCCCTTCCGTCCGCAGTTGAGCTGGCGGGACCGTTCTGCACTCTGGGCAGTGGGCACCCCCCTCCCTCCGCGTCCCGCCAGGTACCGCCCCCATGCACGCTACGCCCTCCCCACCTGTACAGAGCTTCAGACTGCCTTTCTAAATTTACCAAGCATGCTGTTCCGGCTGCGCTTCCTGCGTACCTGTCCTCATGCGTGCATGCGTACATCCCACCGCCGCACCACAGCCTTCGCAGTCCCCCAGGCCCACGCCGAAACCCTTTCCCATCCCACACCTTTTCGGGCTGCATGCTTCAGCGGGCGCCTCGGCACTTCTAAAACCACACCAGGACCTTGACCCCCACCCCCCTGACGCTAGCTCCACCGCCGTCTCTTGTCCCTCACCCCCTCCCCCGCTCCCTTACTTTGCCGCAGCAGTGCTTTTGACCCATATGGCCATATCCCAGCAACACCCAACCCCCCAGCAACACCCGGCTGCCGTACCTTGTCGTAGCAGTGCTTGAAGGCCTTCGAGGCCTCGTTGAAGTTCTGAAGCGCCCGGGACTTCTCGGGGCACAGGAAACCCTGTGCGAGCGGAGAGCAGGGTAGTAGAGCGAGCAGGGTGGAATGGGGGCAGGGGAGGGATGTCAACATGCATACATGCTGTCCGCGAATGCGTTGGCGCGGCGGTAAGTGACAGGAAGCCCTGTGAGCACAGGGCAGACAGGTGGGGGACGTGCACGATAGGGAGGGTGTGCAAACAGCTGTGTGTCACGGCCTGGGAGAGCTGGGTCCAGACGGTGGTTTAGGCAATAGCTGGGTGCACGGCTGGGTGCGCGGCGGGGAGGTGGGAGAGACTGGGTGCTGTCTCTGGGTGTGGGTTCGTGAGGCCACTGAGGACCCCGTGAGTCAACCCTCCCTTCCCAAGGTCGCTTCCCCACTTCCCCAAGGGCCCCAGCACCACCTCACGTACCAGCGAGGTGTAGGCATTGCCTAGGCACCAGTAAGCATCCGCCCGCTCAGCATCCAGAGAAACAGCTTGTTGAAGCTTGACAATCGCCTGCAAGCGGGGTCAAGCATCAATGAGATCTGGTTGGGATGGGCTGGTTGTAGGGTAGCACAAAACAGCTGCTGCTGACCTCTTTAATCATGTCGACGGACTCCTCCCCTTGCTTGTAGTGAGCCAGCTCCAGCATCGCGCCACCCCATCGCACGAGAGCCTGCGGCCGCCGGCAAGTCGTAAGCCCGAGGCCTTGCTAACGCCTAGCGAGAAGTGTGTCAATACCTGCACATTTGAGTTGTCCGACTCGAAGTCCTCCTTCGCCTGCTTGCGTGCTGCCTCGAAGAACTGCTCCCTGCGCAAAAAACATCACGTTGATGTCCTTGTTACCTCCTAAAATGTCATTTTACAAGCTCAGTATTCTTATGTTCTCTATTGCACAGTGCTAACACACCTGTCCGCATCGTCACCGAACAAGGCCATGGTCGCTAACAGGCAGGTAACAAGTTACAAGGCTTTCGTTCCGTGCACACTTGAATCGTAACAAGTGCAGTATTCTCTTTAGTGACGCTTAGCATCCGACATTCGAGAGCCAAGAAATCCAACGCGCCAGGGTCGGTACGATGCCGTATCCAGGCGGAACAGGAACAGTCGGACAGCCTCTGCTGCGCTCGCAAACGTTTTCGTTTTGCCGTGTAGTAAGTTGGGTTTCTGCTGCGCCGTTGCAGTTACACAGCGACTCAATGGTGCTCAGGCGCAGGCGTGGACAGGGTACCCAGCTACCCATTTACCTGAAAAGCGTTAAGTACACCCTTTTCGCTTAGAGGCATGGGATGGCGTACATGTATCCAGCTTATTCCTGGAGAAATTACTAGCGCTAAAACCCACTGGGGCCGGAGTGAGCCTTGGACCCAGCCCCAGGGGCTCCCCTGGGACAGCTAAACAGTTATCCATCCATAACCGTTAAGTGCGTCCCTACACTTACATCAGCTCACTTGCAGAGGTTTCCTTACTAACACCCTGCACCTTCCGCCAGCAACCGCCTGGAGAAACCCAGCAACGGCGGAAAACGAGCTGGACCCCAACCTCACAGCGGCGGCCCAACCGCCCATCCCAGCTCATCCTGATGGCCTTACACCTTCTACGATACGGGACGGCTGCTTGCTGCTTGCGCCAACTCTGGGCTCAGCGCAAGCTTGACCTGTGCGTCTATCCCTTACCGGCCGGGCCTCAAGCAGGGGCCAGCGCGGGTTGGGATCCCACAGTACCAGCCATCTGCGATGCTGGCTGAAAGGCGGAGGACACAGTGGCGGCAGCAGCAGTGGCGATGGTGGGTCGCACGGCAGCCTGCTTGCGGCTAGCTGCATGGGCCCCCGCGGCGCTGCCACCCGGATGCGGCTGCTGCTGCTGTCGATGCTGCTGCGTGTACTTCAGGCTGACAAACCTGAGAGGCAGAAGAAGGGGGGAAAGAGTAAGACGCCAAGGGATGTGGTGTAAAGGACGAGAAGGGACAAGGGGTGTGACAAACGGTGGAAGAGAAAGGTCAATACACGTGCCTTTCCAGCTGGTGTTGAGGCCTGCTAGTCCCTACACACTACCACTTGGCTGCAGCTAATCCCTGGACCATCTTCCCAAACCCTTTAACTACCTTCCCCGTTCGACGCCTTCCTCCGCCCCTTCACCTCCGCCCCTTCGCCTCCATGTTCCAGTACCACCCAGCGCGCCCACCCGCCCCCATTCCCCGACCCTCACTCCCGTCCACACATTGGGTATTCTCCCTTTCCCGCCCACCTGAAGAAGTCCCGCCACAGCAGCTCAAACACCAGCCAATCGCCCTGAGAGCCACTGCTGCTGTTACTGCTGCATGTACTGCTGCTGCCACTTCCGCGGGTAGCATGTGATACTGCCGCGGCTGCTTTTGCTTGCAGGGCTGGAGCTGCTGGCGTGGCAGCAACACCGCCTGCTGTTATTGTTGTTGTTGCTGCTGCCGTTGCCGGTGCAGGTGGGCAGGCAATGACAGCGGGGCCGCCCAGGTGTTGCCGCAGCTCATGGAAGACGCAGCGGGGTGAGAGGCAGCCCAGCGCCAGCCAGGGGGAGATGCGGCAGGAGAAGGCGGAGAGGGCGGCGGAAGGGGAGGAGCAGCGGGAGGAGGAAGACGAGGAGGCAGATGTGTGCCGGGACTGTTGTTGTTGGTGGTGTTGCTGTTGCTGCTGAGCGAGGCTGTACTTCAGCTGTGGGGGAGGAAGAGGGTGTGCAAGGGGCCCGGGGTGAAAGACGGCGGGGGCACAGCGCTGGTCTTGCTGCCATGGTCGTCAAAACATGCCCCCTACACAGCCCTGCAGCCCAACCCAACCACCACCTACTGGTAACCTCAACCACCTCCCCGCCGCCGCCTCCAGCTGCTGCCCTAACCTTCTCCTGCCCTCACATCCCGCATGGGCACCTACCGGAGCCCCCTCTCCACACCCTCCCCCTCCTGAACTGGTGTTGCCCTCCGCCGCTCCCCTTCTCCCACCCGCACCTCCTGCACGAAGCCCTGCAGCGCCCGCAGCGCCTCGCTCTCCCCGCCCCGCACTCCCGCAAGCCCGCCAGCAGCGCCACCGCCACCGCCAGCAGCAGCAGCAGCAGCCGACTGAGGCAGCAGCAGGGGGCTACCATACCCGCTGCCCCGTGCAGGGGCGGCAGACGATGATGACAGCAGGTGCGGTGCTGCTGGTGTTGGTGGGAATGCGAAACCCAGTTGCTGTAGTGTTGGCAGCTCGCCGGGCTCGATACTGGGTGTAAGAGAGAAGGGATGGGTGGGGAAGGAGGGGAGGAGTGGGAGGGTCAAGGCTCATGAAAGGGAAAGAGAAGCGCCAACCCAGGCGCGCCAGCCTGCGCTACATACAGTCTACAATCCCCTTGACGTTGACGCGTGGTAAGCTGGTAATACACTCCATGTAAAGCGCCAGCACTCGCTAGACCCCCCCACCTGAGGCCCTGCGGCAGCCCTTTGATGCCCTCCTCCGACTGAACCATGGGTCGCACACTCAGCCCGCCCAGTCGCGACCGGAAGTCCGAGTAGCTGGCAGGCAGCGATTCCAGTCTGGGGAGGAAGAAAAAGAGGATGAGGATGAGGCAGGAATGGTGAATACGGCTGTAACAAGGTGTAAGTGACCCATGGGTCAACCTGCCTAAGAGACCGGCTCAAAGCATGCAAGTGGAAGTGCGAAACATTCCTCTTTCAGGGGAAGAGGAAGGTGGAATGGCCCCCCGCCTTCACCCTCCACCCCTCGCCCCCCACCTGAACGGCAGGTCCTCCCGCGCCACCAGGCTGCCCCCCCACTGCGCCTCCAGCCGGCACCCCACCCGCTGCAGCGCACCACGCACCCGGGACTCCACCTGCGAGGGGAGTGGGGACACCAGCACGTACCCACGCGTGTTACGGCTGCTCCCCGTATCTAAACACACATGCGTGAGGCTTCCCCCCTTGCTCTGACGGCGCCATGCGCCCCTTCTTGCAAAAGCATGCATGTGGAATTGAGCAGACTCCATGACAGGAGCTCCTGGGAGGGGCATTTTCAACCTACAAAAGGGCAACAGCGAACTCCACGTAGGGCCGCAGGAGACAGGCGAGTGCCCAACGTCCCACACGCGCCCACAGCCCCACATTCCCACAGCACCCCCCCCCATTTCCCCTTCCCCCACCTGCGCCTCCTCCTGCGTCACCTCCTGTTGACACACCACCGCCCCCGCGCCCGCCTCCTCCGCCAGCGCCGCCAGCACCGCCTCGGGCCGCCCCACCCGCAGGAGGAGCTCGCTGCCCGCCGCGCGCAGCCGGCAGCGCAGGTCGGCCAGGCAGGAGAGCAGCAGCGAGGTGCGCGCGGGGCCGGAGCGGGGCTGAGCGGAGCCGGCGGACTGGGGAGGAGGAGCGGGAGCGAAGTGGGAGAGGGAGGGGGAAAGGAAAGGAGGGAGGGGGGTACTAAGGTTTGCGGGTGGGAGTATGACGGTATAAGGGCATGACATGCAGCCTTGGCCAGCGTGGAAAGATGGCCGTGGATCCAGGTATGCATCTTACGTTTCCGTACTCTCGGGGGTCGAAGATGTAGACCGGCAGTACGGCGCTGCCCTCCCTGCAGGCCCTCTCCAGGGCGGGGTTGTCATGCAGGCGCAGGTCGCTCCGGAACCACATGATGGCGGGCCGCCCGCCGCCGCCCCCCGCTGGCCGCCGGCCGTCGCTGCCGCCGCCGCAGGCAGCACGGCGGGGTATCTGGGGCAATGCATGAGGGACACAGAGGACAGGGAAATATGGGCAGGACTAAAGGTGATGGTGGGAGGGCCCCCAGAGCACTGGGTCCAAGGATGTGCAGCATCACAACCGTCCCACCAACCGTGCGCCTCATTCCCCCATTACTCTACCCTAACTCGTGGTTCCTATGATTTGGTATACTTAGACCACCCAGGTGCGGCAGAACCGCGGCTCGCTCACCTCTGTGGGGAAGATACGGACGTCCGAGAGGCGCGTGGGGGCATCCAGGAAAGGTGACTGGGGTGTACGGCAGGAGGAGGAAGAGGAGGAAGAAAGGGAGGGTTGGGGAGAGACTGAGGAAGGAGCTTTCATGAGGAGGAGGAGGCGAAGGAATGAATGGCTAGCGGATGGGAAATGGCGAAAAGGAGTGAAGAGGGTCCAAGGAACCGTAGCAACGGCAGTCCAACACTGTTTGACTCCAAGGTCTCCAACCCAGGCAGGCATGTGTCCTTACCCTGTGAATAGGTGCGCTCAGGAGGCGGCCCAGGGCTGCGGGAACTGCGCTAACGAAGCGGCCGAGGCTGCTGGGCTTGCGGCGCTGCTCGCGCCTGCCTTCTTTGCCGTAGACATCCTCCTTCCCATCATGGACCGGAGTTACTGGGAGCTCGCTGGCGATTGGGTGGCTGCGAAGCCTGCTCCGGTCTAGGATGACGGCATTGCTTGTCGTGGCTGCAGGGACGAGCAGTGTAGGACGCGAGGTAAGGCAAGCAATGCAAGCATGCCTCGGCCAGACGACACCGGTACGAAGCAAGTTTACTTTGTTGAGCTGAAAGCGAAATTGGGAGCCAGCCTTACCCCTTTGAGGCCTAGCGGTGCGGTTTGCGCTAACGCCGGCAGGAGCAAACGCATGGAGAGAGACCGCCGCAAAAGGAAGCCCACTAACGCTTTGTCCTTCCATTTCCACTTCCAGCAAACGAAATCTAGGCAGAAGACATGGGCGGAACTCGTCACGAGTCCACCGGTCCAATTGCAATTGTGTACGGGCTTAACCACTCTTCCGTTGGGCCAGGTTGTCGAGCATCTTTTGAGTCTAAGAAGTTTTACTCCTATCTATCTCCCGCACTCACTTGCAGAAGTGAAGAGTTTTTTGTGATCCCTTTATTAGGCACTTGCGCCTTTGCTTGCTGTATTCTCGGTGTTACTTTACGCGTGGTCAGTCGCAAGAATGCCACCACGTCCAGTAGGTTTGGCTGGTATGCGCCCATCCCGGCGTCGCTCATACCCCGAATATTCTACCGATCGACGCGACAGACCATAGTCTCAGTATCACCATGCCTCGCTGCTGCTGCAGGAGGGGACGGATGGGTCGGACTGGAGCTACCGAGAGGTTGTCGCTGACCGTAAGCTATCAGCTCTGTCGCTTGGTTCCCCATACCATTATCGCAAGGAGCCATGACCCGCCTTTGTCCGAAGCCTTCAAGCACAGACCAACGTGATACTGCGTCTCTGCCAAGTGTATTCACCCGACATGTCATCTGCTTTCCGTGTTATGTTGTCCAGGCTACAAGCGCATGGCGGTCAACATGTCTGCAACTTTCTTCATGCACCAAGTACAGGTAAGGAGCCCCCTCTGCCCTGCCTTCCTCCCTAGCGACTCACCCTAGCGCCCCTCGCGCCAACCCACCCCTTACAATTATAATGTGAACGCAGTTCCCACCTAAGAGTCTCGCGTCTCCCTGGAATCCAACATGGAAGCCAATTTACATGCCACTTATTCCCCCTTACTACCCACTGGCTTCACCTCTTAAGTGATGCCCTCTCCGTCTCCATACGCAGTCCGCCGTCCTGGTCCTCAAGCTGCTCTGGTACCTCTTCCCCGTGGTAGCGGAGGGTGCGTGAGACCTGGGAGTTGCGGGCCCTGCACCATGTCTGCTTTCAACTATTGCTCTGCTAGCATGCTGGGACTGCACAACGGGGACAAAAAGTAGGAGTGAAGCACTGGAAACGACCCCAGTGACTCAATGGGGGCGGGAAAAGAGGACCGCGCCATTGGTGGCGCATCAGGTCCTGCTCCCACTTACACACGTCCAGTAGCCTGTAATGCCTATATCCGGACGCTAGGGGGTCGGGTGACCGTCTAGCATGTGGAACTTCTGTTTGCGTGGTGGCATGACCGCACAGCTGCATGGCTGCTTAGCAGGCTTACCCCCTCTGTTCTTTCCTGTCTCCCTGCTGCCCGGGCCGGCAGAGCGGCGTCCTGACCCCTTCTTCTTCGCGCTGCTGGCGTTCCTGGTCGTCGGCAACATCTGCTTCTATGCGGGTAGGAGGAAGTGACGGGGGTGGTGCGGGCCACCGATGAACACCTGCTGTGTTGCGTCAGCAATGCTCCGACTGACTTCGCAATGACGGTCCAGGTGGCTTCTCAGCTGGACTCATGTGCTGCCCACCACCGCTGCGCTTGCCCTACATATCGGATTTTCAGGACCGGTTTGGTTTCTCTCTTGGCCCTCCGCTGCTGTTGTTACCATACGACTCCTGCTTGCTCCCATGCCCCCCCCCGCCTCCATGCTGCAGGGCGACCCAGGGGTCGGTGTGTGCTGCCGCTGATGAAGGTGGCGGCGCTGCTGGTGATGGCCACACTAGGACTGGTGAGGGGTCGGGGGGAGCAGTGGGAGGATGCTGGGTCTTGCCAGCCATGCGCCCACAGCAGCGGGCTAGTCACCTTTCGGGATGTCATCATGTTTTCCGCATGCCATGGCATCCCTCCCTCGTGTCTGATCAACCATCTCCTTGCGACCCATCCATCCACGCGTTCCTTCAGCTGCGTGATGACAACTGTAATTCTGCATCCTCCCAACCCCCGCCGCGCCAACTGCCTGTCGTACGCGCCACCTGTCTGCCCCGTACTCCGCAGCACTTCGTGTCGCTGTGGAAGTACCACTTGCTGGAGCCCAAGACCAGCCAGTACGGCCGCAGGCTGTACAAGCTGCTCCGAGACCGGGGCACCCTAGAATCACGTGAGCGCTAGCTGGGGGCGGCTGGGGGCGGGAAGGATGAGACACGGTTGACAAAGAAAGGCATTGAGGCACGGTGCTGTGGAGTGTGTTTGTGGAGGACATGCAGCGTGACAACCAGCATGAGGCCAGCAAGAAGCACCTTGCCGCTTGCCGGCCTTAAGCAAGTGGCGTAAGGGCTTACGTCGCGTGTGTGCCTTGTGCTTTGTCCTTCCCACGAGGTGTCAATAGTGGGTTATAATGGTTCGGTTTACTGCCCCTCGCAATCCCTCTTTCCTCCCCTGTGGTGTCTCCTGCACGTTCCCCCTTGCCCTTTACCTGCTGCCGTACCGCTTCCCCTTCCTCGCTCCCCTCCCCCTCCTCGCTCCCCTCCCCCCACCTCTCTCCCAGCCACCTGGCTCACCGTGTTCACGGCAGCCGAGGGTGTGCTGGACGCAGCCCTGGTTGCGGCTGCTGGCACCTGCTTCTTCATCTTCAACAACTGGGTGCGGGACGCCATGCAGGCGGCCAAGGAGCGCCAGCAGCGGGGCAAGCAGCAGACGGCAGCGGGGGCGGCGGCGGGAGGAGGAGCTGTGGCGGGCGGCGGCAGGGCTGTGAGGCGGCGGGCGTGATAGCGGTAGTGGGCGGGGACAGCGGGCGGTGGGTAGTTGTTACCTTGTTAGGGCTGTGACGTGGTGAGGGGCGGGTGGGTGATGGTGTGCGCGTGTGCAATGGTTGGGGGATTAGATAAACTGAGCCGCGGGAACACTGACCCAAGGGTGGATGGTACAATGGCAGCGACTGGTGGAGTGAGTAGGCTATGTGGTTGGTTGCATGGCGGTTGCACCAGGTCATTACCGGATCCGCATCTAGGTCGGGGTTTCCTGGATTTCCATTGCGACGTACGGCTTGTTTGCACCGTTGTACGGCGTGTACGAGCCTGGCAACAATGTAAATATACGGCGAATTTCGCACAAATGGCTCCTGCCCCAATCGTAAGCACCTCCTCGAGCATCAATACGACCTCCGAGACTAACAACATGCCTGCCACACCGTATGTGGCCCTGTTACGGGCTGGGCGAAGGTTTGGCTGCAGACACGGTTGCTGTTGGTGCCTGTCAGTGACAGGCAGCATGCACTACCAAGGTGGCAAAGGAGAGCGGACCTTCCATCAGCGAAGTTTGCTTGAGCCAAAGATGGGGACAACTGGCCTGCAGACGGGGCGTGTACGCCGTGACACGCATGTCCGTACAATGTACAGGGCAGGATTTGCTTTGGCGATATTAGTGCCATAAGCCATTCCTGCATCTCTAACGAGCTTTGCAATTCTTGCTGGGGATCACATTTAACCTCTTTAGCTTGACTAGCAAAGACTCGACACAATGGGTCTGGGCGAGGCTTTCCGCTCGGCCATCTACAAGGAGCCCACCATGGTGTGGAGCCTCATGCTTTACGTTGCCGGTAGGATTTTATTAGGAAACAACCAGCGAGCAGCGTGCCATCGGCAAGCTTGTTGTTCATAGCTGGGACTGTCAGTAATTCGCTTTTCAGTAGAAATAATAAAGCGAATGGTTTCGATACTATGCAGGGCTATCCTATGTAACTGTCGTTAGGCCAAACCTGGTTGAGCCGCACAGCAAGGACATGCCGAAGGCGCCGCCCAGCCTGAAGGAGGTAAGTCAGGATAGCAAACGTGCAAATTTAGGACGGCCCTGCACGGCTAAGTGGGCGCGCCGGCCCCTTCTGCCTGAAGCTGATGTAATGCGCTTCTTCTTGACTCTAGGTGATGGCGGGAATCCAGGCCAAGCTTAACAACAAGTAAATGGAGTGATTAGGTCACAGCTGCGGTCACGGCTATGGTTAGCATGAGCGGGGCCCCATACCCGGCTTACCAAAACCAGAGGAGGGATATGCGAAGCGCGCGATGGTTGCTGGACGAGGGGAGCACCGCATGGCGCAGGCGCGGTCCAACTAGGTGGTAGCATGGGAGGGAGCGGAACCCCCTCCTTACAGCACGGTTTGGGGGCACTGCAGCCCCATAAAGAGGGTTTGTGACTACGGCTCTGGGGGATCGACTTTTAAGCCATGGTTAGGCTTGGAGGAACAAATATTGTGGAGCGGGTTGGGTATGTGGACCGAAGGTTTTGGTGTCAAGTGATGTTGTGTACAAAGTGATTCTCGCGCACGGCGCGCGGCCGCTTTCACGCTTGTCCTTGGCGTGTTTGTAACCGTACCCTGCGCATGCCCGTCTCTTTCTCTACGCCTTTACGATGTCCCTGCTTCAGGGGACTAGTCCGTCCCGCGGCCGAACCTTGTGCTAAGGGACGCAGTCCCCCTAATAGGGTCATAGCTGACTAACAGCCAATATATCGCGCTACGGACGGGCATGCCTGAGAGAATGGTCCCTACGTCGCTGGCATGGGCACATGAGCGCGGATGCAGGTCTGATAACCGGGCAGGGTGGCTGCAGGTCTGATAACCGGTTACCTCGTGCGCTCACACGTGCAGCACTTGCGGGGCCGTCAGGGCCGACCCAGCGTCTGTCACCATCAGGAGATAGCGCCTCCCTGCACGTGCTAGGTGCGCAGAAGACATGATGGACGCCAGACATCGTGAAGGACCAACAGCAGCAGCCTTCAGCAGAACGAATGGTTGACGAAGGGAAGAGGGACGCTTTCGATTAAGACCACTGTCCGGGCATACCCAAGCCCACGACGCTCGTTTCCTTTCGCCTTTCGCCTTTACGGCCGGTATGGCGGTTGGTACCTCTACTGAGGTGTCCCAGTAAGTCGTTCCCCATGGCCCGACCGCACAGCCTAGCATGGTGGTAAAACGCTCATCACAAACGGGCCATGCAAGTCGTTGTTAACTACATAAGGGCTGGCAATAAGGCCTTAAGGACCAACTCCTCATGGGTCTTCCTCCTCCCGGCTCCTCAACGCGCACTGATACCATGAGCACGCAGCAGCTCACGTTCACACCCTCACTTCGATATCACACCTACTACAAGACGCCACAAACCCTGCATTCGGACCGCTGCATCGTCGATACCGGTGGCCAGTCCTTCGCAGGTCTGAGCCAATCATGGCAGCCGCCTCCTGCATCCCAAACCCCCCATTCAGCTCGGCTGTTCACCCGCTCCTTAGGCATCATAGCTGAAAGAAGCATCACCTATTCCTGCACCGAAAGTAGCGATGCGAAACCCTAATGCATTCCGAAAGTCAATCCCTTCCCCAGCCCCCAGTTACACAAACCCACCACTCTCCTCACACCTCGCACGCACTCGCATCCAAACCCCTCTCAAAACTCCACACTCATGCCAAACACCCACCATTAAGAGCATCCCCCACCCTCCTCACCCCATCCCCTAACCCCCTCCTAACCACCACCGCCGCCCTCACAACTGCCCTCACGACGCCGCCAGCAGCGTCTTCATGGCTTCCGTCGCCGCCGCCGCTGCCGCCTGCTCCGCCTCCGCCTTGGCCAGCTTCTCCGCATCCGCCGCCTTGACGTCCTCGGGGGTTTTGTCGTAGGCGGGCAGCGACATCTTCTTCTTCAGCTGCTCGATACGCCCGGCCACCTCAGTAGACTGGGGGGTGCAGGGGAAGAGGGCAAAGGAAGAGCAGATGGATGAGAAAAAGGAAATGGGTGAATCCTGAAGGGGTTTAGAAGCTTAGAACCCATACACTATCCCACCATCACCACCATCACCGCCGCCTCATCCTCACCCCACACACACTCCACTAGCCCGCCTCGTTACATCTCTTCATGGATTGGGATTCCAGTGCGGCAACCCTACTACAAACGCCTCCACCCCCCACTCGTTGATGAACTTATCTATATTTTCCCCCCACTCCCGCGCCTTCCCCCGCCCCCCACCTTCTTCTCCAGCTTGGCGATCTCCAGCGCCGGATCCAGGATGCCCTTGAGCCCCATGTGCACAGTGGTGGCCTCGTCCACGATGCCCACCGAGCAGCCCAGCGGTGCCGCCTCGCCCGCCGCCAGCAGCGCCACGTCGCAGGAGGCGGACAGGGTGGCCACCTCCAGCTGCAGCGAGCGCAGCTGAGAGCACTTGTCTGGCGGGGGGGAAGGGAAGGGAGGCAGGAGAGGGTAAAATCAGCAGCAGGACGGCTGCGTGGTATGGTTGGTTAGATAAGCATGCGGCAAGCTTCACACGGGGCACCCTGTCCCGCACCACCCTGCAGCATCACTACATCCCCCATCCCATTTTCCCCCACACACTGCAACCCCAGTCGCTCCTACCCTCCACCTCACCACCCCCTGCTCTCACCCTCATCGCTGCACGCCACGTAGAGGTGCGGCTTCTGCTTGGTGAGCCCGTAGTCGCTGCGCATCTTGCGAACCGCGCCCACAGTGGCCAGCGCGAACTCCATGGCCCGCTCCGCCGCGGGGCAGTCCCAGGCGGCGCTGGGGGCGGGGTAGGGGGTCAGCATGATGCTGGCGTAGGAGGCCTGGAGGGGGAAAAATTAATTAATTGAAACAACAGGGGGGGGGGAGCAGGGCAGGGCAAGGGGGTCAAAGACCGTACCATACCATAGGAAGCCACTGGTTAGGAGGAGGGGAGTGAAGAGGGCAGGGCTCAGGGTTGCGTGTGGGTACACGTCGGGAGCATCCTAATGCCACCAGCCCAACTGCGCATCATTTTTGCATGCAGAGGAAAGCAGCACGAACTCTCAGCTAGGTGGGGTGTGAGGCCGGATAAGGGAAGAAGGGATCCACCCGCCACCCGCCACCCGCCCCGCCCCGCCCCACCATGTCCGGGTGCCGCGGCAGGCGCTGCCACAGCTCCTCCGTGACAAAGGGCATGAAGGGGTGCAGCAGCCGCAGACCCGCGTCCAGACAGGTCCACAGCGTCTCGCGAGTCAGGCGCTTGGCGGCGGCCAGCTCGGGCTGAGGGCGGGAGGGAGGGGGCAGGTGAAGAGCGAGGGTGTCAAGCGGGGGGAGGCAGGGGGGCGAGGATGGGACTCTGTTGGGTGGGGCTAGCCAAGGAAGCGGTGCTAGGTCCCTGCTGACCTGACTCCCCGGCAACTTAAGCCCCATATCAAGACTAGAAAGGAGTACGAAGCATCCAGGACATCAAGGGCCAGAGGAAGGCGACTCTGCACGCGGCTAGTGACTTCAAAAACGCTGGAACGAAGCCCAAGTATCCTTCCCCCCCTCGGGCGCTACAACCCTGCGTCGCTCGCCCCTCTCCCCACCTTGCTGTCATCGAAGGCCATCACGGGCTTCATGACCTCGATAAACACATCGCACAGCTCGTTCTGCCACAGCGCGTACACGCGCTGCGTGGCGGTGGAGAAGTCGTACGCCTCCATGGCCTGTTGTGGAGCGTGGGGGAAACGAGGGGGGTGGTTGGAGGGGATGGATGGGGGGAAGGACTAATGGCAGTTCCTGGCACCAGCGCACCCCCACCACACCCCCTACCCTAACCACGGCCTTTACCCGAATCACTCCAGTCACCTGCACAATGACGCCAATGGCGTTGTTGAGGCGCGACAGGATCCAGCGGCAGGCGGGCGGGCAGTCCGCCGCCACCAGCTGCTGCCGGGGGGGCTCGAACCCGGGCGGCAGGTTCATCATGGCGAACTTGATGGCGTTCCACAGCTTGTTGCACCAGTGGCGGTAGGCAACCACACGCTTGATGTCCAGGTTGATGTCACGGGCCTTCGCGGGTGGGGGGCCGGATGCCGAGCAGGGCACAGGTCATGGCGGGATTGTGGCCGCGAGAGAGTGCGGTAGTGCAGGAGAGTGGGCTTTAGGGTGACTGTGACGCCACGTGACTGTTGATGTAATGACTAATGAGCAACCGGCATGGGCATGGGGATTGCTTTAAAGCAGGCAGTGCTATGTGAGAGGCAGGTGGGTAAAAGCGGTTGGTTAGCTCTCCTTTCTTCACGCATGCATGACCAGACCCGTGGCATGTGCCCAGCCACACATAGCCCCTCCACGCTTCCCCCCATCCCCCCTGAAGCTTCGTCCTACAGCGCCCTCAGCTTCCTCTCTTTCCCCCCTTCCCACCTGCGCGGTGTACGCCACCAGCGCAAAGCGCAGCGCATCCGTGCCGCACTCCTCGATGCCGTCCGGAAAGTCCGCCTGCTGGCCCGCCTTGGCGCGCTCGATCTCCTGCATGCGTGCGCGAGGGAGGCAGGTGAGGGCGGGTGGGGGCAGGTGGGGGCAGGTGGGGCGGCATGCAAGGGGGGGTGAGACAGCCCGTGAGGGCAGCAGGTACCGGTGCTGATGGCGGTACACACGAGCGCAGTCGTCACATACAACTGATAATTTTGGTATTGGCATACACACAAAACCCAGCGTACTGCAAACGCAAACGCAAACGCAACCCACCCCGCACCTTGGGGTCCAGGTTGCCCCCCGCCAGCGTGTCATGAAGCCCGGGCAGGGTGATGCCCTCGATGACGTGCAGCGGGTCGATCACGTTGCCCAGCGACTTGGACATCTTGCGCCCGTGCGCGTCGCGGACCATGGCGTGCAGGTAGACCTGCTTGAAGGGCACCTGGCCTGGGGGGCGGGGAGTGGTGGGGGCGGGGGGAGGAGGAGGAAAATGGCCGTGTTGTGGTGAATGGTAGAGATGGGGAAGAGTGGTGGGCGGGGCACAGGAGGTATAGGGTTGTATACAGGGGTTATCCAGAGCTGGCGGATGAGCGACGGGGGAATGGGAGAAGAAGGGGCGGAGGGGGGGGCAAACGACTCAGTGCTAGAGACGCTAGGAGCAAAGAAGCGGCGCTTCGTGCATGCAAACGCGTCATCCATCCTGCGAACTAATCCTCCTCCGCCCCTCACCCGTCAGCTGTATGCCCATCATGACCATGCGCGCCACCCAGAAGAACAGGATGTCGTGCCCCGTCTCCAGCAGGCTGGTGGGGTAGAAGGCGGACAGGTCGGGGGTGGCGTCGGGCCAGCCCATCACGGAGAAGGGGAACAGGCCCGAGGAGAACCTGGACGGGGGGCGGGGGGTAACGAGGTAACAAGGGAAGGGTAGGAAAGGAGGTAGATGACCAAGGAAAGGGGAAACGAAGTTCCGGAAGCCGGCGGGGAAGAAAAGCTGCGCTTGTAGATGCATGTCCCACCCCTTACTTCGCTTCACCGCCTTCTGCTCCCCACACCCACCCCTCGCACCCGCACATCAACCGCTTCCAAAACACACCGCCACCACCACCATCTTCCGACAATACAGTACGATCCCAGCGGCCAGCCTATAATACCCTCCACCCTCCCACCCCACCCCCTCCCTACCATGTGTCCAGCACATCCTCGTCCTGCACCAGGCTGAAGGCGCGGCCCGGGTACTTGGCCGCCGCGGCCGCCTGCGCCTCCTCGCGCGTGCGGCCGCACACCCAGCGGCCCATGTCCTCGGAGGGCATGCCGGGACTGCCGGAGGCCTTGGAGTCCTCGCCTGGGCGGGGGGGTAAAAATAAGGAAAACTGACGAACTGAAAGACGGAACCCCCTGGGCGGGGGGGGGGAGGGTATAAAATAATGAGACACTGACGATGCAACTGACAGGCTGTATGACATGTAGGCTTCACCATGGGGTGCAAACTTGGTACCCGGTCCATCCCACCCTACCCGAAGCAGTCTAGCCGAACGAGGGGGGGGGCCCAACAATTTCGGGGAAGAAGTACAATAAGCAGGTGCAGAGGGTAAGGATGTGGCGGGCGGAGTGAGGAGGTGAAGGCACTGGGCGAACGGGAAGCACGGTCCATAGCGCGAAGAGGTGGCAGCACGTGCGTCCCTTCCCCCCTCCCGCTCTCACCCTCGAAGATGACGTAGTAGGCGGGGATGCGGTGTCCCCACCACAGCTGCCGGCTGATGCACCAGTCGCGGATGTTCTCCAACCACCGGAACCACACCGCCTCAAACTCCTGCGAACAAGTAACCAAGCGAGCCAGCCAGCAAGCGGGGTGTCGGATGCGGTGACGCATGCACAGCATGACGCATGCAGCAGAGAGCACCATGCACCTCCAGCAACCCTTCGTGCCAGTCACCAACCACCTCCGCCCTCCACTGCACGCGCACCCCGCCCCACCTTGGGAATGATCTGCAGGCTGCCGTCGCGCACCGCCTGGCAGGAGGCGGCCGCCATGTCCTTGCAGTTCACCCACCACTGCGGCTTCAGCACCGGCTCGATGACGTCCTGGTTGGGGGGAGGCGGGGTGCAGCAGGGGGATTGCAGGACAGCAGGGGGCGGGAGGTCAACAAGAAGTTAGAGAGAAGTAACACAATAATGCAATTCACGGGGTACACCGTTCGCGGGGTGTACCGGCGCCGCACATCCCTGCCCGCAGACACGCCGCCGCTCACCTTGGATCGGCTGCACAGCCCCAGCCGCATGGGGTTGTCGGAGGTGCCTCGGAACAGCCCCTTCTCCCGCAGCATGTCCACCACCGTGACACGGGCCTGCGGGGGGGGGGAGGGGGAGGGGAGGGGGGCAAGGCAAGGGGGGAGGAAGCGATATGAGGGGTAGTGCAAGTGAGGCCGCAAGGGATTCGGGGCAGCCCTGCGGACCCACCTTAAAGCGCGGCTGACCCTCGAAGGGCCCTCCCTGCGCGTTGATGAGGCCGTTGTCATCGAATATGTTGATGAACTCCAGGCCGTGGCGCTTGCCGGTGGCGAAGTCGTTGGGGTCGTGCGCGGGGGTGACCTGGGGGAGGGGGGTGGGGATGAAAAGGTGGATAGAGTTGCACACAGGTCGGGTATTGAAGAGGTTGCGAAAAGTCGTATAGGAGGAGGGGAGGGGAGGGCGGCAGTCAGTAGGGGGTAAGCGCGCAGCAGGGGGTTCAAGGTACAAGGGAGACGTGGGCGAAAGGATTGACATTTCCCATGCAACCTGTCAACATCAACCTGTCGACATGATTGTGCGGGGGCAGTGACGGGGTCAGGGCCCCATGCGCCCAGCTACATTAGCGTCCCACCCACCCCCGCAGTCTCCGAATGCACTCACTGCATGAGTCGGGATATGGGATTGGGACTTAGTTGTTTGCATTTCTTATATAATTTTACCCCCGCAGTCCCCAGTTGCTTCACGTCTCAATCCCCGCCCTCTTCACTCCTCATCCCCTCCCCCGCCCTCACCTTGACGGCACCCGTTCCGAACGCCATGTCCACCAGCTCCGCATCGCAGATGATGGGGATGCGCCGCCCGCTGACCGGGTGCACGACAAACTTGCCGTGCATGGCGGTGTAGCGCGGGTCCTCGGGGTGTACGGCAACCGCCGTGTCTCCCAGCATGGTTTCGGGGCGGGTGGTTGCGACCACGACCTCCCCGCTGCCGTCCTCCAGCGGGTAGGCGAAGGAGGTGAGCACGCCGAACTCCACGGGCTCGGAGTAGCCGGGCACGTTCATTAGGGTGCGCTGCGGGAGGGGAGGGGGGTCAAAGACCATACCAAACCAGGGGAAGGGTGGTCAGGAATAGACCGAACCATAGGAAATCGTCGATGGTTAGGGGAAGAAAACAGCGAGCAGGATGCCAGTAGAAGCGGAGAGGAGGGGGGGGGGGGGGGGGTGTCGCATGGACGTGATAGCTGGAATGGGAGATCGGATGTGCAGACGTGGAAACTAGGGCTAACAAGTCGTTTGGCTTGCGACTCATGGCCACCACTCAACCACTCAGGTCCCCGTCCAAACCCAGCTGTCAGCAGGCCAGCAGCCCTCCCTCCCCCTCCCTATCCTCCTTCACCTCTTCTCTTCTCCTTACCCCCTCCCCTTTCCCCCCCTCCCTCCCTCTTGCTTCACTTTTCATTTATCTTTCCCCCACCCCCCCTCCCTCCCCTCCTCCCCTCCCCCCTCCGCTCCCACCTTGGGAATGTCGATGTAGTCCACCTCGATGTCGCTGACCGCCGTCTTGAGCCGGCAGCACCAGTTGACCAGCCGGTTGTCGCGGTAGATGCAGCCGCCCTCGAACATGCGCACAAACGCCTCCAGCACGGCACGCTGGGGGGAGCGGGGCAGGGGGGAGCGGAGCAGGGGGGGCGAGGGAGGGGAGGTAAAGGAAAAAGGGGGAGAAGAAGACGTGAAGCACCGGGGGGCAGAGGGCGGGGATTGAGGATGACGACAGCCAAGAGAAGCAGCATCCCAGCAGCGCCCCTTCCCGTCCAGCCCCGGGTTACTACTCATCCCCCCGCGCCCCTCTCCCGTGCAGCCCCCCCTGTTCCTGTTATTATTATCGAATTATCCCCCCCCCTGTTCCTACTCGCGGCCAATTTCCTCAACACCCCCCCACCCCCACTCACGCTGAGCTTATCGTCCATGGTGAACACGCATCGCGACCAGTCCACCGAGGACCCCAGCCGGCGCAGCTGGTCGTGGATGCGGTGGCCGTACTGATCCACCCACTGCCACACCTCGCCCAGGAAGGCGTCGCGACCTGGGGGGGTGGGCGGGGTGGGCGGGAGGTCCATAGGGATGCATACTCAGCATTTGGCTGGATTATAGGATTGCGTATAGGCATACCGTACTTGTTGGGTTAGTTGTGGGGTGGGGGTGGGGAGGAGGTGGTGGAGGAGCAGAGGTAAAGAGAGGGGTAAGCACCTGAGACCTACAAGCCCGGTGCCCGACATGATATGACATGACCCATGGGCAGGAAGGAAGGAAGGGAGGCGGAGAGACGCGTATGCACCGGCTCGTCAAGCCACCTCGCGCAATCCACACCCCTCAAAACCCAGCGCACGCACTTCCCAACAGCTTCAGCCTTGTCACAGGTGCGTTAAACAGGGTGTACCGTATGTTCGAACAGGCACACGCCCCTCCCCTCACAGCCCCCCCAACCTCACCCAGGTCATGGCGCGTGACCCCCTTCTCCCGCTGCAGCTTCTTCTCCACCACCGTCTGCGTGGCGATGCCCGCGTGGTCGGTGCCCGGCACCCACAGCGTGTTGTAGCCGCTCATGCGGCGCCAGCGGGCAATTGTGTCCTGGGGGGGGGGGGGAGGGAGGAAATTCCAAAGTGGGGGGGGGCGGGGGGAGGAGGGAAGACAAGTCGGGTTTAGGAGACCGATGGACGGAGATGGAAAGAGGCGGAGAGATGAGGTGAGTAGGGCTTGGCATGTGGTGCATGCAGCTGTTGCACCCGGGATTGGAACCGCGGTGGGTGCCCACGAGCGCACTGCGCCACTGGGCGCATACCTGGTAACGGAGCTCACAGCAGGTGGCTATGAGTACATCCACCCTCGCCTCCAAGTCCGGACCTACCCCATCCTGACCCTCGCTTTTCTGACCCGCTCTCTCACCCCCAGCCTCACGCCACCCCTCCCCCCACCTGGATGGAGTTTGTGAGCGCGTGGCCGATGTGCAGCGCCCCCGTCACGTTGGGCGGCGGGATGACGATCACGAAGGGCGGCTTGTCGACAGCGGCGGGGTCGGGCTTGAAGAAGCCGCACTGCTCCCACCACTCGTACCTGGAGGGGTGAGGTGGGGAGGCGAATAATAAACAAAAAGAAAAGCAATCAAGTCCCAATCCCATATCCCAACGCATGCAGTGGGTGGGGGTGGGGGGTTGCATGGTGGTAGCGGGTCAACAGGGGGGTCCCCCCCATCCTGCCCCTCTCCCTCCCCTCCGTTGATGCATTTACCTATATCGTTTCCCCTCCCTCCCCCCCCCCCGCCCGCCTCACCAGGCCGCCTCCACCATCTTGGGGTGGTAGGCCTTGTACATGGACTCGGGCAGCTGCTTCTTCTCGCCCTTGGGAGTGGACTGCGCGGCGGCAATCAGGGAGGCCACCTCCTCCGCCTCCGCCTTCTGCTCGCAGGGGGGCACATGGGGGGTCAGGTTGGGGAGGAGGGGAAGGGAAAGACAAAAGGCGGTGGGAAAAGAAGAATATCCTATGTGCGGTGGGGGGGGGTAGTGAAGTTACATGGATGCCCGGTGCGACATGGCAGAACGACACAACGAAGGCGGGAACACGAGGCCGAATGGTGCCACCGAGGCAGCTAGCCCTGCATTGCAGCGGCCCCTTCCCAACCTTGCCCAGGCCCAAGCAGCCTACACCATGCAGACATGCCGCCATTGCATGCCACCATTGCCCTCCCGCAACGCTTCCTGTTCCCATCTCCCGGCCCCCCCCTCCCACCACCCCCCCGCTTCCTATCCCCAATGTTTTGCCCCAACCTGTGGTTTCTTAAGGTTCGGTACGGTCTTAAATCCCCCCCACCTTCTTCGCCTCCGCCTCCGCCTTCTCCTTGGCCTTCTTGTCCTCTCCCGCATCCGCAGCGCCCCCTCCCTTGGCCGCCTTTGCCGCCTCCTCCGCCGCCTTCTTGGCAGCGAACTTGGCCAGCTTGGCTGCCTTCTCAGCGTCCTTGGCGGCCTGCGGGAGCGGGTGGGGGGGGGGGTAGCAGGGAGGGCGCGGTGTTACCGGTGAGGAGGGTTAACGTATTCGGAGATAGTTGAACAACTCCCAACCCAGTCTAGGCAGACCCCCCAGCTTCTCGTCCCCTCCAGGTCTCTTCCCTCGCAATATTTGCGCATCCTCACCCATTCCCACCCCACCCCACATGCGTCTGCCCCCACCATGCCCGCTCCCCCCCCCACCTTCTTCGCTGCCTTCTCCGGGTCCAGCTCCGCCTGAGCAGCAGCAGCAGCAGCAGGGTCAGCAGCGGCTGCGGGCTTGCCGTCCACACCGTCAGCAGTGGGAGCCACAGCGGCGCCCTGGGGGGGAGGGGAACGGTGGTTGGGAGGCAAACAGGGAGTGTTGGCAAAACAAATTAGGGGAAAAGAGCGAGAATCTCAAGCTTGCAACTTCCTGGTGGTGGTTCAAGCGGCAGGGGGAATGGAAAACGTTCCCATGCGCCTCAGCCACGCATCACGCACATGCTGCAACTGCCACCACGGTCTCATGCTTGCATTGCCGACGTGATGTGCCGCTAGCACGATTACCAGGACCCGCGTCATGCGGCGCTTCGCTCTCATACCCCGACACAGCCCCGCTACCCCCACCTCCCTCTCCTGCTTCCCCGCTTCCCACAAGCCCTCCCCTCCGGCTTACCTTGCCCTTCTTCTTCTTGCCGGCCGCGTCCTTCTTGGACGGCTGCACCCACTCCTCCTCCGCCGCACACAGCGTCAGGGCGCCTGGGCAGCACAGCAGGTCGGGGCACCCCGGAGCATCTCAAGTGGTGTGTGAGGGTGTGTTGCTGTCCTAACTGTGCGTCTGTAAGCGGGTGGTACTGGCCGCCCTTTACCCGCTCCCATCTTCCGCGCGATGTGAACTGAACACGCCCATGCAAACACGGTCGTACCCAGACCGCACTCTGCTAAAGCATCCCTCCTCACCTCCTCAGGCCGCACCCCTCCTTCCACCATCCCTCGCATTTACTCCTCCGCCCATCCAATCTTCCGCCTGTCCGGCTCCCCCATACGCGGTTGCTTTCTTTCCTCTTCCCTTCCCCCTGCTGCCCGCCCCTCCCCAGTGTCTTCCTCTTCCTCTTCCCCCACACCCGCCTCCCACCCCGCCCCACCCGCCCTCCCCCCCGCACCCACCCAGCGCCTTGCTGAACTGCGGCAGGCGCCTGCAGCCCGCCAGCCACTCCAGCACGGGGGCGAAGTGCGCCTGCAGCGGCCGGCCCAGCACCGACTCCGCCAGTGGGCTCAGCGCGGCGGCCAGGGACACGTCGGCCAGCGTGGGGGCGGAGCCCAGCTGAGGAGCGGAGGGAGGGAGGGAGGGAGGGAGAGTAAGAGGTGCTTGTGTGCAGGGGGTAAGAGGGGGTCTGGAAGCACCCACACACCTTCCCACCATCAGAGGAGCGGTCTCGCTGGCTGCTCCATTTAATACCTGCACTGCATAGCCTTCCCCTCTCTCGTACAGACCCTTCTCTCCCCTTTTCCACACCTCTTACCCCTCTCCCCCCTCCTCCTAGCCCCCCTCTTCCCGCCTCCCCTACCAGGAACGTGCGCTCCTGCTGGCCCAGGTCCACTTTGATCTGCTCCAGGGCGGTGGTCAGGGAGGCCTGGGCGGCGGAGCGGGCCTGCAGGGTGAATGGGGGGTGGCGGGGTGGGTGGGTGGGCGGAGGAAGGGTGGGATGAGGTGGTGGGGATCTACTTTGCGTCCAGTCGTCAGGTGGCGGGTATCGGTAGCCGCCCAACGCCTGCAGCCCTCCCAGCCATGCAAGTGTTTGCAGCCCATCACAGCCTCTGATGTTGACTCCGATAGGCCTGCTCGGGCCGGGCAAGCTCTCTAACCCAAATCGCATGCGCAAGCTCCGCTCCCAGCACAGCCCCCAGCTCCAGCCCAACACACGCTGCTCAGTAGCAGCAGCAGCAGCACCGCGCGAGCGCCTGCACCCTGCCCCTCACCGCATCGTCCGCCTTGGCTGCGAAGGGCTCAACCCAGGCCAGCGCGCCCGCCTCGCAGGTGGCGCCCACCTCCAGCCACTTGTCAATGGAGGCCTGGCGGGCGCGACGGCGATATGAGGATTACATGATGTGATAGGTTTGGGAAAGGGGTTGGGGGAAAGAGTTGGAGGCGAGGGCACGGGCTGAGGCACGCCGTGGGACCCTTTTAGCTGCATCACGAGTCGCCATTGCAACCCTTGCATGTCGCCCAGCACGTGTTAGCGCGCCAGGAGCCGCGTACCTTTAGGTTGTCAGGGTAGAGGGAGTTGCCGGCGTGCTGGCTGGCAACTGTGGGATAGAGGGGGGGTGGGCGATAACAGGTTGATGGATGGGAAGAGGTGCCTGCTGACAACCTCGCATCAGATGCAGCATAGTAGCTGGGATATATAACCGACAGCACAATGCGAGGCCGATGCGTCGCTAGCTAAGACCACAAGGGACCGTATAACGCAGCATGGGTTTTGTGGCACAACCCACAATGGCACGCACAAGCCATTACAGGGCAAACCCTGCTCACCATAACGCAGGATTTCGCTTGTGCCATGCACACTGTGCTCCCCTGCCTTCAAGACTGGTGCCTGTAGTTAAGGAAGGCGCATGTGTGCATGAAAGCCAGCTAACATATAACAGCACAACGGTTTGTAAGCAAGTTAGGAACAGGGGGCACTGGATTAAATATCCACGAGTATTGGAAATACCATTGCCTACCTGCAGATCGGCATCTGGCGCTTCAATCGTGACCTGCTGCTCAAGAAAAGCGCACGCGACTAGCACCGCTGGCTGTCCCGGGTGCCCCGGAGGGGCCTGGATTGTATACATACTCGTTTGCAACGTTTACGCTGAAGAAATTATAACCAGTCACAAACGGCCTTGCCAAATGCGCCGCCGCCCGCGCCTGTGCGCGTGCAGTAAATCAAAAGAAACCAAAGAAGTAACAACTGTGCTGAGGACCTAGCACTTAACGTAAAGGGAAAGGGAGGCAGTTGCCGGCGCCATGACTGTGGTGGACGTGTCGTACTAGCTCTAGTATTGCTTGCGCGAGACGTTAAAAAGGTTGTGGCGTAACATTTACTACAGAAAGGCGATTATGGGTATACCATGGTTTGGAGGCAGTCCCGCTTAGCGCTCACATTGGGGCAGTTGGTGGATGGCCGGTCAGGGCGGTCAGGGCGGTCACCAAACTGTTGAACCCCAATGTACCGAAGGGCGCATGCGTAAGCCATCCCATAGACCATTAATGAGCTCTCCGTAAAGCCGTAAAGCCATTTTGACATGACCAGCATTACTGGACACGCTGGAAAGGCCATGACACCTCTGCTACCGTACTAGCTGTGATCGCAGCGGGGGCAGTGTTTCTGCAAGCGGAGTCAGAGATAGCAGCTTCCTTGGAAGGGAAGCCGCCGCAGCAGGCTTGTATTAGGGGCTGCCTCCCTGCGCTTCTTTGGTGCCCTACAGCAGCCAGATTGGGACAATTGTGCTAAACAGAGCCACTGCCGTTCTTGGACGTGCCGAGGCCGCTGCCGTTCAGTCACGTTTCATCTTAGGCAAACACCCTGGGGGCTTTCCTACGTGTCGGCTGAGCTTCCTTCCTACGTGTCGGCTGAGCTGCATTAAGGCAATCCGTCGAGCGGCATACAACATCTACACCGTGTAATTTCTTCCCCATCTGAACTCCGACGTACTTGGCGCAGCCTTTCTGCCTGCGTGCCTGCCCTCTTGTGTCCCGCAGGACCCTGTGAGGACGCCAGGCGGCATGTGGGCGAGCGCGAGTGGCTGCGACAGCTGCTGGGCAACCTGCCCGCCATTGGAGGCTTGTTGGAGCCCTGCAGCAGATGAGCCCATTGTGAAGCGGATTAACGTAGGGCTGCATAGCTGTGTGAGCTCAGGAAATATAGCTGTCAAGTCTGGCAATTTGGAAGGGAAGCGGTGTGAGGGCCGTGTTTTGGTGGTCCGGCGATTGTAATAATTGGGTGTGCACTTGCATGACGTGTTTTACTTCAGCGGTGGCGGTTAACGCGGAGGCGGTGCAGAAGCTTCACGAAATGACGTGAGAGCACTTCCACCGGGGTATTCTACTGCTGGGCTGTCGCAGCTGCCTGTGTCATGTAAGGGAGGATCTATTTTCCGTCATCGCCACGAATTTAAGTATGACAGGGGTGATTGGGGCATGCGGTAGCTTAGCCAGTATTAGGTGGAGGCTGGAGGGGCCCTTGGCCGAGCTACATGCAGATATTGACAGTTCTGGCAATACATGTGCTCGTGCGGGACCAGTTTATGCAATATGCGTACAGGAATAGCTTAACGTCTCATGCGGTCACCAGCATCCATGGTGCCCACACCTACCATGGCTGGACGCAATCGTTGGTCGCCGAGTGTTCGCAGCGGTTACCGGTAAGGTCGCGAACAGATGTTATCGCGAACGAAAAGATGTTGGCAAGCGATACACCATAAAAGCTTCTGGTCTTTGCCATCCGAACCTTAATGGGCCTGCATCCGAAACCATAGCAGTTAAATCAGCATACCATGCCCTATAGATTTGCGTGCTGTACCATGCACACAATATTGCGAATAATGGCTGTGCCTTGATGAAGTACTGAATGCAGCATTCCTCCGAAAAAGGTCGCCTGCTGACTAAGTAATAAATTACAGGCGCTTGCGCTCTTCGTTTCCGCCGCTTAGTTCCCGCCGTCCTTTTTATTGTCTTGTCAAGTTCGCAACCATGGAAAGTCGAAGCAGCCCGCATGCTCAGGTTACATTTGTGGATGTGCTTCGCGTGCTCGACATGGCTACCGCTGACGCGCTTTTCAAGCACCTCGAAAGCTATGATTGGCTTAGGGAAGCACGTCTTGCCTTCAAGGAGCTCCGCAACATCATCGATGGGAGCCTAAAGACCCTGAAATTTGAGCTGGACATGCAATCCGACGTTGTCTGGAAGGCAGGAGCCATGCCTTCCCTGTCCCGCTGGAACCGCTGCAGTGAAATCTTCATGACAGTTTATGCCGGTGACCCAGATTTAGACGAGATGGATTTGGCAACGCAGCTGCTCCTGCCTTTCGCATCCGAGCAGCTGTCAACTCGGCAGCGCATCAAAGGCCTGCGCATCGAGCTCGGCGACCCGGACGGAAAACACGCCGAGGCCGCCATCGCTCGTCTTGTATTTTGGCTTCCAGCTCTCCAGCAACTAGATGTCATCGGCTTGGGACACGCCATGTCGTACGACCCACTTCAGCAACAACTCATGTACCGCGCGCTTGCCACCTTACCGGACCTAAACATCCTCCGACTCCCGAGCTACCGCGGCGTCGAGCACATCGGGGTCCTTGCGGCCAGCCTCAAGTTGCTAGACATTGATGTGGAAGGAGGCGAGGACAGCGACATGGACAGTGAAGACGGGGATCCGGAGAAAGACTGTTCAATGAGCAAGGAGGCTATGGCAGGTGTTTCGCAGCTTACGCGTCTGACCCAGCTTGACTTGCGCAAGTGCGGACCGCCGTTGGTGCCAGTTAACAGCCGCGACCGCAACAACGCCGGCGCCAACAACGCAGCAGCAGCAGCAGATGCTGGGCACGCCGGTGGCGACGGCGGCACGGCCAAGGACCCCATCGGCGGCTTGCCACAGCTGCTGGACAGCCTGCCGCCTTCACTTGAATCGCTGTTTTTGAAATGGGACGGCTTCGTAGGCCAGGACCTGGACTTCAATATGACTTTCGAGCTGCAGGACGGCGTCTGCAAGGCCCTGCAAGTGCTAAACCATGATGGATGGGTCTTGGCTGAAAACCTGGCGCCGCTTGCACCGCTGCTGCGCGCATGCCGTGTAGAGCTGCAGGGGCTGTCCTTTCAAGGGCTGGAGGTTAACACATCGCTGTCGCTGAGATGTGTTCGGGAGCTCATGTGCCCCTCAACGCGCGTCACGATAGAGGAGCTCGCAGTTTCTGAGACAGACGTGGCGGCTGAGGCGGTGGAGGTACTGGGCAGGCCAGGAAAGCTCGAAGTCTACACAACGGACGAGTACCTGCAGCTCACGCTGAGGTCTGCTGGGGAGCAGCAACGTCCACTGCCGCCATCGCTGCCGGCGCCACTGGCACCCACTTCGCTGCTGACGGCAGCGGCGCTGCGTCAGCCGCACCTGCCGCTACCGACCGCCGACAGTGTGGCTGGGGCTGTACTGCAGCGCATGGCAGCAGGCAGCTGCCAACCGTCGTCAACCTGCCAGCTGCTGCTGGTGCTGCAACTGCCACTGCGAGTGCAGAAGGGGTCCGAGTCTGTCTCATTCAGCACGCCCAGTGCAGCTCTGAATGAGGTCATGCGGCGCATCCGGAGGCATGCATGGAAGTGCGCTGGTGGCGGCGGCGGTGAGAGTGGGGATGCTGGCGGCAGCGGTCTCAAGACAGATGCTGGCGGCGCCGGTGGTATGGCTGGCGGCGATGAAAGTGCGGATGGCGCTGGCAACGGCAGCGCTGGCATCGCGCTCACCGCCGGCGTCAGCGGAAGCGGCTTAACCGGTGATCGCGTTATCCTTCCAAGCACTGGAGCCGCTAGAGATGCCGTTGCTGTCGTCAGCGAAGCCGCGGGTGACGACGGCTGCAAGTCTACGACCGGTGACATTGGCAGCCGGGGGTGCGGTGACATGAGCACGGATGTCGAAGCCGGCCGCGCCGATCCATTAACTGGCAGCGGCGGCGGTGGCGGTGGCGGTGGCGATGCCGGCGGCGGCGGCAGCTCTCGTGAAAGCGGCCTACGCATGAGGCAGGTGAAGCTCTACAAGGAGCAGCCGACTGGCAGCGACGGCACCGCCGCGGCGCTGTTGGTGTGTTCGAGGAAGCCGGGAATGACGGCGGCTGTGATGGCTGCAGCTACAGCCGTTGCCGCCAAGCTGTCGACGCAGGCGGCGGCGGCAGCGGAGGCGCCGGCGGAAGCGGTGGCAAGGGTTGACGCGCCGCAAGTGTTCAGTGTAGTTCCCGTCATTGGAGACTTCCTGGAAGCTCTGCAGCAGGTAGGTCTGTTGTAAATGAAGTACAGCTGCATGCGCGTTGGCGCGGGTTGTCCCTTGTGCAGAGTAGGGCGTTGTGTTTCCTGGATTTCCTGCGTTCCATCGTTTGCCCCTAGACAACAACTCTCTCTGGGAGGCTTTACGGTATTTCCGGCCTTTCCCTCGCATGTACTACGCCACCTCACAACATGCATTCCACGAGTAAACGACTGTGCTGGCTTGCGTTTCCCACACATCCCTTACATTTGCCCTGCTGTCCACATCCTTCCCTACACCCTGGGCGATATGCTGTGCAATAACTCCCGCTGTTGCCCGCAGGAGCTGCAGGCCCTGTGGGACAACGAGGACGCCAGGCGGCAAGTGGGCGAGCGCGAGTGGCTGCGACGGCTGCTGGGCATCTGGGAGCAGCTGAGCGACCTGCCACCGCCGGTGCCGCTGTAGCTGGTGTGGGAGTGCCTTCTGTGCTTCTAGTTCCCAGTGCCATTCGCTCGAGGCTCAGCTGTTGAGGATGTTATAAGGGCGCTGAAGGTGCCGAGCGGCGGAGTAACGGAGCAGTCGAGGCAGCGGCCAGGGATAGAGTCGGGGCGGCGGCCATGGGCCATTGAATAGCAGGAATTCGGAAGCGGGGTGCAGCGTGGTGGCATGGAAGCAGGGTGCAGCGAGGTGGCTTGGAAGCGGGAGGAGAGGTTCAGTCCGACGGTTCCTCGGTAGCCATGGATGGCAGCTCTTATGGATAGCGGTGACAGTGGTCGTAACTTGTGGGAGGGTTTCCGTCGGGCCCGACGAAAGCGGCTAATTGGCCTATGGTTCGTTTGTTGATCGTGGACCCGTAGTTTGCCACTAACACGTAAACACCTGAAGGGCTTTGGGTTTTGCCTCGAATCGTGCATGGCACATGGATTCTTGCTTGGTCGGATAGGGTTAGGGTGAGGCGTTTTACTATCTGGACGGCATGCCACATATGTTCTATCTTCCTTTAGGTTCCTTAACAACAGCCTTGCAGCGGGCTAGCGTTAGCTGCGCAATGACGCAGACGAGAGATATCCATAATGAATGGGATATTCGAGCGCCTGCACCTGCGCTACAAAGCTGTACCGAAATTACCATTCCAGCCATGCAGTGATGCAGACTAAATGCGAACAAAACAATCCTCCGAGACCAGCGGTTAGGGCTCTACTTTCTGCGATAGCTCTGCGATGTTATGCTATCAGCTAGTGCTGAACAAAGTGGGAATGAAGTAAAAACGTATGGTTTGAATCCAGAACTAGCTGGGCCAAGACCCTCGTCTGCCACGTCAGCTCATGCTCGGCCTTTTCGCCAAATGCCAGGACATCAACCGGCGTTGAATATTTACATTCACTAAGGGGTTGTTACTATAGTTCATTTCTTAGACAGCGCGACCAGGCAATAGGGTTTGGGTCCCTAAGATAGTCGCCCGGGGCCCGGCCTGGTCCATCTTCTATCACAGGATGGCTTCCTTGCTACACACGGCTAGGGAACGTCGCAGGGATGCGCCTCATGCAGTAGCGCGCCTGATTCCAAAGGCGGTCCCAGCGCCCACATGTGCAGCACCCTGTACATCCTTTGGGACATCCCCGCCGGAGGACGTGGCCTGCTCACCCGCGGACTCTTTCCTGGCTTCTTGTGCCAGTCTTGGATCCAGCTTCTCAGAACTCTCGCTAGGAAGCTCGTTTGACCCTCCTGCACATCTTCCATTTTTGCCGAGGACAACGAGCCTAGTACGCAAGCCGTTACCTGACGAACATGCGTCATTTTTGCGAAAGACCCTAAAGAAACTACGCCCTGGACAGCAACTCCCGGCGCGCAAGGTACGTGGGTGCCTACGGTACAGGTCGTTTCTCCTTGCTTGCTTCGTTGCTGCCAACGTGAGCGCGCTGCTGGGCATCAGATCAACGCAGGAAGTTAAAAGTTATAAAGCGTAGGGCTTTGCCTAAGCCGTTTCATCGGGGCGTAAGCACCGCTAAAACTGCCATGCATCCCTATTTTCCCTTTTCTGTGCACAGCTCTCACCACGCCATCGCTAAGAACCAGTCCTATGCTGCCCTTTGTGCATTCGTTTGCCCCCAGGTCCGCATTCTGGGCCGCGGTGGAGTGGGTGAGGTAACCCTCCTCGAGTTAAACCTCCCAGCTAGTACCGACGCCAACAGCGACGGCAACGCCAGCAAGAACTGCAGCAAGAGCGGCGGCGGTACATTGCTGCTAGCTCACAAAGCCATCACATGCCGTCGCTACGATGCAGCCCGACACGCCCGCGAACTCGCAGCCATGGAGGCCGCAGCCGCTGGCTGCCCCTTCATCCTACGCGTGTACGGCAGTTCCCTTCCCATTGGCAAACCGCCGTACGCCATCTACACCGAATACGCGCCGCTAGGGTCGCTAGCCGATCTGATCGAGTCACGACGGCGGCATCGGGGGCCCCGCTACCGCACGGCTGTAGCAACAGATCCACAGCAGCTGTCGTACTTTGACGAGCATGAGATCCGCTGGCTGGCAGCGCGCGTGCTGGCCGCCCTGGTGCACTTGCACTCCTTGGGGCTGGTACACCGCGATGTGTCTCCGCACAACATCTACCGCTCCGCCTCCGGACATCCCCTCCTCGCGGACTTTGACGCGGTTGCCGCAGTGGACGAGGACGGCTACGTGTACGGAACCGCGGGTCGGTTGAGCTGCGCGGCGCCGGAGGTACGAGCGGCGGCGTACGGCGGCGGGCCGTACAACGGGGCGCGGGCGGACATGTGGGGCCTGGGTGCTGTGCTGCTGGAGATGGTTTCGGAGCAGGAGCTCTGTCAGGGTCCGACGCTGGAGGAGTGCTCGGAGGCGCTGCGGGATTTGATCCTAGGAGGGCTGCTGGTGCCTCAGGTGGGGCTCACTGGACGTGGGATGTGGGATAGTGGCGGTGTCGTGATTACAGTATTAACATGGGGGCGACAACAAAGCGATTCAAAAGGAGCTGACAGGGAGTGACGATGGGGAGTATGGAAAGAAACATGCGCTTGTATGTCGTCCATGCAACTAGCACTGAACTTCTCCTGCTGTGCCCTTGCTGTTCCCCGCCTGCCTGCCAGGCCCGGCGGTTGGACGCCGCTGCCGCCCAGGCGCATCCCTTCTTTGAGGGTGTGGACTGGAGCCGGCTGGAGTTCGAGCCCGCACCGCTTGGCCTCGGCCCAGATGGGCTGCTGGACGAGTAGGTGCGCCACGCATGCATGCATGTAACAGGCAGCATGCGACTGAATACCGTTGGCGTGCAATGCTCTCCATATGTGACGCATGCAACACTGGTTCAGGCAGCCGTGCGCTGCTCAGTGCTTGGTGATGCTTGCATGGTACTGTGCGGGAAATGGAGAGTAAGACGTGAGTATCTTGTTTGGTGACCCTTGGGTCGTTTGTGGGATACGTGAAGAGGAAGGGTGCGAGGGTTACGGGGGGCTTGAGGCTGCAGCGTATGACGTTGGCGGTAACTGTAGAGTATAAAGCAACGGTGCCGTTGACGGAGAAGTCGATGGAGAGTCTTAAGAGTCAAGTGAATGACAGTTGTTGAGTAGAAGAGAAGAGAACAAGCAGCATCATGCCTTAGTTATCATCAAGGCATGTGCACAGAGCCAGTAGTGTACGTATATTTAGGCTTGGGATTGCGGGCATGTCAGGCCGCATGCGCTTTGGCGGTTGGATGATTACCACTGTCGCAGAGGCTTACCGGGGTACGTGCTGCGGTTCAGGAAGCGCTGGCTACTGGACCCCACTGGTACATACTCCGCGTGTAGGTTCGCTTGCCGGTTGTTCGTGAGCGGTGGGCTTGTATGTATAATGTCATCTTGAGGTCCTGGTATCCGTGTTGGAACGGTGCAGTAGCTAGCGTAAAGCACGCTCGGCCCGATTGTGAATGAGGAGAGGGGAGGTAAAGGTAGGAACGCGCAATGTGCAGGCGGTTGAGAAGGAATATGGAAGGCAATGGCCGCATGCATGATTGGGTATGTCTGCGTGCGAGCAGCATCGTGCATGCGGAGGTTTCCCCCGCTGTGCAGTGGGTGCCTGGTGTTCATGGTGGGACATGTTGGGGTTCATGCCTGTGTCATATTTCCCTACGGAAGTGTGGTGCGCGGGCAGGGGTGGTTGGGTTGTATCTCATCTGGATCTGTAGGTGTGTTTTGTTCGGCGTTTTGCTTCTTGTGTAGGTTGCATGGATTATAGAATGTGCTTGCCAATGATAGGAGTAGGGTACTAGTACCAATCAATAGCTTTGGCAACACAGGGTTAGTAGAACAGGCTTCCGCAATTCATGAAAGCAGCCGCATATCGGTTTCGGCGTAGTCACAATAACATGCTGTACCATCCACCGCAACAGGTGGCATGGCGGCGGTTAATGAAAGGCTCTTGTTTGGCTGGGTTTGTGGTCTTACAGAGGTGGGTGTGTTGTTGGCACTGCACGTAGAGGCGAGCGTGCAGGCGGCGGTGCAGCGGTTGACGCATGCACACGACACGGGGGTGCAGCGCGTGTGTTACGGTTAAATGGATGATGGACCGACAGGTGTTCATGCAACGTTGCCGGTTTATTGGTACGGCAGCAGCAGAAAAAGCGGCAGCCAAGGGAATCACTCTCTGCCCGCACGTGTGTGTGTGTGTGTGTGCGGGTGTATCTCGGCATTTCCCTTGTGCGCAACCCTTGTAAGTAAGTACGGTAAGCGCCGGCTTGCCTAACTCGGATTGTCCAAGCACGCGCGGAGGGCTCTGATGCCAAGGGGTACAGCACCGAAACACCCGCCTTAACCCTTCCTCGCATTGCACGCAGTACCCGCCTTCCATCAGCTCTCCACCCGTCCATGCAGCCTAGCGGCCCTAGGTTCACACAGCTTGCGGCGGGTAACACACGCCCTGACCCACCGCATGGGGCATCCGCACATGGACAGAGTGAGCGGCCACCGCGCCACAATGTCGCCGGGTCACTGTAGCGTCGCATCCCAGCAGCAGCGGATCGCCGCCCGCTGGATCCCTTCACGCTCCAACCAGGCAATGTGCAGCCGCTTCTCGGCACCCCCGCTAGCCCTCGAAGCCGCTGCGTCGGTGCAGGTTACCGCCCCTTCTGGGCCCTGAAATACCCCCAACAAAATCATGATTTCGTGCAAAGGGTTAAATAGGGCCGGGGAGGGGGCCTGTGGGCTGTGAGCAAGTCTCATAGATGCACCAAGACACGTACGACGAGAAACCGGTTTGGCGCGCCTACGCCAGCTCTGCAACTAGGCCAAGCTTCAGCATATGCTCATAGCAGCAATGCATTACCTAGAATGGAAAGCGACCTCTATTTGTCTTCACTTGGGGGAATCCTGAAAGTTTTGGCCTTGCAGACGCTACGCTGACATGGTGTGGACTGACATGCCACCGACGCACAAAAGGTTATACCGACAGTAAAGTAATATTTTACATCTATTGTGACATCAATGGCAGGCGAGCCGCTGCACACGCTTGCTTCAGCTCGCACGTTCAACCGCCATTGCCCAATTGTTCCTGCGGATGCCTCTACTTTAGAGCTAGGTACGATTCATTTTTGCCATAAAACCCGGCTTATTCATAGTTGGATTATCGCTGCAAGCTCCATAGGCATTCGGTAGATCGTGCTGTCTCGTACTGCGCACACTGACCACCGCACCGCCCCTAGCTTCTGTCCTCCCATCATTATTCCCTAACCCTTTTCACCGTTCAGTCGCCCAACCCCACACCTCCTGCCCCACGCCTTCCCTGCCCTCCTTCCCTCCACAGCCAGCGCCCTCCTGCGCCGCCTCGCCAACCCCTCCCAGGCCGCTCCCGCAGCCCTCGCCGTACTGCTCCGGGAAAGCGCCCTCCAGGGCCCCGGCTGGACCCGCCAGGCCCTACCCCGCCTGCTGGCGTGGCTAACTCAGCCGTGTATCGTGCACCAGGCCCCTTGCCCGCCCTCACCGCCTTCAGCAGCGGCAACGGTGCAGCCACCACCACCACCACCACCGCGGTCGCTACAAAGTGCCGAGGAGTGTGCCGGTGATGCAGCTTTGTTGAGCAACGCGGCTCGTGCTGGCGGAGGTGGTGAGGTCGGTGTTGGTGGTGCTGGCGGTCTGATACTGCAGCCGCGGCTGCTGGGCATGCCGACAGCGCTACAGCCGCAGATCCGCAACCTACTGAAGGCGATACGGCGCAGCCCTAGACTGTACGACAATTTGGACGAGCAGGGCCGGATTGCACTGAAGAGGGCAATTGCGGCGCTACCGGTGCCGGCGCCGTCGCAGTCCGCGCATGCAGCTTCTGCGGGGGGGCACAGAGGGGCAGGCGGCGGCAACTGGGGTGGCGAAGGCGGAAACGCAAGCAGCAATAGCCTCCTAGGCTGGCGTCGTGGCTGGGTGGCAGCCGCGCTGCACTCCTCAAGGATGCAGTACACACGGTACGGCAGCCGCAACAGCAGCAGCGGTGTGTACGGCAACAAGACGTGTACGGCAGGCGATACGTCGCATCGAGGACCCGCAGAAGGACCCGCGCCGGCAGCAGCAGTCATAGCAGGGTGGGTAGAAGGAGGCGAGACGGTGGCAGTACATGGAGCCAGCAGCGGTGGCAGCAGTGCCGGCGAGTCTCTGGACGACTCTTCAATGTTTCCCGAGGATTCCAGTAGCGATGGTGGCGGTGGTTGGTGGTTAATCACCCAGGATGCCACCGCTGCTCCCGGCACCCCCTCCCAAGCTGACGACGGTGGCTTTGACGACGGTGATTCAGAGCTGGCGGCTTCAGATGCACATACTCCACTTGGTCCACGTCAGAGAGGTGATGGCGGAGACCCTGCACAGCCTCCGGATGCTCCGGCGGCGGCGGCTCCCCATGCGGCTGCTCCCGCAAGCGGCGCCGGGACCGGCAGTGGGGTTGACGGCGGTCCCGGTGACGAAGGACGACGGAGACGGAGGCGGGTGTCTGCGGACATGGACGAGGAGGACGAGCGGACCCCGGGGTAGGTGGGCTTTGGGGACTAATTGAGCGCTGTGCCTACATGGTTTGCGCAGCCAACCAGTTGCTGCCCACGGTCTTTATGGTCTAATCCTACACTCCTAAAGGAACGCTTCAGGTATACCGGTAGTCGGCCCTGCCATTGTGTGTGCTTGTCCTGCTGTCAAAACAGCAAACGAGTTATGGTCGACAACCACCATCAATTGCCACCCGGCAAACCTCCATGTCCTTCCTCTTACCACGCGTTCCCGCCCTCAGGTCTCCGGAGGACGCCGCCGCAGCAGCATCGAGTCCTGTGCTGCATGCAGCCAAGCCAGCAGCCGGCGAGGGGCGGAAGCGGCCCCGGTCGCCCCCGCCGCCGGCAGCTGCGCCGCCCTCGCGGTCGCCTCCGCTGGGGGTTGGGGGCGGCGCTGCGGGCAGCCGCGGAGGTGCCCGGGCAGCGGCCGGGAGGGGAGCAGAGGACGGCGGAGGCGATGGGGCAGGCGGCGTTGTGGGTGGGTTAAAGACACTGGAGGCCGCATGGACGGAGCTGCGAGGGTTGCTGCAGGTAAGCTGCTCCGCAACTGCTAGGGGCGCTAATGGGCCTTTAAGGGCGCAAAATGCAACAGCCCTGAAATGCTTGCGTTGTTATTGTCTCCGGTGCGGTGGAGACTCCCTCGGTGCTACCGGGCACATGCACACATGACAAAGCACGTGATGTTGCTATTGAACTTGCTGGCGTCGCCCAACCGGTCACCTCCGCTACGCCCTTAGGATCTCACCAACACCGGTGCCGACGGCGAGGACAGCGACGCACCGCCGCCGCCGCCGCCTTCAGCTATGCCGTCATCATCTTCGGATCCCTGGCGGCGACTGGAGGCCCTTCTGGAGCACTGCGCAGCGTACGACACAAGTTGCAACGGAGCCGCCCCCGCCGCCGCCGTCACACCGCCCCTGTTGGCGGCACCGCTGCCGCCGGACACCGTACTACACGTTGTACGGCAGGTGCTGACGCCGCGGCTCGGCGGTGCCGCCGCGCGGTTGGCGTTACGAGTGGTGGCGCTCCCGGCGGTGGCGGCGGTGGAGCGAGTGTTGCCCAAGGCGCTGCTGGAGGCGTTAAAGGTTGCTGGTGAGTGCCGTACTTGCTGCTTATCCTGCATCCTGCGTGTCGATATTAGAGGTCAGCTCCTCCCTTCTACCTTACGCGGCGCATGCACGCGCACGTCCCTCAAGCATCCCGCGCTACCGCCGCCTCCGCTGCCTCCGCTGCCGCCGTTGTCCCCGCAGCCGCCTCACACCCTCGCCCGCTTGCTGAGGTGGTGCTGGCACCAGTGGCTGCCCGGCCTGGGCTGACAGCGGGGCAGGCGCAGCTGCTGCTCAAGGCAGCTACAGTCCCAGGGCCAGTAGGAGGAGGAGGAGGAGGCAGAGGAGGAGGGGCCAGGCATGGGCCGCTGCCGCCTCTGTTACAGGTGGGCAAGAAGCACTTTTGCACGTGCATGGTTCATGGGCCGGGTTGGTTTTACGGGCACAAGAGGTCAACTAGGGTGGCCGCAGGACTGTTGGCTAGCAGGCGGCCCCATGCAGGGGGACCGATGAACTGTTGGCGGCTGGTCAGAGCAGGCGAGGGTGCCGGCGGGGCCCCTTGTGCGTACTGTAGTTCGGGCAGTTCGGATGTACCCCGCGTCTCAAGCGTTCTCTCCTTCCTCTCTGCTGCTAATGTCCAGTCGGCCCCGGGTCGCCGCCAGCTCGCCTCTGGTCGGGATCCTTGCTGGCACCTGGTCTTGCCTTTACCCTTTAAGCCCTGTCTTGGCCATCCACATCTGTTCCGGTTACTCGCACTCCTTACCCGCCTCCACCCCACCCCACAGGCCCTGGTGCTGCGCAGCGCTGCTGAGGCGGGCAGCGAGTGGGGCGAGCCGCATGTGGCACTTGTACTCGGACTTGTGGAGGCGGCGACGGCGGCGGCGGGGACAGGACAACGGGCGGCAGCAGGACACCAGGCACATGCGCACGGTGCGTGTACGGCGTGCGATGAGGGGTGTCCGGGTACCGGTGTGGTGGGGGACTGATGTGAGGTGTTGGGTATTGTCGCATGATTGTCTGCTGGGGCCCGCTTTGTTACTGATGAGATGCTGACCTCCTCCGTTCTGATCTGGGCGTACCCCTCCCAGCCACTCGGCACAGTACTTGTGCCCAACGAACTTTCGCTTCACTCCTACACCCCACCCCGCTGACAACAGGCGAGCCATCCGTTGGCGGCGCTGCGGGTCTGCTGGACCCCGCAACCCTGCTGGCGGTGTGTCGGGGCGTGTGTGCTGCAGCGCGCAACCCGGGCCTGAGCCGCTGCGTGGGGCTGTGCCGGCTGATGCTGCTGCTGGTGAACAAACATGCGGGCAGCCTGGGGGGAGGCGCAGGGGACGGCGGCATGGGCCTTGCGGTGTTGCAGGAGATGCGGGAGGCTGCGGCTGCCACGTCAAACTTCATGACGAAGCCATGCTTGAATAAGATACAGGAGCTGCTGTTACACCAGCAGTAGCAGGTGTAGTAGTGGCAGGAAACGGGAAGCAGCGGCGGCACAGAGTAACGGATAGGCGGGTACATGCGAGAGGGAGACTGATGAGGCCCGTGGTGAGATCATGGAGGAGCTGATACGCAGTATGCATGACGGTGGAGCATGACAGGGTGTTAAGATGCAATCGTTGCTACCCGTTGTAAATGTGTAACTCTGGTGCGCGGGAGGCTGCTTGGAGAGCTGAGTGGTAGCGTTGACGGATTGCAGGGCGGGAACCAAGGCTTGGGGACATCCGGGTTTTAAGACGCGGCGTGCAGTTTGCCAGCCGTGCACGTCGCAGTATTATGAAGTAGGCAAACGTGCCAACCATTAAGTGAGGAACCGGGCATTTATCCAGATAGATGCATATTATATATTACAAGTCTTCGACGATCCTGTACGGCTGTCGCCAACATAAGGATGTGCCTCATCAAGAGATGTACGACGAGGAGCCCATGCAATATCCTGCAATACTGCGCTACGCCCCGAACTGAACACCACCCTTGACCATCCCACGCCGGAATGACTTGGCCGTACCTACACGCCTATGTACAGCGGGCAGCGCCCGATGAGTTTTGTACGAGCAGAATAACCTCTCCTGCATGTGTTTTGAAAAAAAATACCCTTAAGCTGCAGTAGCAACAAACTTGGGACCTGCAAAACACACACGCCCGAAGGCTTATTAAGAGCTCAAGATCTGATGGACAAGAGCTCAGCACACCAACACACCAGAATACTATACTCTTCCGTACAATTCTTTCCGACCGACCAACGTACCAACCATCATAGCACGCTCCTTACGAGGCAGCGTATTCCGCACACCCCTTCTGAAGCGCTATAGGGCTCTCGTCCAATCCCGTTTATCGCTATATGCATGCTACAAATCCACAATGACATACACTGTACTACCATTCACCATCAATACCGTGTTAGACAAACGTAACCTGATTAGGAGTAATGCTTTTGCCACCGGACACCTACGAGCCGTTGTGGCCATCACGCGTGTTCAGATGTAGACAGCGAATTTGCATTTATTGGATCTGTGTATTTGGATCCATGGGTGATGGGTCGCAACCTCGTACATACCATTGTACGACAACATTCGCTAATTCCAGCCATCGTTCTCTGGGTCGAATAATGGCGGCATAAACCCACTCTACGTTCGTTCCACGTTCGTTCCAACCAAGACTCGTGTTTTATTCAGAACATGTGTTGCAACAATAAAAGAAGACAAACATGAAAAAACAGAAGCCGGGCCATAAAAATACAAGTAGACGGTAGGAAGCCGCATCGTCTACGAACCACATCTCTGTTGCCGCATCATTCATTGTGGCGTGGCAGAGCCACACGGCCCTCATCCGTGTCACATCCGCTTCCCAAGAAACGGGCATCACATGACAGGCACCACCTCAAGTGCTCCACGGAACGGCGTCGCCGCATCACACATTTCGAACGATAACCTGTACCCCAGTAACCTGTCCTTCCTGCACATTCCGGTCCACATTTGCCGTACAGCAAAACCCTATTATACCACGGGGCAGCCAATTGCACTGTACTCGCCGCCCCGACAGGCTGGCCCCCAACATCACGCCCCGCACGCGCCCAACAATAACCCCTCTCCCCTCAAACAGGTCCCTGCACCCCACATGGCCTCGACCCCGTTACTAACCATCCAAAGAATTCAAAACTTCCCAGCCCACTGCGGTATATCCATGCCCCTCTTAACCCCTACCCGCCTACTTGCAGCGCACCTCCAATCCTGAGGTACAGTATTCATCCCGCCTGGACACATTCCCATTCATGAACGCCAATCCTGGACTCGTTCACTCCACTCACCGCGCGCCTCTCCTCCCTGCCTGCCTCCCTGCCTGCCTGCCTTTATACATTTTACCCTCACCTTCAGCGGCACCACCAGCTGCGTACAGCCCTCTAGCCCTCTTGACATGCAGGATACAGTCCCAGATACGCCCCCACTCCCAACACCCGCGCAGGTACCTCCAACCCGCACTGCCCCGGGCTTCTTCGTGACACGCGCCGACTCACCACTCAGGGCCTCCCATGCAGCACCGCACGTTCTCCCATATCCTGTCATCTCCCATATCCTGTCATCTCCCATATCCTGTCATCGCCCATATCATGTCATCTCCCATATCCTGTCATCTCCCATAATCCTGTCATCTCCCATAATCTGTCATCAGAGCCAATAGACAGTCACGCGCAATGAACCACAACGAAAGGCAATCAACAAATCGGGGTGCAACGGTCAACGAGAACTACAGGGGCAGCATGCGCCTGCCCACACACGTTACCTTGACGATGGGATTCCAAAAAAGCAAACCCTGCATCCCAAGCAACCCAACAGTATCCTGCAGCACGCGCCCAACACTCTGTAATACGCGCCGACGACCTATTACGACTAGGTCGTAATTACTGCACGATCGTACGACCAGCACAGCGGTCTAGTACGCATAACACGATGACGGACTTTATCGCATTCCCCGGGCTGTTGTACCCTTTTGAACATCTTGCTATTTCTCACAATTGGAAACCTGTGCACACTGGACGGTTAGGCTGGCGCTGCCTTATTGCCACATCGCAGCCGCATGACCTCTGCCGCACGGGACAACATGTATGAGGCCTTTATACGCAACCGAACGCTGCAGCCTCCGTCTGCCGTCTTTGCCGCTTAGCCCACCACGCACCAACGTCTCGGCTCGCTCGGTACTAAACCGCCACCTCCTAAACGCCACGACAAAGTGCACACCGTCGCCCCCAAGCATGTCCAGCCCTGTTGCGGCGAACCGCGCGCAAACTCATGCGCGCGAAAACACTTCTTTCTCCGAAGTCCCCAACTGTTTGCATGCATGCATATCGCAATTACTACAACTCCTACCCCTCATTATTCCTTTACCAAGCAGTAAGCACGTTGTGAACCGCGCTGCGGCCACCACCGCCATCACCACCGCCACCCCCGGCTCCCATGTCGCTCCAAGCATCCATAAGGGCCCCCGCCTGAGCCGCTTGCCAGTCAGCCTCAAACGTGTCATGCGGCGCCGGCGGCGGAGGCGCCCGTGAGGGTTTCGGCGCTGGCGGCGGCTGCGGCAGCAAGCCCCTGCCAGGGAAGCCGCCGTCGTCGCCACACACTTCGTACAGGTTGCCGCCGTACGAAGCACTATCCATGCCGTACAGATGGCTTCCGTATGCACCATGGATCGAGCAGCCGCCGACGCCGCTGATGGCATTAGCGCCGACACCAGAGGACCAGAATCCGCGGTTTCCGCCGCCGCTGCCGCCGTCAGCACCCCCTAGCGTCGTCACCGCCGCCGCCACGCCCGACTCCAAAACCGCTTCGCTGAAGGACCGAGCGAGCTGGCGAGTGGCGGCCGGCGGGGGACAGACCCGTGGGTCAATGCCGGCGGCGCCTGCTTGCTCCTCCCACTGCGCCCAACTGCCGGCGCTATTGGTGCTGCTGCTGCTGTCAGCGGAAGGCAAGGCTCCCGAGCCCGCTTCTTGAAAAACGGCCGCCAGCAGCTGTTGTTGTAAGGGCACCGGCGAAGCAAGCTGCCCAAACGGAGAGGCTCGCGGCGGCGGCAGCGGCAGGGCGGGTGGCAGCGGCGGAGGCGGAATCCTGGAGGGGGGCACAACCGACGTCACCGCAGGCGCGCTGCTTGAATGGCGCAACTGCGACGGAGACTGAAAAATGATGCTCGCAGCTTCCACGCTTGCGAATGAGGCCTCAATTCCTGGCAGCAGCGATACAGGACGAAACGGCGTGCAGGGCGCCAGCGGGAGGAGCGGCGGCGACGGAGGTGGCGCGTGTACCTGGACTGCCTCTTGCGTCGTCGTCGTCGGCAGCGGCGGCGCCGTCGATATGTTTGCCGCCGCTGCTGATGCATCTGCGGCTGCTGTCGCTGCTGCCAACATCATGCTTGGAGCCTCACAGACTAGCAGCGAAAGCAGCTGTCCGTCCGCACCCAGAGAGGCCAAAAAGTCGAACAGTCTGCTGGCGGCGGGGTCGGCGGCGACGGCGGTTGCATCCGAGTCAACACAGGCGCCAGAGGTGCCGAACGACGGCGTTGCGCGACTGCTTTCAAGGACGGATGCCACGTCAACTAGCAGCGGAGCCAGATGGGCCTCCCAAACGAAAGCCGCCGCCGCCGTTAACCGGGAACAAAGTGGCCAGGTGGTTGCACAGGATGTCATCGCCTTGGCAGAAGAGTCGGCAACGTCGGCAGCAGCATCAGCCGCCACGGTAATGCCATTCCATATCTGAAGAAGCTCGCTGGCCGCTTCTGCTGCCTCCGTCGCACCGTACGGAAAAGCAACTGCTCTGCATCCACTCGTCGCCATCGCTCCTAATCCTCCAGCCGAGGCAGCAGCAGCACCAGCGGCGGTGGCCAGCTGCTCCAGTTGATGCAAGCGCTCTGACGGCGCGCCCGGTACGGCATCCGCCAGCATCGCCGCCGCCAGCCCCTGGACCTCCGAAACCACGTGCGGCGGCAACACCAGCAGCGGCAAGCTCAGCAGCGGCGGCGGCGGCGGCGGCCGCGATGGTTGCCGCTTCGACGTGGCCATTTGGGTAGCGTCAGATGCCGGCGTGTTAGGGGCCAGGGGAAGCGGTGGCTGTGACCACGATGTTGATGCGGACGGCGGAGGTGGCGTTTGAGTAACAGGGTCGGTGCAGGGGAGGAGCTCCAGACGCAGCACGGTGGGTACGAGCATGGGTGGAATGTCGAAGCTGTGGGGCGAGCAGGTGGAGGAGAGATGAGGGACAAAAAGTCTGAGCAGAGGTTTAGGTGAAACGAACCGGGGAAACACTGACCCTAACCGCTGTAAGGCTGGTATGGGCGCGTACCAGATCGCTTCATGCTCGCAAGTCAAGTGCGACAGAGCCCAATTGACAACTACAGGCCTTCAGCAGCATTGTCCGTCGGCATTGTCCAACCGCTATCACCCGGCGTGCCCCGTCCCAGCCCCTTAATGCAGACAAGGTGAGAGCACGGACTATGTACACTAATGAGCACATCCATGCAAGCTTACCTAAGCGCCACGCCTGCAAATGCCTCCGATGACCCATGGGTCACACAGGCGCCGTCGTTACGAGTAATAGCAAACCTGACTTCCCCAGCCAGCAACTCCTTCCCTGACGACATAGCATAACATCCAGGAGTGTCACTGATTACCCTGCAACAGGGAGAGCAGCATAAAATGTGTGTTAACCCAACAAACACCTGAACAAGCAACTTGGGTGGTGGTCACAAGCCCAATCTGCACAGCCGCCATTCGTCAGGCTACACTGGCAGCCTTTAACACGTTAATTTTCCCATGTGGTATCTACGCAACATCAAGGAATGTTCTAGGAAATTGTACGCATTCTTTTAAAAGCGCCGCCTACCGTACCTGTAGCGACAAGGCACGTGTGCCGTACGCTGCTCTTCGATCTGGACGCGGAGCTCGCCCGCAGCACCACCGGCTCCACTAAGCACTCCGCCGACCCACGGGTCAGCGCCGTCGGCGCAAGCGCCGCTCCGCGGCGGCGCCGGCGCGGCGGCAACCGCAACGTCACCACGCGCCAATGGATCCGGCGCCGTCGCCCGCTCCGCCGCTGATAGCTCTGATGCTTGCTGTCCCTCCCGGCCGCCAGCCGTGGCGTCTGCGGCCGGCCCCGCTAGCAATGACGGCGACCGTACAACCTCCGAACGCTCCGCCCCCGTGCCCCTGTCGCGCGAACCTTCCGTTAATGACGGTTCGATACTCTCTGGGTACGACAATGCAGGTTCGGCAGCAGCGTACGGCACCCACCCCTTGCAGGCGACGTGCACTGAGGCCTGCCAGCTCAGCTCCAGGGGCTGCGGCAGGGAGCCTAGCGGGCCCGCAGCCGGCGGCGCCGTCGCCGCCGCCATCCCCGTGCGGGTCAGCGCCAGCCTCGTCGGCGGCGCCGGCGATGGCTGCGGCGTCAGCACGCCGCAGGTGCCGCCGCCGACGGCGGCGCCAATGCGACCGCCGTCGCCGCCGCTGCTGGGATGATCATCGAAATGATGGGTGGGCGCCGCACGAGGAACGCACGTGAAGGCGGCGGTGAGGAAAGGGCTGGGAGAGGCCGGCGCCGCCATCTGGCCTGTGAGCATTTTGTGCATGCTGTCGATGACGCAGCCGCTGCCGCTTCCCGAGCTGAACTCATGACAGGTATGATGCTGCCGCAGGACCGAGCTGACGGTGTCCGCGTCGGCAGCGGCTTCCTTGGAGGTCGGCGGCGGCGACAGCGGTGACTTGCTACCGGGGGTCGCGTCCGCCGGAGCCGCCGCCGGCAGCGCCACGGCAGCATGCGACCCAAATCTTGACGCCCCGAACCAAACACTGTTGCCGCGTCCTCCCATTGGGACTGCGTCCTCGTCGAAAGGAGACGAGACGGCGCAGGAATCCGAACGCAGCCGTCGCCACATGGCATCCTGTGAGCTCGGAAGTCCGGGCTCGAATCCTTGTTCTCCCACGTAGGCATCAGCCGTACAGCCGCTTCCGCTGCCGCTGCCGCCGCCGCCGCCACTGCTCATCCTCGCTTGCACCTCGGCATCTGCAACCTCCACGCACAGGCGAAAAAGAGCCGCCTCCTCCGCCTCCACCGCTGCCGATTTGAGGGTGGCGGCCGCTACTGCCTCTGCCTCTGCCTCCGCAGCCGCCGCCATGCCAGCAGGCGGCGAAGCAGCCGCCACCGCCGTCGCTGCGCCGTACGACGCCAGCGCCGCTGCTGGCCGCTGCGGTGACGGCAGCGGCGCCAGCGGCTCAAACGCATGCGACGCGGCGGAGGCGAAGAAGGGCAGTGGGTCCTCGGAGGTGCAGGAGGCGAAGAACGGAAGCCGGGGTGAGGCCGTTGTCGCGGCGAGGGGGGAGGTCGGGAGGCCGGCGTGTTCCGCATCCTGCGAGCGGCGACCTAGCGCGCAGCCGGGGCGGGGACTGAACTGCAGAGCAGGCGGTTCCAGGAAGCTGAAGGGGAGCTTGGGGGCGATGCAGCTAGGTTGGGGCCTGAGGCCGGCGGTGGGAACCGGGCTGGGGCTGGGTCTGAGGTCACAGCTTTGGTCGGGAGAGCAGGATGGGCCGGGCTCGGTGGGGGTCTCAATTGGGATGCGCAGGAGGAGGTTGAGGCGGCAGGGAAGGCCGGTGGTGGCGCAGGGGGGCCAGAGCAGGGCGGCGGTTACCGGAGCTGCAGGCAGGGTAGGCATGGGCTGCGGCTCATCGCGAGAAGGGCCGAGCTTGTTCGCGACTTGGGCGGTGGCTTGGCTGACTGCGTAAGAAGGCGAAGAAGCGAATATATGCTGATCTTGAGCTCGGCCTCCCAGAGATTGACGTGTTGCTTGGCTGCGATGACGAAGGTTGCAATGGTGATTTTGATGTCGCTGCTGTCGGTGTGGATGCTGCGAGTCCTTTGCTTCTGGATGTTGCTTTGGCATGTCAAACTGCAAGCTCTTGGGTAGAGAATGGAGCTTAACTTCCTGTTCGTATTCCACGGAAGCTGACGCCGTTCCAGGCCTTTCCGAGGCCTTGCAGGCCGGAGAAAGAGGCGCTGCGTGGATGCCTAAACCTCCCATAACGTGGCAAGGCATTCGCGTCTGGCGCGAATTTACCGCCGGCTACGGCCCAAAGCTAACCTCAGTCTGGGTGTTCTTCTCCGAGACTCAAACTAGCGACCTGCGCTGCCGGATGAAGAGTCCGACTCGGTACCGCGAAACGTTAGTTGAGAAATTTTCGCTCGCGACCCCTCGGCTTGGGGCTCATAACTTGACCTCTACTCCTAGATCCTAAATGATGCAGCGCGCCTATGAGTTAGGAAGTATGCACCATAGCCTTGGCTGCTTTGGTTCGGTAGCAAATGAAGGGTTTCGAGAGTCCCTTCAACCCTTTTGCACTGCCCCAAATTTCTATCATACGGATAAAGTTGATAAGGAAACACGCTAGCCACAAAACGCAACGCTATCCTCGCCGGCGGCTGGCGGCAAGGGCACCAGCGCGCGGCTACTAGGATGTCGTACATCTTGCATGGGACCCAAAATCCGATTTACTTCCCGCGCACGATGACCGTCAGCAACAAGGTTCGTGGGGCCACTTTTACAACCATTAATTTTCACAAGAAGTGAGCACGCAACTCGTTGGCATGTCAACTTGTCATGTACTGACTGATAGACGCTTTTAGGGTTTTCACGGGTTTGACTGCGGTTTCGGCCGACATCGCCGCGGCGATGACGCATGAAGCATTTGTAACAGGTACTTCCACAAGGTCCACAAGCCCAGATTATTCCCGAACAGCTTTTAAAGTTAATCACCGCCACCGCCGGTGGTTTCCCCAGGATGCTGCCTTCTCGTCGTGTACTTCGACTTCACAAAATGTGTCAGCGCACGCTCAGCTGAGCACTACAACCTATCCCGTGCAGTACTCCAATTAGCGTACGCAAACGAAAGTACAATGGAAATGCCGGCGCGACGCCTTTAACACTTGCGCTGCTTTGCGCCGAAGCGCGGCCTAACGTCCTACTAGACGCACTTCCCCTAAGCAGCAACAACCAGCAAACTCGAACCCACGGCTATCTGAACAGCATATATATCGCTCCGCTTCCTGCACTTTGCACATAGGCTGGTTTCCCTTGTTCCGGCCTTTCCTCACCTGCCCGAAATACTACCTACTCTCCCATTACCTGCTGCAATTCTTCCCCGTGACCTGAAATCTTCTTTCATTTCTCTCACCTCCCCCATGTCCCCTTAACATCACCCCCGCGGCCCCACATGCTTCCCTCGCCACACCGGTGTCTTGCCGCTCCGCAGCGCCGCCGTGAAAGTGTCGTACTTGGCCTTGTACGGCGGCAGCGGATTTGAATCGTCGTCGTACCCGTCTGCCTCGCAGTCCCAACCGCACCTGCGAACGGAAATACGCCGGTTATGCCAGGCACTTGTGAAGTCATAGCGAAACACACGGCCAGTTAACACACGCACGCTTGGTCATATACGGATACGCACAGTGACGGTCCCTCTCCCAAAACCCCACCCCGCCCCAACTCGCCAGCCCCCTTGTACGTCTTCAATGAACCAATAATTGCAAACAAGCCTATTAACCCCGCAAGGACTGCGTTGTTGCACTTACCTATAATTCCACCCCCACAAGGACACAGCCCGCCAGGCACACAACTACCGGTGCCTCATCCGGCGCCAAAGACTCTACCAAGAAGCCCAAACCTCACGACCCAGAGTCCGTACATCCGCCCCACGTCCCTACCTCACGCACTCCGCGTCCCAATCCTCTCCCAGCCACCAGGGGCAGCCGCAGCGCAGGCAGGGCATGCGGGGCCAGTACACGCCGCGACCCCGCGGCCCGAACTGCTTGTAGGTGCCGGGTTTGGCGTACTTGCCTGCACGGGCGCCGCGGGGGGAAGGGCGGGTGGGGTAAGGACATTGCGACAATCCGACATAACATAACGCGGTAGGAAAACGTGTTGGAGGAAGCTCAGTTGCAGAGGAGAAGGCGTGCCCAAGACAGGCTCCACCGCTGTGCGTTCGTCAACACAGCAAGGAGAGTGAGGGGACGCACCCGATGGTGGGTCGTAGATGCTAGGGTCATCAGGCGCCTGGGCCCCGCTGGGACCCGCTGCGCTGCCGCCGCCGGCGCTCGCAGGTGCCGCCGCCGCTGCTGCCGCCACCGACGTCGACGTTGGCGTTGACGGCACTGCCGCCGGTGCTGCTGACGTTGTCGCCGCCGCCGCCGGCGGCGGCTGCGGTGACCGTTGCAGAAGCTCCCCCAGCAGCACCTCTAGCATGACCGCCGCATCCTGTCCCTTGATCGGCTTTGCAAGGGCCTTCATGTCGCGATACGATTGGATCGTAACACACGATCCATCTCCTGATGTTGCTCCTGCTGCTGCCCCAGCCGCCGCCGTCACTCGCAGCGCCTCCGCCAGGGCCTTATTAGCGGGAGAGGCGCCGGGGTCCGCAAACACCAGCTGTACGGCAGCACTGCTGCTGCCTCTGCCGTACCGGGAACACGCGGCGGTAATCTGGTCACGGAGGTTCGCACGTTGCGGTTGCTGCTGCTGCTCCTGCGGGGCTGCTGCGGAGAGCCAGGCAAGCACCAGGAGGCTGCCGGCGTCCCGAGCTTCCTGCGGAGTCGGGTGGGTGAGTGGGACCGGAGGAGGTTGTTAAGACGGCAAGTGAGTTCCCACTGCTGCATCAATCACAGTTAATAGAAACAGTAGGGAGTTGCTTCGAGGGCGGTCTAGGGGCCGTAGGGGTCGTAACACGCCCATCCTATACCCCGACGCAGTCTGCCATGCAGTACCGGTATGCAACAACGTGCCTGCAGCTTGGCCTTCAGCTCGCCGGCACCTCGCCGCAACTCGAACACCGGAACGCTCGCTGCCGCCGCCGCCTTCGCCCCCGCCTCCGCCTTCTTCTGCCGCTGCCACTCAGGTTGCCGCCTGCTCAGCTCCTCTCGTAGCTCCGAAACCGCGTTAGGACCCGCGAAGTATCCCTCCGGCTGCAGCGCCGGCGGGCGGTGTAGGGTCAGCGCGGGCCACTTGGAGCCATCACGCAGGGTGGGGCGTGCGTGGGCTGCGCTGCCGCTGCTGCCGCCGCGACGTGACGAGGCGGGCAGGGAGACCAGCTTGAGACCGCTGACTGCTAGGGCTTCGTTGGCCTGAGGAGGTTGGTTGATTAGTTAGTTGGCGGCGGTTAGAGGTTGGGGTTTGGTAATAGGGGTGACGCAGCCGGCTGGAGGGAGCAACGGCTAGAGTGCAATTTTTCCTCTCAACCACTCATTCGTGGATCCTCCCACTTTCTCCCCGCCCCTCTCTACCCGCCCCCCACCCCACCCCCCGCCCACCTGCGACGCGGTGACATCCAGCTCCACACACACCAGCTGGGTGCCGTACTGGGCGGCCAGCTGCGGCAGCTCCTGGGCCGCCACACCGCTGCTGGCGGCAGCCCAGGGCGCGTGCCACAACACCAGCACGGCCGCGGGAGCGGCCTGCCCCTGCTGTTGTTGATGGCTCTGCTGCCCTTCCTCCTCCTCCTCCTCCGCCTCACCGGCGCTGCAACACTCGTCCAACAGCTGTTGAAGCTCCGCCGCTCCGCCGCTCAGCCCCCGCAGCACCTCCCCGGGGCACCAGGAACTGAGGAGGCTGGGCTCCTCCTCGCTTTCCTCTTCCTCCTCCCCGTCCTCCTCCTCCTCGTCTGCGGCATCCCCTTCCTCCTCCTCCTCCTCCTCCTCCTCCTCATCATCATCATCATCATCATCACCACCCTCATCATCGCCGCCCGCATCCATGATGTCCTTGATATCCGGCCAGGGAAGGAAGGGGTCCAGCGTGTTCCTGCCAGCTCCCGCACCGCCTCCCGCGCCTCCTGCCGCTGCTGCAGCCGCCTGCCGTACCCGCTGCTCCTCTCGCTCATCCACCACCAGACAGCCCTCCAGTGCCGCTGCTAGGGCCTCCCGGTTGATGTCAATACCGATGAACACCAGCTCTTGACGCCTAGGGGAGTTCCGGGTGGAGGGTTACGGTACGTAAAAGGTGGGCAGGAGTGGAGGGGAAAGGCGCACCATGTGTGGTGAGGTCGGAGTCGAAAGCGTGAAGGGCGGGGGTCCCAAGCTAATAGGCAGAGGTCTGTCAGGCGACATGAGGCGGTACGAGCAGGAGAAGGAAGGCAAGGAAGCCTGCGGGCTGTGATCAGCGGAGCAACCCCACGCTAGCCCGTACCGTAAGCCCACAAGCATCACCCCCACCTGTCCCCAATGCCTGGCTGGAAGTCCCGCATGATGTCAGCGACCTGCGCGGGCTCGCTGGGCCAGGCCTCCCTGTGCAAGTACAGCATGGGCGGGGACATGGGCGGGGACATGGAGGGCAAAGAGGGCAACGTCAAGGAGGGCCTAAGTGGCGGTATGTGAACTTCTTAGGGGTTGGTCCCTCTTTGGTCACTCCCCACATGGCCTGGGGGTTTCAAAGGCAATCAGGCATACGGCAACGAATACCTGCAGGGCAAAGAATAGGAGGGAGAAGGTTGTGCCTTTACAGCTTGGGTTATGCCCTTGGGCTATGCCCCTTGGGTTGTGTCCTTGGGTTATTCGGTGCCGTACCTGGGCAGTACGTCGTACCAGGGTCCTCCCGTACCAAAGCGCATCAGGTTACCCGCGCTGCTCCACTCGCCCACGTGGTCGTCGCGACCCGACACCCACACGAAGCCCTTGGAGCGCAACACCTGGCCGAAGGCTGCCGTACGCGCCGCGGCCTTGGCGGAGGCGGCCGCAGCTGCGTCGGCGGAGGCGGCAGCGGGGGGGTGTGACGGCGCCGCTGGTGCGGTAGTGTTAGCAGTGGCGGCGACAGGCCGGCCGGCGACTGCCGCCGCCGCTGCCGCGGCGGCCGCAGCGGCCGCAGCACTGGCGGCGGCGGCTGCTGCCGCCGCCGCTGCACCAGCGGCAGCCTGTACAGCGGCGCCTATCGCGCCATTACTGAAACCTCCGCCGCCGCAAAAAGCCGCCGTCAGCGCTGCAGCCGCGTGCTGCGCCGCCGCCGCTGCCGCCGCGACGTCACTACCAACCGTCGACGGCAGCGCTTCCGCTGCCGCCGCCGTCGCCGCTGCCTGCTGCTCCGCATCGCTTTCCCGGCCTCCGCCGCTGTCGGCGCCTCCATCTGCCAGGGACCAGTCCGGCTGCTGCAGTACAAAGTACGACTCCATGAACGCATGGAGACGAGCGGGGTGAAAGGGCCGGCGAGATCGCCACACAAAGGACGAGATGCCGTACTCGGCGGTCTCTGGAACCAGATCCTTGCCCTCGCGGATGGCCTGAGGGGGGTTGATAATGACCGGTTCCAAGTTCATGGCAACTTGCGGGAAGATACGCAGCCGTCCTCAACGACACGTACGGACACGTCAGAAGCACTACAGCCGTACAGCGCACGGGTCGCAGCTCTGATCCTGGAACACCGCCCAGCACAAAACTCCATGCATGCTCCTTACACCACAACACCAGACGTCCTCCACTACAACCTGTTTCCCTCTCAGGCCACTCCTCATTGCCTGCTGTTAACACTAGTTCTCATAGCTACATATCACAACTAGTCCTCATTACCCATTACTGCACTCCTTCCCCCTCACCTTGAGCCAGCCCGCGCCCTCCCTCGCTCGCTCCAGGCTGAAGCGCCCCGTGTTGAGCACCTCTGCCAGCGCCACCCGCGAGTGGCAGGTGGGCAGCAGGCGGGCGGTGGGGTTGATGGCGGACACGAGCGCCTGCAGGCGGGGCAGCTGCGCGGGGGGGACGGTGTCCACCTGGGGGGGCGGGGAGGGGGGGGGAAGGGAGATTACGGGGAGTAGCTCGGAAGCATAGAGGAGGTGGAAGGCTGGCGGGAGACTTGAAGAGCGGCTGCGGAGCACGCGGCTGGCGCCGACACCGCAAACGCAGTCCAGCGTTTTCTCAACAGGTGCGACTACCTGTACGCACCCACCTCCTCCCTTTCCCCGGTCCCCCAGCCCGCCCGCCACCCCACCTTGTTGAGCAAGATGACATCCGCGAACTCCAGCTGGTCCAGCAGCAGGTCGGCCACGTTGCGCTCCAGCTCGTCCTCATCCGCCTCCTCCTCATCGCCCTCCTCCTCGTGAACCCCCTCGTGATGGTGGTGGTGCTGCTCGTCGTGATCCCCACAGCCGTCAGCATGGTCGTGCGTGTGCTGCTGCTGCTGCTGGTGCTTAGCGGCGGAGGCGGAGGCAGCAGCAGCCTCCCGGGCTCGCACCGCCGGCCCCTCCCGGTGGCCTCCGCCGTGATTCCGCACGCGCTCCGACTCCTGGCGGTCCTGTGAAGCGAGGTGGAGGTGGAGGCGTGTGCAGGTGCGCGCATTGTGAGCGGCGGGGCATTGGGAATTTTGGGATGGTGGTGTTGGGATGGTGGTGTTGGGACGATGCGGTGCATGTCCAGGCGCCGGATGGGCGATGTGGGAGACACGTGTTGAACCGTATCGAAGTCCTTAGCCCCCGTAGACAAGCGCTGGGGTATCGCATGCATCATGCGCACCGCACAGTCCCTCACCTTCAACGTCTCCAGGCTATGGAGGTTCTCCATGAGGTTGGAGGCATCCACCACCGTAACGCACGTGTCGAGTCGAGCCACGTCAGCCAACCGCCGAGGCAACTGCTCTTGTACGGCAGAGTTGCTTCCGCCGCCGCTGGCCGCCGCCGCCATCGCCGTCGCCGCCGCTTGCAGAGCCGCCGCCGCTGCTGGGTCGGACCCGTCCAACGGAAATTCGAACGTCTCGGCCACCTGCGGTCGTTTTCAGTCAGTTGGGCAGTTGGCAATGCTTGCAGCGTACATCGTTTCGGCTAGCCCTCGCAAGACGACCCGAAGCCACCTCCGTCCCCGGATCCTTTCGCATGCGTCCTCCGCTGCTTCCTCACCCCCACCCGCCCACCCACGTCCCCTCCCTCCCTTCCACCTGCATAGGTTCTCCGATGCCCGTGCTCTCCACCACGCAGTAATCAAACCGCCCGTCCGCCGCGATATCCGCAATCTGCGCCACCAGGTCACCCCGCAGCGTGCAGCAAATGCAACCGTTGTGCATCTCTACTAACCGATCCGGCGCCGCTGTTGCTGCTGTGGCCGCAGCCTTGCCGGCGGCTGCACCGCCAGCAGCGGCGGCAGGTTTCAAGCTGGGACGGTGGTTAGCGACGAGCGCTGCATCGATGTTGAGTTCCGCCATGTCGTTAACAACCACCGCACAACGGAACCCCGGCTCGCGGGTGGTGAGGATGTGACGAAGCAGCGTGGTCTTGCCGGCGCCCAGGAAGCCGGAGAGCAGCGTCACGGGCAGACGCCGCTGCGGCGCCGCCGCCGCCGCCGCTTCGGTTTTGGGTTTTTCCGTGTCGGCGGCTGCCGCTGCTGCTGCTGCTGGTGCCGTCGCAGCCGTCATGGTAACTTCCGCCGCCTCCGCCGGCACAGCAGCGGCCGGCACAGCAGGCTGCTGCTGTTGCTGCTGCTGTTGCTGCTGCTGTTGCTGCTCGTCCACCGTCTTCGCCGGTACGTTCTGCTCGTCCTTCAAAGGCGCTGACACCGCTGCCGTCGCCTCGGCCGCCGCCTCCGCACTCGCTACCTGCGCCGTCGCGGCCTCCCCAGCCGGCCCCAGCTGCAGGTCCACGAGTCCTGCTGCATGCGCCGAGCGCAACATCGACACCAGCTGGGCCAGCGGAGCCCGCCACGCCTCCGGCAACCCCTTAGCACCGCTGCCGACGCCGACACCGCCAGCGGCGGCGGAAGCGGAGGCTGCTGACAGCGCCGTCAGCTCGTCCAAATCCACCCAGACGCCGCCGCGCGGCTCCCCAAACGCAAACTTGAGGTCCTCATCAGGCACGCAGAGCACCCCCGCAAAGATGTGCCACACCGCGAGCGCGCCGTCGGCTGCCCGGGCTGCCTTGGGGTCGTGGTGCAGTACGGGCGGCAGCGGCAGGATGCGTACGGCATCGGGAGCTGCCCGGAGCACCTCCTTCAGGGCCCTGTGTGGGGGGGAAGGAGGGAGGTTTGGCAAGACGAGGATGAGGGTTTTAGACAGAGAGCGGGGCTTACCACGTTATAAGCGGGTGCTGTCTACACTTCATGCAGTTAGCAATGGTTCGCACACCACCACACTCGAGCGCACGTAACAGTGTTGCTTTCTAACACCTGACCAGCAACCCTGACGTCTAGGGACCTTGCCGCCGGCATCACCTCAGAGCGACATCAAGTGATTCCGCTATCACAAGATACACTAAGATATGGTACCTGCTGGCAACGGCGCGTTCCGTCTCCACGTATCCCGCTGTCGTGCAAGGGACCGGAGCTGACGTCAGCAAGCCGCTGCCGCTACCCGCCGCTGCCGCCGTCGCCGTCGGCAAGATGTACGCACGCAGTCGACGACGGCCGGAAGCTCCGCCAGCAGCAGCGCCGGCGGCGGCGGACGACGACGCATGTACGACAAGGGTGCCGTACCATCGCTCAACCGCCGAGAGGTCCGTCGCTGGGCTGTACGGCAGTCCGCATGTGAATTCCTCTCCGTTGACCTTCTCCACTCTGCCCCAGGAGCTGCCGATCTGGATCTGCATGCGGCCTTTGTGGCTGCTGACGCGGCCGCAGATGCGGTAGAACTTGCCGCGCTTGACGCTGCTGGGTTTGCAGTTGTTGTTTGCGCGGTAGATGAGGCGGCAATAGCCGGTGGGGTCGCGCACGATGGCGCTATAGACCGGGTCGCGTGGCTTGGAGACCGCGTCCACTCCCTCCAGGTGCCATATCTGGGGTAAACCGGGGTTGGTTGGAGAGGTAGTTTGGCGCGGGACAGGGCCATGGGGAAGGGTGCGAGGGGCAGGGAATGTTTGGTGTGGAATGGGCGCGGGAAAGGGGGAGGCGAAGGGTGTGCTGCATTAGGCGGTGGTAAAGGCGGGTGTGCGACAGAGTGTTGATGGCGTGGGAAGGCAAGGGGTGAGGTTGGTATGAGCGGGTAGTGCGCCCGCTTTCCTAGTATGGGAGGAGGTGCAAACCGAAAGGCGCGTTGCGATGCAAACAGCTGACTAAAGATAGACACGCCTGCGGGCTGGCGGCCATGGCCAGCTGACATGGCCGACCACGAGGGCCAGTGAACCAAGGCTCTAAGCAACTAACTTTCGTATCGAACCTTTATGTTCATGCCGTACCTCAACTAATAGGTCCTCAAACGTATCGCCCAAGCTAAGCTCATGCAGGCGCACCATGGCTGTCGCAACTTTTACTTTCGGGCAGAAGCACTAATCCACACCAAGCTGTAGAGGCACTAAATGTATTTGGGCAATGTGTGAAAGAGCGAACCTATTGCGCGCTTCATTCGCGGTTGGTCATGGCAAGCAAGCCCTATTTTTCGCCAAGGCAGCAGACCAGTATACGTCGCATCCCGATGCTTTTGTTAATCCTAGCTTTGTAACTTGTTGCTGCCAACGAGCGACAGACGTGCGGCATCTGCGATCCGTCGCCGTGTGTCGTAGCACGCCGGCGGCCGCGTCGGCACGGCACGAAGCCAGAAAGAAGCGTTTCGCCTAAAACCTATAGTTTGTATAATTTGATGAGCTCGCATTGAACTATATTGCACACCCGTCACTATGCCCTCTTCTGAGCGGGCCCCGGCCCAAGTCTTTACTGTAGGCCCCTTTGTACCACCGTCCTCCAACCATATACCTTCAACTAAGAGCTACAACCTAGTGAATCTGCAAGCGACGATTCTTCTGCCATCCAATAGACATCAAGGAACCGTAGGATGGGCCTCTCGTGCAAGCACTGCCCGTCCCAGTGTCTCTACTGGCACCGAAACTGGGAACGGCTCGCATCCACCACTTGAATTGGCGCAGGCAGATATGTCCGGACGGCTTAACCGGACGGTCACCAGCGGCAACAGCAGCAGCAGCAACAGCTCTAGCAACCCGCCCAACCTCCTCCTGCACGGTTGGCAAATCATGCGATGCACGCTGGCTTCCGTTTCACTCTCAACACCAGCAGCTGCAGCAGCTGCAGCAGCAGCAGCAACAACAACAGCAACCTCCCAACGAAGCCACACCAACAGTCTTTCCCGGCCCACGCAACACGAGGCAGCTGTAGCAGCACCCTATAATACAACGGGAAGTCAGGGCCCAGCTGAGGCTAGTCCCAGCTCCGGTTGGGCTGACGTCCAGCAGCGTACGGCGGCCGCGCAGTCCCTGTCCGGCCCTCAAGCCCTGTTCACCCTCGCGGCCGCCCCTTACAGCCGCTCCGGAGCCAGCGGCAGCCGTCGTGGCGCAGGTAACAGCAGCCATAGCAGCAGTCATAGCAACAGCATCAGCAGCAGGATGCTGTTGATGGGCCAGGAGGCTAGAGGCGGCGGCGGCGGTGGGGGCGGTCTGGAGCTGGATGCGGGGAATGCGGAGGCGGTGCTGGCAGAGCTGCTGGGAGGTGAAGGAGCGGGAGGTGGAGCGGGCGGAGGTGAAGGAGCGGGAGGTGGAGCGGGCGGAGCGGCAGCAGCGGCAGGAGGCGGTGGTGCGGGTGGAGAGGAGGCCAGGTGGGGAGTGGTATGGGCTTTAGGCGTGCCATGGGCAATGACCCTGGGATTGCTTAGTTTGGAAGTTGAGAACGGCGCGAAGGAATGTTTGTTGTTAATCATCCGGAGTTAAGCATCCCTGTGTGCATGCCTGTACTAGTAGTCTGGAGCAGCTCGGATGTGTGTTTCCTTCTCTTTCCTCCTGCTTTGTTCCCTCCTCACCGGCGCCAACTGCACCCCACGCCCGCCCGCACACACAGGGTTCAGTGCAGCTTCTGCCGGCAGCGCCTGGACCGCCCCCGCCCCCGCTACACCTCCCGACCCAAGCGGAGACAAGGCAGCAAGCAGGGTGGTGACGACGAGGTGGTAATCTGCGACGGCTGCCACCGAGCCTTCCATGAGGACTGCTGTCACTACCGGGGCATCGACACGCGGCCGCACCAGCAGCAGCAGCCGGGCAAGCAGCAGCCGGAGCCCGAGCAGTGGTACCACAGTCAGGTGCGAGCTGGCTCGTGGGGGACGCCTCCTTAACCCGGCGCGCACTGCCCATGCAGGTGCACGGTGCATCACACAGTGCAGATACACAGTGCGCTTGCATCTCCACCCAGCACATCCGGCCCCCTTGAGACCCGGAATGCCTATGAATCTGTCCAAACCCGTCTTGTGCGCTGTACCCCTTCAGCCCTTCCGCCTTCCTCCTCTTCCAGCTACCCTGCGTATAGTATGCCCTCCCAACGGATCCCATCCCAACGTAACCGACCCCATCCTAATGGAACCAAACACCACCTCCTCCTCCTCCTCCTCCGCAACAGGAGTGCGCCCATGCCTCCTCCCGCTGGCTGCAGCGGGCCGCAGCGGGCGCCACCCCGGCAGCGGGGGGCCGCTCCTGGCTGCTGCTGCCCACCTCCCTGCCCACCTCATGGACGGCAGCGGGAGCAGCAGCAGCAGCGGGGCCAGCAGGGGAGGAGAAGGAGAGGGAGGGAAAGGAGGGCAGCGGTCAGGGCGGGGGCAGCCAAGTGGCGTTGAGGAGGCAGGAGGTGGTGTCGGGCTTGGAGAAGGTGGGTGGGTGTGGGAGAGAGGCGGTGGGGAGGGGTTGGGAGAGATGATAGGGAAGTTGGATGCTTCGGAGGGACTGTACGGGATGTGCCTTCTGCGTCCGAAGGTGTACGACTGTAAAACGTTGTGGTGCTACTGGGCAGGCATGTTTTGCATGGTTGTTATAAAGCAGAGTGTGCGGGGCTTGTACACCGCTCAGCACCAGCTGGGCTATTGCAGCTCCTTCTTATGCTCCGAATTCCTGAAATTTGCCTGGATTCTTCTGACTTCACCTGTCCTCTCTGCCCTGTTTGACCCTACCGTCCCTACCGCCGTACGATTCCATGCCATCTCAGGCCGCTTCCGTACTCGCTAGCGAGTACGGCCCACGGGTTGTGGATGCCGTACTGGACAGCGACTTTGCCGTACTGCTGCGCGATGTACGGGGTACGGCAGTTAGCGCAGCCACGTTGGATGTGTACGGCAGTGAGGTGGTTGTCATGGACTTGATGGCGACCGCGGAGGAGGCGCGGGGGCGGGGACATGGCAGGTGAGGGCTCCCTCTCCCTTCCTAACTTCCCTTCCTTCCCCACACCTCTCCCTCACCACCCTCAGTGCCTCTATCTAGTTCGCTGCGGTGATGAAGTGATGATAGTATTCTTACGGTGTGAAGTTGCTTATCCGACCGAGCTACGGACCCACCATCACAACCTCAACCCGCGCTCCTATTGAACCTTCCTCCTTTGTCGTACGTAGGGTCCTCGTCAACTCCCTGGAGCAATGGCTTACGGAGGCCGGCACACGCCACTGGGTCGTTTGCCTGTCCTCCACCTCAGCTTCCTCAGCAGCAAGCAGTTCCCTCGCCTCCCTGGAGGCCCTAGCCGCCTCCTCGTCGTCCTCCGCTGGAGGAGGGAAGGGCAACGGACCCGTGGGTCGGTCCCAGCAGCGCTGGTGGCGGCAGCGGGGCTTCAAGCGCCTGCCCCGCAGCCAGCAGCGGGCCTGGGTGGCGGAGCTCCCGGGGTTCCCGAAGGAGGAGGGAGGGGTGGTGTTGATGGGGAGGCGGCTGGGGCGGGGCGAGGACGGGGAGGGGGAGTGGGAGGGACGGGGACGGGGAGTGGTGGGACGTGTAGCGGGCGTTGTGGTGAGGGGCGTGGCGGGAGTGTGGGGAGGCGTGACGGGGGCGGCGCGGGGGGTGGTTGGGTACGTGCTGCTGTCCGGAAGGTGAGCCAATGTGGGATGGAGTGAAGGAGTTGAGGTGGAATGTGAAGCGGGTGAAGGTACAAGCGATACAAGCGAGAGGTTCCTCATGTGCTCTTTGCTGTGCGTATCGCAGCGGCGGCTGGGGTTGAGAGGTGGGCTGCTCTTCTCACCGATGTAAACGATGTGCGAAAAGGAACAGGTACTACCGCTGGCCAACATGCTTCCATCCCTAGACGGTTAGCGTTTGTCGAACCCCGGGCGGGTGCTCTACTTGGAACAAAATGGCAGCGTCTGGACTTGTGTATTGGAGTATGCACCTCCGCGGAGGATTATGCAAAGATACTAAGGCAAAGAGTTCTATGTCAGGGTTACGCAGCGATGTGAGGCGTTCGTTGGCGTTCGTGCGATGGACGTGTGGTCCTCAGGACGACACATGAAGAATGAGCACCTCCATGCGTAAAGCTTATTCAGACGTTTGCGTAGGAAACATCTTTACTTAATGTCGCGTTAAGTTTTGGGATTGCCGAGGAAGCAAACTAGCTTGCTTGCGTGGCTGACGAATCTCTGGCTGTCAAAGCTTTTTAGTGAACCCGGAAGCACAATACACCTGCTAGTGTGTTCTAAACAGAATGCGCCAAAATGTTGTTGGACAACGTTCGGCTGCTCAGTGCACTGGTCAGGCATGCCCATGTGCAGTCCGGTCTGCAACGCGCGCGTTCCGCCGGACAGTGTACACCAGAAATGAAACAGCAAGGAGGCCAGTACCGGAAGTCAGGGCTGTTGACACTGAGAGGATAGTCGACTCCATTGCCGTGAAGACGATTGAAGGTAAGCGCTTGCCGCGGTCAACTTCACTTTATACACTTGTTAACAAGTCACCACCTACTATGCCTTTTGTGATCGTCGCGTGGGTTTCAAGTGGTAGTCGCTTGCGGCGTTCGACTATTCGCGTTTCGCACGTTCCGACAACCTAGAAAATGGCTGAATATGGTAGCATGGAACATCCCAAATGTCTTCGCCACTCTCTCTTCCTCCTTCCCTTATCTTCCCATATGCTTGCGCGCGCGTCCTGGTCAACGACCATCGCGACTTGCACCCTTGTTGCTTTTTCAGATCTGGACACCAACTACTGCGACGACTTTGTTTGTACTTCCTCTCCTGCTGTGGAGCAAACCGTTCGCAGTCTGGCCCGCGAGCTCACGCGCGGGCGGTACACCACCACCAGCCTCTACCAGCCTACCGTGACCTACTCGGTACGACGCGCAACGTTGCCGCCATTGCTGGCCCCGGTCTTCACCGCACGTCACAAAAAGAACAGGCTGACTGGGTGATTGCTGGACTGCACACGGCTTGCCAGCCACAACCATTTCCCTTGAAAAGCTCACCAAGCATGGCATACGTAGTTGGGATGGCAATGTGCGGGGGTCTAGCGTTTCACCGAACCTATGCTCCTCATGCATCATCATCCCGAACCTTCTCCACAAACCAGCCTGCAACTGATAGTCCGATTACACCGTCATGTAGCCTTTCCCCAACCGTCCTTCCTTCTTTCCGCCCACCGCACCCACACTGCCCCTCTCCCACCCTTCCTCACCCTACCTCTCCCGGCCCCCAGGACGGCTTCCGCTCCTTCAGCGGCCCCGAGGGCTACCTGCGGCAGCGCTGGATCGCAGACAACGTGCAGCAGTTCCGAGTGGTGAGGGAGGGAGGGGAAGACTGGGGAGCAGGAGACTGGGAGTGGGATACTGGAAAGGAAGAGACTGGGCACAAGCACGCCGACTAGCAACTTGATGCCCTACAGCAGCCCCTAAACCCGCCCCCTCCTCCTCCTCCTGGTCCCCCCTCCCCCTCCCAGACCATCCTCCGGCTGCGCATGCTGGACAAGGGCACCAGCCAGGTGACCTGGCGGCTGGAGGGGCGGCTAGGTCCGGGCGGCGGGCTGCAGCTGTCGGCCCAGCTGACCACCACCTGCACCCACAACCTGCTCACGGGGCGCATCACAAGCCTCAGGTGGGGAAGGCAGGATTTGCGGTGTGCTGGTGTGCTGGTCTCGTGTGGTGCGCGTAGGCACGCGATGGGATGAGATGGAGTGCAATGCGATGTAACGTGGGTGACTTTAAACCCTCTGGTCTGGAGACAACGCGGGATGTCATGCATGCAGGCAACAGGTAGGCATGCTGTAAGGGTTGATGGGTTGGTGATTCGGGGCGTCCTAGCGGCATGCCAAGGTCCGCGTGCCATGCCTGCTGCCTCCTGAAACGCACCGAACGTCGCAGCCCCTTTTGCAAGTGTACGCCGGGTGTACCGCTAAGTGCAGCCATGATGTTAGCTCGGCTTTTCTGGTGCTCCGTGACGTAGCAGCCGCTAACCTCCCTCTTTATCGCCAGCAACCACCATCACCACCATCACTCCTGCTAGTAACCGTGCTATGTCCTCCCTACCACCATGACTGCTGCCATGTCCCCCCCCCAGGGAGAGCTGGGACCTGTCGGGCAGCCCGCCTCCCGCCGCCGCGCTGGCCACCCTCAGTCGGGTCGCCTGGTCGGCCCAGCAGAGCCTGCAGGACGCCAGGGAGGGGCTGGGCCGGGCAGTGGGAAAGCTGGGAGGCGGCGGTGGGGGCGCGGAGGGAGCTGGGGACAGCGGCATGCCATCGGACCCCACCCGGGTGCGCCAGGGAAGGGGTGGTCCAAAAATATATAAGCGATGCAAAAGGGGGGGGTGTTCCTTGCAGGGCTGCTTATGCGCTCGCTCCGCTGCTTTGCCAGCCCTCCCGCGTGCTTGGTACAGCAGCAGCAGCAGCAGTGGCAGCTCTTTTCGTGCTTTGCTTCTGCCAATCCTGCACCGCGTCTGATCCTGTGTCCATTCCGTGTTTGCGCCCTTGCCCAAGCTGCATGCTGCTGCTGCCCGTCCTGCCTGTCCTCTTAATTTGCACATGCTACCTAACCTGCTGCTTCTCCTCCTGCCTCCTGCTCCCTGCCCCCTCCCGCTCGCTGCTTCCCTCCCTCAGTTCTACCAGGGCGGCGAGGGGGGTGCGGGCGGGGATGTGTTCGCAGTGGGGTTCCTGCTGGCGCTGCTCTATCTGGCGGCCAAGCTGGCGGGGGCGCTGGCGAGCCTGGGGTGAGGGGAGGAGAGCCTGGGGTGAGGGGGCGAGACAAACTGATCCGCGATGGAACACTGACAACCCTGCCTGGGGTAAGAGGGCAGGGGAGACGTGGGGGGTGAAGAGCCTGGGGTGAGGGAGCGAGATGTGGGGTTGTGTTTGAAGAGCCTGGGGTAGGAGACAACCAGCTGCAAGCGGGTGAGGGGGCGCTGAGGTGAGGGCAGGGTGGAGGAGGCGGAAGGGAGGGCAGGGCGAGCAGGGGCTTTCCGTGCATCCTGTGTTTCACCTGTGGGGCTTTGCTGTAGCGGGGTATTAGCGTAGGGGGGTGGACGGTTCAAGTGTGAGCCACAGGAAGGGAAGAGGATAGACCGTCGGGCAATGAGCCATTCGCCAGGCACTTCTGGCTGGGAGGAGACGAGGCATGAGGAGAAGCGGGGCAGATCGGGGAGAGAAGCGGAGGGAATTGGCATTTAGGGTACCATACAGAAAGACTGATGCATATAAAGAAGTGCCGTAGAGGCGGGTGCGATTTAAATGCCTTTTATTTTTCCAGTTTGCGCACTGCTACGAACCCAGCCAGCAGCTGTCCAGCACGAGAGACTGTGGGAGCGCGTCAAGCAGTTTGGTCCTGTTGCTGAAGTGAGATGTGTGGCAGTGTGCTATGGCATAATTTACAAGGACGGTGCTTTCGATTCTTGAAGGTTCGGGGCGAGGATGTTGTTTGAGTTTGGGGAGTGGCTGAGGTGGCGCTGCATTGTCATGTGGGCATGACGTTGAGTGGTCTAGCCGACCACAGGCTCATAAGAAGTGCGCTAACCGCTTTCCAAATGAGGGCTGGAACATACATGCCTTGAGGACAAAGAGAGATGTATCTCGATTTGGCTGAACTGCTACTGTTTCAAGCTCAAAGGCTTGGAAGGCCCAAAATCTTGAATTGGATCTTATCATCGCCATTATGTACTGCGCTGCCGTACAGATAGACTGCTGTCCGCAGCTGCAGTGATATGAAAAACCTTGGGCTGTTGTTATCCAGAGAGAAGGTGTGCGCCCTTGAACTTCACCATTGTGGCAGGTTTTGCTCTTGAGGGAAACTTGAAGATGTGTGGATGTTTGAATTGTACCAAGCAATGGATACAGCATTGGTTGACGGGGGAAACATTTTCGTAAAGGAGCATAGGCACGTAATGTTGCATTGAGGCCGAACAAGGGGTTATTTCTTATTTGATACACACCGTAAATTGTAATTATGATTAAAGGGTACCAAGTACAACCAAAACAGCCACACACTCCTAAAGAAATTGTTGTAACGCACAAAAGGACCAGTCCTGCCCATAACCTTTGCGCCGGTTGCCACGGGAAATGATCATGCACGATGAATTCACCGTACGTACTGACCTCCGAGGGCATAAAACACAAAGCGTCCTACTACGCAATACTACCAATTCCCATTACATGCAAGTAAGGCTTCACCACAATAACTCATTCGCATTGGCAACTGAACTGACAGTAAACAGATAGATGAGGAAAGTGGGCAATAACCAAATTCGACACAACGAATTCAGGCCGCGGCGAACGCGGGACGTCACTCTGCACCGGGCATCTTTAGGGGTAACAAACGGTTTTAGACCACTTAAAGCTTCTTGGCTAGCGCCATTCAGAGCTCCCCGATACAGCCTCCAACGGACGCATGAGACCCGCACGTGAGCACTACACACCACATCAGAGCAGCCGTGCAGCCTGGACGCCCCATCGTCCCATTGCACGTAACTGGACCCAGATATCCACATCAGAAGCCTGTACCCAGATCTTCAGGGCTTCATGCACACGGAGCGACCCATGGGTCAGACACGCAGGTCAAGCACGCAGGGTAGGTTAGTCACGCCGGCTAGACACACAGGTGCTCTGAACTAGTCTTTACACAAAAGAGTAATTTACACACATGTAAAGCGTGTCTTGGGTGAAGGGCACGGGCATGCCAGATACACACAAACACCAACCCCTATTAACGTCATAGACCCCAAGAAAACAGACGAGGTAACTCGAGGATTTTCGTCAACTTAACTAATGTCATTGTGCAATGTACTGAGGTCCGTAGCCCAAAACAGGAACAACCACACATGAGGTCGTTTTGTTGAAAATGCACAAACCAGGTACCACTGTTACCCGTTTGTCCCTAGGGACCGACCCTCCTGTGCGCCCTGAGGTAAGGTCAGCTAACAAACAAACAAACAGAGAGCAGAGTCAGACCATCTTCACACCACGCGGACAATGCGTTGCGAAGCTCGAAAAACCGGAAGCCCCTGTCCTACCTCTCGTCCTGAGCGACAGGATGCGTTCCAGCCAGACCATGTGCCACCTCTTGTGAATGAGCCGATAGGCTAAGACACCACATACGGCTGCACGGGGCTTGCACTGCTGTTGCCCTCACATACGATGGCCGAATGCGCCGCGCTTGCTGACATGCGCACCGCCGCACAACCACGAAAATGAATCCCAGCCATTTTGGAGCAGCCGGCATCCCACGACTCATCCATGACCCGAGTTACCTATCGCACCGGCACGTCTTGACATCTCCCGACACCTTCTGCCTTTGCTATCTTCACCACTAATGGGATCGTACCGGCAAGCCACATCAGCCGCAGCAAGAGCAGCAACCTAACTGTCAGTGACAACCCACCACAATCCTGGCTGCTTGCTGCCAGCGGAGGAGCCTTGCGCCACTACAACGACCGGCAATGATGCCGACGAGTACAGCCCGTAGCACCTCTCCGATTCCAACATACAGCCCCAAGACAGCCGTCCGCCGTTGCCATTGGGGCTGCCAACGCATGGCTAGCAACAACTAGCCACGACTGGAGCGCTTCCCTGTGATTGGCATTACCGAAGACACGCCCTGTCAGACTCCCTCTTCATGGCCCCCGCTCTTCCTAGGCTGCTGCTCCAAAGCACATCGCGTGAATGTTCAAGCTATTTCCGGCATCCACAAGTTGCAGGCCGCAGTATGTATGCATGCATTAGCACATCCAAGCTATCACCGACCAGACACGGTCCCAGTCCTCAACACACCGTAATCCACTAGCCCTCCTACCTATCTACACCCGGCTCCTTGTCCCCCGCCCTTCTGTACAGCCGAAACCTTTCTTAGCCTCCCGACCAACCCACAACAACCCTGCTGCCCCCGTCTATGTCCTTTCCTCTTCATGCAACTACACCCCGAGCCCCGAGCCCCGACCCCCGAGCCCAAGTCTGCCAAACCCTCAACTTCGCGTGTCACATATCCCTGGCCCTCCTTGCTGCTGTTGTTGTTGCTGCTGCTGCAAAGACGTCGACTGCAGGGACGTTTGCAGCGCCTGAAGCGGCTGATGCACCACCTGCTGCTGTTGCTGCTGCTGTGCCGCTCTTCCCCCCCGCCGGCCTTTCCCATCCCGCCGCCCTTTTCCCGCCGGTCCCGGACCGCTTTGCAGCCCCGTGTAGGACGTCGCGTTCGCCTGCTCCTCATCGCCCCCCGGCAGGAATATCTGATAGGCAAACACCGAGCTGCTGCCGGGGAGGAGGCCGTACGTGGCGCGGAAGGGGTTGCGGCTGGCGGCGCCGGCGGCGGCCTCCGCGTCCGTGACGGTGGAGGATGTGGCGCCGCCGCCGGCAGCGCCGTTGTCGGCACTGCCGCCGCCACGAGCACCGCCGCCGCCGTTCTGCGCGGTCTAGGGAGGGGTTTTGGGTAAGGGAGCAGCGTAAAGGCTGTAAATGTTTCTGTGCGTGAGGTGTGCATGATGTCTTGATGCGGCGCCCCTGGAGGACAGGTTATGGTACATCCCCGTCTTGCGCGTGCTCGGACATTCGCCATTGTACCTGATCCTTCTTTCGCTCCTAACAACCCCAGCCATGTTCCCTTCCGCACAGAAGCAGTAACGACAGCCCAGTTCCCAACACCGTCCAACCGCCCAGCCAGCCACTGCGAGCACCCACCAGCAAGGCTGACTTGGGGTGGTCCGAGGCCCCAGCGCCCCAGCCCCCTACGAATGCCCCTCCACAGCAGCACCAGCAGAGCTGGCTGGAGATCACTGCGATGTGGGCTGCAGCAAACAGCACTCCCGCAACTAGAAAAGCGATGGAGGGGTAGTGGTGGCGACTGAGGAGGAAGGCTGCCATGCCCACGACCGGAAGCCAGAGTGCGACTAGGACTGAGGTGGGCAACGGCGTGCGTTGCGGGGAATAGGGAAGGGCGCAAGGAGGGAGGGAGGCGGGCGACTAAGGAAAACGCGGGACGAGAAGCAAACATGCATGTGCGCTTATTATTGGGCATTGGGCGGAAGGAGGACGAACTTGCTTGAAGTCATGCGGGTTGGCGTGCTTTGAACAGCCAGCAAACGAGGGAGGACTGACACGCACAGTCACATTTGATCAGAAGGGCTAAACAGCGACCAACACTTCATCAACGCGAGAGAAGGAGGGGTTGGGCTGGTGGCACGGAAAGGCCGTTCATCATTGGCGAGGCCTGGGGTCAACCCGCACACGCACCTCCATGGGAAATAGGCAGACAGAATTCGCTGCACCCAGGTTGCACCAAGCACCGACCGGTGAGGTGTAGTAGAGCTGCAGGCAAGAGAGGGCATATGGCAACTGGATGTCAGCAGCGCGGCCGATGCCAGACGAGTATCAGAGCAACACCATCCCCAGGTCTCAAGGCGTGCGATAATTTTCATGTATACAATACGTTACCCGTTTCATGTAACAGCCATGGGCTCTCACCAACAGTGAGAAGTAGGGCCGACAGTGCACAGAGCACAACACCAGCAATAAGAAGCGCCTCGGCAACAGGAACTTCCTGACCATTTAAGCCATTTATCCATCCACCAAAATCAGCGGAAGCTGTTGTGGCGAGCAGGCATACGCCCAAGCAGAACCAGAGGGGATGCACCCCGCGCAGTAGCCGCTGCATAACGCTGGGCCAGCAGAATTTAGCTCAGTTGATATATAGCTGCATTAGGACAACCTTCACTTGTCAAAGTTTGTCTCAACGAGGTTTTCAACTCAATCTCGTTTATCAGCTAAGTGATGCCCTGGTAAAATTACCATGCCAAAAGCGCTGCTACTGACAGGCTAGAGGCTAACAAAATGCAACTAGACACAGCACAGCGGGGACGACTCAAAGGGTGTACGACAACGGTGAACGCCTTCAGGACCTCCAAGGCCTAGATGCGGAAGGCCGGGCTGACTGCAATGAGCGTGTCTTCGCATGGGCTTGAGGAGGCTTGCCGAGATACACTAGTCCAACCTTCATACCGGTATGCAACAGCTCTACGTCGATGTCAATACGAATGTACGATGCGTGGGACTATGCGCCGTGGGGCCTTCAGCGGTAAGCCGCTATTGCATGGGGCCGCGTGCGGGCTTTGGGACGCACATATTCCTGAACAGTACGTGCTATGAAGTGTATGCAGGCACGGAACATGCAGGGCAACCTTATGCGGAGCAAGTTAATAGTCTAATGCGGAGCAAGTTAATAGTCTAGATACCACACATCGTATACATGTGATGAGGTATGGCTTGAGCAAGATGAGCAAGTTCATAGCTTCAGCACGTACCGTTATGGGCGGGCCTAAGTACACTCTAAGGTGCTCCATTCCTATGCGGCACCTACCGAGAGAAACGTCGCCGACCACATCAGACACGATGCTGCTGTTTGTGCGTGCTTGTCTCCATCGACGGGGGCAAATGTAACAACATGCATTGGCAGCATTTGGCAATCCGACACTGTACCTTACGTTGCCATCAATACCATGGATATGAACTAAACGTAGGTGAAGCATCCATTGGGCTTTTCCTAGGCGAGGCTGGCTGGCCCCTGAGTGGCTGATCCAGCAGCAAAGTTGCCTACCGATACCGCCGGTACATGCATGGCATTCCATGTGGCCAAACCACGGTAACGCGCCGAACGTACAACTACCCCGCCATCTTCTGCCAGTTTGGTGCATTGTTGGCAAAGTGCATCTACCTGGGCCTATTTGTGAGAACTAAAGCGAAAACGCTCCGTTCGGGTGCTGAAGTACAGCGAACTACCTCAGCCCTTTCCCTATACAACTTGTGTACCAATATCACTTTATCAGTGTTGCATGTATTCAACAGACAACTGCAGTAGGCGCAAGTTGGTGCCCCGCCTAGCAGTTTTTCCGGTTTCCATGCTGTACGGGAAATAAGTAAAGACTTGGTACGTTGAGTACAAACATTGTCTGTCTTCCAATAGAACCTTCTAATAACTCGTTCCGCGCTACACTGCTGAAACCCGCAGAGTACGGAGCGTACTGCGTTATCATAGCCAATCCTAACCAATTATTGGCATCTTGCATTAGTTGAGCCGAGCTGGAACAGGAAGTACAAAAGAGAGTTCTATACTGCTGTCGCAATACTTATGAGCCCACCGTCCCCTTAGGATGCATTTCAACTTCGGCCTACGAGTCGTCACCAACAAACTGAACTACATGTGGTTTTGACACGGAGAGCATGGACAGCCTCTAAGCCACTTTCGTGTCTATATTTTAAAAAAGATCAGGTACTGGCTTCACTCCCAGTTCCCACTTCCAGATAAATGAGATGTCATGCTTAACGCCGTTGCGGCCGCCTTAGTATACGCGGTTTCAATGTTTCCCTGTCTTACTCGCTTAATAAGTGACGACGCCGTGCTTTTCACATTGTCGCTGTATGGGTCACTCCAGTCTTGAGGTTCCGCGCAAGCATGCCTGACCCATACATGCCTGACGTGTCACAGCAACCTTTACGACGATTATATATTCTATGCATTAAAGACGAGTATAATCATTTGCTGTGTTTCCTGCTTGACCAACTCCTCGGCAGGCTAGCAGTTGGAAGGCACTAGGAATAATGGGGGAACCGCACGTTCAACCCCTTGTCTGTGACTCGGCGGTCACGCTGGTGGTGAGGACGCTCTCCAATAGCGGCAGGTGAGAGAATCTTTTCTCATTGGGGCCTTACTGAGACCTACACGTTTGCGGGCGTCTTCATGTAAAGGGTCGTTGCTTAATTGTCGTCATAGTACGTGACAATGGTTGTGAAGTCGGTCGTGGAGGCAGTTAGTTATGACGACTAGCAAGCTACGTGGCGCCCGTTTATCTTGACAAAAGTCCCAACCGACATGTTACCATTTGTAGAAAGGCTTCTGGGTCCTTTCCCTCAGGCTTATACCGTTTACGCCTTAGCCTTAGCGAGACGATGGCTTGCTTTGACTGAATGACGCTTGCGCTAGCACGAACTTTGCGCACCTGAAGTCCAGATCTGTGTTGCGGTTTATCCTGCATTTACTGCTTACTACCTGCCCCTTTACCCGCCTGGTAGCAGGGTTTCGCCACTACCTTCGCCGATTGCCCCGGAGATCCCGGCACCCCCGTCGCCAAAGAGCAAGAGCCCCAACAAGCGGCTACTCTCCTTACTAGCGGTGGCAGTGGCAGCTGTCTTACTTGTGCTAGCAGTGGCTCTACCAGTTACTCTGTGAGTCGCGCGAGGCAGTCCGCGTTTGTTATGGCTGTATCCTGGATTGCACATGTTTCGAACTCTGAATAAAGCCATGGATACTCGAGGGAGAGGCAGCGGAGTAGGATATAAGCTTTGCACCATATATGAGATTTATGGGATGGAGCAAGCTTCTAGCCGTACGTTGCGTTAACCCCATGCATGTTTCCTAGCCAAGCTAATGCACAATACGTTTCCTAACTCCCGTCAACATCTTCACAGGACTCGTCGTGGACATACGGCAAAGCTGAACCTGCTGTACAACACATTTCCGTACAACGGCTTCTGCTCCAACAGTTCATTGCCGTACAGCCTGACGCCAAGTTCAAATTCGCCAGCGGACGGCCTGTACTGCTTCACATTAAATGTCAGGACGACAGTGTCTGACTGCTCCGGCTACTGTTGCTCTGAGGCGGAGCTTCAAACTGTTGAGGTGGGTGACAATCGACACGTGGCTGGCCCGCCCGGCCGGTTGGCAGGGGCTACAAGTAACACCCGCCTTCGCGCGTGTATGTGCTCCGCCCAGTAGCTTTGGTTTCAGGTTTCCAGTCAACACAAAACAGACAAACCTTTATGACGTGTGCACTTGCTACTCACTACCGTTCACATGCGCAGTTCGACGTGGATGCCACCTGCAATGTTGCCGGTGCGGGCATCAAGGCTGTCGTCAACGGTGCACCCAGCAGCACCCTTCCCGCCTTCGAGACACCCACCCAGGGGCCCGAGGGTAGCGCCCTGTTGCGGCTGCCGCAGCTGGGGCTAAGCCGCAACAGCAGCGGCGCCCAGATTTGCCTCATCCTCCAACCCAGCAGCCAAGGCCAGGGCTGCACCACCCTCGAGCAGCTCTGCGTGCCTCCAGCCGGCCAGCCAGCAGGCGCGTGCTCTGTTGCCCTGCTGGACAACCAGAGACAGTGCTGCCAGGTGTCATCGGTAGCGCAGCTGGCCACGTCAGCAGCCGCGTCGACGTCATCGAACAGTTCCGCTTCGGTGACGGCCGCGGAGTCCATTACACAGCAGGGCAGTGGTAGCCAGGAGCAGCAAGCCGGCACTCCGCCGCCAGCCCTTCCGCCACCAAGCTCGCTACGACTTCCACCACAGCCATCCTCCCTGTCAACAACGAACATACCCGGAACGTCCCAACCTCCCACGACGCCGCCCAAGCCACCGTCGTCACCTCCTAACCCAGCACCGCCGGCCCCACTACCTCGTCTCTTATTGCCTCCCCCACCACACCCTTCACCGTCGCCGCCTTCCTCCTCACCGCTGTCACCCGCACCTCTTCCACCGCCAACATCAGCGTCGGCACCCCATCCACCCTCTCCAGTCTCGCCCATTCCACGCTCACCACCTTCACCTTCACACACGCCGCCTTCCCCGGCCCCTCCGTACTCTCCTCGCCCTCCGCCCTCACCCGCTCCACGCTCGCCGTCTCCACCCTCACCTGAACAGCCTTCGGTATCCTCAGCCCTTCCACCTTCACCGACGACTTCGTCCTCGCCTTCACCAGGCTCCTCGCCACCCACGCATCTCCCGCCTATGCTGTCTCCGCCCTCACCCTCGCCGTCGTCACCGGCGCCCCTGCCCTTATCGCCCATGCCGCCGTCACCCCCTACTCCTTCGCCTACCCTCTGGTCATCCTCGTCACCCTCTCCACCTGTCCCCGTCCCTTCACCTCCCCTACCGACTCCACTCTCCCCCACGCTACGCTCACCGCCCCCACCTTCTCCCTCATCTCCGTCACCTTCGCCACCTTCATCTGCACCGCCCTCGCTGGCTTCAACCTCGCCGTCTCCACCCACGTCTTCCCACCCGTTACCGCCACCACTCTCGCCTAGTCCTCTCGCGGCGCCGCTGCCTTGGTCTTCGCCCCCTTCACCCTCATCACCTTCAACCCCATCACCGTCACCACCCCTACCTTCGCCTTCACCTCCCGTGCAAACACCGCCCCCAACTCTCCTACCCTCAGCATCGCCTCCAAGCGCGTCTTCCACCCCTGCGCCTTCCCCGCCATCCTCACCCAACCAGCCTTCACCGGCCTCACCCACCTCGTCGTTACCGTCACCTCCACCACTGTCAGCATCAACATCCTCAGCTCCATCGCAACCGCTTCCAGCTCCCTCACCGACCACGCATTCACCCCGTTTGACGGATCCAGATTCAATCCCACCAGGCTCATTGCCTACATCATCCGCTGTGGCCCCACCACCTCCCAACCCAGTATTCATGCCGCCTTCACCGTCTTCTTCCTTAACCTCTCCCACGTCACCACGGCCATCGCCCTCGCCCCTTCCTCCAGCAACTTCTCCGGTACAACGGCTGCCTCCGTCGCCTTCACCACCCTCACCCATGCCAACCGCGCCTCCGTCGCTTCCACCGCCTTTGCAGCTTCCAACATCATCATCGCCTTCGCCCGTGCCGTCTTTGCAGCCGCCGCCTTCACACATGCCACCAACGCCGCGGCCACCACCACCGGCATACCCGCCTCCAACAACCTTACCTGAATCCCAGCTGCTCCCACCACTGTCGCCGCCTCTGCCCTCGCCAGTACCCCCGCCGCCTTCACCTCCCTCGCCCATTCCTCCACCACCACCGGTGTACCCTCCGACAACGCCGCCATCAACGTCCCTGCCTCCAACGACCTTACCTGAACCCCAGCTGCTTCAACCACTGTCGCCGCCTCTGCCCTCGCCAGTACCCCCGCCGCCTTCACCTCCTTCGCCCCTTCCTCCACCACCACCGGTGTACCCTCCGACAACGCCGCCATCTACGTCCCTGCCTCCAACGACCTTACCTGAACCCCAGCTGCTTCAACCACTGTCGCCGCCTCTGCCCTCGCCAGTATCCCGCCCGCCTTCACCTCCTTCGCCCCTTCCTCCACCACCACCGGTGTACCCTCCGACAACGCCGCCATCAACGTCCCTGCCTCCAACGACCTTACCTGAACCCCAGCTGCTCCCACCACTGTCGCCGCCTCTGCCCTCGCCAGTACCCCCGCCGCCTTCACCTCCTTCGCTCCTTCCTACACCACTACCGGTGTACCCTCCGACAACGTCGCCATCTATGTCCCTGCCTCCATCGACCTTACCTGAACCCCAGCTGCTCCCACCACTGTCGCCGCCTCTGCCCGCACCAGCGGTACCCCTATCACCTCCACCTGTGTACTCGCCGCCTGCGCCTACATCCTCCTCAATGGAAACACCCTCGCGGCCACCACCGTCGCCACCTCCCTCTCCACCTCCAGCAACACCAACATCGCCTGCACCCCTAACCTACTCGATGCCTTGGTCGCCCACTCCAATGCTACCTTTGGCCCCGCCGCCGGCACCACCGTCGCCCCATGCCCCATCGCCCCGACCAACCCCAAACCCACCTACGTCAACTTCACCTCCTTCACTCCCCTCCTCCTCAATTTCCTTAAGCCTTCCACTGCCTCCTACTCCCCTATCACCTTCGCCGGCCCCATCCTTACCACCTCCTTCCTCACCTCCAACCCAGCCACCGTCCCGACCCTCGCCTCCTCCGCCTTCGACTCCCCGCTTACCGCCACTCTCGCCTGTACCCCCCGCACCGGCGACTCCTTCGTCCCTTCCACCTTCGCTTCCTCCTCTACCTCCGCTCTCGCCCGAACCGTCCGCTGCACCGGCACCGCCCTTGCCCCTTCCACCTTCGCCTCCTCCTCCACCTCCACCCTCGCCCCAACCATCTGCCGCACCGGCACCGCCCTTGCCCCTTCCACCTTCGCCTCCTCCTCCACCTCCACCCTCTCCCCAACCATCTGCCGCACCGGCACCGCCCTCGCCCCTTCCACCTTCGCCTCCTCCTCCACCTCCACCCTCACCCGAACCACCCGCGCCGTCGCCGCCTTCGCCCCCTCCACCATCACCGGCTCCACCCTCGCCGCCACCTTCACCTCCCTCACCCCTTCCGCCATCGTCGCCTCCCCTTCCACCTCCGCCCCCGCCGTCGCCGCCTTCACCTCCCAGACCCAAACCGTTTCCGCCTTCACCACGCCCACCCTCTCCTTTACCTCCCTCACCTCCACCACCACCTCCTCGCCCACCACCTCCTTCTCCCGGACCATCGCCGCCGTCCCCTCGACCCCCGAAGTACCCATATCCACCTTCACCTCCGCCTCTCAGCCCGACCAGCACTGGTGCAAGCTACCCCGTCTGCATTTACCTAAACATCACAGGAGACCCTCCGTACAACATGAGTCAGAGCGAGTGTTCGGCCTTTGCTGCGGTCGTTTCCAGCGCGTTCAGTGCTTCGGGCGCCCGCATGAGCATCAATTTTGCGCTAGCTAACTGTACCAGCACCACAGCCAAGGTCTGTGGCAAGTTTGCAAGCGGGTCGGAATGCCAGACAGCTGGAGCCTACGTTAACGGCCTCATCTCGAATACCTTCATGAATTACGTGGTTAGCGGCACCACTAGCAGCAGCAGCTGTAAGGCAGAGCTTCTGGGCTATGGGATCACCATCAGCGCCGGCCGGGACAACAGCAGCGCCTCCAGCGGTTCGAATGAATCATGCCTGGCCGGTAGCTACAGCATCCAGTGTTGAGGTAGTAAGCCAGGCGCAGGCGCGCTTACAATAAGGACGAGTGGCAGCAAGTGGAGCAGCCGCTAGCTACTGCTGCATGCAAGCGGTTGGGTGCATGTGTGTGGGCATGGGGGTGCATGTACAGCGAAATGCGATGCATACCACACATGGAACAGGCTACATGTGTTGGTGGAGGCATGGGGGAGCCATCCAAGCAACCAGTAGTACGCAGCAGGGCGTGCGCTAGCTACTGCATGTTGTTCTTGGGGCTCCCGCTAGCTAGCTAGCTGCCTTCCGGATGTGATGGCGACGATGACGCTGAACAGTTGTGTACGTGGTGTTGAAGAAGGCTGCATGGGCGGCCGGAGTATGCGATAGGTCGGAGTGTCATTGCAGCACGGGGTGAGGTAGCAGCATTTCTGGCTGCACCTGCTAATTGGGCGTGTGGTAGCTTTGCAGGGACTTTGGCATTCCCGCCGTACATGCCGTACATGATGACTGTGTCCCGTGCTCATTGATAGGTACGCATGAGTATCGGCAAGCAACCCACGCACGTCCGCTAATGAATAAACAGGACGAAAATCCCGATCGAAGTGTCCTGCGTGCGTGTCGCATACAAAACAATGTTCATAATGTTCCGTACGCAAGTACGGTGACGTACTAAATCGGCGGGTGATGCATTTCATTGATCGAGATTAATAAATGCGATAACGTGCAAACACCATAACTCTGCCCTGCTTTCACATGGTGCGGTTGTAGCTGCTGCTGCCACGTATACAGTTGTCACACAACCACCCTACCTTTTATTTATTGTCTGCCTTGATTGACGAATCGGGGTGATGATTTTGATTCCGAGCGACTAAGACACCTGGCGGGCGAGCGTACGGGCTAGCTTTCCCAGCCGTACCTGTATTGGTGGTTGACATTAATGATGAGATGTATGACCACGCACGGGATTTTTCGCAAGCCGTGGCATCGAAGTACTTGCAATTTTCGTTACCTGAGGAGTTATTGAGATGGATGCAAACCGCCGTTTACGGAGGCAAACCATGATAGCATCTCCACAACCACTGCTGGCAAAAGTACGAGTTTATTAGTGGTGACCGACACGTTCTATTTGAGTATAACGGAGTTGTACTATTTGGTTGCACTCAGGTCAAGACCGGGGTCCCTGTTTCCCTGTAGCTTTTGTGGGAGGGGTTGCGCATGTTAATTAAAGATTGACGAGTCAAAAGCGAACATGCAACAGTGTGCGTGGGTAGTGGGGCACAAGCTTCCGCCGTACTCTAATAATTATGGAGCGAGCTCATGGGTGCGGTTACGGATGCAGGAGGCTGACTGCGGATGCATGTTTGGCTGGTAATGCAAACGTACGAAGTATGTAGATACGATGTCAGTTAGTGACTGAGTTGCTGAAGTTGCCTGGTTGCTTGAGGAGATGCCGCCGAAAGGGAGCTGTTCCCGCGAAAATGCGTTCTCGCTGTGCCGGCCCTGAAGCCAGAACCGAAACTTAGCTTTCTGGTTACCGGTAGTAGGTTTCTTGCATGCCAGACTCTTGTTGATCCGCGCGCATCTCCGACCGAACTTCTTATATGGCTGCAGCCTTATTGGGACATGATCGAATGGCTGTGATTACCTTGACACATCTTGCTGTGGACGACCCATGGTTCACCAGCTGCGCAAGCAAGCGCCAACAGGAAGTATGTACCTGCGGTTCGGAGCCTATCAGCACTCAGGTCGAGCTAGCGGAGGAATGGTCAAACCATGCATGCTTGGGTCGGTTCCTTGTGCGTGCTACTGGGTTGTCATCGTAAAGGGCCTTCCGAACTGCAGCTCCTTTCAGCAGCCTTGACTGCGCGCACCGATGCGAAGTACCCCATTAATTCTTGCCGACTCCCGCGCCCCACCACCTAGGTTTGCCGGCATGCACCTTGGCCCGCCCTTGATTCCAGGTGCTCCGCGAGGCCGCCGGCGCCGTGGAGACGAGGGAACAGCCATAGTGATACCCCGGCCGTTCCAAGGATTTTCCCCTGAAACCACAATCCTAACAGACACACCAGCCCAAGCAATGCATGTACCCATGCACGGGGGCGCAAGATCGCTTAGGTCTAGTGGCCACTGCTGAAGGCCAGAACTGTATGGGCCCAGTTTGAGATTTCAGATGCGCTTGGCGCCCTCCCTTGCCCTTGCCCTTGCCCTTCGTCTGCCGTGGCTGCAACGGGTTCCTTAATAACGATTTTGCAGCAAGAACTTGGTTTACTTTCATTATCAAAATGGTAATGAAGGTAATTATTTACCTTTATTACAGCTAATCTATTCCGTAACAAACAATGTACCGGTATATATGTGGCAGGATATGATGTATGGCGACGCATGTACGTGCATGTCTCGGTTACATTTCATTATAAGCCTTAAACCTATAACACCGTTATCTTTGTGAAAAGATCGAAACAGTTAACTATGGCAGTGTATTGCCGATAACGTACAATACTCCAACGGGTGTGTACCTGAACTGGCCAGAGCCAAATATCATTCTTACCACAGTAGGCGTCCAGTCAATACTGCTAGTTGTATGTTTTACGCGTTTGCTTAAAATTTATGTGATTTAACGACGGGGAATTGCAAACCGGCTGCGCTGGCTGCCAGCGGTTTTCGAAACACGCTCTAGACATACCTTTCAGTATGTGTTGACAAATAAGGGTAAGCAGTTGATCACATAAACTGTTTCGCGCGGCTTAGCTGATAGAGCAAGTCTGCCGAATGACGCTGTTGCACTTCGAGTTGCGTCGCTGTCCTCATGGCATCAAGAAACCGCCAAGGATTATTACAATTGCAATTTTTTTAAAGAGCACCAAGCGCTGTCTTCCGTTCGCTAATGTCCTGAAAATGCATTGGGCCGGCAGACATACATTGAAACGCTTCCGACACATGTTACGGATGGGCAACCCTTACTTCCTGTACCTCTGCACGCGAGAATAAGCAATCTGTTTGCAATTTATATTTCTGTGCGACGCAGTTGCTGGTCTGTCCAACACCCCCGTCGGGTGTGTGTCCGTTGTAGCGAATGGCAACTTCACCTGCACCACTGATAGTGGTGTCGCCTGCGCCCAAGAGCGAGGCAGTCGCACCAGTGGCATCGGACTCCTATGGGCGCTCGAACAGCGGCAGGTGTGTGGACATGTTTGGCACCGGTGTTGCAACCGGCCGCATTCCGCTGTGGGGTCGTCGCACCCTTGTTTGTTACCCGTGCCGCTCATACCCCAAGTCCGCACGCTAGGCATTTCCTGCTTCAAAGGTGTCGAGCCAGCATCTAGTCGTGTCCATGCCTTCCTGCTACCTACCTTCCTGCTGGCTGCCCGCTTACCTGCTTGCTTGACTGCATACGCAACAGGGTTTCACCCACATCACCGGCTGGTTCTGCTCCACCGGCTCCCCCTAGCAACCACCTCAACAAGCGGCTTCTCTTCTTTGCAGTGGCCATAGTGGCTGTTGTACTAGTAGGAGTGGCTGTCGCCCTGGCAGTGGCCCTGTAAGTTGCTTGCTTTGCTAAACCAGCGCGAAAGGAAATCGATGCAAGCCAAGCGGGTTGCGTCGGTCTGGTCTTTGTCGTACGATGTATGTTCGGCTCATGATATTGCTGAAGCTATCAAACCACACACTTCATATTTCCATGCAATATCCACGTGGCTTCATAGTGCAGAGATGGACCCAACGCCTGCACGGCAATGTACGCCCGAGGGCGGCCTTCCTTAGGCGATGAGTGATATCTCCCCTACCTTGCTCGCACCGCAGGGGTCGTCGTAGCAAAGGCGCGCAGTCAGACAATCTGTACGGCATTTTTCCGTACAATGGCAACTGTTCCAACGGCTCTTCTGTGTACAGCATTGCTCCAGTTGTACGGGCGTCCGGTGGCGGCCAGTACTGCTTCACCCTAAATGCTTCAGCGGTTCCCGCCAACTGCTCCAGCTACTGCTGCTCTCAGGCTGACCTTCACACGGTTGAGGTGCGTCGGGCTGTTGTGGCTGAGAGTCTGGATGTGAGCTTGTGTGATAACTGGCCGCGAGACGAAACGTACTGTGATTGCCGAAAGTTGAAGTCCTCCCACCGAAACGCCACAGGTGAAGTGAAGTCCGTTGGCTATGGTGTAATACAGCTTGTGTGACTGTGTGAGCACGGTTTAGGCCGCATGCTGTAGCATGCTTACAACACACCGCGTCGCCTTTTAGGCCAGGGCCATAAAACTAAGGACGGGCGCCTATAGCGTACAAGCAAGGGTACTGCTGTGTATGCCGAAGTTACCATGGTAACGCTTCCCGAAACACACGGAACCTGAGAAGCCGCTGTGCCCTTGCCTGACCCTTGCCTACCACGACGCAGCTCAACGTCAATTCTGTTTGCAACGTCGCCAGTGCGCAATTGAGAGCTACCGTGAACGGCTATCCCACTAGCAGTAGCCCCGTCTTCGAGACACCCACCCAGGGGCCCGAGGGTAGCGCCCTGTTGCGGCTGTCGCAGCTGGGGCTAAGCCGCAACAGCAGCGGCGCCCAGATTTGCCTCATCCTCCAACCCAGCAGCCAAGGCCAGGGCTGCACCACCCTCGAGCAGCTCTGCGTGCCTCCAGCCGGCCAGCCAGCAGGCGCGTGCTCTGTTGCCCTGCTGGACAGCCAGAGACAGTGCTGCCCAGTTTCCTCAACAGGACGGGACTCCTCAGCATGGATGCAAGGCGGCCTAGACGAATCGTCTCAGACCAGCACCTCACGCACACCTCCGCTACCCCCTTTAACCTTACAACAGCCGCCACCCATACCCACCAGCCCAGGTCAGTTTCCACCTTCGTCTCCACCCTACACAACGCCACCGGACTCCCCTCGTCTCCAGCCCAGTCCCCCGAGGCCACCGCAAACACCACCTCGTCTCCAGTCCCCGCCGCCAACACCACCTACGTCTTCACCACCCCATCCCGGCCCATCCCCTCTTCAGCCGTCCTCCTTCCCACCCAAAGAGATGCCTCCTTCCCTCCCCATTTTTCTACCTCGTCCTCTGTCCCCGCTGCCTCACCCTCCTCGCCCGCCGCCATCCACACCACCACCCGAGCCACATCCCACCCCCTCGCCTCGTCCCTATGCTCCCTCCACACCGGAAGACGTGCCTCCCGAATTGAATGCTCCTCCTGTCCTTCCACCTGAACCGCCATGGCCGCCCCCTCGGCCTTCGTCCCCTTCACGGCCCCGACCTCATCCCGGCCCCGCGCCTATTCCCCCTGCACCTTCCCCTCCTTTCCCTTCACCATCCCCCTCTCCATCTCCTCGACCGCCTGCGCCCCTTCCACCATCACCTGCTCTCCCGCTCCCTACACCCCTCCCACCATCGCCCCCTCCGCCCGGCCCTCCATCGCCTTCTCCATCTCCTCGACCGTCTGCGCCCCTTCCACCATCACCTGCTGCTCTCCCGCTCCCTAGACCCCTCCCACCATCGCCCCCTCCGCCCGGCACTCCATTGCCTTCTCCATCTCCTCGACCGCCTGCGCCCCTTCCACCATCACCTGCTCTCCCGCTCCCTACACCCCTCCCACCATCGCCCCCTCCGCCCGGCCCTCCATCGCCTTCTCCATCTCCTCGACCGCCTGCGCCCCTTCCACCATCACCTGCTCTCCCGCTCCCTAGACCCCTCCCACCATCGCTCCCACCACCCAGCCCCCCATCGCCTTCTCCATCTCCTCGACCGCCTGCGCCCCTTCCACCATCACCTGCTCTCCCGCTCCCTACACCCCTCCCACCATCGCCCCCACCACCCAGCCCCCCATCGCCTTCTCCATCTCCTCGACCGCCTGCGCTCCTTCCACCATCACCTGCTCTCCCGCTCCCTACACCCCTCCCACCATCGCCCCCACCACCCAGCCCCCCATCGCCTTCTCCATCTCCTCGACCGCCTGCGCCCCTTCCACCATCACCTGCTCTCCCGCTCCCTACATTCCTCCCACCATCGCCCCCACCACCCAGCCCCCCATCGCCTTCTCCATCTCCTCGACCGCCTGCGCCCCTTCCACCATCACCTGCTCTCCCGCTCCCTACACCCCTCCCACCATCGCCCCCACCACCCAGCCCCCCATCGCCTTCTCCATCTCCTCGACCACCTGCGCCCCTTCCACCATCACCTGCTCCCCCTCCCTCTCCGGCCCCCCCCTCCCCCTTCCCCTCCGCCGCCGCCTCCGCCTCCACCGCCATCGCATCCTCCTCCTCCTCGTCCGCCTGCACCCCTTCCCCCATCACCTGCTTCCCCTCCCCCTCCGCCTCCCCCTCCACCGCCGCCTCCGCCTCCCCCTCCCCCTCCCCCTCCGCCTCCCCCTCCACCGCCGCCTCCGCCTCCACCTCCGCCTCCCCCTCCATGGCCTTCTCCACCACCTCCACCACCTCCACCACCTCCACCACCTCCACCACCTCCACCACCTCCACCACCTCCACCACCTCCACCACCTCCACCACCTCCACCACCTCCACCACCTCCACCACCTCCACCACCTCCACCACCTCCACCACCTCCACCACCTCCACCACCTCCACCACCTCCACCACCTCCACCACCTCCACCACCTCCACCACCTCCACCACCTCCACCACCTCCACCACCTCCACCACCTCCACCACCTCCACCACCTCCACCACCTCCACCACCTCCACCACCTCCACCACCTCCACCACCTCCACCACCTCCACCACCTCCACCACCTCCACCACCTCCACCACCTCCACCACCTCCACCACCTCCACCACCTCCACCACCTCCACCACCTCCACCACCTCCACCACCTCCACCACCTCCACCACCTCCACCACCTCCACCACCTCCACCATCTCCACCACCTCCACCACCTCCACCACCTCCTCCACCACCTCCACCATCTCCACCTCCTCCACCTTCCCCTCCATCCTTGCCACCGTCGCCCCCACCACCCAGCCCCCCATCGCCTTCTCCATCTCCTCGACCACCTGCACCCCTTCCACCACCACCTGCTCCACTCCCACCATCACCAGAACCACCACCACGTCCATCACCGTCCCCACCGCCTACAGCGCCCCCTCGGCCTCCATCTCCGCGGCCTCCTTCACCACTGCCTCCCACTCATTCTCCGCCATCTCCGCCCCCTCGGCGGCCCCCATCTCCACCTCCAGCCCTTCCTAACGTCTGCGCCTACTTCAGGGTCTGGGGAGCCGAACCTGCCTACAACCTCACCACGGCCCAGTGCTCCGATTTTCTCTACAAGGTCACCAATGAATTCTTAGGCCAAGGCTTGGCCATACCGTTTACACTCTCTCGTTGTGACAGCGGCACGGCAAAGGTGTGTGGCAGTTTCACAAGCACGTGGTGGTGCGGCGCCATGTCTGACTACATCTACCCACTCCTCGTCGACTTGCTGTTACAGTTTGCAGGGATTTCCACAGGGGAAAGCTGCCCGGAAAACCTGTTCGGCTATAGCATCTCCTTACGTGTTGGCAATGACGACGCAAACCCTTCATCTATCACATGCCTGAGCTCCGGTATCCAAATGCAGTGCTGATAGTATAGGTTTGCAGTCGCTGTATGTGGCGGTGAGTGAACGCTTCTTGAATGCTTGACGGTGCATTCACCTCTTCTTGTGAGCAGCCGGCCAGTAGAAAATGCGAAGAAGTGACACATACACACGTTGTGGCGTTTTCGGTGGGAGGACTTCATCTTTCGGCAATCACAGTACGTTTCGCCTCGCGGCCAGTTATTTTAACACACGTTAATGCATTTGCACGGGTTGATAGCCGAGCGCATGCGTGCATGCGTGCGTGCACGTGTGAAGCAATGCTGGAGCGTACAATGGTTGTATACGTGCTTGCATGCTGGAAGGCCCCAGCCATGCATGCAGGCCGTCCCAGACGCTATCGATGCAAGCCGGGTTGTAAGAACAGTTGCTGTGCCGTACGACCAGCACCCAGCAGCATCGTGCGTGGTTAGCTGATCCGTGCATACTACGGCTAGCTGCTACTAAAAAGATGTACGACTGCATGTAGGCAAGGTCTTGAGCTGCCGTACACTAACCTTTGTAGTGCATGTATGTAGGGCGTGACGAACTAGTGTGCACTTCATGGATGGGCGGCATGTTGCTTGGGACTCAAAGTACAAACGGTGGGAGCGCACCGCCGGGATGCAGTTTCCCGCCCGCTGGTAATGCTTGCACTCATCGATGCTAAGTCGTGCGTAAACTGATACACTTGTTCTTGCATTTGGTCGTCTAGTGATATGTTATGATGATGGTTTATTTCGGCCTAGTTAGGCGACTAACAGGCTCTGCGATATCTACTGGAAGGGTAGCGCGGCGTTTGTCAAGGTGTATTATTAGGCTGATCTGCATGAATTTGTTACCTGAGTACTCTTCGTGTCGGGTTTGCATACATACCGCCGGTAGTAATGGCCTAAGGATGCGATTGGCATTTGGACATCAACATTGACTGCTATATCGTATCTGCAGCTGCGGGAGTTTGGCCACGATTACCGAATACAGCAATCATTGCGACGCATGCATGGAAATGATGTACTGCCAGTACTGGCGGCGGTACAGTACCCTCCCATGGCCGTCCTTGGGAAAAGCTCTTTACGACTTTTGTTGCCTCCTTACCTGCCGTGTCCGCTTTTGAGTAGTGACACTGGTCAATTGCTCGCATCAACGGATAACCCATATTTTGCGTGGCCTTGTTACTTGTACTTGATGAAACCGCCGCAATTTGCGTGGCTTTGTTCCTTATGGGTCTTATGGGAGAATCGTGAGTTTTCGCATGCTTACCACGCACATCAGGCACGCACATGATCGACGTAGCCATCCCATCCATCACATGCAAAGTTGCCCTGCCTCGCATGTATCGTATCCGCTAGTAACCATGCGCCTGTTGGCTTTGATTTAGACTGTAGCAAGAGGCAGGTCCGGGTGACAGGGTCTACTCCATGTTTCACTACCCATATGCCACTGTATGTTGTAGGGCAGCTACGGCTGCGTGAGGGGTTGCCGGCTGTACTTGCCACGGTGCGAAGAGGGGCATGGCAAGGGGCTAGTCTGTTTAAGTGGAACCATGGGTCTGATGCTCATTTCGGCCCTTTGGATTGCATAAACGCGCACTGCGTATATATATGGCAGGCCGATCGATGCTTTCATCTTGACCTACACTGCAGGGGTACTGAACGCTTGCGCTCCTTGTTGAAATGCTAACGCCCACGGGTTCGCAGATGGGTAAGCACAGCCGCCAAGCCCTTTAAGCAGCATCTCTGCTACAGTATTAATAAAAAAATTAATTAAACGCTTCATCTATAGGCTGGGCACAACTCGCGGGCCCGACGGGTACCGGTACATGGTCGATGGTTACGTCGCGTGCAACTTGTAATACACGTTTACAGAATAATACAGTATAAATTATAACCAACATTCCTCAGCAATTAAACTATGGTATGCCGTGGTAGTGCTGCGGCACGGCAATGTACGAAAACGTAGACGCGCGGCGGTCGGACGGGGTCTAATGACGAGGACGCCAATTGTTACACAGTGGGCTCATGTTAGTTCCGGGCATAGTCTTGCTGTTTTTAGTTTGCCTCGGGCCATAACCTCAGACAGTACCTAAGTCGCATACGTGTACTTCACAACCAAAACAACCTTAAGACCGGACTAACAGATAGCGCTAACGTTGTGAAAAATGTATGTACTTCTGTACTATAGTCTCAACAGCTCTTGCGGTCGGCAGCCGGGGAGCTAGTGAAGAGCCGAATTGCGGTTGGGGCAGGAGACACGGCAATGGATTGGATTGGGCCTTATACGCTATTGGTGGAGCTGCTGCTCGCGACAGCACACGGCTCAGTGCAGCGGCGTGCACCTGCACCCGCTGCACAACGGAAAACAAAGACGCCCGCGGGCGTAGTAAGCGCCAAAGCGCTGTCCGAAGCGGCCACCCGGCCGTTGAAAACCCCCAGGCGCAAGCAAACTAAACCCGACACGCTGAAGTCCCAGCCATTCCCAAAAGGGAAACCCGAAGCACGCCAGCGGCGCTCAAGCCCTACAGCCCATGTGACAACCCAGGCCCCGCCTAACAAGCGTTCATAGCTCCCGCCGCCTCCATAGGCGGCATGGATGACGCTACACTCATGTTGCCCGCCGCTGCTCCCCAGCTAGCCTCTCGTGTGCTGTCGCGCCATTGAGCCTGGGCCGAGCATGGCTTAACGCGGAAGACACTGGTCAGGGAGGGCGGGGGGAAGTTACGAGCAACAAAGCTCCAATAGTGAGGGCAGAATGCCGAACTATGGAGCTGTCAGACCTGAAGAGACAGCGAGAAGGACGAGCTGTACGACTGCCGTGTAGAATCTAACTTAGAGAGCTATAGTCGCTGCTCTCCTGCCGCTTCTAAGTAACAAACATACGGCGCATCTTAACTTGCTGAGAGCAAGCAGCAACCTAGGAAGCGAGGATTACACAGGAGGACCAACCAGTAAGGATACCCGTACTGGCCAATCGTTAGACGTACATTCCAACAGAGCGTTGACCGCCCTACCCCAGGGCCCTATAGTAGTCGAACCAGGTCTTACCCCGGGGTTACCGCCCCCCCTACATTACCGATTTTACTAGCGAGGGGTAACCGACCTACCCTCGTTACCCCCTCGTAAAGTCCTCGTCAGGGGTCCGTTATCTCAAGGTCCGTTGCAGGGGTATGACGAACCTTGGTAACCGAGGTACCTAACCCAGCCTTATTACCCCAGGGTAACCAAGTCTGTTCGGCCGTCTGGAGTCTGTGGGCCGCAAAAGCGCGCGCATGAATCCTCCGTGCACACTCAATACTGTGCGTGTTCCAGCCATGACATTGTCATCTTCTGCCAAACTAATCCTCCGCAACGCCATACTTATGAACCTTCTTCCATGAGATGCCACACATGCGCACACACGCCGCACACATGCACACGGGGGCACAATTCGGTACTCCAAGTAGCATGGATCCGCAGGAACGCGGACCGTGCGTTCTCGAGTGGTTACCGAAGATGGGTGTGCCCTGCACGGCAATGTGTGGCTGCTGCCGTACAGCTGAGCGGCGTTGGCCGTAGCCGGACGCGGTGCAGCAGGCGATGGTGCCGGGGTGAGCTGACGAGTAGCCATCCGTGATGATGACGCGTTGCGCAGGCCAGGGGTTGGCGGCGCCATAAAGAACGGCCATAATGAACGGCCTAGCGGAAGGTGCTTGCGGACGGGCCCCGTACAGAATAGGCTCGGAGAAAAGAAAAGAAATTGTTCCAGCTCCCATGGGTCCTCATACTCCGGCGCTGAAAGGGCTTGCGGACATGGGGTCGGGTTATAGTAATGCGTCTGGGGTCCACCCTCCAGCAGCAGGGTGATGAGGTGCGCCATCTGCTTCGCTAGGTTGGCCACCTGGGACTCGAGCGGTGTAGCAGCAGGGCTAGACGTGGACGGCCGAAGGCCGCCATGCCGGTGTTGTACGTCCTGACGGGCCCGACGGTATGGCGGCATGGCGTCGCGACGGTATGGGGGGTCTTATGGGCGCCTGGGACTTGAGGGTACGGCGTTGCTATGAATGTTGCGCGTACGGCACTCTAGGTGGCCAAGTGATGGTTCCTGCCGTACGCCGGAGTCCTCTTGTAAGGACAAGACGCTGAAACCCTTCATCAATGTAGATGGCATCCTTAGTCGCTTGTTCAAATGTTGCCAGGCGCATGAGGTACACCCGGCTGTAAATATGGGAGGCTAGACGATGGCGTGTGTGCCCGTTGTAGCCCATGGCGTCTTCGCCTACGCCTCCTCCTCCCCCTCCGCCTCCCCCTTCGCCTCCTCCTCCCCCTCCGCCTCCCCCTCCGCCTCCTCCTCCGCCTCCTTCTCCACCTCCGCCTCCTTCTCCGCCTCCTTCTCCGCCTCCGCCTCCCCCTTCGCCTCTCCATCAACCTTCTCCTCCACCGCCTTCTCTACCCCCTCGACCGCCTGCGCCCCTTCCACCATCACCTGCTCCACTCCCATCGTCGCTTCAACTCCCGCCACGTCCATCGCCTTCCCTACCGCCTAGAGCGGCCCACGGCCTCTATCTCCGCGACCTCCTTCACCACTGCCCTCCACTCCTTCTCCGCCATCTCCGCCATCTCCACACCTATTTAGCCCTTCCTACCGCCTGCTCCTACTTCGTGGTCTCTAGATATCCGAACCCGCCTACAACTTCACCTCGGCCCAGTGCTCCCAGTTTCTCGACAAGATCGCCGATGAAATTATAGGCACAAGCTTAGTCGTACCATTTACACTCTCTCGCTGAGCCGGCGGCACTGCAAAGGTGTGTGGCAGTTTCACAAGCAAAGTGTGGTGCGAGTCCGTGTCCGAGTACAACTAACCAATCCTTGCCGACTTGCTAGTACAGTTTGCTGGGGTTTCCGCCGGGGAAAGCTGCCAGGAAGACCTGTTCGGCTACAACGTCTCCTTACGTGTTGGCAATGATGACGCAGACCCTTCACCAATTACATGTATGCCTGAGCTCCAGTATCCAACGGCAGTGCTGATAGGATTGAGGTTTGCAATTGCTGTATGTGGCGTTGATTGAACGCTTCTTGATTGCTTGACGGTGCAATGGGTGCATTCACCGCTTCTTGTGAGCAACCGACCAGTACACATTGCGACGAAGTGACACACACGTTGATGCATTTGCATGGGTTGATAGCCGAGCGCATGCGTGCGTGCGTGCACGTGTGAAGCAATGTTGGAGCGTGCAAGGGTTGTATACGTGCTTGCATGCTGGCGTGCAGGGCCCCATGCATGCAGGCCGTCCCAGACGCTATCGATGCAAGCCGGGTTGTAAGCCGGGTTGCTGTGCCGTACGACCAGCACCCAGCAGCGCCGTGCGTGGTTAGCTGATCCGTGCGGTCCATGAGCCTCCTGGCTCTTCTGGGACTTACGAGCCGTACAGCTTGTAACAACTCACTCACTCACTGATCCGTGCATACTACGGCTAGCTGCTACTGAAACGATGTACGACTGCATGTAGGCAAGGTCTTGAGCTGCCGTACGCACGTAGTCCTTTGTTGTGCACGCATGTATTAGTAAGGCAAACTGGTGTGCACGTCATAGGCTGCATGTTGCTTGGGTCGGCAAGCAGAAACGGCGAGAGCGCGCCGTTGGGATGCCGTTTCATGCGTTCGTAATGATGATTGGTATTGCTTGGGGTCGGTGCACTCATCGATGCTGATTCGTGCGTTAACTTGTCCTTGCATTTGGTCGTCTAGAGATTGGTTATGGTGATGGTTTCGGCCTGGTGGAGGATTGTGGAGGATTTGCATACTAATGGCCTAGGGATGTGATTGGCATTTAGGCACCATCAATAACTCTGCGGAAGTTCGCCGGCATTCATTGCAACGTATGCATGGCAATTATGTACTGCCAGCAGTACGGCGTACTTACTGGCGGCGGCACAGTACCCTCACATGGCCGTTCATGGAACAGCTCTTTACGATCGAGAGCTTTGTTCGGTACCTTCGGCTAGGTCGCGGCAAGATTTGTAGCGTTGGGCAGCGACCTCCGCTACAGCGATCATGGCAAATGTGGCTGGATTGTCGTGCCCCATCGTTGGCTCGTGCAGTTTGTGGTCACGGGTGGTGACGCTCGCGGGCATGTCCCATGGTTCAGTTGGATGATGACGGTGCGAATTGCTACTGCTGAGGTGACTGAGTGGTTCCGGTTATAATGGCTGGTATTATCGCAGTTCCTTTGCTTTAAGTGTTGTGGGCTGTGGAGAGATCGCTCTGGCGTGTCCAGAGTATCTGTCGTACAAGTGCTTGTCTCGTTAGGCGGCGCAGTGCCCGGGCTAGGGCACTGCGTTTTGCTCACATACTCATGTACTGCCTGTAAGAACCATGAAGGGCTTCATGCGTTCCTGATCTGCGGCGCAGATCTACAGCTTACATGCGCGCTTTAACGTAGTCATAGACAACGATCTCCCAAGCGTTGGGCAGCCCAACGTAGCAGTCAGAATAGGCGATAGGTTATCAGTTCCCCGTGGGCCTGGTCAGTCCGCGGCTCAGCCGTCTTGAAGCCCGCCCCAGCACGGGACGAGAGGCGCTGAGGAGCGCTCTACGTCTACAGCAAGACTAGGAGTGCGCCTTCCGGTTACGGGAGGCAGAGACGGAACCAGCAAAACGCAGTAGGCCCGGAGGAGGGACGTACTAGGTTCCGTCTCTGCCTCCCGTAACCGGAAGGCGCACTCCTAGTCTTGCTGTAGACGTAGAGCGCTCCTCAGCGCCTCTCGTCCCGTGCTGGGGCGGGCTTCAAGACGGCTGAGCCGCGGACTGACCAGGCCCACGGGGAACTGATAACCTATCGCCTATTCTGACTGCTACGTTGGGCTGCCCAACGCTTG